CTATAAAGGGGTATTATAGGTATAGTAGGCTGTTCTTAAAGATTAGAACGTCTAGAATAGTAGGGGTGAATAGGGCTAGAAGCTTAAAGGAGTCCGCCTTAGGGTTAGCGAGTGGATACTACTTAAGAAGGGTAGCTACGGCTAGGCTTATAGCGGAGAGAGGCTATGCGGATGAATAGCTCTTATAGTAGTCTTTTAGATGGGTCCGGATATAGAATAGAGCGATAGCGCGCTTACATAGTTAGTAGATAAGGACCTTAAGGTCTAGGAGGTAGTTAAATAGATCTAGATCTATAGTGTAGTTAATAGGATATTAAGGCGTATAGAGAAAGGGGGGAAAGGTATAGGCGAGGGGCGGTAGATAGAATATATAGAGGTAGAAGGACGTGTAGGGTGGCCTAGCGACACGTAGTAGTTGCTAGATACATCTATATTCGTGTTCGCATTAGCGCGGCTATAATTTAGTTAGAGTGGTGTAAGGGGAAGGGTTAGTGGAGAAAGGCTTCTATAGATAGGCCTAGCGGCGTAGAATTCCGGAGGCGGGAGATTATATTATTCCGCCGGGGCGGGTAGTTAGTGTTAGCGTTGAGTAGTTTGGTGCGGGCAGGGTTAGGGTGATGCAGCCAATGGGAGGGTCAGACAATTGGGAGGAGGGCAGATCCTAATTGGGCATGCAGTACCAGTCAGTCAGTCAGTCAGTCAGTCAGTCAAGTTCTATAACAGCTGTAGTTGACGCTGCCTGTCTAACTACTATACCTCGACCGTCGGTCTATTGGTCACCCTGATAGCGACATCCATCACATTAATATACGCTCTAGGTTCAAGATCGAGCACCCTCTCGAGGAGCGCCAGGCCGAGCTGAGCGCATCCGCCAGAAGTACAACAAAGTAGAACGCGTAGGTGATAGTCTAGTCCCTCGCGTTTATTAGTCTCTACACCACTAACGCTTCGCTAGCCGCGTGCTTGTAGTCGGATAGTAGAGACGGACCTCCGCAAATGTCTACTGCCTCTAGACACGTCTGGTGGAGATCCTTATGGCCATCCGCAAGCTTCCGCGATATCCTCCCATGTGTCGATCTCATCATCCTCATCGTCAGTGTAATATCTCGGGTTAAAATGTGACAATGGCCTTCGTTGTGAGTTGTTTCCTCTTTTACCCTCATGCACTTGCTTCTTCTTTTTGACATATTCCTCTTTCTGCTTTCTTCCCCAAACTGCCAACTCCTCCTGATGGCCGATACACCATAGCACCACCTCCCGCGCAGCGAGAGCATCCTCAACGGAGTCATGCCCTCTTTTTCCATTGTTCTGAATCTCAATGCCTAAGAACTGGTCACACAGTGTTTTCAGTCCCCATTGCCGGCTTCCGCCAGTTCCTACAGCATCCTTAGCCAAAATTGCCGAATCCACAACTTGCCAATGCTGCATTCTGAGCGCGTCGAAATCATGATGTAATGCTTGGCCGATTAGAATAGTATTGGAATCAATGTACCTCCATAATTCGGCGCGCGCTTCCGGCCAGCCCTTCAGCACCCGTTTCTCGGCCACGGCCGCAGTCATGGCATTCTTCGTGATTCCACTGAATCTTGTGCGCCAGTCCGTGACCGGCTGAGTCGGCTGAACCAACGTGTCAATGAGAACTTCACCAGTGAGGTAATCAATGGCTGAAATGCGTGCTACTTCGGATTCGCCTTTGCCCACGCCCACCATCTCGCAATCCAGCGCGACCGCACCGCGCTTCGGTACCTGAGGATCATGTGCAGGGGTTGGCAGGGGTATGAGAGATAGCGCTACCCCGACTCCCAGAGTTTTAACGTAGCCGGGTCCTGATGCGTACTTGTTCTTGGCCAGGGTGGTATAGGAATGGCAACTCAAGGTAAGGGCGGCTAACGTTGCGGCTCGTTGAGGTTCGGGGATAAATGACCACCTTGGTTTCGGCTGCGTTCCGGGAATTTGCGCATTCGATTTCATACCACTTTGCGGCTCTGGTATATTCGTGCCCATAGTAGCCCTTTTGTCAGGCATGACCCGCTCATGTAAGGGGTTTAATGGGTTGATGAATCCCTCAATGGGTAGACGTGTAGGCAAGGTGCTGCATGTCGAAGACTTGAAGTGCGATCCAAGAGATTCCCAGCTTGTAAAGGTGAAACCACAGAACTTGCAGCTGCCCGAGTGAGCTAATGATATCGATTGTGCTTGTTGCTGCGGCCTTGGCAACAGGAGTGCAAATTCAAAGTCCTTTCCGCCATAGTCCACTATCAATGGAGAAACAAAGGGTTTCCCGCCACTGCGAGGGGTGGCGACGAGATAGCAATCGTTGATGTCGTATGGCGCGTAGAATCCGTAAAGCGAAGCATTCCGTACAGGTTGTGGCATCTCATTTGGAGGCAATACAAGACTTGGGGATTCCCATGATAATTCAGTAACCGATCTAGATTGAGAAGGACGCTTGCATTCATTGAACATATGCGGGGCCTTTTGGACCATGGATACAGGGTAGGTCGCAGGCATTTTAGTAGCTTCGAAAGACCCTTTGTAGATGTTGCTGAGAAAAGAACCCGCTACGGTGGTTGCTGGAATCTTAACGGTCTCATGGGAAACGCGTGAAATATCGGAATAGTCTGGCGTGTTGTTCATCATGGAGATGTTGCTACTAGCAATACAAGCCGTTTGGGTGGACTTCCCAGGTTCCTTCCGGACAGGAGTCGTATGAATCTGCTGAGTGAGATCCTGTAGTCGATTTGACCGTGCATCTTTATGGACGGACGAGTTCACATGTTGTTCGAGCGCTTGTTGGCTTGTAAATGCCTTCGTGCATCCACTGGTTGTGCAAGGTAACAGATGTCCGGTAGAGCGGCTATGATCCGCTAAGGCGGCGCTGCTAGAAAACGACTTTGCGCATTTGTTGCAAGAACGTGCCGTAGAGGACAGATCAGAGTGTTTTTTAGGGGGCATTTTAGCGATTGTTTTCGTTGGCAGAAGGCAGGAACGAAGTTTTAATGTTTGCTGTGCCGCACGCGTGGCGGGACTGTTAGCGCGAGCGCGAAACCGGCATCTCAATTGGCTGCAACAGTCTTAGTAAATATCACGTGACATTCTACCTGATTTTCGCACTTATTCAATATCTGCAAGTTCTAACGGATTGCGGACGCGTTAGTATTCTTTTCGACAACTACTATTATCTTAAAGAAAAGTATTCTCATAGCGCTTCGGCGCTCTATACTACAGCCTCCTTCCCGCCGCCAGCGTTTCTGCTAGAAGGTAAAATAATCACCGAACAACTAGAATACTAGCGGCCGCACCGGGCAATCGCTTAATCGGCTGACTATTGCACCTTATATAAAGAAAGACAGCCGGTTCTTAAGAGTATAGCAGCCACCGCGACCCTAGCGACCCAGTAGACTATCCTAAGTACAGAACCCTAATCTATTAATACGTCTATTTCCGACTCAGTAAAGATGCTTTAAGTGGTATCAGATATACAGGAGCGAATCGGACGATATGCATCACTGACAGTAGTTAATCGATACTTTTCGTATCGTGAGGTTTTGTAGTAGAGTAGATGCAGCTAATGCTGTTGCAGTACGCGTCAACACCTGAACTATTCGCACCATAAAGAAGCAAAGAAGCGTGGAGCTAGAATGCTAGGCTAAGGCGAACGAATCATGTTGACTCGCAACTCCGTGCGTTCACACGGTCTCACGCAGGTTCAATCACTATTTTATGAATCCGTGTTTCATAACCTCGCAAAGTAGAGGCTCCTTTCGTAGCTTACATTGTGCCAGCGCCAGGCTGCTGCCTGCAAGTCCGCACTAAGCGTTCTCATCGGGTTCCGCCTACTCCGACGAAGTGATCTTGGTTCCACCATTCGGCAAAGGCACTCTGAACAGCGCAAACGGCCTCACTCGTCGATCCGTGCCCGGGTAAAATGCCTGAGTCAGCTGTAGCTGGTTGACGGTAAAATACAGATACCCGTCCGCTCCGGTTGCGACTGTTCGTTACGTTAGCTGTATATTCTAACTCTCGCCTCTACAAGAGAGATGCGAGGCGCAAGGGAGGGGCGAGTAGGCTTACATGTATCGACCCAGTTGATTCTCGGATCCCGCACAAAGGTGCCAGTGGTGGCATTGGCCGGGTTGTACCAAGACACCGCGTTTTGCTCCATGTTACCAAGGTAGACAATATTGTTGGAATCTGTCTCGAACCCGTCACTCACGCCCTTCTGGCCTCGGCTCTGGACAGACGATTGGGCCAGCACCTCGCTGACCTCGCTCCTATCCCGAAGTCTCTCAGTTGGAATGCTGTAGAGATACCTCGACCCAACGGCGCCAAAGAAGAGAGTTTCTGCGTCGGCTGAGATCGCAATACCGTCACTGCCGAACGGAAGATACGTAAACGGCCTTCCTGGACCAGGTATAAAGTAGAGAGGCTCGCCCCAAACGTACGCCAGGAACTGGCGCTCTGGCCGCACAACCGCGTCACCGTCTAGGTGTCTCCAGGATTCACCTGTGCCGAGATCCACTGTGACAATACCGTTGCGGCCCTCGGTGCTGCTGTCTGTGATGTACGCCACGCCGTGGCCTGAACTTGTGATGTTCGAACGCAGGTCAAAGCGCACGTCGTTGAGGTAGCTGTCGGGGTAAGCGACATCAGGCGGGAAGACGATCGTCGTAAAAGTCTGGTTGGTGGTCAAATCAACGCCGATGAGTTTCGGACCGCCGTACGAAGCTGGAACAAGGGTGCCATTGTCGGTCTGCGCGCGCCCGGTATCAAGGATCCAGAGGCGGTCGGCTGGGTCCACCACGACCGACTGGACGCCTATAAGGTAGTTCTGGTAGTTCGCGCCGACTGAGGGAGCGTCAGTCTTCGCCTAGGTGCATTGGGACATACAGATGGGGGCATGAGTGGGACATACCAGGAGGAAACACAGTGTAGTTGATCGCGCCTCCAGGAGGGTTGTTAAATGTCGCATTCGGGAATGGTGTCTCAGTATTGCCCGGGAGCAGCTCGGCAACTGTATATTTTCCATTCGTGCCATCATTCGTGTTGTTTGGATCCAATCCAGGCGGATAGTTCGAGAACCTGCGGCCCGTCGACGAGACCGCAATGCCTGGAGAGAGTCAGCAAGGCAGAGCAACTCCGTGATATTGGCCTACCCGTCGGGAACTCGTCGTAGTAGAGGTGGACGAGCTCCAATTCAGGTCCAGCGGCGCCCGGATCAGAAATCAGCTGTGCCGTTGCGACGCAAGCCATGCCCCAGAGGGCGCATGCAATGAAGCATGATCTCGCCATAGCCCTTTTCCGGTGGGTGGTTTTGAGCCCAACCTTTGATGGAGCTGAAGATACCGAGCTGCTTCGGCGTGTTCAATTGCGAATTCCTTGAATGCGCTTCGTTCAAAGTCCCGTTCGACGATACCGAATTCGCTGCCTTGGTCGATCGTACTTCGCTCGCACGACCGCCCCAGTGAGCTGAGTCCGTTTTGTAGGCGGCTCGGGTGTCAACGTCATGTTTACTCGAGTGCTGTCTGCGCCATAAACTGCATGGCTAGCAACTCAGCTAGTCGACGCCAGTCGGCGGGATCTCCAGGCACAGATGGCTTTGCGGCACAAAGCGTGCTGTTGGCGTGCGTTGTTGTTGGCTACGATGTGCATCGACAAGGGGAAGCCTGCGCCGATGATGCTTTCCCCACATCATCGGCAGCGCTTGGGCAATATCAGATCCCTCGGTTCTCCAACCTCTCCGCTAGCAGCTTGCGCGGCCAATGCCTTGCTACATATCTTGCCTGCCCGCTTGATCTCTAGCAGAAGTCTGTAGCCAGTCAAGACCCGAGGAAGAACAAAGTAAACAGGGCTGGACTCGTGTCGAGTGAGGTTACAGATACGTCCCGACGTCAACATCATCGGTGTTCTATAACACTATCTGGTTAAGTGGTTTTTCTCACGCAAGACCACTACCTCAGCACGTAGGCGGAGTTTTTTTACTTTTATTTGGAAAGTCGGTTGGATTTTCAAACGGCAATCAAGTAATCGAACAGCTATTAGTATAGAATTCAAAGCGAAACCTCAATCAGAAGTAGATCTTGTCCTAGCTACTTCAGCATCTTACAGTTCCGCTTGACACCTTCAATTCGTGAGGAAATATAATCTGACGGTATCCGCCATGTCGAACGCTATTGCCTGTGCGCTGTTCGACTTGCACGAGTATTCTGAGATTACCGCAGCCCGCTACGATTCCTTGGGACCGCGTAAACATCGAGACGTCCGTGTTTCCAATCGTCTAAAGATTGTAGCAGGCCAGGATCTTACACTACCTCAGTAACATTGGGGAGTACATCCCCAGCACAGCCCACAACAGCCCTCATTCAAGAGTCCTGTCCTACTTGCATGTGGTTTTTTAACCCCTCTAGCTCTCCCGGCTCCCTTCCACTTTCAGGTTCCGTCAACGGCTTAAAAATCTCGCTTATCTGGCCCCACTCGGTGAATGTTGAGGCCATGTCACGGCGAAATTTCTTTCCAAATCCTGTAGTCACCGGCACGCCGTCCCACCGCTGCTTCCAGGGTCCTATGCCTCGCCCTTCTAATGCGATACGCTGCAGCTGCAAGACATCATCTTCTATCCACGCAAGTCGCGGAACGACACCGTTGGGCGAGCGGCGCTGGATCCGGTGCACAAGATTAGGCAGCGATAAGCTAGTGACGATGACCAGGGTGCAGGTAAGTACGAGGAAGCAGAGGCCGAACATGCTGAACGAGGAGTGGGTCGCGGTCCGAAACTTCTGGTTGCGGCAGAGGTGCAAGTTCAGCGGGTCGGTCTCAGGAACAATAAAGGAGTGGAGTTCGACGCCTGGGCGGATGTGAAGGTTGGGCTCGGCGGCGTGGCCAACTACAGATCTCTGTAAACCCGTCATGCTGATGTTGTGGATGCCCTCCATCTCAGTCTGCCATTGCGTATCGGGCAGCGGTCCGGATATGCCGAATGCGCCATAGACGAGCGTGCTGGCCAGTAAGATCTCGTTCCTCAGAAACATCAAAATTGGATTCATGCGCACGGAGAGTACAGAATACACGAGCAGCCTGTGGGTGGCTTGCTGTATCGGACTGAAACCGAGGTCTCGTGGCGCCTCGAGGAATCTGGGGTCATATCCTCCACTGAGTGGCGTGCAGCGGTTGGAGTTGCAGAACTGATATTGCTCGGTGCAGCCAACGCCAGTTAGCGTTGAGTTGGATATCCATGCCTCGTTCAGTCTGTTACCGCCGATCGGAAGCGTTGCTTGGAACCATGGGTCTAGCACTTTTCCTGTGTATGACACCCGATTATTGAGGAGCAGAACAGTGACATCTGCATCGGTTCGCGATAGCTCAGGAATCGGAGCAAAGCCACTCTCGGTAGAATTCTGAGGATAAGCGGACCGAATCCTGGAAGATAACGTTAGCTGTGGACAGATATACGACTGGGATCCCATACTCAAGTTTGTACGGCAAAGGGCTGAATCCAACAGAGAGATTGCTGACAACATGGGTGTAATTACTAACGTGGAAGCCAAAGAGCCAACTGTCCCCCAGGTAATAATACTTGTGAGCATCCTCAGGCGGTGATGTGGGCAAATACATTTCTACGCCGTGCTTTTTCTCTGAAGTCCAATTCGTGCTATATTTACCCTCGACGGGAATAGGAGCGCAAGTCGTCATCTTCCTAATCCGAATACGATCCTTCGGAGGCGCATTGATGCCAAGGTGTGTGTTGGAATCGAGTAGTCCAGAGTCCATCGAGATAGCCGGTGCTGAACACATTCCCGAAGCGAACGGGCAAGACGCTGCCCGGTTGATGTGGGAATTAATCCTCGGCAGAGAAATCGTTTTACATATACTCGACCCATTCTGGAGATCATCGCCGTAACATGAACGAGAGTAAGTCAAGTAGTCTCGATAGCCGTTGTATGTCGCAACGAACAGGGCGTCTCCGCGTAGCCAATCTTCCTGAGTCCATTGAGGGAAATCCTTGGCGGCCGTCGTATCGGGCCATCCACACAAACCCCTGAGTAAGGCTTCGCTGTCCGTGGATGTTACTCGAGAAGAGAAAACACCAGCGGCAAGGAACGCAGCTACATGGATCGTCGCAAGACAGGCAAGCGGGAAGGTACGTTGATACGACGCGGAGATGCTTGATCTCCAAGCCCAAGCAGTCTCGAGAATGCGCCAGAGGAATTCCAAACTCGGGATTCTATTTCTAAGCAGAGCCTGATGTTGAAAATAAAGGCCGTCCCTTTCGCGCAAGTCGGAGCGAATGTGGTGAAAAACGAAGCACGTGATTCCCCAGAAGTGGGTTCCCGTCCAGCTCACAAGCAACGCCAGGACTGCGATTAAGATGCCGCCATATTCGGCGGGAATTGCAAGCGTCGATCCCAGTATGGACCCTTTGCCTGACGCGCTATCAGTAAATGAAGGTTGTGAGGTTTAGCACTGCAGCCAGTCCTCAGATACAGTAGAACAGAGACTCAAATCAGACCTGAAAGGGATTGAAGGCATACTCCAGTTGATCCAGATACCTACGAAAACTGGTTCGCCCGCCATCCGCTCGTGGAATACCGACAACGATAGCCTTACAATCTAGTAGCGAAAGAAGGATCGATTGACCGGAAGCTCAAAACGAGAAGTAGTCCGTTGTTAATACCCCTTGATGGAACGACCTAACCTCAGCCGCAAATGCAGGGATCTCGATTCGACCAATATGAACATACATGCAATCCTACTGTCCCGTTGCTGTTCCGTCTCCTGTTCCGTCTCCTGTTCCGTCTGCCCGCTGCTGCCAGTGATTGGCGGCGTGCCTCATTTTCGGCGTTGGCCATGCCGAGTGCTGGTGGCCATGCGAGCGCCTCAGCTCCACAAGGCGTGAGGACATAGCATAGAGATTCTTTTGGCACAACTCGGATCTTTTAGGTCAGCGTTGGAGGCCCCTTTGTTCCAACCAGCTGAGATATGCTAGTGAAGCAGTCCGCGGTTGGATCAGAGGATGAAGTAGTGCTCTAAAGGTTCCCAATCACACAAATGGATCGTGATATTAATTGGAACATCACGTGATCCGTTCAACCCGAAACACAAGTTGGCAGTGGCGCTCGAAAGGTCCGTGCCGCTCCAGAACTTCCCCTCTTCAACAACACTCAGTCGCCAGAACCCCAAGCCAGCAACACACCACCGTCTTCACCCGTTCGCTCGCATTATCGCTACGACAACAACCCGAGGGTCTCTTTCACGACCACAAGCAACCTCATTGACCGTCACCCGCTCAATCAGCACCAATCAGCGACCGTGGCCGACCAAAGCAATGGCGAAAAAATCCAGTAGCAGTAGTAGCAGTAGAAGTAGTAATTACTACGCCTCCAGCATGACCGAGTCTGCTCGCGCCAACATCCTCGCGAGCTGCTATGCCGTTGACGCCTCTTCGACGGCTCTCCAAGGCTTCCACTACTCTTCCACCGGGGCTGGCGGGGTCGATTGGCGTTCCTGAGGTCGGCTCGGTGAGTGACTTGCTCTTCCTCTAGCCCTGCGCTTTTGGCGCTGGGCATTTTGCCTTTCATACTTGTCCCTTACAATTTCATGGACGCTAACAACACTGACAGGGCATACCATCACCGCCGCTAAGTCCCCCCCTCGCCGCCGCACAACACGCGCTGAAAGATACGACCATTCCGAAGAACTTTTCGGTCAGACGGGCGCGCAGAGGGGGGGCCGCATACACCATTGCGGGGGAGTGTGAGAGACTCTTCTGCGAGACACTGAAGACTGTTTTCCTTGGTGAGGGGAACTTGGTCTGCCAGGACTCGCTTGCGATGGGTGTGCGAAATCAAAATACTACCATGGATGGCAGCGATGACGACAAGGGTGTCGGCTGGAGGTCAAGACATGACAGCGATAGCAGCAGCAGCGCTATGGCTGGTTTTGGGGCCGTGCCAGCGGGGGGGCTTCAGACACCTAGTCCAGAGATGGAGGGGTACGCGAGCCACGGAGGCGGCGGCATGATTAGCACATGGGTCGAGGTCTGGGATTATGTCGGCGGCGCCAGGTTTAGAGGCTTCTTGGTCGATGACGAGGGCGAGAGGACAATGTTCACGTTCTTCGATGAAGGAATCATTGGGAGGGATCTCAAGCCTGGGTACGTCGATTTTCCCACCAGTTACCCTCCGCCCCCTAGTACTAACACCTTATACAGTCTAATGGCGCTTCTTGAGCTCTGCAGCATACCCGAGTTCGACTGCTCACGCCTCGTCGTCTGTATCGACCGCAACGCGCAACCGGAGCCGACAAAGGCGCTAATGAGGGATCTGGGCTGGGTTGGCTTCGAGGCCGTCACGCTTGCACGCTGGACGCACAGCAACGAGATCATCAGCGATCGATGGGTTTTCTTAGGAATGGACGTCTAGTCGGCGCTCGATCAGTTTGGCGGTTCTACTTTTCTATCAGCTGTTCTTCGTTTCAGCATCGGGCCGTGTGAGCGCCGGTGAAGGACGTATTTTGGACGGCCAAGTATCTGTAGCATTTGTCTTTTTCTTGAGGGGCAGCCCAGTTCCAAGAGCTATGCGGGAACACCTAGTCTGCTCTTGCATGCCCGGTCTCACAAGCATCGTGATATCGCAAGTGCAATTTGCCTCGCCCCCCTAATCAAATTCTTTCCCCTATAATAATACGTGGATCCTAACACGCGATACCTCCATGTTTCCCTAAGAGATCGAACGACGACGTCTGAACGGAGTTGTAACCACTAGCCGAGAAACACCTCTTCTGCGTTGTGTCCCATCACGGATGTATCAACGTTCGGCCGTCAACCGGCAGTCCGAACAAGCTACTCATGCTTCCTGACTTCGAGTCGCAGAGACGGTTCTGAGGTGATTTTCAAGAAAGTAAAGCTCGAAATTTGGTCGCATGCAAGATCTGAGCCGATATAAAGGCACCCATGTACGAAGGTCCGCATTGGAGTATTCACATTTTCTGCGGATGCTCATAAGCCCTATCTACCCGAGCCCCTCTACCCCTTGACTTTTCTACCACAACAGCACAAATTGAGACAGAAGCCCTCATCCCTGCACGAAGCCTGCAAGCTATCCCAACTTTCTGAACAAAGCAGCAGACTATGCAAGTCGGATATCTCAAAGTGAAGACACACGCACTTATGCAAGAAACAAACTAGCAGCATACAAGAGACATTTAGAGAGATTGAGGCGCGCAGCCGCAGTACTTCAGCCTCGGAGAGGAGGGAGCCCTGCGACACCGACTGCGCAGGAGTGGAGTACCGTGATACTCGTACAAGCGAGCGGAAGAGAGATGGGGGAGGAGCTGCATGTGATATACATCGCAACACTTGAAAAGAAACGCTTTTTCATCCACATTAGCTACAGCCATCACACTCCCTCTAGTCCAGCGAGATCATCTTGATGTCAAACACCAGTGTTGAGTTCGCCGGGATGCCAGCCTGAGCCTTGCTGCCATACGCCAAATGAGCCGGGATCGTGATTCTGCGCTCACCGCCGACGGCCATGCCGGCGACACCAATGTCCCAGCCCTTGATGACTTCGCCGGCGCCGAGCTTGAAGGTGAAGGGCTTGCCTTTCTTGTTGGCTGGTGGGATGTATTAGTTTTTGTGTCTCTGCAAGTTCTACGCTGGAGTTATGGTGAGGGGGGCGGCTTACCGTCAAAGACCTTCCCGTCCTTCTCCAGCTTGCCAATGTACCGCATGCCAATTTTGTTGCCCTTCTTGGCTGCGGGCCCGGCACCTAACTTCTTATCCTCGATCTTGACGCCCTGGACAATCTTCATGCCTGTTGTTGCGACGGGCTTCTCATCCTTTGTTTCAGCCTTCTTGTCGGCCTTCTTATCGGCCTTGGGGTCGACTTTGGGTGAGCCGGTCGGGCCTTGCTCAAGATTCTTGGCGAATTGGACCTTCTTATCTGCCTTGCCGTTCACAGCGCCCTTCTCTGCGTCTTTCTTGGCCTTCTCGTCCGCTGGCACGGGAACGGTAGCGGCAGGAGCGGCGGCCTGGCCGTCATTCTTCTTGAGCTTCTTGAGCTGCTTCTTGCTTAGCTTCTGCTCGCCGTTCGTGGCGGCGGCGGCATCGGCTGGCTTGAGCGACTTGCTGATCAGATCGTCGAGGCCGACATCTTCCTCGGACTCGTCGGCTGGACGCTTGTTCTTGCCCTTCTTGTCTTTCTTGGCTTCGATCAGCTTGGGGGGTTCTTCCTCGTCGGTGTCGACTTCCATGATTCGGGGATCCTCGAGGCCGTCAAGCTCGTCATCTTCTTCCTCTTCGTCGCCATACTCGAGCTCGTCTTCATCGGGTGAGAGATCGTAATCTTCCTCGTCTTCGTTGTCGTCATCCTCTTCATTGGGTGGGACAACGTAGTTGCCGGTCAGGTAGATGCTGTGCGTTCCAGTGACGTGGAAGTAGACCTCTTCGTGTTCGCGGATAGTGATGTCCAGGGGCTGCTGGTAGTGCTAGAGTAATGGTTTAGTAGTTGTACAATCATCAGTCATGAAATCCCACGTACCCTCTCCGGGTCCAGAGTGCACAAGACAAACTCTTGCACCTCCTCTCCATCCTCGTCTTCATCGTCATCATCCTCCTCATCCTCGTCTGTAGCCTTGGCCTTGCCCTTGTTGACAGTCTTTCCATTGACACCGTTCGGCGCGTCGTCCATCTCTTGGTCATCCTTCATTGAGTCGATGAGTTGCTGGACAGCGGCTTCCTTTCGGGCCTTCTTGGTCTTGGCGGGATCACTTGGGCCACCGTTCTTTTCCTCATCATCTTCATCGTCTTCATCCTCGTCGTCCTCGTCGTCGGACAGAGCACCTCCAAGACGCTGCCTGATGGCCTCAACGTCGTCCTCGTCGTAGTCCTCGTCGCCATCGTCATCGTCATCGCCATCAGGCGTGCGGATAATCTTGAGGGTAGCGCGCGGGTGCGCGACGTCTGTGGCTGCGTCGAGGTCTGGCTCGGCGCTGGGATCCAGGGCGGCCATGGTGATGCGGATCTGTGAGGATTAGCGAGGGTTCGGCTGGGGGCGGAAGCGCCATAACCGCAACTGTAATGACACGCTTGAGCACATGAGACTGGGTGATTGTTACTTACAGTTCCCGGCCATTCGACCTGCGCAGGCATGGTTATGCCGGCGGGCACTTGGAGAGCGTAGACGCCCATGGGAAGAAGGCTTGCCATCGTGTTGGCCAAGTGCGGATGCAGTGTGCTGTGTATGATGTAGAATGAAGCTGCAATGCCTTGATATAACGCCGAGCTCCAAAGATGCTTGAGGAGGAGGAAGATCGTGAGGCCGGACGAAGCTTGCGGGACCCTCTTGTATACCTACCTTAGCTCTGCTCGAACTTTTTTCCACCTTTTTCCGTCCCGACCGCGCCAAGATTTCGAACAGCCAGCACGGCCAGCCACCAGCCATGACGCCCCGCCAAAGCGCGACCGCGACCCACTCTACACGTCCGCGCCTTAATGGAACTATCCTCATACCACTCTCGAGCTGCTGCAGCAATACCGGGTATATCGCACCCCATCGCCACTACGCCCAAGTCATAGACATTCATAGACATTCATAGACATGTATACTTGCCCAGTCCATCACCATGGGCTCACGACTCGAGAGCAACTCCAACGCCGTGCGCAAGCGCATCGAGAGCCGTAAGCTTCCCAGACACAGAGACCCCAGGGGCCCTGCTAACGCAGTCCAGATACATTCGACGATGAGGAGGGCGAAGAATACAAAGGCTCCAGCTTCGGCGGCTTCTCAGACTACTTCCGGCGCAAGAAGATCAAGCTACAAAACCTCGACCATGAGATCCGCTCCTCATCCTCAACCGGCCCGCCCATCTTTCGCGGCGTCGTTGCCCATGTCAACGGCTATACGCAGCCCTCGCTGAACGACCTGCACAAGCTCATAGTATCGCATGGCGGAGGTTTCATGCAGTACCTTGATGGCAAGACCGCCGTTACACATATCATCGCGAGCAACCTCACGCCAAAGAAGGCGGTGGAGTTTAAAAGATACCGGATCGTCAAACCAGCGTGGGTGGTCGAGAGCGTCAAGGCGGGCAGGTTGCTACCCTGGGATGCGTTCCGCGTGCTGGATGAAGGCGCGGGCCAAAAGGTTCTTGGCTTCGACAATGGCAAGGTCGTCAGTCAGGCAAGCTCTCAGTCGCGAGGATACAAGGAACAGACGGATGGAAGCTGGTATACGAAGCAGCTGCAGGAAGGAGCCAGCGCGCCGCCGAGCTCGCAGCGTCCCGCTTTCCTGTCACAGGCTCCACCTACGCCTGATGATGACGATGAGATTCAAGACCTTCCCCCTTCTCGCCGGCAGGACTATGGGTTCCTGGAGGGAGAGGAGGCAGAGAGTGATGAACTCGCGGAGATCTTCGCAGAAGCACAGGACCAGACGCACCTTGAGTCACCTCCAGATACCAGTCCAGTGGTGAAGGCCGTTGAGAGACCAGACACGGAGGATCGGCAGACAGAAGAACAGCCGGCCGAGCAACTTCCCAGACCCGACCTGAAGAGGAAATCGGCAGACAACCGGTCCGAATCACCTTTCAAGCGTCAGCTCACTGCAGAGGAGCACAACGCCATCCTGCTCTCCGACCCCCACATCCGGAAGTCATCCGTTGTAAACCCCGACTTCCTCGAGCAGTACTACCGCGAATCCCGGCTGCACCACCTATCGACATGGAAGGCAGATCTGAAGGCCCAGCTGCAAGTCCTCGCAGCCTCAACCACCGCATCGCAGAAGCAGCGCCAGAAGCCCCCTCCCGGCGCCCGCAGATACATCCTCCATGTCGACTTCGACAGCTTCTTCGCCGCCGTCTCGCTCAAGAAGCACCCCCAGTACAAGGATAAGCCAGCCGTCGTCGCGCATGGTGGCGGCACAGGCTCCGAAATCGCGAGCTGCAACTATCCCGCCCGCGCATTCGGTGTCAAGAACGGCATGTGGATGAAGCGCGCGCTGGATATGTGTCCCGAGCTCAAGATCCTGCCGTACGATTTCCCGGCCTACGAGGAGGCGAGTCGCGCGTTCTATGACGCCATCCTGGCCCTCGGCGGCGTTGTGCAGAGTGTCAGCGTTGACGAGGCGCTCATCGATATCACGACGCTGTGTCTGCCTGCCGGCGGCACGAACGGCGTCAAGCGCAGCGAAGGCAGCCAGTACCGCGAGCAAGCCAAAGCTGATGAGATCGCGCAGCGGCTAAGAGAAGACATCAAGCGTCGTACTGACTGTGATGTCTCCGTCGGTATTGGTGGTAACATCCTACTGGCGCGAGTTGCGCTCAGAAAGGCGAAGCCCGCGGGCCAGTACCAGATCAAGCCTGAGGAGGTCCTGGACTTCATCGGCGGACTCGAGGTTCAGAACTTGCCGGGCGTGGCGCACAGCATCGGCGGCAAGCTGGAAGAGCTCGGCATCAAGCTCGTCAAAGACATCCGCGAGTTCTCGCGGGAAAAATTAGTCTCTACTTTGGGTCCCAAGACCGGCGAGAAGATATGGGAACACGCTCGTGGTATCGACCGAGCCGAAGTCGGCGACCAGATCGTCCGCAAGTCTGTCTCGGCGGAGGTCAACTGGGGCGTGCGGTTCGAGAATCAGGCTCAGACTGACGAGTTCGTCGAGAGTCTCTGCGGCGAGCTTAGCAAACGCCTTGTCAAGGAGGGAGTCAAAGGCCGGCAGCTCACCATGAAGCTGATGCGGCGCGCACCTGATGCACCGCTTGACCCGCCAAAGCATCTCGGACATGGCAAATGTGATACTTACAACAAGAGCGTCGTCTTGGGAGTCGCGACGAACGCCAAGGATGTTCTGACTAGAGAAACGCTGTCCATACTCAAGGGTTTCGGGTTCTCGCCAGGCGAATTGCGAGGCATAGGCGTACAAATGACGAAGCTCGAGCCGCTCAAAGGGACAGCCGACGGCCAACTCGAGAGCAGCCAGAGGCGGCTACAGTTCAAGGCCAACGAGAGAGCTAAGCCTAACGCGAGAGGGCCGGAAGATCCCATCACAGACGACATCGAGACGCCTAAGAAGCCCAAGGCGCCACCCGACCAGGTCGTCTTCGGAGCCGAGCAGCTCAACCACCCCAGTCCCAGTCGCAAGCCCCTGAACACGCTTGGAACGCAGTTCATCCTCCCCACGCAAGTCGATCCCAAAGTTCTCGCCGAGCTCCCCGAGGACATCAGGACGAAGCTCGCCAAGCACGTCAGCTCTCTCCAGCAGCAAGTGCCTCCGTCTTCTCCCTCCAAAGCCCGTACTAAATCCCTCGCCTCGACCCTCCTCCCAAACCAATCCCAACTCGACCCCTCCATCCTTGCCGCCCTCCCCCCAAGCGTCCGCGCCGAGATCCTAGCCTTCTACGCGCACGCCCCCAGCTCCTCCCCAAAGCGGCCCCGCACAGCCGACCAATCCATCCTCCCGCAGTCTCCGCGAAAAGTTCGCACAGTCCACATACAGGCCTCCAAGAAAATCGCCCCTCCAGCTTTGAAGCGCGGCCGCGGCCGCCCGCCACGAGCTCTCGAGAACAAGAACCGAGACGGCTCAAACAGCACGCTTACGCAGAGTAACTTTCTCCCTGCACAGCGCTTGACGCGGCAGCTGAGCCATGAAGATGCTACCACGCCTGGGACGACTGATACCGAGGGCGAGGCTGATACCACCGCCACGGTCGCTCGAGAGGAAGAGGTGTCGGCGGAGTTTCTCGCTGCGCTGCCGGAGGATATTCGACGGGAGGTTCTCGATGAGCAACGGCGCGCGAGGCTGAAGCGGAAGGCTGGGTTGGATCTCGGTGCCGCGCCGGCGAGGAAGAGAGCAAGGCCTGTCTCAGCTGGTGCAGGTGCTGCGGCTCCGGTGCAAGCGCAAGGGATGCTATCGGACGCGCAGGCCATGGAGCCGGGGGCTCAACGAGTCCTGAGGTTGGAGCCTCGGCCGCCGCGGCCGCGCTTCACGACGAAGAAGCTGTGGAGGCTTGAGGACTTGAGACAGGCTATCAGGCAGTGGTACGATGCGTTTGGGGCTGAGGGCCCGTATGAGGAGGATGTGGATTCCCTGGTCGTGTACTTGGGAAAGGTGGTGGGTGAGGAGAGGGATCTGGCAAAGGCGGTTGCGGTCGTGAGGTGGATGGCTTGGGTGCTTGATGAAGGGGGTGGAAGTCCTATGGATGGGAACGGTGACGGGTTTAGGGACGTTGGGGCGCAAGTGCAGAGTCCGGGATGGGCAAAGGCGCTGGAGAGGATCAAGCAGGGCGTACAGGAGGCTGTTAAGGCTAGGGGGCTGGGTAAGGCCGACTTGTGATCTGGCGCATAGTGTGTCGATCAGCGTTGTGTTGGCCGGTGTTTCGGTCTTGAAAGTGCATCATATGACGTACGAAGCCTGAATCATTGCTCTGATGATTGGACCAGCTAGTAGCTACCGAGGGTCATGTCCGGTTACATTGCCTGCTATGTGTTTTTGACAGCGCGGCTTAGCTCTTTACTGTGACAATGCTTGAGCTTTACTCTGGTGTTAGCGCTAGCTTGTACGTGGCATGTAGAACAGGCCCCCATCCTCAACTCTTCCTCACAAGCTGTTGTGACAGTGTCTCTTTCAATGGGCAGCAATACAAGCTGCCAGCCACTCATTCTAGATGAGTTGCCTCGGCAGGTGAAGGAACAGAAGAGGTTATATAGGCGCGCAGGAGCTGCCGGCTTCAGCGTGCTGTGACGACTGGTGTTCTGGTGTCCTAGACTGGGTATGCTGCTGCCGGTTGCTTTCCGCATCCAAAGCGTCGGGTCCTGAAGCATCGGGCCCCGCCTGCTTGCAGCTGTCACAAAGTACGGTTACTTCCATCAGTATGGCTTGGTCGAGTGCTGCTTCTTGGATGGAGGTAATAGGGTAACGATCGAGGGGGCCGCGCTCGGCGGTCTGAGCGAGTGGGTTGTTCCTCCTTCCAAGGCTTGAATCCTCCGAGATATCATCCGGCGCTATGCGGGGAGACGGAGCAAAAATTAGCACCGAACTTGATACCGGAGACCCCTTGCGACGTTTTGCTTACCTTGCTCCACTGCCACTATCTTGGAGTATGAGAGGATGGTTCGGGTGCTGTAACGGTGAGTGTGTCAGTCCAAGTTGCGAGGAATTGTGCCACTTGCTGGCTGACTCTTCCCTACCTCGCTCAACCGCCACAACCTCCGAGAATGTCAGAGCTGACTGTAAGTCCTGCGCCTGTTGCTCTCGCTCCGGTCGTCGTCTCTTACGCCGTGATTTACCCGGGTTGCTCTTCTTACGCTTAGGTTCCGTAGTTGCGTCCCGGTAGATGCCCTGGCTCTGGTCGGAATGATCTGACGCAGCCGACATAGTAGAGCTGCGACGTAGTAGGGATAGGTACAGAATGACTGTTTGAGTATGCTGCGGCGTTGCAGGCGTCCTGAGACGTAAAGTTGATGTAGAGGAAAAGGCATGGGACGAGTTAAATCGTGCAAGCCATGTGCTATACCTGACGTCACAGTTCTTCAACGAGAATAGAATCACTTCCTCAATGAAGAGGTGCCTTAGCCCATTCACGACCTGTTCCTGACAGGTAACCAAAGTCGCCTGTAGAAAAGAGGTATAGAAGTCGGAGCAGAAGAGGGGTACAAAAATCTTAATCTGGGCGTGGAGTTATGTGGTCGGCGGCAAAGTCCGATCCGTGCCGACAGCCCGCAGGCTTCAACAGAGCCGACACAGTGCAAGGCCATGATCGTGGACCCATATGTATGCATTGGAGGTAGACTGACATCTGCAGAGCGAGCAACCACGACTGGGACACCGTGGTTTGCCGGCAGAGGAGTAAAGACTTCGATCGGAGGTGTTAATAACGGATAAAGATATACAGTGAAATCTAGGCCTTCCTCCTTCCAAAGACTCTGAATCTTTTCACACCCCCGTCAGGTATAATCACCAACTTCAAGTGCGAGTAGGTAGCCCCACGCACATCCTGCAGCACGTCCTGATTGTAGAAGTGTTCCTTATCGGGGCCCGCTTTCTGCGGCGGTAGTACTTCAACCCAGCCCGCGTCATCTGCTCCCGGGTCTCTCTCAGCGGATATTGCGAAGACCTGGACTTGCTGCGGATAGTTCCCCCGAAAGTGAGCTGTATCAATGACAACGCTCTCCACCTCGCCGGGACACCCCAGCTTGATGATCGCCCAGTCCACATGCGGTCCCCTCGTCCGCTTCGTCTCCCATCCATCGCCCATATCCACTCCTCTTCCGGGCAGGAGCAAGTTGTCCTTGGTCCCGAAATGTTGGTCGGAGCAACTGATCGCCACGCCCCCATTTACTGTCGCTGCAAGGTCGAAGACCTCATCCACCGCCTCCGGAAACACCGGCACCGCCTGCCCATACAGTCTGAACCGTGCAATGCCCCCGTCGGGAAACATCAACAACCGGACATGTGTATAAGCCTTCTCCATCATCTTGTCCAGTACCCAGGCCTGCCGCTGACTAGGCCCGCACTCCTGCCTCTCTAGTATCGTCTCCCATCCCTTGAACCCCTTCCCCTTGACCTCATCATCGTTGCTACTGAAACAACCCTCCACTGCAATCTCCGGCGCATGGTTCCCGCTGAAAAACGCCGTGTCGATCTCCACACCCTTCACCTTCCCACTCGCAACGCCCAGCCGAAGGACGACCCAGTCGAACTCCTCTGGGTTATGTCTCCTTGTTTCCCAGCCATCATACCACGCGCCGGCGTGGGTGAAGACGCCCGGTTTGCGGACCGGAGGGGTAGGTGTAGTGAGATTATCGGCGGCAGCGAACCATTCATCCGAGAAGGAGAGGATACGGGAGCCGAGCGGCTTCGAGATGAGATCTATACTGTTGGAGCGGAAGGCTGCATCGATATCGGCGGCGGCGAGAGGAGTGACGGCGCTGGTGGCTGTTTCGGCGACACTTTCTTTAGAAAAAGATTGGACTTCCATCTTGTGACTCGGGAGTACTGAGTAGAGAGATCTCTCAGGCAATTGATGCGTGGAGATGTTTGTGGGATGGCCGACGTTATTGTGATGATTTGGTCAAGAGATGCTGCTATCGATAAAGCGGGGTTCGGAGATGGCCGAATATGGACAAAATGGAAAACGCAATGCTCAAGCGCGGATCAGCGACTGGGAAGAGGTTTGAAGAGACTTTGATATGGACCTGCTTCGAGAGAGTGCCCTGACCTTCGATCGGCGCTCAATATAGTGCCCACTAAGATGCCTAATACTCTCCAACGTCTTATCACACACGGCTAGGTAATTTCAACGTAGATAAAACCATGCATATATACGTCGACCGGTGACCGATAGATATAATCAGCTGTATCCGTTGTCCCAGCGTGGTTCGCCATAAGAGCTCCCACCACTCTTGTTGCCGCTGGTGTCTAGCTTTGCCAAAAACTCAGGTGGCACGGTAGGCAAGTACTTTCTTTCTCGCTCTCGATCCGTTCCGCCAAACCCAGCACCGTAGCTGATCAGCATGTCGGTCGAAGTAGGAAGAGAGAACGGAAGCATGAGCGCTGGGTCCAGCAGGAGATGCTCAGGGGCATCTTCATCGTCGTCTGCATGCTCTGCCTGCTGTGGGGTGGTAGGCGATGAAGCACTCGGCTGCTGCTGGCCGTGCTTTCGTGTTGGTGTGGAAGGAGGCGCATCTTTTGACGGTGGCACTGGCGAAGGAGTTGCTGCTCGCCTCCGCTCAGATCTACGATCAGCCGCCTCCTTCTGCAACTTCTGAAGATATCTCATCGCGGTCTTCGGCAGACTTCTTTCGCCAACCTCCGGCCTGTAGTAGTTCACGGCATGGATCAGCTGCTGCGGTGTCAGCCGTGGTAGCTGCTGCAATGTGCCAACTAGTGACTCGATGTCGTCGCCCAATGAGGAGAAACATTGTAGCCACTGGAGTAACTGTACGACAGGCGCAAGATGGCGCCGCGCCGCATCCATTGTTGTCTCTCCTGTAGAGGTCATTGAGCCGTTCTCGTAATGCTCTGGCTGCCGATTGTTGGTCCGCGCCCAATCTTCGAGGGCCGAGATATTCATCCGTATTTGCATGGCCTTTGTACGCGCTAGATACTTCCTATTGGACATGATGCGGTTGAACAGTTCCGCATTTAGCCAGTATATCAGCTGCGAAAGGACTTGCGATGTAATTACAGAGTGGACATCATAGAGATCCAGCACGAACAGTGTGGATGAGAGAAGGGATGTAATGTTGCGCGGAGATACTTGAGCTCTTCGTTTCGGTGATGGCGGTCGCCAGCGCTTCTCCATGGGTTCGGGTGCCCTGACCTTGGCTTTTGTCCTGAAAATCTTCCATTCGTGCTGGAATTGGACATCTTCAAACCCAGGTATGGTCTCGTGGTCTAACATGGCGGCGTCCAACACCTTATCCATCCTCCGCTCGGCATCTCTTATTATCAAGATAAAGATCTCGTTGATCAGCTCAGCCATCTGAAGCTGGAATTCTGTGGTTGCGCCAACAAGCCCTCCGTCCTTCTTGAGGTAGTGCAGAAGTAAGGTTGCGTTCGACATCCAGAAAGCCAGGATTGTCATGTCCCATTGGTGTCGTTCTACAACATCGTTGATCTTCTCCACAGCTGAAGTCAGAAGCTTTTCCAAAAGTTCTGGGCTGGAATGGTAATGCGCGTAGCGAGCGCCGAGAAACAGGATGTTCGCTGGAACAGGTTTCTGCGAAGGAGATCTCTGAGGTGTCATGTTGGTGATGATGATATCCAGTATGCGGTCCAGCTCGTTCTCTTGAAAAACGAACATCTGGTCATTCAGACATTTATCCCAGACAAACTCTTGTCCTTCTTCTAGTTCCCCTGGAGACTACGATAGTCAGCCGCTGAATCTAAAACAAGACATCTTGCCTACCTCAGGTTGTTCGTCGAGGCCCAAATTTCCCAAGTCGACTTCTAGGTTGATGGCGCTCTCCATCATCATCCGCCGTTTCATCTCATTCTCCGCCATTTCTTCCTCAAATCGATCTTGAGAGAAGCCGGAGTTGTAGAAATCATCTGCAACTCCCGCGTTTCCAATGCCATATCCGCTTTCGTAAAGGTAATCCGATATCTCGCTATTCGGTGCAACAAAATCGAATGCTTTCCTCCCTGATGAGGACTTGACCTCTGGCGATGCTCCGTGATCGAGCAGCAGCTTCGCGATCCCCTTGTGCCGGTTCGTCATTGCCCACATTAATGGACTCCATTTGTTGCGGTCTTGTTTGTCGACTTCTGCACCGGCGTGCAGCAGAGCCGCAACCACGTCTTCATGACCAAAGCAACTGGCATAGATCAATGGCGGCGTTCCTTCTGCATCGGCTTTATTCACATCTACGAAACTTTGGCCACTACCGTTGACAAGTCTTCTGACCCTTTCAACGTCGCCATTGCTCGCAGCAGTCGCAAGCCACCCTTGCAGTGTATCCCTCTTCTCGGCATCCGACAGTTTATCGCTGGTTGCTACAGATTCTTCGCCGCCTGCACCTGTGTCATCTTCCCTCAACCTGGCTTGGGACGCGAGCATCTGGACGAGTCGGCTGTCACTGTCCTCGAGGGTGCGTGGATCATCTCCGTAGTTGGCTTCGTCAAGTGAAAGGTTGAAGGTGAGAGGCTGAGCCGGGACAGGGTTAGTGAGAAATTGGGACTGTCCTGATGCAAGTCGGTCAGTAGGAAGCCTGTGTCTGCTTGGTACACGCTGAACCTACCAGCCCACGCATCGTAGTACTCCGTCTCTTCGCCTAGGCCGCTGACTGGCGCCCTACGGTCATCTAGCGACGTGGGTAGATCACTAGGCAGTTGACGGGGCTTTTGGAGCTTAGGGGGCAAGCTGACCCCTTCGTCGTCGTGCTCCATGTTGCTCAAGCTGCATCTCTAGACTTTGATCTGTGTGGCTCGGGTGGGTGTTTCATGCGCCAGTCCTTTGGTGCGGACGAGTATGCTCAACGCAATGGTGCTGACGAGACTGTGTTCCAGATTGTGAACCAATATTAAACTCAGGTGCCGACGCTGTCATTTCGTGACCGTGGGGAAGGTGTGGTTGGAAGCATTGAATGTTGAGTCGGAATGCTTCGCAAGGCAGGAAGTTCTCAGCAGCGCGCGCCCTCTCCTCCATGCCAAGCATCACCGTCACCGGCGAGCTCGCAGACCGGCACAACCCCACGCCGGACGTTCTAAGACGGACACATTGCACAACAAAGTTCCTCTTAGATCCAGCAACTGAGCCATTAGCTAGTTAGCCTAAACCGGTAGGCGTATCGACTAGTAATGGTAAAGCACCCCGCTTTGGTCGATCCGGTTTACCGGACTTCTCTCCATGATGATGTACTTCACACTCCCTTCCTATCAAAGTCCCAGTCACATACTTTAAGCTTCTTTTACAGCAACCATCTCTTTGCTTAAGGCACAGCAGTCTAAGAGCCGGCGCACTGTAGGCTGCTCTTAATACTTAACGAGTCTTTCCATCATCTTTTATTGTTAACTTTCACTTACGATTCGTTATATGCATCTTTGCAATACACTAAATTCAATCATTCCTTTCCCGAACCACTCCCCTTGAAGCACTTCTTTCGAGAAGACGAGTAGGCGTAAGCCAAGCCCTGGGGAATCATCACAAGAATGAGCAACGAACCAGAGAAACCCCAAGAAGACCTTACCACGGTCCCTGCCGTCGGACCAGAAACCGCCGAAGTACCGCAACAAGCCATTGAAGGCCTCGAACCACCCCCTGATGGTGGTTACGGCTGGGTCTGCGTGCTCAGTGTCTTCATCATCAACGGCTTCTCATGGGGCGTGCTTGCCGTATGAGCCCTGACCCCTTATTTGGTACTGCGCTAAGAGCTCACACAAGTCGTACGGCGTCTGTCTGGCCTACTATCTTGAAACAGACCTCTTCCCTGGTGCAACTTCCCTCGACTACGCCTTCATTGGTGGCCTCAACTTCGGCTGCGCAATGCTCGTAGCAACGCCTGTTACAAGCTTAACCCGCATCTTGGGCACACATATCCCCATGTACATCGGCGTATGTCTCCAGACCGGGGGATTCATTGCAGCGTCCTTCTCAAGCCGGATCTGGCATCTGTACCTCACTCAGGGTGCGCTTGTTGGCGTCGGCGTCGGCTTTATCTACATTCCCTCCATAGCCGTTACATCTCAGTGGTTCGACAAGAAGCGCAGTGTCGCAAATGGTATCAACAGCGCCGGCTCCGGCATCGGCGGCCTTATCTTCTCGTTCGCAACACGAGCCATCATCGACAATATCTCTCTGGGCTGGGCGCTTCGCATCACCGGCCTGGTCAGCGGTATTATGAACGCCATCGCCACATCCCTCATCCGCAACAGAAACGCCATAATCAAGCCGCCAATGCGCGGCTTTGACGTCAAGCTCCTCCGCCGACCCACCGTCCTGCTCCTCCTGACCTGGGGCTTTGTCAGCATGCTCGGCTACATGACTCTGCTCTACTCCTTGCCCGACTTCGCGCGCTCGATCGGCCTGTCGCCATCACAAGCGGCCTCAACAGCCGCATATCTGAATCTCGGCACCGCGCTCGGCCGCCCACTAATTGGGTTCCTGAGTGACCGCTTCGGCCGCATCCGTGTTGCCGGCCTTGCTACAGCCGTCAGCGGCATCTCCGTCTTTACGCTTTGGCTACCGGCAGAATCGTATGGCCTCACTGTGTTCTACTCCCTTCTCAACGGTGCTGTGCTGGGCGTATTCTGGATGGTACATCTCTCTCCTCTCACTCGTGTCCCATATTATTTGCCGAACACAAGGGTCTTACTTACGTGAAATCTTGAGGGAGACAGACCATCAGCCCTCTATGCGTCGAGGTCGCTGGACTTGCCGAGCTTCCCTCCCTGTTAGCCATCACTTGGGGCGTTGTCATCCTCCCCGTTACTTGTAAGACTTCCACTGCTAAGCAACACCGCCTTGGTGCAAGAACGCTGATGGAATATACAGTTTCCGAAGTCGTCGCGCTGAAGCTTCGCCGTCCTAGCTTCGGGCGGTGGGAATACCTCTACCCGCAGATCTTCGCCGGGACGGCCTACCTTGTCGCCGCGGCGGTCCTGTTCGTGCTTGGGCGGATGCAGCGGCGGGTGAAGACGCCGCCGCCATGACGTTGCTGTCGTTCCCTTAATGCACCTTGTCTTGTCGTCGTTATTGGAGGCCACGAAAGGTGGGGACAACGTCACGGCCAGCAACCAGCGCCTATCGAGGGACGAACAAGGGACTAGCGCCTGCCTTCAGTCCCGTGAAAGCCCTTGCTCTGAGGTAGTGCAATATTGTGATAGCAGATTCGCCCTGCTCCTCTGCCCGCTGTTGACCTCCGGGGTGCGGTGCGACGCTGCGGTCAAAGCATATCGAGATCGGAGGTATATTGCGCTTTGGCATACCCATCCCCGTCCGTCGCGTTTCTTGACACCGTATCGACGAAACAGCATGTCTGATTTAGGTATCCATTTGCCTCTAGCATGACGATGGTGCGGGTTTGAGTATGATCGAACAGGTCATTTGCATCATAGCTGTAATCCACCCCGGGCATAAAGACGATATTGACTAGTTTGTAGACCAGTTAATACAGTATCTCGAGAAATCTTGACCGTAACCTGATGTGGCCGATGCTGTTTGTGATAGGGTGCGCTGTAGTAGATAGCAGTGGTGGTATCGGTACCGCGGCAGAGCATGCCGCTGGATGTCACGTGCTAAGAAGTCTTACCTTGTTATCCAGTATACTAGATATAGATTCAGTGGTGTTGCAGAAGGTCATCCAGCTGCCTCCATATCCCATTATTTCAAACGCCACGCCGCCCTCAGGATCCTTCATGGTAGAATCCATAGCACTGGAACGCGCGCCGTTTCCAAAGGGTTGTCCCGGAACGGAACAACAGCTCTCTCCTAATTCCCCTACGCTACCTACGCTCCTATCTTTCCAGTTGCTAAAAAGATGAGCCGGCCGCTACGGCACTCAATGCAGGAGGATGATATTCACCCACCCGGCTGACAAAACGATGCGGGCTTCAAGGTTACGAACCTATCAAAACCATGCTTTGCAATTGAACAATCAAAGCGTTCAAAATTGGCACCAGATCGATGGCCTTAGCACTGAGGCATAGAAGGTAAGAAAAGTGGCCTTTACCTGGCTGCTTCACTGCTCAAGAAAGGTACTTTTTATTCACTTAAGATCCTCCGTATACGAGTATTCTCCCCCGCTCAAAGACCGCTTGGCTCTGCATGCTAGGTATGCTGTGGCCCCCAAAATTTCCACATACATCCGACGCCTCAGCACGAAAAATGACTCTGGAGCGGGGTTCCAGCCAGGAATCATACTTAGAGCGTCTGCTCGCCCTTTTGCTGGCGTGAGAACGGTTGTATAGAAGTATTCTCCATGGTTGTGACGAGATGCTTGTCCACCTAATTTTCATTCTGCCTTTGCTTGGAATCTCGTCTAGTCTCCCAGCCGTGCACCATGCACGTGTTGTCGGGCGAGACACGGCGCTAAATTCGTCTTACGACTTTGTGATCATTGGCGGCGGGGCAAGTGGACTGACCGTTGCGGATCGTCTTACTGAGAATCCAGAGAGTCAGTTCGACTCTAGATATCTTCGGAAAGGCAGTCCCGCTGACGCATTGTGTTAGCCTCAGTCCTTGTAATAGAATACGGTCCTCTCGACAAGCGGGAACCTTCAGTCCTTGTTCCTGGCCTTTTAGATCTTCCGTCCTCTCCCTACTTTTTCAATCTCACAAGTGTTCCTCAGCGTGAATTGAACAATGGCAGCTTTCAAGTTCCTGCTGCAGCCGTAGTTGGCGGAGGAACGGTGGTCAATGGATTGTTCTTTGACAGAGGTTCGGCTGAGGATTATGACGCTTGGGCGGAGATGGGAAGTCCGGGATGGGGCTGGGACAACCTCTTGCCATACTTTCAGAAGGCGTGTGCCCATATCAAACTCTAACACAGCCTACTAGAGAGAGTTTCTGCTGACACCTGGCAGAGCGAGAACTTTACTCCAGCGGCTAAAGATTTCGCCGAAGAGTTCGATATATCATGGGACTTGTCCGTGCATGGCTTTGATGGACCAGTTCAATCGAGTTACCCTGTGTTTCAATTTCCGTCCATTAGTATGTTTTTGCCCCCAGCAACCATTATCAGACACCAGGCTGATCTATATCATGTGGGCAGAGTATTACTTTCGCGGCTGGAATAGTCTCGATGTGACAACACCAGAGGACCCTGGAGCAGGCAACAAAAGCGGAGTATTCTGGGCTCCAAGCTCCCTTGATCCAGTGAATAGAACGAGATCATACGCCCGAACAGCACACTATGACCGCATCGTAGGATCACGACTAAACTACCATCTACTCACTGACAATGCTGTTCAGAGAATACTCTTCCGTGGTCGAAGAGCAATTGGCGCACAGTTCATAGATCGCAACTCCATGCAGATTCGCACAGTCAAGGCCAAAAGGGAAGTCATCTTGGCGGCAGGAGCTGTTCACTCGCCCCAGATCCTCCAGCTCTCGGGCGTCGGACCTAAAGGCGTGATGCAGGATCTCGGCATCCAACCTCAAGTACACCTCCCCGGCGTTGGCCAGAACTTTCAGGATCATCCAACAATATATCCTGTATTCAATTGTACGTTCTATTCCAGTTTCTGCTTGCAACTTGAGGGCACCGCAAGCTGCTTAATCAGATAGTCACATATCTAGCCACGTCCGGCCGCTGCTGACAATGTTGCCTTCCCTAGTCCAATCTCAGCCCACACCGAACTTAGGAATGCTGTCATCCAACCAGACTTACGCAGCCGAGCAGCTTGCGCTTTACTGGGCGGAGCGCCAGGGACCGTACACCATTGTTAACCAGGGCGGGAATACCGTGACATTCCTCCCCTTGCCGCAAATCACCTCCGACTACCAGTCTATCATTGACCTTGCCAATTCCCGATCGGTGTCGTCTCTCTACCCTGGTGATTACGACAGCTCGGTGCTCGCTGGCTACGAGGCACAGCGCTTAACGATCCTCCGTCTGTACACCTCGACGCTGACCTCTGTGCAAGAAACCGGCTGGAATGGTGGCGCTGTCATGCCGATTACCCTCGTCAAGCCTCTCTCCCGCGGATCAATCATGATCAACTCGACGGACGTGCTAACCCCGCCGGTCATTGACTTCGGCGCTTTGACTGATCCAACTGATCTGGAAGTTCTCATCGCTGCTCTGCGGGTCAACCGTGCGTTCATTGCATCGTCGGCCATGCAGGAACTCGATCCGGTAGAGTTGAGTCCTGGCGCCAATTTAACGACCGATCAAGAACTCCGGGAAGCACTGAGAGGACTGATACAGCCAACCTATTCGCATCCTTGCTGTACATGTGCAATGATGCCGAGGGGGTTGGGAGGAGTGGTCGGTCCAGGTTTGACAGTCTATGGAGTGAAAGGCCTGAGTGTTGTGGATGCTAGTATTATGCCTTTAATTCCGGCTGCGCATACAATGGCAACTGTATATGCCGTGGCAGAGAAAGTAAGTCGCTCTACTCATTCCTCTTTTGGAGCTTTCGGACAGCGTGATAACGTGAGAGATTCGCCAGGCTGCCGATCTGATCAAGAGCAGACACGGTATTAGATAAACACGCGATATCTCAAGTTCGAAGTAGCAAGATGTTGTAGTCTAAGGTACGTCGCGCCGCTTTGTGGCGAGGAATCTCTCATTCAACGGCCTCAGATGCCTCGAGGCCTAGTAGCCTAGAAGCCCTGGTAACCATCGGGTCTGCTTGCTACCCACCAGAACGTGGCGCTGTACAAGAGCATCGTTTTCAAAGCGCGCACTTCGAGGATATACGTTCGTAGTGTTGACACACTGTTACCCTGGAGAAGTTCAGCTATAAAGACCACAGAACATAGGCAGATTTGCAGTGTATAAGTAGAAAGACGTATATGTCTTCTCGTTCGCAGACGAGTCCTCGCGGACGATATCTACAGGAAATAATTTCCACAGATTCTGGAGCAGTATAGATGTGCACTACAAAAAGCTAAAAGAGATAGTCGTGAATGAATGTCTAAGCAAGACAGCCCCTCGCCAACGGACGCAAACACAAGGAAATCTGTACAAATGGACAACACGCAAAAACCAGCGGCTAATATGCCATGCCCCTATAGCCACCCGGCGCAGGACCCACATCCGGCAACCTCGGCGCGCGCATCGAAGCAGGCGGACTCAAGCTCCTGTCATGGGAGTCAAATCTGCTCGCAGCATCCATGCTAGCCGCGTCGCCAAGCAGCCCCGTACGCGATTCACTCGTGTCGTATCGGGTGTGAACGGGGCGCTCCGTAAGCGGGACGGGGTCGTAGCCCCGGTTGCTTGGGCTGAGAGGATTTGCAGCAGAGATAACGGAGTGTCTGACGCTGGTGCGGGCGCCCTTGTATTCGGATGGGTCCATGAGGAGAGAGTTGCGGGCGTCGAGTGGAGTGAGGTTGTCGAGGTCACGATTGAGCTTTTCTGTACAGGCTGTTAGCATGATCATGTTTCCAACAATGGCGTTTGGTTGGGGGAAGACGTACCGGCCTCCTTCCTCCGCCTGCGGTGCGGGTTCTCACGGCAGCAGATGACAAGCGCATTAACCGCGATAAGAATGGCAAGCAAGCCCGTGAGCACGGACTGAATCACGATCAGGACAATACCGGTGATAGTCTGCGTCGTCTGCGCGATGCCCAGCTCCTGGACGAACACCAAGATGCAAGCGACTGAGAGCACCCTAGCAACCTGGATGATGATGTTGATCCAGTTGCCAGACTTGAGGGAGTACGGTCGGAACCAGAGCAGGAGGATCAAGAGCAGAGCCTCAATGATGAGCTGGCCGCCGGTCTGGACCAGGCCGTGGCCGTCACCACCAGCGATAACGCAGCCCTTGGCGAACATGTAGACGATCGTGGGAACAAAAATCCACCAGTAGCTCTTCTTGTAGTTCTCGTAGAAGAGACTGTACTTCAGCCACGTCTTCTTATCCTCAAACAGCCCAGAGGCATCTCCCATGGCCTTCTTGTACTCCTTGGCCTTCGCCCAGATCTTGAAGGTGAAGTATCCCAGGATGCAGGTAAAGACAACGAGCGTCACTCCAGCAAGCGCTTTAGCCGCCCACGAATCGCCCTTCGTAAACTGATAGACGCAGTAAAGGGTCCAGATGCCGTACAGTATGAGAATCAAGTTGGTAATCGTCTTCGCCACGACCCACCAGTAGCGCTTCCGGAAGCTGGTAAGACTCTTAGGAAAGTTGCCAAACAGCGCCCACGTCTCGAGGATGACCTTGAACAGGAGAATGCCGACGATGATTGCGGCGATAACCACGGCGAAGATCAGCAGGACCGTCATGAAGGTGTTGGTTCGGGGAATGCGGAGCTCTTCGACGTAGCCTTGAATACCGTGGACGAAATGCATGACTTTGTCATCTTCCGCGGTGGAGTTGCCAGTACTGCCGTCACCGCCCAAGGTAGTGCCGTTGACGGTAGTGCTAAATTCGCGAGCGAAGAGGAACGCCTCATCCAACGCCCGCTTGGCGAGGTTCTTCGAAGGGTCCTGGTGGATGAGCGTCGCATTTTTGAGGTACTTTACGCTGTTCTCGGTCAGGTTTCCACCAGTCCGCTCTCGGAAGCTGTCAATAGTTGTCTGCATCGCCTCCCATTGGATGAGCCCTCCGCTGAATGCGAAGTTCTTCGCAAAGCTTCTGTAAACCGACGGGTATTGGACACTGAGCATGCCGTTCATAGCTACCGACTGGAACCAGCCGATGACCTCGCCAAAAGTTGGACTCGGTGTTGCCGTGCCGGCGTGAGAACCGGCGCCAGCGCCCAACGCTGACAGACCAGAGAGTAGAAGGGCGGCGCCCGCAATGCCGGCAACGATATAAGGCACAGCGGGTATGCTCATGCTCTTGCCATTTGTCACGGTAGACTGGATGCAGGCGAGATCCTGGCCGCCATCAACCGCACTAAGCTGGAGTTTCGCTTCGCCGTCAAGGTCGGGTACGGAGAAGGCAATCGATGGTATCTGACTTGCGTAACTTGCGGGGATATCCTGTTCGCCGGTGGCGGCAAACTCGCCAGCCGGTACTATGAACCAGTCAGTGGCTTGTTACCAAGCGCATGTTGCCTTCACTCGATCACTAACCTGGACATAGCTGTGTCACTTTGGTGCCCTCGTCGCAAGGATTGAACTCTTTCTTGTAAACCTCTGTGCCGTAGGCCAGAACTGTCAACTTGGCCATGACCTTCTGCTCTTTCGCGCTTGATCCGGCAACATCGAAGACCACCTTGTTCGTTGCGCGGTTGTATTTTACATTCATCTTCTGGATCTTTATATCGGAGCTGTCTAAACATGTGCTGAAGCCGTGGGTCTCTAGTATGTCCGCGCCTAACACTCCGAGCGGCAGAGCGCCGAGCAAGAGGATAGAGGCAAACATCGCTGACATGTGCTGATGAAGCCTCATATTGTAGTGTTTTTACGCCCGGGGGCGAGCGAGTATGTTCGATGGACTCAGGGGAGAGGGAAAGGAGCGTTCTGCGAGTATGTGCGGTTTATTGTAAGTGAACACAACCAAGGTCAGGTTGGATAGGCCTTTGGTGCGGTGGTCTGTCGACGTAAGAAGGGTTGAAAATGGATTACAGTGGCTGACAGGCCGTATCGATCTCGGGCGTGCCGGTTAGGAAGAAAGCTGGAAATATGAAACACGAAGGGTAACAGTGGTAGAAAGGAAGAAGACTGTGTGGTCAGGCAGTGGTTCTTGAGTCGGTCGAGCGAGTGAGGCCGAAACAAGAGGTTGGCAGAAGATTTACTGTAAGAAAAGCGTGTGAGGAGTTGGAGATTAGGTTGTCGCGGATGAAGTCTGGTTGAGGGGATGCCACGCACGCCGGCTGTGGTCTGGGCGCAGGGCTCAGGGTGTTGACAAGGGGCTTTCGGACGGCGGATCACTGGGTGCGGATACTCCAATCAGGTCGACTATTTTCAACGCTTTCCGCCGTAGGTTTTTCTTCAAGGAAAGAGTTTTGCGCTGGAGTAAGGAGAATCTGACTGTTTGAAAGCTGCTCCAAGCTGCATCACACGAGGGACGTTTCATACTAGTATCCAAATCTTCCATCCAAGGCGCTATCGCGCATGAGCTGAATGCGACTGTGCCTACCTAGGTAGCATTTTTAGGACAAGGCTGTGCTTGTGCGGGTGCAGGTGGTAGCCAGAAGCAGACAACTGTCGCATGCCACTAGCAAAAGCCCACCGCATCTTTCGTGCAATCCGTGGAACAAGCCCTATCGTTTTATGGGGGTCGAGCTCCGTCAGCCCCTGTCAGCTGTAGCCAAGAGTGTTAGCCGCACGGCTGTTCCTGGACAGGGAAGACTTTGACACCTGCCAGCCCAAAGTTTCCTCCTTCAAGACGGGAGCTCTTCACATGGGCAGTCTCTCTGTGCCTCGCCCTGCTCTCTTGCAAGAGGTCCCCGTGTTTACCGCAAACTCAGTCGTCGGAACGCGCGTTTTTTGAGGCTCTTCGGAGATGGCCGAACACATGGCCAAGACCTGCTAACGTGCGTCGCTTACTATTTTTGTCCTCGGGTCTTCCGTCCCTTGCTAAGCCACGACTGCATCTGACATGTCAATACAACCATATATTCTAACTACATTGGTGAAGACGGAGCCACGACACCGCTGGCATTTCAAAGTCCAGCCAGAGGCACTTCAAGCCTGAGCTCCAGTTGGAGTATCCGTTGTCAAGTTGAGAGGTGGCACTATCATTCCATAGCAGCAGCGAGCAAGGCTATAGAGGATTTACAAAGACAACCGCGTGTCAACGTCAGGAATACCTCTTCAATATGATCGAATAGAGTCAAGATAAATGCTTTGTATCGCTCCGCTGCGGAAGAATACGCTCCGCTCCAGTGGGTAGTTGACGTAGTAGATATGTTCTCCCACCACAGGTCTATTCCGTTATGCAAGCACACTATTGTCTTTTATATTGATCCCACTATATCTAGCAAAACTCTTCATCGTGCTACTACTCGGTGCTCGAGTAGATCCAGCGTGCTCGGTCCTCCTCAGCGCAGCAAAGGGGCAACCAGTTTCTCATTACCTACTGTATGAGATGTCACAAGCACATGCATGAAGCGGGGTAGTCGTCAGGAGTCTGGCATTTGATAAGGGAATATATGAGAACCGAGACTACTTCTTTTCTCTCAACTGCACCTTTCCATGCACAATTCATTCTTGCCAGTTGAAGCTTGCTTTTTAACTCCGTCATCCCTCAACCTTTGTGCACGGATATACCAAGGGAAAGCGGCCGCCCTGGACAGGGATTAACTATAGAAGCACAACCCGGGCGAATTTCTCATCCGCACGATCCGCGACGTCACTTAAGCAGAGAATAATGACTACTCCAGCTCCGCCTGTGCCTCAAACACTCGCCAGCAAAGTCGCTGTGGTCTCCGGCTCAAGCCATGGCATAGGCGCCGCTATAGCCCAAGAGCTCTCTTCTCGGGGCGCGTCATTGGTACTGAATTACCCTACGCCAGACCTTGAGGACACAGCAGAGCAGCTAGGCAACTCCCTGGCAGGTTCATTCGCTTCTGTTTGCGCCGACATCTCCACAGCCGATGGGCCCGCAAAGCTCATCGACGCTGCCGTCAAGGCATTTGGCAAGATAGACATTCTTATCAACAGTGCCGGGAGGATCATCGTCAAACCTTTCGAGGAGCAAACCCTTGAAGACTTCACCACGCTCGTGAACACCAACCTTCGAGGGATGTGGTTACTCACCCAAGCTGCCTTGCCTCATCTGCCGAAGAAAGAGGAAGGCGGCGGTGGAAGGATCGTCAATATGTGCAGCGGAGTCGCTAGACAGCCTATGGCGAACCAAAGCACGTACTGCGCCACGAAAGGAGCCATTGACTCACTGACAAAGGAGTGGGCAAGGGAGTTGCCGCCCAAGGTTTTCTTCTCTACCGAAGGCAATTGGCATAGCTAAGTCTCTGACCTATGAGCAGTACGGTTGTACGGTCAATTCCGTTGCTCCCGGCCCAATCGAGACGCCGGGCATGCGGGGCTGTATGACGGCAGAGGAGATGGCAGTGGTCCAGCCACAGATGGAAATGGCTACTCCAGTTGCTCCGCGCGTCGGCAAGCCGGAAGAGGTAGCATGGGCGGTAGCTTTCCTGTGCGAGGAGAGAAGCCGGTGGATAAACGGAGAGTCGCTGTTTGTTAGTGGTGGATTGGTCATTGATTAGCAGAGTATGGCTGCGAAGGGACCGTGCGGTAAGTTTTAGGGGGTTGCTCCCGGCACATAGCTGTCTATAAAGATGAACCACCATCTATGACTATATTCTGGCCTGTTGCAGACATGCTCAGTGCCAGCGTCCGTACTTGATTCGCAACATCCTGCGATAGTCAGCATTCCAGCACCATCGTCTGAGGTCACCACAGCCCTGTGAGGATGGCACAAACTCACCTCTACAGTCGCCAGCCTCTTTAGCTTCGTGTTCTTTATCGCAGCTTCCCTCTTACTCTCCGGAAACTTCATTCCCCACTCCGTCAACAGCATGCCCGGCGACACCGAGTTCACCCTTATCTTCGGCGAGCAGATAACCGCCAAGCTCTTCGCCAAATGTATCTGCGCCGCCTTCGTTACCGCGTACGGCAGTGAACTACCGCTCGGTTTCACCCCAGCCACTGACGCCGTGCTGATGAAGCAGCCCTCGCTCTCGTCCAGCGCGCTCCGGACGGCATGCATAAGCCAGAGGTGGGTCTTGACGTTGTACACGAAGCACTTGTCCCAGTCCTCGTCCAGCGTGCCCTCGTCGAGGTTGGCGAAGGTTGTCATCCGTGTCCAGCCAACATTCGAGACAACAACGTCGAGCCGGCCCATAGTGGAGAGCGTTTCACGCACGAGGCCCTGTACCGCGGACTTTTCGCTCATGTCCGCTTGGATGGCATGGAACCGAGGCTGCTTCTGCTCGACATCGGAAGGCGTGGTGGCTGGGACCTGGGAGAGCTCAGCGAGGAGGGATTGGGCTCGTTGGGCGTTGTTCGCGTAGTTGACGACCTGATTCTCATGCTTAGCATCGATTTGAATAGCATCAAGCTGCGGAAATGCCGCTCGAGCAGATACAATGGACGTTTAGGGGAAGGCTTTACTTACGACGCGAAAGTCTGGCGCCAAGACGCGTGCTATTTGTGCTCCAAGGCCGGCTGAGCCAGCAGTTATGAGACAGACCTTTTGCGCTGCCATACTGAGCGCAGTGTGTTATCAATGCCTTCAACACACCTTTGGATACCACTCAATTCCTCAATTCGCGAGCCTAAGATGCCCGGCCTGCTGTATATTTACATGGCGGGTATGTTGGTGGGGCATGGGGAGTGTTCCGCTTCGCGACATGAGTGAGGAGGGATGTATCGCGGGATCGTTCCGTCCAAGTCCATCGCCGAGAAGTCCGACCTCTTGCAAAAACTTGTGTTCGCAAACAACATCGGAAATGAGGCGTGCTTTCTCTCTGCATAGTAGGTCAAGAAAAGGTATCGTCTAAAGTGGTAGGACGGACTTCAGCGCCAAGCGGAGGGAGATGGAGGCTGTATCATAAGAATCATGGATGTCTTGTATTCGGATTTGGGCTAGCTACAGTTTTCCAAGCATTTGCACAGCAAATAATCGCCAAAGAACTCCATGTTCCATGCCTGATGCCGATGCTTGAACGCGGTACGGTATATCCAACGAGCATCAGCCCAAATATTGCTCTTCAATCCGAAAATCGGTGACCATCCCTACCAACACTATCATAATATGAAACACTCTCAATAATCTGACGAAGCAGGTCAGTATCTTGGCGAGGTAAAGAAGTCTCCGAAGGTGACATACCTGGTATACATCCATATCTTCTCTTGATTTCGGTAGTGGTATCCACACAAGCACCACAATGTGGTCCATCATCACATGTGGTTAGGGACGCCCTCCACGTCCACGCCCACGCCCATTTTGACCTCCGCGTCCACGCCCAGCCGACGCGCCTGCAGGTTGCTGCTTGCCACTGCCATTGCAGGCGTCCTTGTTGTGGCTCGTCCGCTGGCAATCCGTGCAGAACTTCTTCGGTACGAGCAGCTTCATGCCCGTACCGGGACCGTCCACCTTCACAAGCAGCCTGGTGCCCTTCGCCACGAGATCGTGATGAGGCAGGACATCGCCACGACCGGCAGCCTTGAGGGCCATCATCAGCGTGGCGAACAGCGTGTAGGCAGCGTCGTTTCCAGCGTTGTGACAGTGTACTGGATGGACGCCGAAGATCTCGAGAAGGTAACTGAGGCGGATTTGGTGTAGCGTGGTTATCGCAAATCCACGGGCACGGGCGAGGACTTGAGTGTCGATGGCTCCGATCACAGTGCCGAGGACGTCATCCGAGCACCCGAGCTGGCTCAGGTACTTGTCTTCGTTCCCGGATGCGTGGTCGGCACGGAGGATCTTGCGATACTTGGGACTGCTGGCGAGTGGTGGTGAGGGCGACGTGAGTGGCGTAGAAGCCGACCCGGTGGTTGAGGATGGTAGTGACGATTGGGACGACACGGACGAACTCCTGCCTGCGGTGCTTCCTGCAGACTGGCCCGTAACCGACAGGGAGTTCACCGCAGACGCCAGCAGCTGATCGGCGTTGCGAGTTGCGTCAGCAGGCGCGGACTCGTCAACGACCCGGAAGATGGACTCCAGGACATCCTTCACCTCGACCTCCTTGATCTCCTCGCTCTTGCCAAAGCGGAACTCGGCGGGGCAGCCCTGAAGATACTTCTTGTTGACGCGACCCAGGTGCTCCACAATGCGGTAATGTTTGGTACGGATTTTCCCCAGTACCTTGTCGAAAGTGAGGTCAGCGTCGGAGATGTCAATGTCCCTGGTATCTAGACACGAGACGCCAAGCTCCGTGACAGGGCGTGGCGGGCACACCCACGCCTCGAAGTCCAAGCTGACAATGATACAGTCGTCGATCCCGGCGATCTGGTCCGCCGGTAGGCCTTTGCGACTGGGACTGTGACCAAGGGCGGCGAGCAGGAGTGCCATGTTTTGGAGAGAGGTGTTGTAAGACATTGCGGTTGTTGATAGTGTCCGTAGGTGGTCCTCGACTTCGGAGTGGTAGGAGTAGGGGAAGGGTTGGGTATTGTGTTGTAGAGGAGGCCGGACAGACTGACTGGCAGTATATTGGAAGTGAAGAGGTGGGTAATATACCGGAAGAGTAAGGCTGATTGATAGTGCGGTAGTGAAGAAGCCTGGGTGCTGGTGGAAGCAGATGAGGAAGATGAATGAGATGAGAAGTTTTGGGGGATTCTTGGAGATTTTAAGGCAACGCTGGTCTAAGCAATTCTGTGAAGCAAGTGCTGACTCGTGAAGAAAGTGCCGGTCTGTGGGGCAGGAACGGCGTGACGGAAGAAGGGCGATTTTATAGCAGCAGCGCCTTCTCACTGCGGTGCGCTCAACGAGACTGCCTCACACTATTGGAACCGGAAGTTGCCACCAAGATTCGCTGGCTCTCCATCACGAACCTTGGTAGGGCGATGCTCTGTGGCGTACCATACCTTGATTTGCATTGTGCACGTAGTGAATTCAAGTGAGTACACTCCTACCGAACGGTGATGGCCTTTCCAAGCTCGTCACGCGGTCGAAGCTGGATGCAGGCAACCGTGGCGCCGCCGCTATCGCCATGGAGGAGGTGGCCATAGTACGTTCTTGCGCTATGGGGCTCTTCACAGTGAAACCAATGCTGATATGCTTCGGCTCTCATCCATTGGTAGAGCTATTGCACGCAAGCCACGGCAGTGCTGCGGATCGCTGCCTCGTTCCGATTGTTTCAGGCTCGCCAGCGAAGGTGGAAAAAGAGAGAGCCTTTCACGAATGCCCCAGGCGTTTCGGTCTGGTTACTGCTCGCGTCGTGGATGCCTAATAATTTTCCCATTTACTCGTACGGATTTATAAGAGCCGAGATGGCATCGTCTTAGTGAGGTACACAATTTTTTTGCTGGCGAGTATTAGCTGTTGGCCTTTAGTGTGAGGTTGCCTCATTTGTGGCCCACGGTTATAGCTCTTACGTGTGTACATAGACTCATCCTTTGGTATTTAGTTCCTCACCAACGCTTTACCAGGGAGGGAGGCTCGGTCCATCCGGGGTTACATGACGGAGAACCATGATTGGTCAGATAGGTACCGCGATGGAGTAAAAGGGATATCTGTTCTCTTGTTTTGAGTTTGAAGCCTCGATTTGGACTTTTGAGCATTCAGGCTGTAGGTAGTCCGTTTCCCAGGTGCTAAGGCTCTCAAAGGTGGGATAGGAGGAACCGCTGAGGATGACGTCACGCCACGAGAGTCGCGAACTACAACGTGTAGGTTTGGAAGTATTTCTCGCTGGACTGAAGGGAAATCAAAGGACAGTGTGACAAAAGACACTGAACATGATGAGATACAGCTCTTACATTGATGCCTTCCCCTCGATCAGAGCAAAAGGGGTCTTTGTAACCCACCGAGACTGTTTGCTGTATCCTTGCACGTGATTAACCAACTTCCTGGCAACTGACGAACTGACGCAGCTTGAGTGTTGACTCCTCTATACATCTCACCTAGCGCAAGTCGACTCGGCAGAAGCCTCCCAGAACAAACAACTACCTAGCAAAGAACTTAGATCGACACATCACACACAGCGCAACCATGTCCTCCAACGACAACGACGAAGAGCCACAACAGAAGGGTAAGTCCCCAAACCCCGGTCACCGCCAGCAACCCCACCTCACTACGCTCCTAACAACCACCAGGCCTCCTCTCCGCAATAGGCGACCCCGTGGGCAAAGTCCTAGGCACCGGCCTTGCGCCCGTAGGCGGTCTCCTCAAGCCCGTCACCGCGCCCGCGACAGGCGCAGTCGGCAACATCACGCGCCCAGTGCTAGGCCCTCTGGCGGGAGAACACAAGGAGAAGATGGAGGTGATTGGCGGGGACAACAAGGATAGCTATGCGCATGGGAAGGATAGTGTGGCCGGGGAGTTGCAGACGGCTGATAATCCGCTCGGGCTGGAGCAGACGGGGAAGTGGGGGTTTGAGGAGGAGAAGTGAGGGTGTGGAGTGGAAGGGGGAGGGAAGAAGGGCAGGATGGCAGGTCGACGGCGAGGGCTGGACTTTGGATGTGTGAAGCAGATCTGGACTCAGGGTTTGACCATTGTGGTATTGGTTTCGCTCCAGGTTGAAAGCCTGTCGAGCATCGTTTTGCGCTGTCAATCGTTTGGATACGTCTGTCTATTCTTAGGAAACACTTTGATACCCGACTGAACTGTATGAAGCGGCTAGCGTTTGGCTCGGGGGGGGGGGGGGGGGGGGGGGGGGGGGGCTGTTCGCAATCTTCATGTCTTAGCAGCCATCTGTCCCGCTCTTACGCCCAAAGTCTTCTTACAAAACGCCGTATACGTCCGTTCAGCCGTTTATAAGCTACTTACTGTAAGGCACGTATGCCAAACGCCGCCCAATGCCCGATGCCCTCTCACGGTAACGCCACAGAAATGCAACATCGTAAATTCTCATCCCAGCGTCGTAACGGGTATCCCACTTTCTCTACTGCTCCGTCGCCAGCACCATCTTCTCCCTCTCTGCCCTCCTCCTAACCGTCCCCTTCTTCGAGTGCCTCCTCTCATTCTCCTCCCTCCGTTTGATCGCCTTAAGTTCCTCTCCCTTGATCTCGCCCGCCTTCTTGACCTGCCTCGGTAGATGCCTGTGCCTCGCGATCCTCTTGATCTCCGGCATATGGCTATACCGCTGCTTAAGCGCCTCCTGCGTCTCGAGAGCTTGGCGCTGGCGAGCTGTCTTGACGCCTTGACGCGCCGAGGCACGCGCGCGCCACAAACGCACATTCCCATCGTCGCTGCCGGAGAGCACGTATGCGTTGTCGGGGCTGAAAGCACAGGAGAAGACGCGCTGCATGCGCTTAGTATGGTACATATCTCTGCTGTGACCCTTCGACCGGTCCCAAAGGCGGATACTGCGGTCGTAGCTGGCGGAGACGAGCTCCTCGCCCGTGGGGCTGAACTCGACGTCCATAACAGCGGCGACGTGACCTTTGAGCACATTCAGTGCGCGCTTCATGTTCCGCATGTCGAAGAGGTATACGTTGTGATCTTCGGAGCCGACGGCGAAGTTGAAGGCTTCCATTGGTGACCAAGCGAAGGCGTTCGAGGCGAGGGTGAGGACTGCTTTTGAGAGTGGACTCGATGTCCGTAGGTCGTAGAGTATGACTGCGCGGTCGGTCGAGCAGGCGCCGAGGAGAGAGGTCTCGACTTGGTTGAAGGAACACGCGTTTATGGTATCGACGGAGGTAGGCCAGGAGAGGGTTTGAGTTGGTGTCGAGCCGGGACGGTTCTCATCGTAGACTGATATGACGCTGCTAGAAGCCGCGAAAGAGGGGAGGTGCCGGTGGTGTGACAGGCTGTTGAACGCGCCTTGGCCGAGCCAAGTGGCTATGGGTGCAGCGCCGGAGGGTGTGTTGTAAGGGTCGAAGAGCTTGATGGCCTTGTCGGAGCCGCAGCTGAGGAGTTTCTTCTCGCGAGTCCATGACAGGCCTTTCACGATGTTCTCATGCGCAGAGGTCTGCCATGTCTCCTCGCGGCTTGTAAGGTCCCATACTGTGCTGATTTAGCTCATGTTCTGCTTTGTGACGCAATCAGACTACCTTTTACTACACCGTCGCCACTACCGCTTGCAAAGTGTTGAAGGGAGTTTGGGTCTTTGGCCATGGAGTAGACGCCATCAACATGGCCACGCCCGAGCTGGCCCAGAAAGGGTGCTGGAATACGTTAGCAATGCGCCCATTGTTTCGACAGAAATACGCCTAGTACCAGCAAACATCCTCTCGAGCTTCACTCCATTAAGGGCTTGCGTGTACTCTCTTGCCCTCTCGAACGGGTGGAGTGCGGGATCGAGGTTGCGCGGTTGTCGCTGTACATCGGACCCGGGGGCCTGGATGGCGGATGCCGAGCGCGAGAGCGCCTTGATCCTCTGTTAGTCGTATTAGCGCTGGTCAGGCATAAGAATTCCCGAGTATACATGCCATGATGAGCTCTGTGCGAGTTTGCCGCAAAGCGTGGGGAAGGGAACTTTTTTGATGCCGCTGCTTCGGCGGAGGTTCAGCCGAAGTACGCCCGGCCAAAAGCCCAAAAGCTGCGAGCTTCGGACTGGAAGCTTTGATAAATACAAACTACATACACCGAATCGCCCTTATCCAGGTAGCCACATCGCCTCTGCCAGCTTCCTCGTTGTCGAAAGCCTGTTGCATCCCCCTTGATACACCCTGTCTGCTTAAATCCCCGGCCCATCTCAAATCTCCACGATGGCTTCCGCCACGGCCGATGACGCGAAGCGGTTGCAAGAAGCCCAAAGGCTAGCAAAGGATGATCCCGCAAAGGCGGAAGAGACCTACAAGGACATACTCTCGCGAGATCCCGGCGCAAGCGATGCAGCTATCAAGAACTTTGAGACCGCACTCGTGAGCTTAGGGGAGCTGTACCGGGACCACAAGCGGACGGAGGAGCTGGCCGAGTTAATCAAGACGACGCGGTCCGCCCTCTCATCGTTTGCGAAGGCAAAGACGCAAAAACTTGGTGTGATATGAATCCGTAGCCTCCGGCTCAGTGTGCCAGCTAACAACATCTCCCTACACAGTCCGCCAGCTCCTCGACCTCTTCACCACCCTACCCAACACAACCGACATCCAGATCAGCGTCACGCGCTCCTGCATCGAATGGGCCATCTCCGAGCGCCGTGGCTTCCTCCGGCAACAGCTCGAGACGCGACTCGTAGGCCTGCTGATGGCCAAGCGCTCCTACTACGACGCACTAACCCTCATCAACTCCCTCCTGCGCGAACTCAAGCGCCTCGACGATAAGCTCACCCTCGTGGAAGTCCAACTCCTCGAATCTCGTGTCTATCACGCCCTCGGCAACATCCCCAAAGCCCGGGCGGCCCTAACCTCCGCGCGCACCTCCGCCGCCTCCGTCTACACGCCCCCGCTCCTCCAAGCAGGCCTCGACATGCAGTCCGGCAAGCTGCACGCCGAAGACCGCGACTTCAACACGGCGTTCTCCTACTTCATCGAAGCCCTGGACGGCTACCACTCCCAAGACGAGGCCGCCTCGGCGACCGCAGCGCTGCAGTACATGCTGCTCTGCAAGATCATGCTGAACGCTGGCGACGACGTGGCGACGCTCATGAACAGCAAGCACGCGGTGCGGTACGCGGGCAAGAACCTGGACGCCATGAAAGCCGTCGCGCGCGCACACACGCACCGCAGCCTCGAGGAGTACGAGCGCGCGCTGTCGGACTACAGGAACGAGCTCGGGCGCGACAGGTTCATCGTCAGCCACTTGAACCGGCTGTACGACGCCATGCTTGAGCAGAACCTGATCAAGGTCATTGAGCCGTTTAGCCGCGTCGAGATTGAGCATATCGCCAAGATGGTCGGCCAAAATACGCAGAGTGTGGAGCGGAAGTTGAGTCAGATGATTCTGGATAAGGTTATTATTGGGGTGCTAGATCAGGGGGCTGGGTGTCTGATTGTATTTGAGGAGGGCGAGAGGGATAAGGGGTATGATGCCGCGCTGGACACGATAGAGAAGCTGGGCAGTGTGGTTGATGTGCTGTTCGCCAATCAGGCTAGCGTGCTGGAGTAGAGGGACTAGGACGTGGCGGTGTGGGAGTAATGCGTGTGTATGGGTTGGTAATCAGAGATATGGCTGCATAACCTCGATCGCCTTCGTTTAGACGGCAGTTCAGCATGGCATAGGCGGCGTATGAGCACGCGGCGAAATAGGCTTGATACATATCTAGCTGCTCAGCGCATAGACAACGTTCACTTGGCTCTTGTCCACGACTCATTGCATCGTGGGGATTCATGACCATATAGCTTAATGCGGAACACGTTGCGTTTGATAGTTGCTCAAGCACTGTAGCCTAAGTGAACGCTTTTCAGGCTAATTATTATCAAAACCGATCCCATCGAGTCCCCAACCTTGAACTCCTTATGATACATAATATGCTACCAAATTCCTCCAGATAAAAGTTCTCTAACCGAAGCAAACGGCGTTGCGCCGAGCTCGTCAGAAACCCCTGCGCCGCCTATGATTGCCGCACGCTCGAGATTCCAACAACAATGTGGACCACGGGGAAACCTTTCCGGCACAGCTTGCAGCCCGAACGACAATACCAAGCGTACAAACAACCCCCAGATCGAGTCCAACTCTTACGAAGGCTTGGCATGCGTAACAAAGCTCCCCTTGTCACCCAAGAACTCCCCAACCTTGCCCTTCGCATACTGCGAGTACTCCGGCGCGAACCTCGGCGCAAGGCCACCCATGAGGACGAACAGCGTGACGATGATGAGTCCGAAAACAATGAGCTTGCGCATAGCCGGATGCCGGACGCCGTAGTCAGCCCAGGCACGCCCGCCCTGCGAGATGTACTCCTTGAGCTTCTCGGCGCCGAGTTTGTAGTAAATGAGGCCGCCGAGGGCGATTGCGTAGCCGAAGGCCTGGAGGCCGGAGACTGGGTCGCCGAATACGACCATTGACGCGACGACGAGAAGGATATCCTTGAGGACGCCGGAAAGGGTGAGGACGAGCGAGGAGGTCTTGCCGATCTGAGCGGAGGGTCAGCAATAGCCCACTTGACAGCAGCAATGTCGGACACTTACCAGGAAGACAACAGAGACGTTCAGGAGGAATGCAACCAACGCGTTGAGGATAAGAACGAAGATGCCGACGTTGTAGATGTCGGCCATGGTCATGTAAGGAACCTCGGTGAACAAGCACACGATGCCGTTCATGACGGCGCAGATAGGCGCAAAGTAGTAGAGCGAGACAAGTGGGTCCATCTTGAACTCGGCGGAGCTTAGCAGCCGTTGGACCATCACCAGGCGCGTGGCTTCGAAGACGATGCCGAAAACCTGGTAGAGAAAGCCGGTGAGGACGAATTTGATCTCGCCGAAGGAGGCGATAATGACGCCAATGACGATAAAGGAGACGTTGCCGAGGGTCTTCAAGTTTACTGGTGCGACTCCGAGGGTCCAGGTTGCAAGGAGCACGGCGACAGGTGTGGTGGCCTGCAATCATGTCAGTCTGCGCGCTTGAGGGATACGTCCGAATGGAACCTGCCTTGAGCATCTGTATGAAAGCCACACTCAGGTAGAGATACGTCTTGTTACCGCAAATCAAGCTCATGCTGAACATGAGGCCGATCGGCACAATAGCCCGTAGATACACACGCCCGTTCATTGGTACTTTGTGCCTCGAGTCGAGGACCGGGGTGCATCGCGCCAGTATCTGCGTCATGATCGTTGCGAAGGTAAGATGCCATGATGTGAGGAAGATGGCTGAGGCGTGTCAGAGCTGGGCAGGCTGCATTGTCAGAACGTGGGAGGACATACGATAGTCTAGATAATTGTGAGTCCGCTGTCATCTTTCAAGCTTTACATCCTACTTACGAAACTTTGCGGTGTCTAGTATCCACTTATTGAAGATGATCACACTCGAGCTCAGGGAGATCCAGACGCTGTCCAACCAGTCAGAATCACGGTCTTCTGTCAAAGATGTCGCCAAGTCGAGCTAGGGATCACCTACGCGATATACACAGCTGGGTGGAAGGTCGCCTTTGCAGGCTCAGACGGCTTGACGTCTGGGTTGACTACAGGAAGCACTGGGGCGGCGGTATCCCGCTCTCGGTCGCCCGACACCCGCATCTTCTCGTTCTCCGACATTGCTGCTGCGATTGTGTCCCTTGGCGACTGATTTAGGAGGTGAGTGCGTCCGAGGCAAGTGTGTAACGGGTATGCGAGGGATAGCTACGTGGCCGAGGTTGGAATGTGTCTGGATAGACTCGTCGATGGAGCAGTCGCAAGGGCTGCAACAACTGCAAGAAACGAGCGATCGGGAGCACAAAGGCAGGGAAAGCGAGAAAGCAAAGGGCTGGCGCAGGGTCTTGGTCTTGGGTCTTGGGTCTTGGGTCTTTTGAGGGGCGTCGCGATATGAGGCCGAAGTTTCGGGATGGAAGGGGTTTTGCCGGCAAAAAAGACGTAAGGTGTCGGCGGCCCCCCAGGAGAAGAGAGAAGATTGGCGTTTTGTCGTGCAGCTCAACCACTGGAGAGCGGACTCCGATGGCGGGAAGCGGACGCTAAATTAGGTCGCCTGTGGTCAAGCTGCACTGGAAATAAGAACGAAGAAGCTAGAGGTCACGAAAGTAACTATCGCCCCCCCCGTCACTGCAACGGCCATCTCGACGGCCTGAAGGGAGGCTGCAGCGGATGCTCTGCCAGATGGGCGCTGTGCAACTCCGCAATCTCGGCACCCCGTATGGCAGCTTATCTCTGCAGAAGCCTCCCCAGTGTTTGACGGATATGCACAGGGCCCACGGTGCAGGTGGGCATGAGTGGGCCAACTCGGCTTGAGGCTGATGCTTAACTAAAGCACATCCAGCCCCGTAACTCTCCCCCGTACAAGTACGCGCAATCCATGCTAGACGGTGCAGAAATGCAGGGGCACGTACATGATGATCTAAACGTTGCTCAACAGACACCCGCGCCACAAGTCATGATACCACCCACCTCTAAGCAGAGTGCGAGCGGCCAGCGGCGAGCAGCCGACAGTGCGACTTACGGCTTCGTGATAGAGCACCTGCAGTGAGAAATGCAACTGTACCTCGAGTAGAAGGTATGACTCGTGGTTACCTCGAAAGTCAATACGGATGATCACAGCGAATCGAGTGCAGCACGCCCAATGATCTGAAAGTCGTCGGCCCCTTGCTCTGGATGTGCGGCTGCGACGATCAAGCCCTGTCCAGAGCGAATTCTGTACACGAGTATTTTTCGCAGGCGGCAAACCCCTTTTGGAGTGATACCAAGCGGCACCCTACCGCAGCCGAGACCCTGGTCTGACAGGCAAGCTTTGACGGTGCCTATCACCACCTGCACCATATTAAGCCTGAGGAATCTGTCTCCGTCTGCCCCCTTACAACAAGACTCCACACAATTCCCTCTCCAGTCGCCTCTAACGTTAGACACACTCGTTCATGTTGAGCTTGGCTAGAAACACACTGAAAAGAGTTTCGAGCTTTCAAGAACTATTGCAAGGCAAGATGGGCAGCCACAGGGAAGAAATGTTCGTTGCCCGACTTTTTTGCGCCACCTGCCACAAACCGCTGACCGGCCTTTCGCACGCAGAAACGTCGACGTCCTTGTCATCGGCGCTGGTCCAACCGGTCTGGGAGCTGCAAAGCGTCTCAATCAGATTGTATGCTTTTTGCGCGCTGCCCCGTTGCTGCATTTGCTAACTCGCTACAGGATGGCCCCTCATGGCTGATTGTTGACTCGAATGAGACACCAGGCGGCCTAGCCTCGACAGACGTCACGCCTGAGGGCTTCGTAAGTCTGCCTGATATCAATCGGTCCGAACGCGACAATTGACCAGCCTATCCAGCTCTACGATGTCGGTGGCCATGTCATCTTCTCTCACTACAAGTACTTCGACGACTGCATCGACGAGGCCCTGCCGCACGAGGAGGATTGGTACACCCACCAGCGTATCTCATACGTGCGATGCAAGGGCCTTTGGGTACCATACCCGTTCCAGAACAACATCTCCATGCTGCCCAAGGAGGAGCAGGTGAAGTGCATGGACGGCATGATTGACGCTGCGCTGGAGGTCCGGGTATCCAACAGCAAGCCAAAGGATTTCGACGAGTGGATTGTGCGTATGATGGGCGTTGGCATCGCGGACCTGTTCATGCGGCCGTACAACTACAAAGTGTGGGCCGTGCCGACTACAAAGGTACGTATGAGGAGCATTCCATGCGTCGGCGCACCACTGACGTAACCGCAACAGATGCAATGCCAATGGCTGGGCGAGCGCGTCGCAGCACCTGATCTCAAGACTGTGACCAAGAATGTCATCCTCCAGAAGACTGCCGGCAACTGGGGCCCGAACGCGACCTTCCGCTTCCCCGCCCGTGGCGGTACCGGTGGCATTTGGATAGCAGTCGCCGACACCATTCCTAAGGAGAATACGCGGTTCGGCAAGCAGGGTGCTGTCGACAGGGTCGACGCCGATGCTAAGAAGGTCACCCTCGACGACGGCACGACCATCAAGTACGAGAAGCTCATCACAACCATGGCCGTCGACGCGCTCGTCGAGAAGATAGGCGACAAGGAGCTGGTGGACCTCAGTAAGGGTCTCTTCTACAGCAGCACCCACGTCATCGGTGTTGGCGTCCGCGGCGAGCGCCCGGAGCGCATCGGCGACAAGTGCTGGCTCTACTTTCCCGAGGACGACTGCCCCTTTTATCGTGCCACCATCTTCTCCAACTACTCGCCCCACAATCAGCCCGAGGCATCGAAGAAGCTTCCCACCATGCAGCTCGCCGACGGCAGCAAGCCTAAGAACACATCCGCCCAGGAGGGTCCCTACTGGTCTATCATGCTCGAGGTTTCTGAATCAAGCATGAAGCCTGTGGACAACAAGAACATGCTTAGGGACTGTATCCAAGGTCTCATCAACACCGAGATGCTCAAGCCCACCGACGAGATCGTCTCGACATACCACCGCCGCTTCGATCACGGCTACCCGACCCCATCCCTCGAGCGTGAGGGCGTACTTAAGCAGCTACTACCCAAACTGCAAGCCAAGGACATTTACAGCCGAGGGCGCTTCGGAAGCTGGAGATATGAAGTTGGGAATCTTACGTCTCCCCGCTCCCCTGCTGTGTTCTAGCACTAATAGATTTACAGAAGATCATTCCTTCATGCTTGGCGTGGAGGCCGCGGACGCAATTGTCAACGGAGCGGTCGAGTTGACGCTGAACTATCCGGATTTCGTCAATGGCCGATCCAACAGCGAAAGGAGACTGGTTGAGGGCGCACAGTTCTTTAAGAAGAGCATGAAGGGCATTCGGGACCCGAGCAAGCCCTTCAAGCCGTAAGCGGCCAGTCTTGGGTCTAGGCGTGATGCATGTAACGAGGATCTGTTAGGGAAGGCAGGCACATGGTTCGGCAAGAGGGGTTGGCGAAAATGGGTTCTATGCTTGGGTTGAGACCATCGTCCATCTTTTCAGCAGCATTAGAGGTTCTATCGCCTTTAGAGTAAAAGAATCGTAGACTTCTGGAACGATCGTGGTATTAAACATCAGCTCAAAATTAGACAGGACAGCTGTGACGCTGTTCATATCTATTGTTAAGATGATCATGTAGTTGTCCCATCGTTAACTTGCAGGGGAAACACCAATGGCCACAATGGCGCTCTTGATCATCAGAACATCTCAGCCCTTTACTGTCTGAAGCTATACCTTTCAAACTCAAGTCCGGCCTAGACGAAGCCTCCCCCATCCAGGAGGAGCCAAGCGTAAACGGATTGCCGTGTCTTGGGCGTGAAATGGAGCACAACCGCGCATTTAATGTGCTGCGTATCTCAACCTTTGGAAGTCAAATAGGACGTAAATTGATCAAGTTTATACTATCCTACCATGCTCTTACGGGCCGTTTCATCTTGAGACCTTTCGTCGTCACGCCATGGCTCAACTCCTAAACTCAGTAGCGGCTGCCAGCATTGGCTATCAAATTCACCTTGGAGTTAACGAAACCTCCCAGGTCTGGAAGCATTAGCTACTAGCATTCGTTTTGAAGCCACTAAAGCCTCCCGCATTCCGGATGGAAGCCGCTTAAGGTGAATCACCATCCTTAGGGTGCGACATGTACTACAAATTCGTGCGTGAATCCACTGCCTCGCTACGAGAATACCTCTCATGCGTACGCATAGCCAGGAGCCATCCAAAAGAGGCGTTGGAGCACTGAAAGCTACTCGTAGACACTAAGGTGATTGATCCAAAACACAGCTTGTGGATCAAAGATAGCTTTGGGAGATCTATGCACTGAAGGGCTAAATTGCTGAACGTCTTATGCATTCTACCGCATGGAACTAGTCTTATTACTCGCCCTCAACATGATCATGAGTCTAGTTCAGTCGTGGATCTGGTACTGAGAAAGCCAGCAGTCTAGACACTACAACAGACCTTTTGAAAGGCTTTTACGCCTCGCTTCGTCACTCACCTGGTTGACAAGAGTTGTTAAATTCCAAAATCATCATATCACGGATTCATTGTCAATCCTTCGCCGCCATTGCCACGACCTTGCGAGATCTTTCTCATCCATCTCAGGTGTCATGCGGTCCATCCTCGACGTTCTGCTTGAAACGTTGACCAGAAAGCTCCTCCTTATTGAAGGCTCATCATTGAACGCCTCCAGGACAGATTTCGATTGACCGTGTTGCGCTTCCAGTATCCACGGTGTTCTTTTTCGATCTTCAGACGAGGAGTATCTGAGGGACGGCGATATGCTTACCAAAATGCCTGGCGGAGTTGGAACCTTGTGCTTCCCAAAGTAGTCCCTAGACGACTTATTCTCTGTTGATAACGCGAACGCCTTCTGATGCATCGGCTTGTTCTGCTCATGCTCTTGCATGCAAGCCTCGGCTCCGCTACGCAGGGCGTCCTCTTTTTCCTTGTTCATGGAAACCTGCTTGGCTGAGATCTCGCATCCAATCGCCACATCGTTGCGCTTCTTTGCGGTGACTCTGGACTTGCTGAACTTATGGACATTGACGGCGTCCGGAAAACAGGCATGAGCTGTATATTCTAACCCGTGGAGGATGGGCCGTGACCTGACCCTTAAGAGGAGCAAGTCCAGTTCAGTCGCGGTGCTGTACCAAAGATGCTAGTAGCTAAAATGCGGCAACATGCTCTTCGTGATGACCCAGTGGGAACGAATGATGGGTGGTGGTTGACATGGATGGTCAGAAGACGGGACGGTCCGCAAGACATGTGCACTCAAGGCCGTCAACTCCAACAACACGCCGTCGCTCTCAGTCCAGGCTAAGCCCTGTGAGCTGCCGACCACCGGGCTGTTTGACACACTCGCTGCGCACCGAGGTGATGAACAGTGTGGTGGTGGGCCGGCTAGGCTCGATTGGTCTCTCCCCGAGATTGACCTCTGCTTGCTCGGGCGTCAGTGGCTGCTTGCCCTCTCTGCCCTACAGAGCTAGCACAGGGCGACACGGCAGGCACTGCCATTTGTCTATCAGCAGCTCCGCTAGAGACATTACTGATCTCCGCCTTGCAGCCCCTCGGACGGCGTTGTCTCAGTTGGTGGCTAAATCAGCAGACAGCCTGGTATGTGTTGTCTGGCATGTGAACACGCCAACTTTCTTATATTGTCTACCTACAGCGTTGGTATCCTGCCATTTATTTGCTTTTCTTCCCTTTGCTTTCAGTATTTCCTCTGTCTTTCCACAGTCTGTGGACAGTTCGTTCTTACCGCCTTGTCAAAACTAGCGGTGTGCTGCACCTAAAGTAGCCTCGCAGCGCCATCGTTCACGTGCTGGGCACCGCTTAAGCAACGACTGCCCCAACCACTCCACTGGGCAGACACTTGTGTCTTGATTGGAAGATTGCGGTCTTCTCAGTTGCTATTGAGGGACCGTTGCACTTTTCTTGCCTAGTATTACACCGGTTGGGAACTGCACTCGATTAAACATTTCTGTTCCACTACTTTAACCTCCTTCGAGCCCACCCGAACCATTTCAAACCGCTTCTTAACTTCTCGCTCCTCCGGAAAGTTACTGCATCTACGGAGGGCCTCCGCAAGTCAGGCGAGGCCGTCCGGTTCATTCACCATAGAGACCCGAGCACAATCTCGGTACTGGATGGCCGCACATGATTGAACATCGCAAGCATGGTTACAATGTTCTGTCAGAAGAGATGTTTTGGCGCCAAAGACAGCAAGCGGAGAGAAAAGACAGCGGATTTGAAAACTCAGAGCAAGGCCCAGTATCAAGGTCCAGTAACGACTCCCTCAGCGCACCTTGCTTCGGCATCCGGGACTCCCCAAAGCACCGGTGGCAATCTTCAGGCATCAGTAAATCCGTAGTCCAAGTATCGCATCGAAGCAGGACAACTACGTCTGTGCAGCCGAGCTCACACCGTGCCGCAGCCTCCGGAGTGTATCGAGAGCCCTCAGGTCGTCCATCTCAAGAAGCACCTCAAGCAGACCGCAGAGAATCGTCGTCGGCCTCGAAGCAATCTCCCTGGGCTAGCCGTCGACCATCCGCCGCAGCGAGTTCAGATACACGCCGAACCCGGCATTGTTCTACCAGGCGAACCCATGTTTTAAGCAGAGACGAAGCGCTGGCGGTATATCAGCGGAGTTGCAGCATATTCCTGTCGGATTCCTCTTACCCAACCAGTGCAACGACCAGTGCGACGACAAGTAGTTGCGGCTCAGTTCGGAGCAATAGTGTTCATCACACCATGGATAACACCCCATCAATATCCGCTATACCCTGCCCATATCTCAACCGTGAAGACGAAGAGGAAGACGAAGAACCCTTTGAGAGACCCCACGACTGCTCATTCCCCGCAACGAGCATCAACTGGACCTCACCCACCACGCGCCGGAAAGAGTATGCAAAGATCGATCGGTCTAGCAGGGGCATCCGGGGCGTTTTGAGGACATTAACTCCTAAGTGGCTTTCCAAGCCATCGTGGACGCCTTTCTACGACGGAACGAATGACTCGGATGTTGGTAGCGTGCGGCGGTATCGGCTTGAGCTGTCCGACGACGAGGATCTTGCGGATGAGAAGGCTAATGGTACAAGAACCTCCCGACTAGATCGAAGTCGTTCTTGGGCATGCTACTGAACGGCTTGATGTTTTGGTGTTGGTGGCGTACCGGGTCTTTCATGCTGGAGCAAGATACCCCCCGGATTTGATTTCTCATGAATTTCGAGATGTTTACAGCGTATCTAATAATTTCTCACAAGATTCCGTCTAATTGACCTCTACGAAGGAGAGGATGTTTACTGAGGAAGCGGCAGCCGCTTGACCACTCTCCAATGCCATCAAGAAACATCAACAACCAGTTTGCGTGGTTTGAATCTGCACCTTCTGTTCGCTGAAGATGTATCTAATATGTCAGTCCACCTCTCTAAGCACCTAAATACTGTGTTGAGAAGCCCTATGGTCGCGCGCTGTCAAGCGACCGCTTCCTCAGTAGATACCGCGACTTTCGCATGTGTTCGAACCTAATGTATTGACGGGAGGCTCAATCGGGGAAAGCTATGTACAAACATCCTCTCCACAATGTGCAGGCATCTTGCTATCTACATCTCGCTCCAACCTACCTCGCTCATAGCTTCGGGCTCGTGGCTGAGGTCGAAGACTTCGACTCACTACAACCCCCTTGGTAAGCCCACTGTCAATTCTCCAACAAGCCCTCATCACCTACTGTATCTGATCCCAAAACTCCACGATCTTCTCCCCCACCGCCTCCCACTTCTCCAAGCAATGCCAATGTCCACAGCCCTCCAACACCTCCAGCCTCTTAACCTCACTCCCCAACTCCCCAACCATCTTTTTACACCCCTCCAACGGCGCGCTCTTATCCTCCTCCCCCGCCAATATCAGCACCGGCGCCTTTACATCCCCAAACGCCGGCGGCCGCGCGCCAGCAATAACGCGGCAGTTCGAGATATACCCCGCGGCATCCTGCCCCAGCAGCAGCTCGCGGATGAACGCTTTCACGAGCGGCGACGCTGCTTTGCCTACGGCGGCGTAGGGGATGGTATTTGCCATTGCTTCCATGCCCTCTTTCTCAACGAGGGCGATGCGCTTTGAGAAGACGTCTGCGACGGCGGAGGAAGGATAGACGGGGCCGATGAGGACGGCTGCCGTGACGAGGGAGGGGCGGGTGGCTGCGAGGTGGGCGGCTATGATGCTACATCGTGCCCCAGAGCCGCACTCAGCGCCTTGTACTTCAATTGCAGCGGGCTGCGGGAATGACAAGGTCTATAGTCCCAAAGGGTAAAAGGGTAGCTGAAGGGTGCGTCAACCTACCCACCCATACTATGTCCCACAACGACCCCCTTCTCCACCCCCAGCTTCTCCATCACTCCCACCACATCCCCCGCCAGGCTCTCGATGCTCTGCTCGACCTGCGTGTAAGGGCTACGGCCCGCGCCCGTGGTATCGAGGGCTATGCATCTGAAGCCGTGGGCCGTGAGCGCGGGGACAATGGCGCCGTAGTAGTTTTGGCTGGAGCCGAGGCCGTGGATGAGGATGAAGATTTCGCGGGTGGGGGTTGAATCGGGGGGTTTGTGGTCGGCGTAGTGGATGCGTTTGTAGGCAATTTGGAGGAAGGGCATGGTTTTGGATCTAGGATTTCGGTCTATAGTAGGATGTGGGGTACTGTATATAGAGTGCAAGGTCGGTACTCCCCGAGGTCGAGTGTGCGCGTCGACGTCATTGCATGAAGAGGTCTTCGAGCTTTCAACAGCCATGATATTAAGCGGCAGAAGTTCATACGTGCAAGCCGCTACAGAGTGGTATCATACAGCGTTCGGCTGCTGCAGCCCTTCCAGTGTTCCCTTACGCTATGCAACCCAACATCCCGTCATTTAGAAGCCCCCCTTCTAGCCATGAAAACGGCGTAATGCTCTTGAGAAATCCTATTAGGATAGGACAAGCGTACTCTAATCTTACCGTAGCGCCACTAATGCTCGAACCGTTTCAACCAGTAAAAAAATGATAGGACTCGTCCAACCAGCGGCGGGCCCCGATCTCTAAGCCTGTCCATCCAGTCATGATGCGCGTCGGCCGTCCGCCTTCTTAACAAGCGGCACTTGCGTCGTTCGGGACTTTTCCGCTAACAGTGACTTGGGACGAGTATTGTTTGGCGTAGGGTGATTATTCGCCTGGCCTGATTCGACCTGCTCGATGATTTCCTTGGCTAGCTTGTTGGCTTCTTGCTGCAGATGAGGCATTTGCCTGGGCGGTTGCGCGAGGTAAGACTCAAGCAGCGTTTTCAAAGTCAGTGCGCTGGATATGAGTTAGCTAGTGGGCAACGGTAGTCGATGTATAAGAAAACTTACCGGACGGGCTTTGCCAGATAGTTGTTCATGCCCGCTTCTAAGCACTTCTCTCGGTCTCCTCGAATCGCAGATGCAGTCATCGCTATGATTAAGACGCTGCGAACAGTGGGATCTTTGTGTCTCCTGATTCCGCGAGTTGCATCGTAGCCGTCTAGAACAGGCATTTGAACGTCCATCAACACCTGGTCGACTGTCAGAATCGCGTGATGTAGAATCTAGAAGATGAAACTTACGAGGTGATAAGGGTTGCCTTCGGCGCTCGCTCTTTCCAAGGCATCAACAGCTTGCTGCCCGTCACCGAAGGCCTCGCACTTAAAGCCGAGCTTCTGCACAAAAGAGACGGCGATCTTTTGGTTGATGGGATTGTCTTCCGCAACTGCCACTCGGAGTTTGTCCCGCGGTACCTTGGAGAGGTCAATGATCGATGTTTCTGATGGCGTGTTGACGGGGCTGAGCTCCGATGACAGAGGGTGGTCCATTGGGGGCGCAGCGTCCGATTTCGTGGCTTTCTTGAACCTCAACGAGAAAGACACTGTGGTGCCAACTCCTGGTGTGCTTTCAAGCCAAATCTTCCCGCCCATCACGTTCTCGATGATGGCTTTGCAGATGCTCAAGCCAAGGCCCGTGCCTCCATAACTTCGTGATGCTCCGTTCTCAACTTGACTGAAGGGCTGAAACAGCTTTACCCTCGCCTCTTCTGGGATACCAATGCCCGTGTCAGATACCGCGCACGTGATGTCGATGGTGGCTCTGTCTTCTCGGTCGACCTTGGCCATGACAGTGACCTGACCGCGAGCAGTGAACTTGTAGCTGTTCGAAAGGAGATTCATAAGGATCTGATGCATTCGCACTGGATCGCCTAACACGTAAAGATTGGGGTCGATTTCGAGCTGCTCAACTGTCCTTAACCCCTTCTCGAGATTGGTGTAAGACAGCGCCCGGACGACCTCTTTGATAGTGCCGGTAAGGTTCAGTGGCACCGAATACATCTTCATCTTGCCCGCTTCTAACTTGGTGAAGTCAAGAAGATCGTTGATGATTGACAGGAGCGTATCGGCACAGACACGAATGCTGTCGGCAAAGCCTATCTGCTCCGAATCGAGGCTAGTACCCTTGAGAAGTTCACTCATGCCAATGACACCGTTCAAGGGAGTCCGCAGTTCGTGCGACACGTTGGCGAGGAACAACGACTTGGCTTTCGAGGCTTCCTCCTTAAGCTTCATGTTCCTAACTGCTATGCTCTCCGCCTTTCTTGCATTGGCCAGGGCCTCTTTCTGCATCTCCAGCATTGCGGCATTGTTGGCGCTGGCCCGTCCAAGGTCCTTGAAAAGCAGAGCGTTGGCCAGAGAGATAGCTATCTGATTAACGAGCAGACGAAGCACGGTAATGTTGCGTTCCGTAAAGGTATTCGGAGGCCCCTCGAGATAGATACAGCCGAGCAGAGCTTCTGAGCCATGAATGATCGGAAGACACATCACTGCCTTCCCCTCCGGGTTGCGTCTTCGATGTGACTCTGGCACGTTAGAAAATCTCTCATCGTGGAGCAGGTTCTGCACGAATACAGTCTCTTTGAAGCGAAGCACATAGTTTATAACCTGCTTGTTGCCAACCTGATCGTCGACAGTGTCCAATGATTGTCCACCGGAGTAAGCAGTGACACCGTCAGGGTTGCCGACTGCAGCAATGCCCCAACCGATTGAATCGTCCTTGACGGCGATCAACCCTAACTCTGCACTGGTGGACTCTATGATGATCTCTGTCATCTTCGCAAGGAGCCGATCAACCTGTAGCTCTGAAGACAGTACTTGGCTTGACTCGAGGATGCTGGCAAGGTCGATCATGTCTAGTCCCACTGCTGCGAAGCCGCTACCCAGATCACCATGCTGTGCCGTACCTTCGGTTCGGCCAGGCATCCCCGGCGCAAGCCAGGCGTTTGTTCGGTCCACTGATGATTCGGCGCCGAGCTTCTCTACTGTCTGATCTTGGTTTTGCTCGAGCTTGAACAGACTGTTTCCGGTATCGATAATGTCAGTCTGACATCCCGCGTCTATGGTTCTCATGTAAGCGTCTCCTTTCAGTAGCCATTCATATTTCTCGGTGATCTGCTGGGCTTTGCCATAGGCGCCTACTCGCCTGTAAGCCGCTATGGAGTCCGCGGCTAACCGGCGAGCTGGCCTGCGTGCCCCAAAGGTGATGGAGTATCCTGCGTAGAGCTCGTAGATAAGGGCTTCGTCGAGGGTGAAGCCATTTGACTCGGCGTGATCCAGAGCCGCCTCATACATCGAAGTCGCCTTAACGCCTTCTCCCCTGCAATTGGCAAGCTCCGCATCAAGAGTGCATAGCCAATGCCGGTAGTTAACGTCGTTGACGCTTGCGCAGGAGCGTATCTTGTCGATGTACGAACCGACTTGTTGAAGTAGTTCATCCTTGTTTGGACGAGTAGGCTCCCGCCGTAGGATTTCCAAGTAGGACAATGACAGATAGAAGAGATTTGAATATGAGGTTCGCATGCTCCACAAGCCTTCGGACATGGGTAAAAGCTTCTCTCCCACATCAATGGCCTCAGCGATGAAGCCATACACGAAGAGGACGGGCAGCAAGCAGCTTAGATAGAAAGTCTGGGGTCGCTGGGGATTGGGAGAATTTGTGTCCATAAACTCAAGATACCGTGCGGAATCATGCTCGGCATCAGACAAGACATCGCCGGTTCTCCAATTGGTTTTACCTGTGGCCTGTCAGTACTTGAGCGCTCTCTCGCTGTGACGGGACAGCTTACCCTGCAACGCACGCGCAGACTGCCGTACAGACACGAGCATTACACCACCGCGCAGGTCCTGGTCCCAACAAGGGTACTCAGATGGCGCTTCATTAGCGAAAGTCTCTACTTCGGCGAGATCCATGCATGACCACAACTTAAATGCTGATACGATCCCAAGGTTCAGTAACGACAGTATGCGATCGCCAGCCGTTATGGTCGCGTCCAGAGCATGTTCCAATGTTGGAAACTGGTCATTCAGGTGGGTTTCGAGATGACCAATAAACAGAGCGTGAAGAGTTTCACCGCGTCCAACCGTATGCGAATCGACAAATTGATCCAAGAGGCTTTTGCCTATAGTAGCGGTCCGTGTCCCAAGATCAGTCTGGTCAAATCGTGCGACCATAATTGAGGCTAGGTTAATATAGCCTAGTCCCATTTGCGGCACGGTCCCCCTCGTGAGGTGCATTTCAACCATAAGCAAAGTCAACTGGTAGAAGAGCAGGGAACTAGTCCAAAAGGTTGCGCTTATTAGCTCCGCCAGAATCGAACTCGTAGTGAGCAGTACACGGTCTGTGGACGGCGGTCTTGAGAGCAGTGTATCCGTGTCGGCGTCTTTCAAAAGAGCGCAGATCCTATGATACTCAGAGTCGGACGACTCCCAGGTTGTATCCGGAATATCGAAATCCAACTCCTCTAGGCAGTGCTTCAGAGCCTGAAAAGCTGCAGAGTTGTCACCTTTGACTGCATACACTCGCGCTTTCAGGATAAAGCTAGGGGCCCGGTCGACAGCATCCTTGGCGTTGGTGAAAGTGTTCTGTATGAGGCCCAGAGCTGGCTCGAAATGACCCTCGTGCCAATGGCACTCAGCTGTACGCGTATAGAGTCTCAACGTCTCCTCGTAATAGACATCTGGCAGTGTGTCGTCCCAAGGGTTTTTCTGAAGCAGTTTCAAACAGTTTGTGTAATACTTGAGACCAGTGGGGCGTGCTCCAGATTCACAAGCGTTCTCAGCAGCTCGATAGAGGATATCGCGATACTGAACCCTATTGGAAACCCTGGATTTGATGAGATTGACAGCCAAGCAGATATGTCGGCTTCTCAAATATAGAGAACTTGAATTGAGAAGCTTGGAGCTTTTCGAGTCATAGTCTACCATCATCTTAGCTATTACAAAGTGCATTTCGTCTCTGTCATAGTGCTCTGTAAGTGTCAAAGCAGCTTGTAGGTAGCGATCATGGGAAAACCTAAAATGGTCTTCATCCTCGCCAGTCATCAGCACGTAGGATGACAGTGCGCCTTGAAGGGCGTCAACAATGGCCTGAGATCTCAGCCGGGGAAGGTTGAACGAGTCGGACACGGCGTTGTTCCCGCTCATAAGTCTTTTTACAAGGCTGAATGAGAACGAGTTGCCCATAAGCGATGCCCATGCGAGCAGCGACCTGGTCGCCGCAGGAAGTTCCAGTAGCTTTTTTGCGATAAAATCGTTGTTGAGCTGAGAGCCATATGACTGTGATTCAAGCTCAGTAAAAACGCGGTCGAGATTGTACTCCCACAACGAATCTTTCCAATTATAGAACAAGCACTTTTTCCTATGACAGACATCGAGAATTTCCCGCACAAAGAATGGGTTACCGTTCGTCTTCTCCTGGATGACCGCCACGAGCGGCAAGGCATATTCTTTTTCTCTGTGTAAGGTTGCCGAGACATATTCAGCGGTCTCTTCCTCGGAGAATGGGGCCAGTTGGATGTGAGTGGCAGAGCTTACGAGGGACCGCACCTTCTTCGGCAAGGCCTCTTCCTGACGGTAGGTGACTATGAAGACCATTGGGATCTTTCCAGATGCAATGCTCTGAATCAGCTCCACGCTCTCCTCGTCAGCGAACTGCATGTCGTCTATACAAAAGCAAATGAATTTCTGAACAGCTAACAGCCGCAGAACATCGAGATAGATATTAACAAGTCGGGAAGTCTTAGTGGAGCCCCCTGACCGGAGCCACTCTGCGGCGGTGTTGGTTGCGTTGCCGCAATGCATGGCTTGAGAGGACGAAGCACCAGCTCGGGCACTCCGCTGCGGTTGGTTGTTTGGTGAGACACCGGAGTTGGAAAGAAGCCATTCAGGCAGGTCCAGGTAAGAGTGTAGCATCCCCCATACAGGGCCAACGTAAACTCTGATATTGTTGTGGAATTGCGTGGAAACGTCGCTCTCTGAGAATATTTGGCGGAACAAAGAGGATATCACTCGGAGTAACGGATCAAAGGGTACTCTCTTAGCCTGGTCAAATTTCGCCCAGGCAAAATACCCATGACTCCGCGCTGCAGGCTGAATGCTTTGTATCAAACAGGATTTTCCAAAGCCAGCGGCGCCTGATATACTGATGAACTCAGTCCTGGCCTTTCGTTTGAGCTTCTTGACATTCCTTAGTAGTGGGGCTTGGCCGTCCGAAGACGTATTGGCAGGCGTAGATCGCTGCGTGCTGCTGTCAAAGCTTGGATGCGATACTCGACTATCAACTGAGAAATGAGGCGCTGGTGGAGGCCTTACTGCGGTACCGTCGCCAGAGGACTCCGATTTAAGCACGCTCTCCTGCGAGTCCTGCGGAGTCTTATTCGGTTTAGGAGGCGGTGCTGCGGATAAGCCACTGTTGAGTCTGCTTTGCGAGCCCTTCGAGCTTGTGGTGTCTGACAGAACTTCGTCCATTTGGTTGTTGTCGTAACGCGGATCGGAAACGGAGGAGGAGGAGCTGAGAGTGTGAAGATGCTGTGGGAGACTGGTGGATTGCACTTGGCTTACCCTATCTATCGCGTCGATGATGGTTTGCCTTTCCCTCGCGCGCCCAATCTGATGGGAAGGAAGATTGAAGAAGCAGGATACATCTTTTGTCCCAATGCAAAATGATTTGAGCCCCTCTGCATCGCCGTCCATCAAAAACTTCTGGATCTGCTGCAAGTCGTACCTGAGCGCCGACGTAGAATTGTATCTGTCGTCGATATTCTTCTGTGTCATTTTTTGAAGGACCAGAGAGAGTATCTCCGGTATGTCCATTCGCTTCGACGAGGCAGGCGGAATGCGGCGAGAAAGAACACTCTGCATAATCTCCAGTGGCGTTCGGCCTTCAAAAGCAGGCTCACCCGTAAGCATGGTCCAGAAAAGAACCCCCAGACTGTAGATATCTGTCCGACTATCGGGTTCAGCCGGCAGGCGGCCTGTCTGCTCCGGCGCAATGAACTGAAGTTTATGCTCCACTCCAACCTCCCGCGATAACACAGCCCATCCCGCAGACGTCAAGCCGTTCTCAAAGGAGCGAGCGCCGGAACCAAAGTTAAGCATCCTTACAGAGCCAGTCTGCTGGTTGAAATGGAAAGCATCACCACGCAGCTCTCCGTGGACAATGCCCAGTTCGTGATGGATAATCTCAAGGCATCGAGCCGCACCTATTGCAAATGCCAAAAAGGGCACCAGAGGAGTCTGATCGGGCTTTCTCATGCCATATGAGATCGGGCTCCCACTGAGCTCATTCGATGCGCCCCTGTAGAAATTGGGCCCAAATTCTACCAGTTCCCGCAGGTAGTTTTCGCCTGGAGCTTCGAATATTGCGGCGACCAAAGCGTCACCCCCATACCGCGCCGGAAGGCGCACCAGCTCGACTGGGCGGACGAAGTGCTCGCATTGTGGATCGCTCCGGCTAACAATCCGCTTACAGAGTTGAAATTCTCGTTCGATCCGAAGCACATGGCTCGACAGTCTTGCTACTACTTGCACAGTCTGAGACTCTCCTGTTGTAGAGGTGTGTATACTGCTAGTGCTGTCCGATGCTCTACGCAATTCAGGAAGCGGTCTAGTATCAGGGTTGGGAGAAGGGGCACTTTTCTGAGACCCGCTGGTAGCAGACGCTGTAGACGCCGTGTCCTTTGAGGACGGAGTACGGAAGCCGAAGAAGTGCCAGTTGTCGTATGACTGTCCGATGATTAGCTCTACTGTTGCTAGAGTAAACGTCCCCGGCAACGCTTACACTATGGAAAGGCGGCGTTTCCTTGTCCCAGGTATACTTGTCCAACGTGCACTCGGATAAGCGCATCAACAGCTGGCGTATCTCCGGTCCCATCTTGACGAGGCGTGGCTCTAGCAAAGCAAGTCCAGGCGGCTCAAATCATCCTCTCGTCTGTCGCGGAAATTGATGCGCTTGGGCGTGGCTCAACGCAGTCGCACGCGCTACCGCGACGCTCGCATGCTTCGGAGCACGTTCGGGGGGGCTTTGATATAAGGGAGGTAACCAACGGGTCAGGCTCCTGGGGCTCGTGACTTCAGGGCTGCATGCGCCGTCTAGGACCTCAAATTAGGTATTGTTGGCAAAGCACCCGCTGTCGAGTTGTTCCAAAGTCCCGCTTGGCATGAATTGTGCTTAGTAACGCTGTCTACCGTCGGGTGGCCTAGTTAGCTTCTGCCTGCAGGGTCGCGGAACCTAATGCTTGTGATGTCCTCAGTAACGGACTTTCCACACTGCTGGGTTTTGGGGCAACCTTGAATGGATGTCTTTGTTTCAGTTCCGCCTCCCCGGATGACGGCCGCCCAGCCCGCTTTATCAGGCACATCAGGGATATTCCGCATCCCGGCGGATGCGATAAGATCACCATCTCAACGCGTCCACGAAGCGCGACTCCAGCGCGAGCTTCAACTTCAAGGGTGAGCTCTACCGACACGCAACCATACAACGTCCTCTCCATCTCGACCCTACGCGCCTGCCAGTACACAGCGCCCGCAAAACCAGCAGCATTTGGGAAACCCTACAGCGATTTCTAGATGACATCGACGCGCACCAAGCAGGCTGCCCGCAGACGCAAGCGCGAGGATGATGCGGAGGAATACAATTCGGACGGCGGGTTTGTGGTAGATGAAGACACAGAGGATGCGCCCAAAGCGAAGAAGTCCAAGACATCAACCAAGTCGGCTGCAGCACCTAAGTCGGCCGCAGAGTTCGGCATGCAGAAGGACGACAACGGCGACGAATTCTGGGAGGTATGCGCCGCCCGCGAGACGCCCCACCACCGCACAGCAGCTGGAACACGCGTGCTTTTCAAACGCTTGTCGACTAACTTGACGGCCCCTGCTAGATCTCCGGCAAGCGTCGCGTCACTATCTCCACCTTCAAGGGCAAGAGCATGGTCAACATACGAGAGTACTACGAAGCGAACGGCAAGATGTTGCCGGGCAAGAAGGTGCTGCTCGCCTCTATCCTGTTACAATTTTGTCGCGGTTGAGACTAATCTGGAGCAGGGTATCACCATGTCAATCGAGCAGTACAATGCGGTTGTCGAGCTCCTTCCAGAAATTGAGACTGTCCTTACGGGGAGAGGCGAGAAGGTGCTCAGGCCGAAGTACGGCGGCAATGCTGGAATCGCGCAAAAGGACGAGGTGGACGAGGTTTCCCAAGCTGGGGATCAGCTTGATAGCAAGAAGAACTTCGAGGCCACCAGCGATGAGGATAACGAGGACTGAGAAGACACTAACGCGCTCAGATTCAGCTCTGCGGTGAGCTGGATTGGGGGTTCACGTGGACGATGTAACTTGCTTTCAATGCATCTTGATGCCTCGCATCCACCGGGCGCGGCGTTGGCCAAAGGTTCTCAGGGGCTGGAGTTCACAGTCATATCGGGGTTTCTTACATTTCGTGTCGCGTTATGTCTGGCTTAGGATACCCAAAAAGCGCTTGCTGATACTGCGGGACTGTAACCTACGTAGGCGGTTTTTCTCATTTCGTCAAAGCTCCATCACAGCGACCTCACTGATCCGGCCCTAAGTATATGGATCCGGACGGATGGTGTTTTCTTGCATCGGATATGCGGCAGATGCGCCGTTAAGGTAAAACAACCTGGACCCGAATCGATACTCAGGGCGTTCCAGTAAGTTCCATGGTTCGCGGCGGACCAATCTTTACCTTGACAAGCGAGACAGCAACTGCAGTTGTTGTTCCCGTATCAAAAGGCTGTCGTAGTTACTAGAAGGAATGGTCAAGTCAACGAACACCAGTTCTTTCTTCCTTTCACTAGCCTAGTGTCGTCGTGAACAAGCCGAGTTGCTTCATAATTTTCGAGTTTTGGTTCGTGGAATCGCTACCGGTAGTTGGAAGTCCTGTCTGAGCGACTGAGTAAACTGTAGGAAAGGACGTTTTCTGGAACCATACTTTATATCACTTTCACAATTACATAAACCCCCACCTCTACCCTCTTCGTCCTTCTTTCCCTCACCTTAAACCGGAATTCAGAGCCCCAACTGCTTGAAGATCTTTCTAGTCTTGCATCATCGACTTTCTGAGTCTTAGCATCAATATTGTACCTACTTGCTCCAGACATCAGTATTCCACAATGGGGCAAAGTGATGCCACCAACGTATTCGCGCAGTCCACGCTTGCCTGCGAGCACAGCGCCATGTCGCTGGAGGCTCCTGAACCCGCGATGCCAGCTCCCGGATTCTTGCACCAAGCGCCGGTCATGCAGTTGTACGCGCCTTCCCCAGTGTTCGCAGGCCCCGTCATGTTGCCGACGGCTCCTGGCCAAGTCGCACCTACCCAAAAGCTCCAACAGCAGGTGTGCTATGCGCTACCATACTCGACGACGCCTTCCATCGGCCTGCAACCCGGGCAACAGTACTTTGAGCAATTGTCGGTGCAGCTCTCGACATCGTATGGGGGGGCACATCACGCCCAATCACCCTACAGCAGCTCGTATCCAATGAACAACGCGGTGAACAACGCGCCGGCATGGCACTTTTACAGCACTTACGGTGCACCGGTGTACGGCAGTCCCTACGCTCCAACTCACGATCTTCCTCCCGCCTACACCGTGCATCCTCCCACTCCGATCCACGACATGAGCAACCATCCCTCTCCGCACGCCGGTCCTCCCTGCACTAGCACAGCGAGGCCACAACCGCAAAGCCAATACCAGAACCAGAATCAGAACCGATCGCGCTCGCCGTACATGCACAGCCCGTACATAGAGCGTGGCCGTCCGCGCGTCGACTCGAAAGACGACAAGCAGCAGCCCGCACCGCCGCACCCTCCACCCACAGGCTACGGGCGCTCGTTCGCAGACACGCAGCATGCTTCGCTGCGAGGCACGGCCCAACAAGCGCCATCGCCTCTTCTCACGCGCAACAACGCGCCCTCTCCGCGTTTGCCGCCTTCGCCGTTTCCAACGCATAGTGCCGCGCCTAGCTTACATCCGCCGCTGAGTGCCACGACGCAAGCGCCGCCACCACCCTATCCCGCGCACTCCATTCCGCCCTCACCACGTTCATACATGCTGCCGGCACACCTGCAACCAATTAAAGATGGTCGCTGCGTCCCGCCACCCATCCCACGCCCTCACGAAGTCCCCGAACCGGTGTGGGAGCTGTGGATGGGCGTCGCGCTGAACCAGTTCATGAACGAGCAGCCGGAAACGGCGTACCAGCAAGCAGTGCGTCAAATCCGATCACAGGTCAAGTGGGAGGAATGGAAGAAGTGGGAGATGTACAAGGAGGAGCGGCTGGGGCCGCGGCAGAACGCGCAGCTGCAGAGGCGGGATACGCGGGTGAGGACAGGGGGTCAGGATCAGGCGCGTAGCATGACCATGGCCATGAGCGATGCAGACGGCAAGGTGGAGATGTTTCATAAGGCAAGCTTTCCGGACATGGCGGTGCTTGCGGCGGAGGAGGAGCGGACGGTAAAGAAGAGTAAGATGCAGCAACAGTCGCCGGTGGCGCCGTAGCGAGGGATTCGAGTGCGGGCCAGTGAACATCGTGGTGGTCTTCGGTTTTTGACAGCGTTGCCGGGAACATGGGAATGGCGCTAGCCTTTTGGATTCTCCGTCTCTGGTCCAAGATCTATCCGCATTGTGTGAGGCACACCTCTGGCAGAGTGGTAGGATTTGGCGGGTTCAGAAGAGGCACGTTATGCAGCGATACCACAGAGTACATGTTAAAGTTCGACGTCAGATAAAACATGCGAGGCTTTCAGTATTCTTTTCCAATAATGACAGCTAGACAAGATATCGGGAAAGGGTTGAAAGGGGTAAGGTTGATATATTATGCGATTTGTGGTCTGAACGCGCCTATGCTGCCGCATTGCGCAGTCCAGCACTTCAGGAGAACGAAAACATCTTCCTACCGCAAGTAGCATCATACACATCCACATTCGACGATGGCCCATCGACATGCTCCCCTCCAATCCAGGTCTTTTTCACCTGGTACTTTCTTCGTGAAATAACTTGAGATAACTAGGTTACTATCTTTCCTTGAAATCCCAACTTGCGTAGCCAAAGCAGCAGGTTGGCAACAGATCACTTGAAACAGCAGCAGCAGCAGTTTTCTGGCTCGAAGGGTGATCGACTTGACTTGACAACCATTTAGCATTGATGGCTAGAATTATTGGAAAATATCAGAGGAGACTCTATGTTCTGCCGCTGCTGGAGACATGTTCTTTTACAGCTTTTTGTTCTTCGGCTGCACCACTGACAAGCTCTTTTAAACCCTCTTGACTTGTACCGTAGCGGAGTCCCTCGAGTCAGAGGACGAGAGTGTTCCTCGTTATCCTCCATGTGGCACTATACATTTCAATATATTCGATATGAAGAGGGTGGAACTTGGTGAGCTTTGACGACTCAAATGTCCAATTCCACTTCGATATGCAATATCCACGGCTTCAGGTAGCGGTGGCATGCAGGTCATCATGTTCCCTGTTATTAGCGTTCGTCGTCTTCGGCAGAGGGGGTTTTTAAGTATCGCTCGCAGTCAAGCGCGATACCGCATTTCTGGGCGGCCTGTACAGTAAAGCACCTGTACCATACCTGGTAGGCTAGCGTGACCCGTTTCGCACAAGCTTAGCATGCGTAGTAAAGTAATTGCTAATAATAGGCTCTTAAAGCTCAGCCTTGTGTCCCGCATTCCGGTGTCACTAAAGGCTTCAAGCCGGGAGTCAAATTCCTGTTCACAGCCGATACATCACCTTCTCAACGAGCACTCAGGCGGTTTAGCCGATCCTCCCGCAGAAGCCACATCGTGGATCCCGTCTTGAGCCTCAACGCCTCACTGTATTTCCTTGTGCCCTGAGGATGAGCGAAACTGATAGTTCGGCTCTCGGAGAGGGCGTCGGTAAGAGAACGCCGCATATACGAGCAAAGCTTGGCCGCTAGCTTGGCAGTCAGGTATCTCCATTGGATTAGAGTGCGATCTCCGCAAAGGATTTTCGAAGCGGGGGACGGTGTTGAGCCAATCCAGCCTGATTGATTTTAACATTTGTGCCTTCCGCCTTTTACCCGCCGGCCCCCACGAGCAGCTGGACGCGCGATGGAACAACTCTCCGCTGCTCATCCGCAGGATGTTGGTGCCAGGTAATTGGACTCTCTTGCATGCAGCGCTCAGCATAACGTCCTTGTCTCGTTCTGTGATGGCTCCATGCGTGAGTCGGGGAGTGATCGCCTTAGTGGCTGAAAACTCCTTTAGTGACCATTCATATCGCAGCTTCGTATTCAGCTCCAAGCCATTTCCTGGGCACCAGCGCCCATCTCACGGCTTCGAAGGAAGCGAGGCATGTTCTCAGCCTTGCTAAGCCGACTTCAGCTTATCGAAGATCCAGCCACTATTCTTGTTCCAGATGAGGTGTTCAGCTGCGCCGGACGGGAAGGCCTTTCTCAGAATGTTTGCTCCCACGCTTCCCCTCTCTGTATCACCTATTTCTGCTTCAGCGTATGTCGGCGTGTTCCCTCGCATTGAGGCTCAATCATCAACTCTACTAGGGCTCACTGCTGTATCATAATCTTTATCCCAGGATGGTTGCAATCAAGTGTTCGCCTAGAGTGACCTGCTTTCTGCTCCTCCAAGCCACCGCTCTCGTATCTGCGCAAGTCGCTACTCCAACTGCGTCTTCACAAAGTACCGAGTACTCATTCCTCGGCCCCGTGGAGACACTCATCGAGTCAATAGAGAGGTCAGCCTCTCAAGCGGCCACTACAGTTCTTTCAGGAGTTACGGCAGCGTCTGCAACGGCTAGCAGCGCAGCTCAAACTTACACCATCTCCGTTGGAATCGACCACAAGTACAGGCCGGATGTTATTCAGGCAAGCGCCGGCGACTCTGTCGAGTTCCGCTTCTACCCTAGGAACCATTCCGTTGTGCGAGCGGAATACATGTTTCCATGCATACCGTACGAGATGACAGGCCGAGGCAAGGTTGGCTTCTACTCTGGCTGGGAGGCTACCGAGGCTATACTCGACGATGTAAGCGCCGAATGCCCTTAGGGATAGGACGAGTGGAACTTTGCATTCCAACACTCATCGCCGCGACCAACGCTAACTCGCGCCCATAGCCTCCAACCTGGAACCTTCTCATCAACGACACCGACCCGATATTCTTCTACTGCTCCGTTCCGGGCTCTTGCGACGACTATGGCATGGTGGGCGTAATAAACCCGGTAAGTGACTCAGGCATTCTAGCCCCTGACCTTCGCTCATATCTGTAAAGAACAGAACCACTTCGCTAGAGACACAGCGCGGCCTTGCCCTACAAGCAGCCTACGTCCTCAATCCGGGCGACCCCTTCCCCGCCGAAGCATCCTCCTCGATCGCCTCGCTCGGATACGGCTACCCGACTGTTACCCCCGGCTCCTCTCCAACCGGCGCGACAACCAGCCCAACCGCTGCCGCCTCCACCGGCGGCACGAAGCTCGGCACTGGCGCCATAGTTGGCATCGCCATCGGCGGCGCAGTAATCCTCCTCCTCGCAGCCGCGCTCTTCTACTTCTTCGGGCGCAGCCGCTCGTTGAAGCAACAGCTCAACCGGGACTCCGCGACTGTGCCAACCTCAACGTCGCACCAGTTTGCCTCGCCACCCATGTCCCCTGCCCCGCATCACAGCCCGGACATGTACCAGTCCGGTGGCGCGGTGTTCGTGCCCGTGCATCCCAAAGACTATAGAGGTAGCACCATAAGCAACCCGTATGATGTCCCGCCATACTCGGAGGATCCGATGCGCGCTGCTAGCCCGAGGTCGGAGCTGGGCGGGTACAGCCATCCGGGGCCGGGCAGTCCGCAAGGGCCGCAGGAGATGTACGCGCCATTTCCACAGCAGGGGAAGGCGAGTATGTAGGCGAATTTGCTGGTCAAGGGGCGTTTTGATATCAGGGTGTTCGGATTGTGTTGCTACATAGGATTGTACTGCGACGTCCATTTGGGGGGCTGGTGGACTTTGCGCAAATTGATCCCCTTGTGTGTTTAGCCGGCGCTGAGTAGGGGAGTCTTCATTTGCGTGCAACATCTGGTAACCTTTCCAGCTAGTACTGAAACTTAGCACGTTGAACTTCTTAACCAAGTGCCTCGCCATCAAGGCATCCGATCTCTAAGTACTTCCTACGTAAGCATAGTATTACCGTAGCCAAAACAGTACACACGGTTATGATATCTCTGCAACAGACTAGGTAGGCGGTGACTGGTCGACAATTGGAAGTCGGGCTTGGCGCGGTATTTCCGGCCTGCGGCAGGGTCCCGTCTTGAGACATCCACCATGAATCCCACGTCTAGGAAAGGTAAAACCTCAGCACAATCCAGCCTACGCTGACGTCTCTGCCCAACACTTCGCCATATGTGCATTGTACATGGTCACGCACAAGAACAGCGGCTTCGAACCAGCTGCTCCTCCCCGCTCTCCGGTCGATCAACACGCATAATTCGGCGCAATGGCATTCCTATTTGGACGCAACAGACAGCGGGGCAATGCGGAGCTGGTAAAGTCCACAAAGGAGCTCATGCAGAAGTTGTTGCAGGAGGAGAAACCGTCTTCTAGAGTGAGCGTTGCGAGGAGACCCAGCGAGCTGGTCAACAGGCAGCTAATTGCAATCAGCTGGAGGAAGACCTGGCAAGAAATCTGGCACAAATGAAAACTACACTTCAAGGCACGCCAGGTACGACAGCATGGTCAGGCTACGCTGCTTCGAGCTCTCCCCTCCCCGCGTCACTCAAGCTGAGACTCTCTAGAGACTGAAGTCAGCCCCGAGCAAGTCTATCAGCTCGTAAACCTGCTTCTGCAGGAGGACCTCCTGCTCCTGCTCGCCAAGGAAGTGCATAGACTGCCATTCGAGGCCCGCAAAGACACCCAAGTCATACTCTCAAACGCTTTCCGCTACAAGCACTCTGGCAATAACGCTGCGGAACCCCTGGCACTTCACCACATAATATCGAACCGGCCGGAGATAATAATAGCACTGTGCAATGGCTACGAGCGGAGGGAGAGTGCGATGCCTTGCGGCGGCGTTCTACGAGAGGCATTGAAGCATGACGCTATTGCTGCCCTGATCCTCTACGACGAACCAGGCGCGCCTAGAGATCTGCAAGCAATCGACCCTTCTATCCCATCTTCAGGAGAGGGTGTGTTTTGGAGGTTCTTCGAATGGATCGACAAGGGCGCTTTCGAAGTCAGCGCCGATGCTTTCAATACTTTTAGGGTAATATAGATGCAGCCAGCGCCTGGTCTCTTGCACGCTAACGGGCGAGTAGGAAATTCTCACCAGGCACAAGCAAATAGTCGCAACATATTTACAGACCAACTTTGACTCGTTCTTCGCAAAGTACAACACGGTTCTCGTCCAGTCGGAGAGCTATGTTACGAAGAGGCAGTCCATCAAGCTCTTGGGGGAAATCCTGCTTGACCGTGCGAACTACAATGTCATGACGGCATACGTCGATTCTGGAGAGCATCTGAAGATCATCATGAAGCTGCTGCTCGACGACAGACGGATGATCAACTATGAGGGCTTCCATGTATTCAAGGTACAACTCAGATTCTCCTTCACCGCATGCTCGGCTCACGCGCAGTCAACGTTAGGTTTTCGTAGCGAACCCAAACAAATCCGCGGCGGTTCGACGCATCCTGGTCAACAACCGGGCTCGACTCCTGCGATTCTTGCCCACGTTTCTGGATGACCGGACCGAAGACGATCAGTTTACGGACGAGAAGAGCTTCCTCATCAGGCAGATTGAGCTCTTGCCCTCTTCAAATCCGATCTCACCGGCGCAGTGAAGGGATGAGCGTGACGGCGTTTGTGTTTGCATCCCATTGGGCGTTTCTGTAGGGTTCGGCATGGCTTGGTGTTGTTGGGAGTATATTCATAGTCGTTTGTAGAAAGTGCGGCTACCGCAGAGCGTGTGCACCATACATTGATGCCAGAAGAGATCGGAAGTAGCACCTTGGAGTGTTGACTTGTGTCCACTTGCGTACACTTGCGTTCACTTGCATTCACTTGTGTTCACTTTCCTCAAAGCTTAGAGATCTGAATCCGAGCATGCGAGCGACACAGTAAATGCTGACACCTTACCCGCGACGTTCATGCCGTTTGAACAGATCTCGCTGTAGACACGGTGAAGTACTCAGGCGTGCTGTCGCGCTTTACGCATGAACGACGCGTAACGCCAGCTTCGACCTAGATGGCGGACTGGATTCGTGCTGCGACATCTTCCTGATCTGCTACCTAGTAGTTGTGTTCAGTAGGCGTGTGGAAGTCCACGGAGTGACCTCCGCCGTAGCGTAACAACATGGCCAGCCAGCGACCCAGTATTCCAGATTCGCGCATGTCTTGTTCCCCATGCCGTTGAGGCGCGAGGCACTCAGACTTGCTACCCGCAGATTAATCAAGGTAAAGACATGTCCCATACTCCGTACACGGGGCTGGCATGGACAGATGAGGCTGAACTGCAGGGCCAGCCGATGGCGACGCACGCCCTCTCTAATTTAGCGCATCCCCTGCCGCAAACATGCCCTGTCGCTTCTTTCCGTCCGTTGGCTTCTGATCGCGCAAGCCGTTGCCGCAGGGGAGCTGCGACAGCCCGGCTCGATTAACGGTAACTTAACTACTGTGTCAGCTTGTCCCTCCAGCACCGCGGAACATCGTGCCTGCGCTGCCCTCGGTTTCCGGACCACTGTCGCAGCAAGCGCGCGTTGAGACACGCGCCCACCTGCAGTCGCTTCCAGTCCATCCCAGCCCATCTCAGCCCATCCCAGCCCATCCTGCACCCACGCCCGCCCTGGTTTGACGTCATCCACTCCTCTGCCCTTCGAATGAGAAACCAGCAGTTTGCCAACCCGACTCGTCCAAGCTACCTTCACACCCGTCCGCCCAACCTGATGTTGCCCCAGGCCAACCCCTGGCCCGAAGCAAGCTCGCCTCGACTGACTACCGTTGTGTCTGCACGTCGACGCGCGCGGAGGAGGAACAGGGGATGAAAGATGAGGCCTCCCTTGCCGTCGCCAAGTACTCGCACTCCTCAACCCACCGCCAGCGCGTCGCAAGCCGCTCCTAGGCCCGCGTTGCAGCCTACCGAAGGCCGACCGTCATCAGCATCGCGACCGCCTCTTCAGCGACAGAGTCCGTCGATAGTACCCGGCCGAGATGACGAGAACACGCCAAGACCAAACCCACTCCCCGCCGTCGACTCGTCAGTATCGACCGATGACAGCTCAGCAGAAAGCGATATAAGCAGCGGGGCAGATGAGGGCACAGAAGAGGACGAGGTCAGCACAAATGAAGGCGCCGGCCCGTTGAGGAGCAGTCGCCCAGTGCCTGGTATCGAAGAAGCCAGACTGCAGAGGCTGAGAGAAGCTGTTAATGCGAAGCTGTCGCTCGCTCAGCAGCAGGCCAGGTTCGGTAGCATCAACATGGCGGCGAGCACTGGCAGTCTGGGTGCGCGCAGAGTCTCTCCCATCAAGGAGGAAGACCCACGAACCATTTCGCCGTCGCTTGATGCCTCGTTCAGCAGTCCCCTGCCGACTGGTGCCCAAAGCTCCTCCACGCAGTCGACAGAATCGCAACGGACGATACGTGGTAGCGTACCCGCGACACCTGCTCAGCTACCCGTCAGAACTCCTTCGTATCCGTTTCCATATGTTCCTGGCACCCCAAGGACGTGGTCGTCGTCCTTCCACCAGCCCTTCACTGCATTGTCTCCGACAATAGACGCCTTGCACACCCGAGATACGGCAACCCCTCGCGAAAGAACAATGTCCGGTGCGAGTACCCCAGCCGGCTCTGGCGCGACGTTCATGCCGCCCGGAACTTCTCAATCCGCTCTTGAAGACCCAAGATACCCTTCGCCAAACATGTATGACCTGGTTCTTCTTCTAAACTCCGAGCCAGGCCTTGACGCTTGGTGGAGCAGTGTTGTCAAAATCATGCATGAGAACTACGGTGCTCAGAGGGTTACACTCGCGGTGCCCGCTGATGCAGCAGACATTGAGAATGTGCCTTGGGGCCAAAAAGCGACGTTCAATGCCGCTGCTCGTGGAGAGCTGTGGCCACCAAGTGATTCTTCGGAAGAGAAGCTGCCGGATGCACCAAGACTCGACAGTGCTCATAACTCACTTCGAAAGGCTGAGGATGAAGACACTCTGCCGGCTGCTTTCTCGGCTCTTCGGAACAGGCCAAAGCTGGTCTCACGGCATTCCTTCGCTGGACACGAACGTCAGAGGAGGGATCTGTCTACGGAATATGACGGGGCTCCTGCGCGCTTCACGCGGCCCAGAGCTCCATTGAGAACCGTCAGCCATGCGCCTCAAACCACACCCCGCACCGAAGTGCGAGTGAGAAGTACGCCACTTGCTCAGATGGACCCATCGCCCCAAAATCGGCCGAACAGGATGAAGGAGTCAACGTTCAGTGATCCTGACTTCTCAAGTCTTGCTGGCGATGCTGCAACAGAGCCATATGCGGCTGTCTTCCCCGTTCTTCGTGCGTTGGATCACGAAGCGGATGCGCTAATAGACACCACCGGCATCAACCGCATTCTTGAGCGTGGAAAACTCGTCACGTTGACCAGAGACTACTCTAGTCCTGCTCCATCACATCGGAGGGCATCCGATCTCTCTTCGGGCTCTGAAACCGCAGAACTTCCGACGAATCCACCCACCAGGAGTCAGGGCCAGCAGACATTAACGGAACCGAGAGCCTCGCAGCCTTCTCGAGATATCAGAAGCCGCACAACTAACCCGGCGCCATCGACTGGCGTAGAAGTAGAAAACAGGAGGTTGTCCATCAGCTACCAGGAATACGAACAGTTTCCTTCCTCGCCATGGGCACAGTCGCCGGCTCCATCACCAGCCATTCAGGCAGATCCGGAGGATAATCCTTTCTTTGCTACGACGAATGTGGATGAAGAGTCATTCAACCCAACCGAAGTTGCGCAGGACTACTCTCGATTTGACCCGGTGGAAGCCATCGGTATTGACAGAGCAAGCACGCTCACGCATCTGCCGCTGTTTCATCCTAGTCTTTCACAAATTATGGAAGCTGGTAACCAAGAGTCGCCTTTAATCACACCTGGAGTGCGGCAAGGCGCAAGGGACGAGCGCAGGTCAGATGCTACAGTTACTACTGAGCGTAGTGGATTCCAGAGAAGGGCACCGATCGCCATTCTGTCCCTACTTTCGTCCACAGTTCCGTACCCTCAAAACCTGACGCAGAGCCTGAAGATGCTTGGTCCACACTTTGCTACCTCTTTCTCCAATGCCTATCAGTATTCTACGGCTCTTCGCCAACTTACTGGGCTCCGTGTCCGGCGCAGCATCCCTGGCTATCAAGAAGGTTCTGAGTCGATCACTCCAGACACTGCAACTCTAGACAATCTAATGCATCTCGATATTGACGAAATTGCCAGCTCGACTGCCGGCAGTATAACAAGTCCTTCCGACTACTCTGGCTGTTCACGACATAGCCCTGGTGGGTCAATATCAGGTACCCCAGGATGGGATCCTGCGGCCATCGGCTTCTCTTCTAAGCATCCGCTTGGAGATACGCCTGGCCATTTGGCGGGTACTGAGGTAATTGACAGCTACTTTGATGCTAAGAAAAGACAAGGTGGTCACAGGGCTCCGACCAGCGTTGCCAGTGCACTTTTACAACAGGGTCAGCAAGCGGGCAGGAGCTCACCTACTCTTGAGCACCGCGCCCCATCACGGCAAGTCACAATTGCGGACCGTGACGACATAATACCAAAGACTGAGCAGAAACCTAGAAGCCGAGCGAGGGACGAGAAGACGACTTTAGCGGTGCACACGGCTCGAGAAAAGAGTCCAAACCGTCAAACGGAAGTTACCTCTCCGCGACGACCAGGTTTCCGTACTACTCCCTTCTCGCAAGACCAGGCAGACCGGCGGCATTCGTTACTGCACTCGTATGGTGCTGACTTCAGTTCCACATTTCAGTCCTTGCCTGCTGCAACAACGCCTGGTCTCCGTACACCGGGACCCCTTCATTCGCATGGCAGAAGTGGACCTGGCCTGGACACATTTGATATGCCCCCTCCCTCTGAGCGTTTGCTACGAACTATCATCGATTCTTTACCAGTCCAGATATTTACCGCAAAACCCGACACTGGGGAGCTGACCTGGGTTAATTCCAAGTTCCTAGTCTATCGAGGTCAGGATTCGCGGCAAGCCATACAGGATCCTTGGCGGGCAATCCATCCTGAAGACCGCGAGGAGTACATGACTGCGTGGTATAGGTCTCTTAAAACCGGCCAACAGCTGCAAGCAAAAGTCCGGTTGCAGAGATTCGATGGTCATTACCGTTGGTTCTACGTACGGGCTGCTCCGTTGAAGGACAAGAGACAGAGCATAAGGCACTGGATCGGTACGAATATGGATATGCACGAGCAACACATTGCTGAACAAAACTCTGCCCGTCAGCAGGAGACAGCGGCGTCGGAGGCCAAATATCGGGCGCTTGCTAACTCGAGTCCGCAAATCGTTTTTGCTGTCACCAAAACCAGAGGAGTAATCTTCTGCAATTCGCAGTGGCTGACGTATTCTGGCCAGACAGAAGAGCAAGCTGCTGGAATCGGCTTCATGGACTTTGTACACCCTGATGACTTGGGCAAGTGCCGGCTTCCGGCCTTCAACGAGGATGGATCTCTACCTGTGAATGTACCGACAACAATGCCACCGGAATACAGACGATCGCAGTCTTCCTCTTCATCCGGAGGATCCTCGGAGACGAGTCGTACGGTCACAAGCCCTGGACACTCACCACCGTCAGCCATGGAGCTACCGCAAGCGAAGCTGTCTAAACTAGCTAGTACCGGAATCCTCAAGGTGTCTCGGGACTCGGATGGAAGGCCTTCTTACTCCACCGAAGTACGTCTCAGGTCCAAGGACGGAAATTACCGCTGGCACCTTGTACGGATCCTGCTAGCCGAGCCAGTTCACCAAGAGTCGGGTGAAGAAGAGACATGGTACGGAACGTGCACAGATATCAACGACCACAAGCTTTTGGAGCAGACGCTAAAAGAGACCATGGATGCCAAGTCAAGGTTCCTCAGTAATATGTCCCATGAGATTCGAACACCTTTAAATGGCATCACGGGCATGGTCAACTTTCTGATGGATGGCAACCTGAATTCAGAGCAGATGGAGCATGTCAATGTCATTCGGAGCAGTGCAGAAGGCTTGCGCGACCTAATTAACGACATTCTCGACCTTTCGAAGGTTGAAGCTGGCATGATAACGCTTGCATGGGACTGGCTACACATTCGTTCGCTCATTGAGGAAGTCAATGATCTGACTTCTTCTTTAGCCATCAACAAGCGACTGGAACTAAACTATATCGTTGACGAGGATGTTCCTTCCATGGTCAAAGGCGACAGGTTCAGAATCCGCCAAGTCCTGCTGAATGTCATTGGCAATGCGATCAAGTTCACCAAGCACGGCGAGGTGTTCGTTCACTGTAAGATGGCCCACGAGAAGGGAGCGCACCTTTCTGAACATCAAGCGATGATTCGCTTTGAAGTCAAGGATACCGGCAGTGGCTTCAATGAGAAACAGGCCGAGTTTCTGTTCAAGCGTTTCAGTCAGATAGATGGCAGCAGTACCCGACAACATGGCGGTACAGGCCTGGGGCTCGCAATTTCTATGCAGTTGGTTGAGCTACATGGAGGACAGATGAAAGCCAACAGTGTGCCTGGAAAGGGGTCAACGTTCACTTTCTCGATCAAGTTTGGCTTGCCTCATGAGGGAGACGAGCCACCACCTCCACCTGTCACGCCAGGACAAGGACCACGATCTACCACCGCTCCGCCATCCCTGCCCACGCAAAGTCCTACCTCCACGCGAGCTCAAGCTCAGCAGTATGCTACGCCACAAGTCCTCCGGCGTCAACGGATTAGCGACCCACCAGCTCCGAACATCGCGTCTCCTACAACTATCTTCGGTTCCCCGTCGCCCTCCTCCGCAAGCTCCGATCCGTCAATTCGTACTGGCGCAACTAGCATTCGTTCTGAGCGATCCTCGGCTTCTTCCTACGTTTCCGAGCCATCTTTCATTCCAGCGACCCACGTAACACTATCTCCACCGCCAGAATCTCGGGCGAATAGAGCCGAGTCTCCAGCGCCACCGCGCACACCGGCGGGTCTTTCTGCCGCACTGGCACCTCTGATGTACTCGATCCTTGTTGTTTGTCCTCTTGTTTACAGTAGAGAGGCCACTGTCAAGCATATCGAGATGACGCTCCCTAAGACTATCCCACACCAGATTACAGCGCGCGGCGACTTGACCGAATGTCGCGAGATGATTGGTGGCGACGATCCTGTAATCTTCACACATATCGTACTGGTATTGCAGGAAGTCGGGGACATCCTGCCCTTCATGGACCACGTTCTGAAGTCACCCTCTCACTCCTCGACTGCGATCGTCGTCGTCACGGATCTGATGCAGAAACGTGAGATTGTCCGGGCGGCACCGCGGTACGACTATGAGCAGCTACAGAAGGACGGCCGTCTGCTTTTCATCTTCAAACCATTGAAGCCCTCTAGGATTGCTACCATCTTCGACCCTCAGAAGGAGAGAGAACTTAGCACGGATAGGGCCCAGGACAGCGCTCAGCAGGTGGCGGTTACTCAGAAGCAGGTATTCGATGAGATGAAGAGACGGCTCGGCGACAAAGGTGTCCGTGTGCTTCTGGTGGAAGACAACCAAATCAATCAAACGGTACGTAGCTGCCAGCCTTTGACGCTCGATCTGCTATCTAACGCTCTTCAAAAGGTTATCCTCAAGTTCCTCGGCAAAATCAACGCGACCGTCAAGACAGTCACGGACGGGATCCAGTGCACAGATGAAGTCTTCGCCCATCCGCACGACCTCTACTCAATCATATTAGTAAGTCGTTGAAGCGATATCGCCCGAGAACCAATCTAACACCAACAGTGCGATCTTCACATGCCGAACAAGGACGGCTACCAGACCTGCAAAGAAATCCGCCGATGGGAGCGAAAGAACAAATACTCGTACCTGCCTATCATCGCCCTGTCCGCAAACGTTCTGGGCGACGTGTACGCGAAATGTGCCGAGGCCGGATTCAACTCTTACGTCACCAAGCCAATCGACTTCAAGGCCTTTAGCCGCGTGTTGACCAACTTTCTGGATCCAGACGATCCGAGTAAACCTCACGAGTTCATGCGGCCGCCGAAACGGGAGTGAGAACTACTCGTGCAGCGATCTTGTGTTGCGGTGTACTGCATTGGGGCATTGGCGCAAGGCGGGTCAGTTTGGGAAACAATCAATACAACGAGACTGGAGAAACGGCGAGCATTACGCCATCTATTTTTTGCTTTCTTTCCTTCACTCTGGTTTAAGCAGCATGGGAAGCGAGGTGGGGAGCGCATGGCAGCGTCTAACGCAGCATCAAGTCGGCGAAAGGGTCTGCTTCTTTCAATCACACTCTTTTCGGGGTGTTTGAGGGGCTATATTATTGGGGTTCATCTGCATCTATCGAAAATACTTCTCTCGGTCACGATTGGCATACCAGGTAGCGGGTAGCGGCGCGGGCTTGATTGGGGGGATGCTTGTACGCTGTAGAATAGATACTACACACTTCTGATATGGTGCAACTTGATGGCAGAATATTTCCAAACAGATTGACTTGATTGCTTCCTTGAAGCGGTGTGTACTCCTTCTAGCTTCGAGGTGGTGAGTTTGCACAGGGCTCCGTGGCAAGAGAAGATGTACAAGAACGCAGAGGGCAGGATCGGAGCTAACGTGTAAGGCGTACTCATGTCGCCGGAAAATGATTAAATTGCCAAGATCGGCTTAACTGGTGACAGACCGCTTTAAAGAGAGTTTAGCTCAGCCAACTCTACAAGTTATCCTTAATATTACCTTAAGACCATCAAGATTATTAGCGATGTAAATACGTTACGTATCTATACTTTATATGCGCTATATTATTATATAATGGAATTAAATTATTATCGCGTAGACACTATTTATAGCGTCTAAGAATAACAACACCTCATTTTCTGTGTTCTGCGTGTGATTTCATGACTTTCCGGCGACATGAGTATTCCGCGGGATCGTTACTTGATGAAGTCCACTTTACTCAATGCGTCTGCTTGAATCTCCCATATCGGCCGGCCTAGTTCAATGAGACGCTTTCCAAACTGGTCAAGTACACTCTCCACATAGGCCTCGCTCGCCATGGTCTTTTTCTCTCCTGTACCCTCTTCGCCTCCAAATGTTGCACGCTGCCAAGCTTGCTTCCATGTCTCAACTGCCGATTTCGCAGCACTGGTCTCTGGCCGCACGTCAGTCGCGACAAGGTAGAAGGACGATCTTATTGCGTGCTTCCGCCGAGGCTTGAAGAGCCGGATCGAAGAAAACTGGCTAAACAGGTGCAGAAGCTCTGTGGTATCCCATACCTCTGTTTTGTGCAGCAAAATAACCAGCGTTCCCCCAGTTCGAATGCGTTGCAATGCCAAGATCAGCTGGGAAACGGTGAGGCGGAGTGCTTCCTGAAGCTCGCGGTATTCAGCCCTCTGATGCGTTCGTAGTACTTGGCCGTCGCAGAAGACTAGGTGAAATCTGTGTTTTCGGTACGGGCGATCGTTTAGGAAGTTGGCTTGCTCAGGATGCGTGATCGGGATGTTCTTGATGCCAAACTCTTTGGCCAACATTGTGATGTCGAGGTGTACAACGTTGCATTGGGGGGACCGCAAGAGCACCTCGTGGCCGCCCTGAGCGGATGGAAGAGTAATTCCAAATGCTTTTGCTGTGGGGTTGTACTTCAAAGCACTAGCCGTATACCCGCCAGGGGCCATGCATAGATCCAGAATCTTGATATCTTCGTCATCACAAGGTGTTTGGCTGAGCGCTTGTGTGCTGCGTTGCAACTCGTCACCAATTTGGCGCATCATCTCGTAGAACCTAAGAGCAGCTTCCTTTCCAGCGTTATCGGCCCTCTGTCGTTGCTGTTTGAAGTACCCGTCCCCACGTGGATTAGCCCATCCCTGTTTTAGCGGTGTTTAGTGAAAGCATTGAAGTTCTCAGCCAGAGAATGACCTTTTTCCGCAGCTCCTCCAGTCTGGCGAAAGCCGGTTCGTGCTGCAGCAGAAACTCCCTCAATGTCGCATCAGGACTCCGAGCTTTCGAGCCAGCTTCAGCTTCACTTCCGCCGCTGATGGACGGTGAGGAAGTAGAGATCATCGCCTCGACGACAGGAAAACGGGCTTAGGCCGCTTAACAACAGATGATAATCGTAATGGATCCTCTAGCGGATTGAAAATTGACAGTAAAGCTGACGCGGAAAAGGTTGCTCCAAGAAGGTCCGACGATGGATGAAGACAGATCTTTCTCTAGTAGTTCTCTGCCATACTGTATGAGAGGAGGTATTTAGGGGGGAAGGGCGGAAGTTCGAGTACATCTTGGAGGACAGCTGTGCCGTGATGGCGCAGCGTTCAGCCTCGCGCCAGCCTTGCACCATCATCGTCAATCATACCCTGGGTGGTCTGGTTATGCATGCAAGATATCAGGGTTAAACCTGTTAGCTACTGCGGGGCTAGGTTGCGAAAGGCGTTATAGCCTTCGGGAGCGCTCCTGCCATCACTGTGAGTATCTAGGTAGCGAGCTTGCTTGAGTAGGCTCTATTTGTACTTCTTCTCACGTGTCATGCTTCACACTCGCCTGAAGCGGCACAGGTTTTATTAGGGGAGCTTAAGCAGAGTGAACTGTACAGCCTTGCAGAACGCTTGAGATGTTGTCTTGCTGATTCTAGTACTGATATCCACAATGTCTCACGTCCGAAACTTTACTCTGCATGGCCGCATAAATTGAGCCGACTAGACCTTGGCCTTAACGATGCGGCTTCTATCTACCGATGTTGTCTACCTGGATCTTACGATCTCTGCCAACTTTAACACCTCCGCGCAGCAGAATGCCTCACGCCTTAACATAAGCGTCAAACCACTGCACGGCCTGATAAAACGCCTGCTCCTTCGCGAACCTCTTCTCCTTGTTGTCAATCTCCGCCCTTACCGCGAAGCCGTGCTCGACGCCCGAGAACAAGTTGATCTGGTACGGCACGCTCATCTTATGCAGGATCTCCTCCGTCTCATGTCGCTTCTCTGCGGGAAAAATCGAGTCCGTTTCTGCGCACGATGATCATCAGCCAACACCTCCATATATCCCTACCAGCCTCTCGACCGGACACTCCCCACGTACCAGCAGCAGCAATGCTCAACGGCCCCTCAATACCCCTCAGCTCATCTGCCTCCATGAAGCTTGGGTGGGCCGTATAGCCCGCGTCTAGCTTCCCCTTCTTGAGCCAGCGCGCAACGTACTTGCCGCCGAAGCAGTAGCCCACGCCGCCGATGGCCTTGCAGCCCAACTCTCCGCGCATGTGCTTCAGCGTCGCTTCGATGACGGGCTCGACGCGCGAGGTCGGGTGCTTGTTCAGCCAGCCCATGAAGTCGTGGTCGGCGGGCCGGTTCAGGGGGAGAGGGTCGCCGTGGAAGAGGTCAGGCATTACGACGAGGTAGCCGTTGGCGGCGAATTGGTCGGCTATGCTGGTTTGGGGGGAAGGTTAGGATTGGGGCTTTGGTGGGTGCCGCAAGAAGGCGACTTGGGTTGGGGTTAGGGTTGGAGTGTGAGAGAAGGGCGGTGTTGAAGCGGGTTACGGGCGTACAGTTGGACGTTGATGAACTCGTGGCCGATCACGTCCGTGAGGATAAGGACGGCATTATGAGTGCTCTTGTCTTTGGGGTAGGAGAAGTAGGTTGGCGCTTGGTGAGATGCCGTCAGTACGCCAGTCGCTTTCGTAGAAGTGATGATGGGTGCGCTCACTGTCTCCGACATTTTTGATCTCACCCACTGCTTCCCCTTCATGCTTGACGCCGATTGTGCAGCATTGGGCTGGTGGATGGGAGGTCATTGTGCGCGGTTGGAAAGAGGAAAGATGGCAGCAACAGCGGAGTATCAGACTCAGAACGACGTAGAGAGACAGGAAAAACGTAGTGTATTTAGGAAACTGACGTAGCCGGAAGCTGTTCTCACATTCTCTTACATATGTAACCCGAGGGGCAGATGGATATTGCCCCGCCAGTGTCAACTAGAGGCCATGTCGAAGAGCCCTCACGGATCTGGTTGGATCTGCCCCGGTGAGAGAGCTCGGGAAACCGAAAAATGACCGATCTCCGAAGGCGGTAAGAAAATGACTTGCAGCATGCCAAATCAGATTGATAGTTCGGTTGTTCAATGTACTCAAGCAATATCACTGGCGAACGGCCAAACATGGGGTAGTTACCAATGTCACAATGCAAGAGATTGTAATGTCGCTGCGTTGGCAAAAGCTCGAGGCTGCGTTGACCTCACGAGCAGGCATGGGGGAAGGTTTAATCTATCTGAAGTTAGCAGCCAAGGCCACGGCGGATGTCAACCAGGCGACAACGAAGCGTCATCTCATTTTAGATCTTTAGAAAAAAGAGGAGGGGATCTTGCTCGTAGAAAGTAACTCGCTATGTAAAATCCAACCTCCTCGCAGCTGCGCTTCCTCCTATAGACCAGCTAGACGATCAAGTATAGACTGGTCAAAAGACTCGGCCCAATGAAGAGTCCAATCCAGAACATGACGTTCCCCAGCACGTTCTTCCCTTTCATCAGCCTGGTCCTGCTCAGCGCCGCAAGCGGCAGCTGCGCCAACTGCATCGCAAAGAGGTATCCCCTGACCTTCTTGAAGAGACACAGCATAACAAGCTCATGCACACACGCCGAGAGCAAAAACGTCACAAACATGGCCGCCATCTTGCTAAGATGGAACGCCGAGATCGACGAGTGATAAACATGCCTCAGCAAGAAATTATGCACCGGCCTGTTCCAATCCCTCGCGTACTGGTCCCAGGAGACGCTGTTCCACCAGTCACCGTAGAAGCCGCGGTCGGCGAAGCGGGTGATCTCCGCTAGCACGTTGAGGACGCACTCCCAGATGACGTACCAGGAGAGCAGCTGCTCCAGCAGCAGCGGGATCAGCATGTCGCTGAGGATCCACGGAAACTCGTTCCAGCGCTCCTGCAGCGTCCAGCCGGCCTCCTTCATCCGGACTGTCTCGGCGACGGGCGGGTAGATGTAGGCTTGCGAGATCACCATCATAACCCAGATGACGCCGAAGGTGGCTGCCGTTTTCTCCGCGACGTACCACCAGTTGATGTGCTCCTGTCTGGGATACTCGAGCTCGTACACCAGCGTTGGCAGACACGTCCAGTCGGCCCAATTCCAGAGGGTCAGGTTGTTCGGGTAGCTGTTCGAGGTGGTGGTGCATTTGCCTTTGAGTTCCTCGGTAAGGACGCGGATCTCGGAGCGGATGATTTGCTCGAAGGCTTGCAGCTGGTCGAGATCGAGCGGCTGGCCGGACTCGATGGCGGTGGCTATTTCGGCAATCTCAGACTTCTCGGTTCGTAGGTTTGTTGATGTCTTTGATTCGATAGAGCGGCGGCGTTGTAATAGACCCTCTCTTCCTGATTGATCTAATGATGTAAACGAAAACGCCCGAGTAGGGCTGTGTGAGGGTGATATCGGACTCGCTATTGGTTCTATCTTCTCGAGCCGCTTTAGCTTTTGCTCGAGAAGGGCTCTGCGGCGGTATACTTGGGATACTACAAACGAAAGTTAGACAAGCCAGCTAAGACCACGTGCGACGCGCAACTCACAGTAGCCATTGTAGAAAGAATAACTGTGCTGTTTCATTAGGAAGACCATAGCATGAAGCACAGTGAAGATGGTATGAGTCCAGGGCCACTCCCGGTACCACGTCCAACCGATGATGGCGAAGAGGTAAAATGTCTGCCAAACGTTCTGTATTATCCAGCCAGAGCTGTTCCAGCGCAGCCAGTCCTTCAGTATGATCCGTTGCAGTACCAGCCCGAACGCTGTTGCACCGCACATGACTCCATCAGTGAGACCGAGCACCAGGAGGTCGCGGTCGAACATCATATGCAGGAGCTCTGCTCCTCCGAAGACGGTGCCATGAGCCCTCCAGTTTTGCGCCGCTACTCTGAGCAGCAGTCCACCCATCACCAGCCAGAAGAGCGTGAAGAAGCCATGGAAAGCCGATCCCGAACTCGCAGGATTCTGCCGGTCGAATGTGGTGAACCGCCGGGTAAATATGAGGTCTCGGAACTGGTTTTGCTTCCTCGCATGCTCGGAGTCTCCAGCTTCTCGTTGTATGCCTTGCCGAAGCACTTCACGTATCTCCGGATCCTCCGCGGTGAGGACGTACCGCCCTTGGTTGGTCCTCTCCACGATGACTTGTACGCTCTTCCGCCGTGACCGCAGGAGCTCCTCTGACTTTCCGTTCATGGACGGTGCTCTGACAGCTTCGTACGATGGGCTGCTCTCGCTGCTGACGGATGCGTTGGCCTTTCCTGCTAGCATGGTCCCTTCTTTCTCCACTCCCGCGCCCTTACTGCCTTCAACGATAGCGGACGGGTCCGGCCTGAGCTCATCATAATCTTCTTCGTCGGATATGCTGGAAGGCTCGGCACTCCAGTCGTCGCCACTATGATCGGTGACCGTGAGACGCGACGCGTCGAGAAGCGGTACGTCAGGGGAGGTACTTGTTGACGCCATTCCGTGGAGCCGCTAAGGTAGTCGAGTAATGCCTGCAGACGATGCTGTAAGGCATGCCCGCCGATGCCGCTTTGCTTTCTTGGAGAAGTCGGGCTGATTAAGTAGTCCGAGGAGTAGCAACATCAGTTTCCAGAGCAATAGCTGCGGCTAACAGGCAGGCTAAAGAAGCAAGTGATCTGTGAATGTTTGGTCGAATTCTTGCATGTGCTGATCAACGTGTCCGGTGCCATCAAATAACCTTGGCAGTGCAGCTCCAGAAATACCCAATAAGGAAACCCGAGCGAGCCCAGCTTGCACGTTCCTCAAGGCAGACATTTAAAAATTCACATCGACGCGTGTACAGGTCTGCGAGCAGGTTGAGGATAGAGAGGCGCACGCAGATTTGACCGCATCCATTGCTTTGTACAATACTCAGGCCAGTCCATACGCATGTGATCACAACACGTATATATCCCTTATTCTCGCAAACAGATCCCCATTAGGAACAACACCAGCAAATGCCCGCCCCGCAAGAAGCCTAACACCGTGTCCAGAGAACCGTGCAAAGCTCTTGATCCGCGTCAAAATCATGCAACAGGCATCAAAACATCAAACGACCCCGTGCCAACCTTACTCATCTTACCCATCACAATCCTCGCGCTGGGATTCTTCAGCTCATCCCAGTCCTCCTCCAGCACCGCATCCCTCAAGAAGCCCACCGTAGTCTCAAAACTCATCTTCATGAACGGACTAACATTGCTCTTCAATCCCATGCGGCTGAAGGCCGTGTACCCGCCGCCACGCGTCATCGTGTCGGCGATGAGGTTCAGATGGCGGTGATCGACAGAGATACCGTGGCCGCTGAAGACAGCGTGCATTTCGCGGACGATGTTGGCGCGACACGCTTCGACGCCGTAAAGGCGCAGCATAGCGGCTATGTCGTTCGTGAAGAGCTTGTTCGGGTTGATGATGTTCTGGAGTTCTGCGTCTCGCATGGCGATGAGATTGACGCCTTCGGTCATGACAATCGGGACTTCGACCTCCTTATCAGTAACTGGGTCCTTGGCTTTGTCGGTGGTGTACAGACAGGCTGATAGGCCCGGGATGGCTTGGATGACCGCATCCCGGCAGGCGGTTTCGACGAGGTTAAGCATCAGTATCTTGGCCGTTTCGGCAGAGTACTCGAGGGTGACCTCGCACCACTGGCCACTCTTGTCGTCGAACTCGAAGGCCACGACGTCCTGGTTATGCTGCTTGATGCGCGATTCGCGTTCTTCGGGGTCGTCCTTCGCTGGTTTGTCCTCGGCTTCGGATTCATCGCCACTAGTGCCCTCCTCGCTTCCACCATATGCCTCATCCTCCATGTCAACGTCTGGTGACAGCTCTCTACGTCCTTCAGCAATAATGGCTTGCTCTTCTTCGCCTGGGGCACCATAAGACACTTGCTCGCTCCGGTTCTCTCGTTGCTTCTCATTCGTCGCATCGTCATCCCCATCATCGTCTCGATCAGCGTCTCCGCCTTCCAGTTCGGCTTCTGGTCGAGAAGGAGCCTGCTCGATTGGACCGGCAGACTTGCCAATCTCAGGTAGTGCATCTGATTTGGCTGCCGCCTTCAGTGTCTTCTCGTTTCCTTTCTTCTTAAGCTCGGCTCGAGTGAGCTTTTGCAGACGAGGGAGGAACTTGAGCTCGAGAGCCCTCACCACGTCTCTGATCTGAATGGCGTACTCCTCCATGTACTCGTTGGATGGGAAGAAGTCAAGTCGAATTTTGTAAGTCTTGGCTTCATGATACGCAATGCCGCGTCCAATCCGCTCCTTCACCGAGACTTTGTCGATGACCTCCGCAAGAGAGAGTCTACTGATGCCCTTGGCGAAGTTCTCACCTTCCTCCTTCGTAGCTTCGGGGATGAGATGAATCGTCATTGAAGGGGTGCGGATATTAGCACTAGCGGTCATGACAATCTCACGAAGACGTGGAATACCCAGCGTGACGTTCTTCGCGGAGTGACCAGCCAAATGGAACGTGTTCAGCGTCATCTGCGTAGAAGGCTCGCCGACGGATTGTCCCGCAACGACGCCTACGGCCTCACCAGCTTCCACTACCGACTTGAGGTACTTGACGTCCAGTAAGGCTTCAAAGTTCTTCTTCTTGACACCTTCGGCGCCCTTAATGCCCTTTCTCTTGTCTGCAATCAGCTTGTCCTTGTTGTCGTCAATATACTTCTTCTTGGCATTGTAAAACTTCTCAGATGTGCTACCGGCGAACCTAGAAGGAGCGAAGACGGACAAGGCTGGATCCTTGGCTGCTGGGTCGCCAGTTTTTCTAACGGCTTTGACAGCAGATTTGTTCCACTCGCTCGCCTCGTCACTCCTGATGTGTGCGTATTCCTCGCCGATACCCAACGACATGTGCGTGATCAGGAAATTCTCCGCGAGAAATTTGAAGTCGTTGAGATACTTCTGCTTCGTAACATCGAGACCGTCCTCTCCGTAGAGGAACTGGATGATGCTACCGTCGGCATCGCGAACCGATGTATCGTAATCGACCTTGAGGCCCTCCATGCCTTTGACTACACAACGTTGCAGGTAACCGGAGCTGGAGGTCTTAACAGCCGTGTCAATCAAGCCCTCTCGGCCCGCCATATGATGGAAGTAGTACTCCTGGGGCCGGATGCCCGTCAAGAATCGATCGACGATGTAACCTCCTGCCCTGACGCTAGGCTCGAAAGGTTTGAAGCACGGCAGCGTCTTTCCGCTGACCATCGTGGGAACACGTCGGCCTTCCAAGACTTGTTGACCGAGATTGCAAGAAATGAGATTGGCATTGACTTGGGAGCCCTTTGCACCAGTACCCGTCATAGCCTGCATCTGGTTTGCCGGGAAGGGTTTCACGAGACCGTCAGGCAGACAAGCGCTGGTGACTGCAGAGGATAGCAGCCGTGTCGAGCTATTCATGACTTGGTCCAGACCTTGTTGCTTAGTATCGTCCCTTAGGACAGACTCAAGCCTCTTTCGCAGTTCGGAATCGTTCGAAGTGAGACTTCTGTCGTCGACTGAAACATACTTGGCTGCGACCCTCAACCCTACATTGTCAGCGTCTTTCAACTGCTCCTTTCGGTTGCGCTCGCCCTCTTCGGTCAAGATCAGATCCTCAACACCGCACGAGAAAGCGCGCATGTGAAGAAGCTTGGTGAGTAGCCGACCCAGGACGCTGAGAAGCCTGCCAGCAACAGTGTGACCGTAGGCCTCGTAGACAGCATTGACCAAGCCACCGCCGGCTGGTCCGATCTGCGACTTGTCGAGGATTCCGCACAACAGTTCACCATCTTTGACGATCACAATCTGCTCCTCGGAGTTACTACCCCAGCGATCCGCTGTCGTCTGTGACTTCGAGGTAAGCGTCAAGCCAGGGTGAGTTGATGGCTTGATGTTCATCAACACTGTGCTGATGACTTGCTTCCCTGTCCACATCGGTTGCGGCTTGAGTATCGCCGGCTTCAGCGTCTCCAGCCGACCGGAAGAGGTGTGATTACTCTCGGGCCTAAGACAGGCATATAAAAGCTGCTGATAGTCCTCCCGGTTGAACATTGTGTCCTTGTTAGTAAGCGCGACACCCATCGAGATGTGATCCTGGATCAAACCTCTTAGCGGCTTTCCAGCGGTGCCTGAGAGGTATTGATGATCTGTGTCCGCTACAGTGGCTGCTTCGGCTCTGGCGACTTCGTTCTGCGGAAAGTGCATGTTCATCTCATCTCCATCGAAATCTGCATTGTAGGTGTTGCAATTGGCGTAGTGCATGCGAATCGTCCTCTCACCAGGAAGAACTCTCGCGCGATGTGCCATCATCGACGGCTTGTGTAGCGTCGGTTGCCGGTTCATGATCACCACGTCGCCGTTAGTGAGATGCCTGTGCACCTTCTTATTGCGAGCACCGTTCACATGAGTACTTGATGGCGCAAGAAGCTGGTTAGCTAGTGCCTGGCGTTCTTCGTGGTTCTTGAGCTTCAGATTGATAATTTGACCGTTCTCGTTCTCAATTGCCACAGCGCCGGGCCATCTATCCGGTCCGTTGATCACGGCTTCCTTGAGGTCGTAAAAGTTGTGATTCGTCACCGGCTCGGGGTAGGTGAGTTTCTTTGCAAAGACTGGCGGCACACCAATCTCGTTCGTCTCAATGTTGGGGTCCGGAGAGATGACACTACGAGCAGCAAAGTTGACACGCTTTCCCATCATGTTTTTCCGAAAGAGTCCCTCCTTCTTCTCGAGCTTTTGCTTGATGCCGTCTTCGTTGCGCTTGCCAGCCGCGCCCTGTATCGGATTCCTATCTCGATCGATGAGCGAGTTGACTTGGTCCTGAAGGTTGATCCAAGCGTTCTGAAGGTCGTCAAAACCTCGCATCCGGTATACCGGCTCCGCAAGACCTTGCATCTCCCGGTTGATCTGAGCCATAGTATCGCACGTCTCAAGGATTCTCCGGTAGTGAGAGTTGTCGGCGTTTTCCGCAATCGCATCGTTGCCTGTCTTTGCTTCTGGCCTGTACTTGTTGGGTGGAACGAGTAAGGTATCGATGAAAAACATATCCGCAGAGACTTGGCGGCCTCTTGTTCGCGATCGAGGACCATACACCAAACCCATGATTTCTGCCTCTTTCTCGAACAGCAGAGTGAGTGCAGCATGGACTTCACCCGCGCCAACGAATTCCTGCTTCGCGTCCGGCTCGGCTTTTTTGGTCCTGGAAGTAGCAGCTTCGGTGGCCAGTACACTTCCTCCAGCTACGTCATTGTCAACGTCTAACATCTCGACATCTTCATTTTCTTCTTCCGAAAGTGGACTACCAAGGTCGGCCACCCCCTCATCTACCATGCCATTGACAGGCTTTTGTTTCAGCGCCGCTCGCTGTCGCTCAGCCAGAACAAATATGGGATTCACAGCTTTGAATCCACCCTGAATCATAGCTGCCTTTTGCTTCGGAGGTAGCGGCTTCCGGAATATCTTGACGTATCTGTCTTTTCGCAGTGCGGGTGAGATGCCTTTACAGGTACCACACTTCCTGCTTTTTGTGATGTCGGCTAAGAAGTTCCTGATGACGGTTCTTCGCTCCTCGCTGACTGATTCGATCTTCGAGGCAGACCACTCGCCCCTTCTGCGGCCGCCCGCCTCCTTGATTGCCCGCCGTGTGAAGGCGTTTCGCTTCTCAATCACCGCGCTGCTACCCTGACCTTCCTCATCCTCGTCTTCGCTCCCGACTCCAACTTGTGCGCCGTCATCGCTCTCTGCACCGTTGGTGGCAGTGCCCTGTTTGTCCGCTTTTGTCCTCCGGGGAAGCACTTGGATTTGCTCAAGATCCTCTGCCTCTGCAAGAAGACCATAATGTAGGAGCTGAAGCTTGCAAATGTAGCGGTTGACCTCGACTGGGTGTAGCTTCAGGCGGTGACAGTACACGCATTTGGCGCGGAGAAGGCGGAGGACTTGGTCAAGGAAGGAACAGTGATAGACGCGTACTGGCAGTTCGACATGTCCGCAGTGACCGGGGCAAAGGTGCTTCTGAAGGTTGCAGGTCGCGCAGCTGTAAGCCGGACGTGAGGTTAGCTGCCGCTGGATTTTTTCTGCTTGCAAGCAGCCTTTGCGCTGGGGCAAACTCACGGTTTGTCTCCAAAGGCGCCTAGAGCAGGATCGTAGAGACCGCCGGGAACTGGATGTAGTAGCGTATCAAAGGTGCTCGGATTTGTGAGCCTCTTCACTGAGAGGGCCTTGATTTCCGCCGAGGATAGAAAACCGAACTCCACGCCCGATATGGCGGACGACACAGGCTGGGAGATATTCATGGCTTCCACACTCCGCAACAGTGTTACCAGTCAGCGCACAGGACTCGTACGCAGAGCTTAGGACGGATTTGCGGCTCTCGAAGTTTTTCGAGATGGCCGCCGAAATTCTGCCGCCAAGGCTTCCACCGCCTTCGGTGCCCCTTCTGCCTTGTCACTTTCAACTTCTCGACATCACATCCACCTCCCGCTATCACACCACCAAAATGTCTACGTCCACGTCTACGAAGCGGCCTCATCCAGGCGATGGCGACCTTCCGGACGGCAACAAGCGACCGCGCTCAAACAATGCCTCGCCCGCTCCGCCCAGCAAGCCGGATATCGCAAAGCAGATCGCCGAAGCACGCGCGCGTGCCGCAGCACTGGTAGCAGCTAGATCCGCTCCAGCTCAGCCTGCTGCTCAGCCTGCAGCTCAGTCTCCAGCAGATGCGGCGCGCGCAAAGATCGAGGCCATGAAGGCCAGAGTCGCGGCCGCGACGGCGAAGGCGCAAGCACCGACTCAGCAGCGGACCGCATCCCCCATGCCTGCATATCAGCCTCCGGAGTTCGACGAGGGCCTTACAAGGGCAAGAGGCGGCTTGGGCATCGGGCTGCATCCGGCTCTGATGGGGGATGTTGGTCAAGCTGGAGCGAAGGGCAAGCAGGCTATCCAGCCGAAATTCGCAACGACCATGGCGAACAGGCGGGCTGAGTCGCCGGTGCAGAGGCCGGGAAAGGAGAAGAAGCAGCTTGACCTCTCCGCACCCAGTCTGGAAGAACTGAGGAAGGATCCTAATTATGATGCCAATCTTGCCGCGCAGTCTGGGCTCAGGAATCGGCGTTCGAGGCAGCTTGTCTTCAACCAGAAAGGCAAGTATATCGCACAGGCCAGCGCTCTTCGCCGTCAAGCTGCTCTCGAGGCTATGAAGAGGCGTATTGCCGAGCAAGCCAAAAAAGTGGGACTGGACGAAGACAACGAGAAAGCGTTCCTTGTTCCTGCTCCTCCGGACATTGAGTGGTGGGATGAGAACCTTGTGGATGGGAAGGACTACAGTGTCGTTGAGGACCCCGGGAAGATCAAGGTCGACACCGCCGACTCCATCATCACCCGCTACATCCAGCATCCCGTCCTCCTCGAACCTCCGCAAGAGAAGAACATGCCGCCACCAAAACCCATGTTCCTCACCAAAACCGAGCAAGCCAAGAAGCGCCGCCAAGAACGCAACGCCAACCACAAGGACGAGCAAATGAAAATCCGTCTAGGCCTAGTACCGCCGCCGCCGCCCAAAGTCAAGAAAAGCAATCTCATGCGCGTTCTCGGTGAGCAGGCCGTCAAGGATCCCACGGCCGTCGAGGCGCGCGTAAACCGTGAAATCGCCGAGCGCGCTGCCAAACACGAGGAAGAAAACGAAGCTCGCCACCTCACGCACGAGCAAAAACTCGAGAAGCTTGCGAGAAACCAGGAAGCAGACGCTGCGAAGGGGATTCAGGTTTGCGTGTTCAAGATCGACAACCTCAGCTTCAAGAAGCACAGATCCAAGATCGACATGAATGCAAAGCAGCTGGCGCTCACGGGGATTACCATTCTGCATCCGAGGATGAATCTGGTGATCATCGAGGGTGGGCCGCATGCTGTCAAGTTCTACAAGAAGCTGATGCTGAACCGCATCGATTGGACCGAAAATGCTATGCCTAGCAGTGTTCGAGAGGGGAACAAGGAGGCCGAAGCTGAATTCCTCCAGGCGACGGACGAGAAGGGCGAGCTGAAAGACCTATCGCACAACAAGTGTCAATTAGTATGGGAGGGCGAGGAGAGGGCACGGGCTTTCAGGCGATGGGGTTCCCGAGTCTGCGAAACGGACACGGATGCCAAGGACGCGTTGAGCAGGTCTAAGATGGAAAACATGTGGACCCTGGCAAAGAGCATGAAATGATCTCTCTGAGCATTCCTGGCATCTAGCACGTACCAGTGTAGGAGCTGATCATGCTTGTGCTAGGGCCGGGCGACATCTGGCTTACAGGTGGTCTTCACTGGGGCATATTCGAATTTGTATTGGTAACCAAGCTTCTGTATGCCATCCCTATCATATCATCTACAACATCAACGATCCACTTGCTGACAACTTCTGCATACGCCGCCATTATGCGTGCAACATCGCTAACCATAGGTGAACGTATTCCTGCACAGCGGACATGTCGACGCATTGCTCGTCTTGAACCACTTATACAAGCAGCTGGTGTGGAACAGGTTCTTGCACGTGCTGCAGCGCTTGTTCGGGAGCTGTTTATCGCCGCTGATAATGGAGTAGCAGATCGCGCACTCGGTCTGGCCCTTCAGCGCGCCCACAACATTCTTCCGCCATGCGATGAGGCCGTCGACGATGTTGTTGTTCTGCTGTCGAGTTAGTTGCCCATTCCCTGCGTACAGTCACAATCAGGGTCGTGGCAAGGTAAGCTTACCGAAAAAGTGATGACGCCCTGTGTACTCCTCAACCAACTCTGCCACTTCCTTTCATCAACGGCGACACGGTTCAAACCCTCGACGACGGCCTGTCGCAGCGGGTAGTTACCAGGCAGCCGGACGATAATCGCCATTGTCTGCTCGTCAACCTCGTAAGACGCCGTGATTTCCTTGGCCCGTTGATTGACCTTGACCTTGAGGGCTTCTTCTGATGACTCCTCTTCCGATGCCGCCCAGTCGCTTACGCTCTTCAACGCATCAGTGATGATGATAGGCGAGATGAACTTTTCTGTCCATGTCTCGACGGCAAGGACTTTCTGCCGTGACTTGCAATCTATCCACCAGACTTTGGTCAGGGCCGGGAGGTGCTTTAGGCAGAGGTAGTACAGATGAGTCAGCAGCCACTGCGTGTCCTTCTCCGGACTCTCCTCATCGGGCCTGTAGGTAGTGATGTCGAACTTTGACACATCGACCGGCTTGCCCTTGGCGTGACCAAGGAAATCAGACATGAAGTCCAGCAAGCCAGCTACGTAGTCGCCGTCTTTGATGTTCTCGACGTAGTCCTCTCGTACCTTATAGGATGCGTTCTGGAAGTGATCGAACACTAAGATCCAGCTGAGGAGGTAGCCCCTCAACGGCAACGGCATCGTCCGCTCGAAGCTGGCGTCTGCAAGTGCGTTTAAGGTGGGTGCTTCCAGGATGAGGGACATCAGCTCCTCCGGCAGCCGCGCGCTCTTCTTCTCCAGCGCAACGTCGAAGGATACCTGCTCCTGAGCCGCCGGTATCTGCTTATGAAGAATTTCAAAGGCGGTCTGCTGCACCGAGCGTGATGCGACGTACAGCAGCGAGAAGAGGTCGCCGGTATCTTTCAGATGCTCAAGGGGTATCTTCGACATCTGGCGGGCGACAAGCTCATTGACGATTTTTAAGGGCTGATGGAACTCGTCTGGGTAGTTTTGTGCCTCTCGAAGGAGGTGAACCAGGCCCTTTGCAGTACCCTCCGCGGCTTCCTTCCAAGCGTCCACCAAGTCGTCGTTCGCATCTTCGTCGGCTTTGAGTATTCGGAGCGTAGAGAAGAGCCTCAGCGATGCGTGGATAACTGGGATGACTCCTTCAATGACGGTGTTGGATTTGTCGGTGAGCTGTTCCTCGGTCCAGACAGCCGTGCACCAGCCGAGTAGATCAGCCCAGTATGGCCCATAGATGTCCCTCATAAGAGGCAGAAGCACTACGAGCGCGCGGCAGACCTCCGCTTGGATGGAGTCGGTGGTTTCATCGTCCTGTAGCCAGGGAATCACGTGCTTGACGAAGAACACCAGGCGCTGCTTGGCTATGCTCTCTGCGGCGTTCTCTACATTCTGTATGATGGCGTTCAGGAAGACCAATTGTCGAAGCCCCTCGTCCGGGCTTTTGCTGATGTTGAGGCCCGTCAAGTCCGCTACCAATTCGTTGCAAAATCTCATGGCTGTCTTGTTGGATGATAGAGGCGTTTGGTATCCTGTTAGGAAAGCGGTAGCGAATAACACGTCTTTTGTTCTCCGTAAACTTCTGATCGTTGTCTCAAGCTCGTCGTTCCGTTGAATTTGCCAGCCTTGCGAGTCAACAACCCCCGCACAGGCGATAGAATATGCCAGCGCGTTGTAGTACGCCCGCGACGAGGTGCCTGCAGCAGCCTTCTCGAAGCGCTTAATGACTGGTGCGGAAATCTCAGGCAGCCAGCGGCTAACCAAGGACGTGGCCCTAAGTAAGAAGCTCATCATCTCTGTTTCCACCTCCGGCGAGTAGATTGACCATAGGTCGTTTGCACCGGCAAGACCAAGATTGTCGTTCCCGAGATGCGCGATGAGCGAAACATAGTAGTAGATCTCTTGCCGCTTCTCTTCTGATACTAACCCTTCAGTGTCCGTGTCCAGGAGCTCTGTGATGTATTGTGCCATTCGAAGAGCGACTGAATAGCCTTCGGCATCCCTTGCGATCTCTAACTCCTTGGTGGAGGGAGCATTTTTGCGGTCCACAAGATAGACCGCACCTCCAAGTGGGCTAGTGATCGCGAGTGATACCCGTGGAGGAGTATCAAAGAAAGGTGCCAGTGCCGATACCCATGCTGGAGCATCGGGCAGCAATTGCTGAAGCATCTCAACGCGGTCAACGGAAGAGTCCTGCAGTAACTTCCGCGCCAAATCAACGAGGGTGCCTACGGACACCGAAGTAGCAGATGCTTCGTGCAGACCACTTTGAATTACAGCAAACATAGATTGCTTCGACGAAGTGCTAGTTGTATCCGCGGATAGGACCACTTGTATCGAGGCGTGCACCTCTGAAGCCTCTTTGGCCACCTCATCATCTGGCGATTCTGTAAGATAGAGTAGGCCCTGAACAAGTTTCGCACCTTCTGCAGTTGGGGCGATCCTGCGTATGATCTCCGGACTGTGCTTGGTCATCTGTTGGAATCCGTGCAAGGCATTTGACGCTTTGTCCTCAAGGGACAACGAGCGGATCATGCTTGCTAGTATCTCGCCTGTAGTGTTTGCGGACAGGACTTGAGTTGAATTTTGCAGGATGCGTAAGGGGAACTTCCAGTCAGCGGCTCCTCCAATGGCCATCTCGGATCTCCTTTTGATGAATGCTTGCAGATCTGGATTTCGGGCGGCTACGTCAAAATCCTTTGGCACGTTTTTCGAAGCCAGCAGTTCTTCTAGCGCAGACTCTTTCAGCGCCGAATCAGGAGCGTTGAGTACGGATTTGAGAGTCGCTTGCCATGCTTCTTGGAACCACTCTTGATCATAGAACGAGTAAAGGATAGAGGCTAGTTGTTTGTAGGAAGGAGACAAAAGGAGTTCGGGGAGGTCGTTAATGGCGAAGAACGATAGCACTTCGCTGGCGTCTGGATAGCCGATAAATGTCCTTCCAACACCGCGAATGATGGCGTCCACAACGCCAGCTGCACCATATGGTTTGCCGTTCCTTGTTTTCAAGACGCTAAGTGCTTCCTCCACGATATATAAGTTCGTCCGCAGCAGAGAAGCGCGACTCGCTTCCGAATCATCTCCTTGTAGTGCCTGGGCCTGCAATGATGCCCATCGTACGCCTTCAGCTTCGATTGATGTCTGGTTCTTGTCGTAGTCTTTTGACTGCTCCGGCAGAGATGTTCTCATGTCTTCCACAAGCGACTCAGACATCTTAGTCCATTCGTCTTTCAGAAGCGAAGGCATAGGTTCGGCTTTGATGGCTTGGGCCGCGATCTTAGTGGCGTGAGCGGCGGGTACAGCCCAATGAGCATCCTCAGGAGCAGGTCTGAAGTAGCAGCGGATGATTGGCAAGACGGTTTGGCGAAAGAGATCCTTCTGATCGTCTTCAGACAGCGACTTTGCTATGATTGTAGCAACGTCAATGTAGGCTTTCCATGCGGCTCCCTGGTTTGCTCTTGGCTCATCCTTCTTCTGGATTCCGCTGTGGCACGCACTGAGCAACTCCACGGACTCGGATAGTTGAGTTGGCAGAACGGATCTGGGTATGCTAGCAAAAAGGTCAACGACATTCGTCCAAAACTTGTCCGGACCCAATTGCGAACCCCGCTTCAGGAACTGTTTAAGGCGCTGTTGCGGTGGTTTCTTGCCCTGATAATGCTGTGTCCAAACGGTAGGTGAGGCTTTCGTTAGTTCTACTACTGCAGAAGAGTATTCATACGAGGAGCCAGTCTGATCCGAGTTCAAGGCGTGAGACAGATAGGCCGAGCTGATAACATCTAAGCTAGCTTCTACGGCCTTCCGTTGCCGGGAGATGCAAGTTTTAAGCAGGCGATGCGTAGCTCTTCTGACTGCTGCATCGTCAAAACATGCCAGCTTCCAAAGCTTTTCGTCTTGTATCAATTCTTCGTAGTAACTTTGCTCTTTGGCGATGTCCTCGGCTTCTAAATTCGCGAGAAGACTGCTGATGGATAACAGACTTGAAGCTATAACCCGACTGTACTTCGCATTCGCGTCGTCCGGGCTTGTTGTTCGCTCGTCGCTCAGTGTCTCTGCCGACTCCTTGTCTATCACATCTCGGCAGAATTCTAGAATGGGCCGCTGGTAAGCTTTTCGTAGATTTCGTATCTTCTCTGGCGATGCGAAGACCTTCTCCAATGCCTCACTGGCCGATCTGGCGGCGGCGCGGTCGTTGTCAAACAAGCCAGAGTACCACGCGCCGATTATTTTGGGCATGTGTTTGGCAGTTCGTTTTCCGCATGATGCCGAGATCTGACCTTGCACAGCATGCGCCAGTTGACGAACTCGGCGAGAGCTATCTATCGATGTGCGTGGGTAGATACTCGTCTGAATATATGAATACAGATTACTACCAAGAAGTATGTACATCGAAGGAGGAAACCCACCCAAGCCTCCAAGACCGCTTCCTCCAAATCAGCGCCGGATGAAGAGACATACGCTTGTAGTTCTTCCAGAGCCTTTGCCTTCGTTGTGCTGTCCTTCTTCGCGAGGTTCTTGAAGACTACGACGATGTTTGGATCTGAGACGGAGGAGAGATCTGGCGGTTCCGCGATATATGATAGCGGCGACGAAGCGGCGCCGAATGGTGTGGCTGATCCAAATCCTCCACCGAATCCCGAACCAAACGCTCCCGGTGTTGCGCGGCTGCTGCTTGCTTGCCCCCTTGCTTGGTGTCTGCTCATGATTGCGCTGAGTCTTGTATCTGGATCAAGGAGATGATATTGGTTGAACTGCAGACTGGAGGGGTTAAGTTGAAGGTGTTTTTAGGGTTGCAAGATGACGCACATTCAGAGGGCTAAGCTTTCGCCTCTATCCGCGCACTAAGCACATGGGCATTAGCGCGCTTTCTCCGCAAGGCTCCACATCTAAGAAGATCATCAAGTAGGCAACGGCAACAACCAAGCCAAGTTGATAGCTTCATCCCGTTGGTCTTCTCTCCATCCAAACTATCGGAGTCTTTTGTTCCGCGGCGTTCAGGATGAAGTTCAATATTGAGTCAGTCAGACAAAGTCCTCTACCTTTTCAATATGGCTGACCGCCGCAGTGACCTTCCGATACTCTTCCCGTATCCTAGAATATACCCGGAGCAATATGAGTACATGTGTGCGCTCAAGAAGACCTTGGATGCAGGCGGACACTGCGTTTTGGAGATGCCTTCAGGCACAGGCAAAACAGTTACTCTGCTGTCATTAATCGTCGCGTACCAGCAGCATCACCCCGAAAAGCGGAAGCTGATCTACTGCTCACGTACTATGTCGGAGATCGAAAAGGCTTTGGCCGAGCTGAAGGCTCTCATGAAGTATCGAACCGAGCAACTAGGCTATGAAGAGGACTTCCGGGGCCTCGGTTTGACTAGCCGGAAGAACCTATGTCTTCACCCGTCAGTAAAGCGCGAAAAGAGTGGCAACGTTGTGGACGCACGATGTCGAAGCTTGACAGCAGGTTTCGTCAAAGAGAAGAAGGAACGAGGAGAGGATGTGGAACTATGTGTTTACCATGAGAACCTCGATCTGCTAGAACCGCACAATCTGATACCGCCCGGTGTCTGGACGCTTGACGGCCTGCTCAGGTATGGCGAGCAACAGAAGCAATGTCCATACTTCACAGCTCGGAGAATGATGCCATTCTGTAACGTCATCATCTACTCCTACCACTATTTATTGGACCCGAAGATTGCGGAACGAGTGTCGAAAGAACTGTCGAAAGACTGCATCGTGGTGTTTGACGAAGCCCACAACATCGACAATGTCTGTATTGAGTCGCTCAGTATCGACATTACGGATGACTCTCTCAAAAAGGCTACCACGGCAGCCAACAGCCTCGACCGCAAGATCACCGAGATGAAGTCTACGGATGCAGAGAAGCTGCAGAATGAATATGCCAAGCTTGTCGAGGGCTTACGGGATGCCGATGAAGCTAGAGATGAAGACGCTTTCATGGCAAACCCAGCACTACCTGATGACTTGCTAAAAGAAGCTGTACCCGGCAACATCCGGCGAGCGGAGCACTTCATTTCGTTCCTCAAGCGATTCATCGAGTACTTGAAGACGCGAATGAAGGTTCTCCATGTCATCTCAGAAACTCCGCCGTCTTTCCTTAATCACGTGAAGGAACTTACTTTCATCGAGAAGAAGCCATTGCGATTCTGCGCGGAGCGCCTGACGTCCCTAGTGAGGACACTGGAACTGACTAACATCGAGGATTACCAGGCACTCCAGGAAGTAGCTACATTCGCTACCCTCGTCTCAACGTATGACACCGGGTTTCTCCTCATTCTTGAGCCATTTGAAACGGAAACTGCAACAGTCCCCAATCCCGTTCTGCACTTCACCTGCCTCGATGCGGCTATAGCCATCAAGCCCGTTTTTGAGCGATTCAGCTCCGTCATCATCACTTCCGGTACCATCTCGCCCATGGAGTTCTACCCGAAAATGCTCGGTTTCACGACCGTCATCGAGCAATCCTTCACCATGACTCTCGCCCGCAAATCGTTCCTTCCAATGATCGTCACCCGCGGTAGTGACCAAGGTGCCATCAGCTCTGGCTTCCAAACCCGCAACGACCCCTCCGTCGTCCGCAACTACGGCAACCTCCTCATCGAATTCTGCAAGCTGACACCCGACGGCGTCGTGGTGTTCTTCCCGTCATACCTCTACATGGAGTCCACCATCGCCAACTGGCAAGGCGCTGGCATACTCGACTCGATCTGGAAATACAAGCTCATCCTTGTCGAGACGCCCGACAGCCAGGAAACTTCACTTGCTCTCGAGACGTACCGCACAGCCTGCAACAACGGACGCGGCGCCGTCCTGCTGTGCGTCGCGCGTGGCAAGGTCAGCGAGGGGATAGACTTCGACCACCACTACGGGCGGACGGTGTTATGCATCGGCGTCCCATTCCAGTACACCGAATCCCGCATCCTGAAAGCGCGGCTCGAGTTCCTCCGCGAAACCTACCACATCAAGGAAAACGACTTCCTGTCCTTCGATGCCATGCGGCACGCAGCACAGTGCCTAGGCCGCGTGCTGCGCGGCAAGGACGACTACGGAATCATGGTGCTCGCGGACCGCCGCTTCGCGAGGAAGAGGAAGGAGCTGCCGAACTGGATTAATCAGATGTTGCCGGACTCGGATGCGAATCTGAGCGTGGATCAGGCGGTGGCGATTGCGAGGAAGTTTTTGAGGGATATGAGCGTGCCGTATCCGGAGCGCTTACAGGAGGGTGTTAGCAGGTGGAGCTTGGAGGATTTGGAGAGGTATAAGCAGAAGAAAGAGGAGGAGGAGATTAGGCATTTGCAGATGCGGCAGGATGGTGGGAGTGCCATGAACGGCGATCATGTCATGGGTGGGATGGAGGAGTTTGATGTTGAGGAGGATGAGGAGGCGCTGATGGCGGATTTGTAGTTTGATAGGCGACGGACTTCAGGAACTACACCTCAAACAATCAGTCAGGAGTTGGGCGCTCAGGACATCGTGGGGGCAATCAGAATACCCGTATTTCTTAACATCTGCACTGCGACAGAAGAACATCAGCGGTCCTGAAAGAATCTTCCGCAATGCCGATGTGATTAAGAACATACCATCACGGCCCTAATATGCGGCTATTTGAAGAAGCCCTGCAAGAACGCTCGTGATCTACCCACGGAAGGAGCATCACTTGCCTTCAGGAGAAACTGCCTTCTCGCTGCAGATCAAAGAGTATAGAACAGCTACTGATAGAGCTATCTAGCACATCTACAAGGACCTCGGGCTTAGAAAGCCTCGCACCTGCGTCTCCGTTTCGCAGAATGAGATTTCCGAAGCATGCGCAAAAGATTGCTAGAGGGCTCATGATTGGGCAAATCCTTCCCCATACGATGCAGTCAATAATTATTTAGAAGACGTATCAAATCTCGTCTGACCAACATGTAGCAGTTGGTTTTGAAGATCCCTACAGCGGTGATCCTTTCAGGGATTGGTTGGACTGAGTAGAGTACCCTATGCAAACCACTCGTTGGATCAACTGAATGAAACTAATTCTCAAAGAGGTATTTCGCAGATACCGCTACCAATGACGCCTTCACAGGTCTTGTTATCAGTAAATACCGTGGGAGTGAGATTTCTGCATAGCCCCATGCCCCAGTGCCTCCAAACCGCTCATGCGAATGCTACGCCCAGACGCCTCTCACAAAACTAACGTCGAATCGAGACCTAAGCGCGCCCCATCTTGAATCGCAAACCCTTCACTCGTCCTCCTCCGGATCATACAGATCCAACCCACCAAATACCGCCCCCTGTCCCTCGCCCCTCCTCGCCGACTGCGCAGCCCACGCCTCCCTCCTTCTCCCCTCCTCCTCTTCCTCCTCCCTCTTCCGGCTTTCCTCCTCCTCCGCCCTCCGTCTCTCCTCCGCCTCCTGCTCCTCCGGCGGCAGCACAGCCGCCGGGTCTCGCCCCCGCTCCAGCATCCGCTGTATCTCCATCAGCCCGCCCCGCTGGATCACCGCCTCGCTCGGCCATGGCACGAAGGGGGTGTGCGACATTGAGTCGAGCCAGTCGCGCTGCTCTCGGGTCAGGGTTGCGAGGGCGACGCCTTCGTCTTTGGGCAGGTCGGCTTGGGGGTCGGGGTTTGGGGCTGCGGCGATCGCGCTGTCGGCCACGGCGGGCGTGCCGGAGGTGCCGTTCGCCAGCTGCGTGTCGTCGGGGGGCTTGGGAGTTGCGTCGGGCGCTGATGGCTTGGGAGGAGAGGGTGCGGGCCGGTAGTTGGGCGGGAGGGTGAACTTAGCGATGCGCTTTGCGTAGCTGAGGAGTTCGTCGAAAGGGACGTCTTTGGAGGACGCGGGAAAGGTGCTCACGGGCGTGTTGATGAGCTCTTTGCGGGCGTCGGCGAGGGAGCGAAGTTTTGATTTTGCTTGCGCGGTTAGGGCGTCGGCGGTTTGGCGGAGGTGGAGGATGCGCTGGTGGTTCGCTTGGTGGGTTGCTACTGTAGGTAGGGCTTAGCATGTGATGCTGAGGACAGGGAGCGCATCGGAAGGGCGTACGTTGCTCAAGTCCTTGGAGAAGCTGGTCATCTGCTGCTACTAGGTCGTCTGCTGCTTTCTCGGACGGATTGTAGGAGGTTATCGAGTTGACGAGCGTGTTGAGTGCGGCTTCCACGCGCTGAAAGTGGGTGTCGAGGATAGCATCCATGATATGTGTGGTGTTTGGTTAAGCAGGGTGCTAGATTATCGATGCGACAACTCGTTGGTGTCTTTTGAACTACCTCCATTGACAAGGGCTCAGAGTTTCATTCATCAGAGGTTCTCTTCGAGTCGAAGCGTTCCTCGCTGGCGTCTGGAAACGCGTTGACCCGTGACCTCTACCCAGGTATCGATAGACCGCGGCTCTTCCTCAAGTGCTGTAGCTTGAGCCAAGCACAGGTGAGATCAAGCGCAGCACAAGCTACAAGGCGGGCATAGTCAAATGCCATTGAACAATAGCTAAGTTAGGTGCCTACCAGCATCCGGGAGCCTCAGGTTTTGTTCAATGGGAGTTCTGCGCTGGCAAGGCCTGCAAAATGCTTGGATGGAGAGGTTTGTGGCTTGTCTCCGGGCGGAGCCAGTTAGAGATCATCTTGGCCCTCGAGCAGCAGCGCTAAGAAGAGGCGCTACGAGTGCATCGTCTGCCGTGACGCCGGTTTGGCCTTGTCTACTTCACCTTGGTCCTAGACTGCCCGCTACCTTACCTACTTAACCTCAACGCTCGCCCTTGTTGCTGTCGCTTCAGCAAAATCCGCCTACTCCAGACGACCCACTCCAGCACACAGCCCTTTTCAGCGCCGACTTGCATCACTACTACGTCTTCCGCCGACGGGATCTGACCCAGCCCCACCGCAGCAGAGCCCGCCTCCGAATCACATCTACGCGCCGAGAAGGATTACTGGGGTTTCTGCAGCCTGCGACAACAGCCAAGCACCACCGAACAACTGCGTCGTCAAGCAGCCGTCATTCGCCATGGGGAAGTCGTAAGTGTACCTTTTCCCGTCTCCAATCGCGCCTGTCTGCACTTGCGACCCGCTGCCGTTGCAGTCGGCCCTGGCCAGGGAGACACAAGGAAAGAAATGGCGCAACCAAACGACAAAAGGGACCGATTCCGCGACAAGAGAAATGCTGTTTTCCAGGGCTCACTCCACGGCCTAAACTACCGGTGGACCTCCAGACCCTGAATTGCGAGTAAGATTTGTCGCAACACCGAGCAAACAGCCATGCAGCACTCCGAAGCAGCCTCGCCGATTAGCAGGATATCCCTCTTGCCAAACTCACATCCACCGCTCAAGTTCGCCAGAAAACACCGTCCCGCCCATTTACCACACACATACTCCTTCGGCCATGACAGCTACAAAATTCGCCGGAACAAGGCCTTGAAGATCCGGATCAGGACACTGGAGCAACACCTTTTCCACCGGACCAACATCAGTTGTCTCGTCATTGAGAATGCCCGGCTGATTATCCAACTCCACAGCCAGAGCAAGCTCTCCCAAGCAGAGCTCGCTGAGCTACAGAGGGCCACACACTTTGACAAGAAGGAGCTACAACAATGGTATAAGGGTACGTCAGAACCACTTATTGGAACGCTCCGCCGAAGCAAGGCTGACAGGGGCACGTCCACTCATAGGTTTCCTAAAGGACTGCCCCTCTGGCATGCTTACCAAGGAGGAGTTCCAAAAGATCTACAAGCAATTCTTCCCCTTCGGCGACCCCTCGTCATTTGCAGACTACGTCTTCAACGTCTTTGATGCAGACAAGTCAGGCTCAATCGACTTCAAGGAGTTCATCTGCGCGCTGAGCGTGACGAGCAGAGGGAAGATGGAGGACAAACTAGACTGGGCATTCCAGCTGTACGACATAGACGGCGACGGCAAGATCAGCTACGAGGAGATGCTTGCGATCGTCGAGGCGATATACAAGATGGTGAGTCTGACGGCAGTGCTTTCGGGAAAGTCAAGGTCACAGATAGCTAACTCCTGCAGGTCGGCTCCATGGTCAAACTCCCCGAAGACGAAGACACGCCGGAGAAGCGCGTCCGGAAGATCTTCAGAATGATGGACAAGGATGAGAACGGAAGCCTGGACATGGCCGAGTTCAAGGAGGGCTCGAAGCGCGACGAGACCATCGTCTCCGCCCTCTCGCTCTACGATGGCCTGGTTTAGCTGTCTTTGTCCCTTGAGCTTTTCTATGTCCCTGATTTGTTCGATGATATCACCTGAGTTTTCCGGCCTCTCAATGTATAGAGGTATTCTCCTAGAGTAAGCGGGTCACGGGGTGGCATTAGTGCATTGTATGAGGATGGCTGGAAGATAGTAGTGTTTACCGTACGAAGCATCCGGATCTCTCATATCCGTGTACTCTATGAACTGCCGATGTCTTCCAACGTGGAACTTGGTTGGCGACCGAATGTAGCCGGAGCACTGTACCTTACCAGACCCATATCAATCTCTGTCACCGTCAAGGCAGCCTTGGAAACCCCTACCCAATCCGCCTCTCATCCGTGTACCTAGGTAGTAGCTTCAGACGGCTTTGACGATCCGTCGATCAAACCCCGGTGGTGTGGCTGAGACGCGCCGAGAATCCAGGGTCGGTCCAAGCCGCACACTCTTTGGGCTGCAAGGCTGAAGCTTCTGTTCGTCGCGCCTTACATACGTGTGCTCCACCAATCCCTCTACCATCTTCTGCTGATTACAATCTAGACGTCTCAGCTAGAGGCCTCCTGCAGACTCCGCTGATTGTGTTTGCAACTCTGTGCTGCCCGGTTGGGCATTGTATGTACAGCAACATCCGCCCCTGCATACGACACTCCCTGTGCTATCCCAACTCCAAGCCGTCACTGATCCGACTACAGAGACATCACGGACATATCGCCATGCGACTTCGCGATCTCACATCACCGGGCGTGGTGCTCTCAACCCTCCTCCTCCTCACACCATGTCCTTCATCAGCGTTCTACCTCCCTGGCGTAGCACCGACGTCTTACAAGTACGGCGACGAAGTGCCCCTACACGTGAACCACCTGACGCCCGCCGAATCGCAAAAAGACGCTCAGGTGCGGTCCGTCTTCTCCTTCGACTACTACCACTCGAGGTTCCACTTCTGCGAGCCAGCGGGCGGAGCAAAATACATCTCAGAATCGCTGGGGAGCATACTGTTCGGGGACCGGATACAGACGTCGCCATTCGATCTGCGTATGGGCAAGAATGAAACCTGCAAAGCAGCGTGCTCGGAACAGAAGTTTGCCCCACGAGAAGCGAAGTTCGTGAACAGGCGGATATGGCAAAGCTACAATCTCAACTGGCTGGTTGATGGGCTACCGGCTGGACAGCTACAATACGATCCGAATACTATGACGCAGTTCTACAGCCCCGGGTTTGCTCTCGGCTCTGTGGAGAACGAGCAGCCGAGGCTCAACAATCACTACGACATTGTGATCGACTTCCACCAGCCGAGCAGGGACACCTACCGGGTAGTTGGCGTGTTGGTGGAGCCGCGCTCACTGAGAGATTCGAAAATGATCGGAGACGGAAAAGCCGAATGCGGAGATCCGAAAGATCCGCTTATACTATCGGAGAAAGAGTCGACCACCGCGTTGTACACGTATAGTGTGTATTGGCGGCCATCCAAGACGTCGTTTGCTACTCGATGGGACAAGTACCTGCACGTTTACGACCCGAGCATTCACTGGTTCTCGCTCATCAACTCTGCCGTCATCGTTGTCTTCTTGATATGCATGGTGGCAACCATCTTGATCCGGACGTTGAGGAAGGACATCGCCAGATACAACCGCCTAGACGAGCTCGCCTTGGATGACCTATCAGGCACAAGCGTGGTTGAAGAGGGTGTGCAAGAGGACTCCGGCTGGAAGCTCGTCCACGGCGACGTCTTTAGACCACCGAAGCATCCTCTCCTGCTCAGCGTGCTCCTCGGCAACGGAGCCCAGCTCTTCATGATGACTGGATTCACAATAGGTGGGCGGGTTCTCTCCTCACTAATCCCGTATCTCCAACTAACAAACCCCCCCAGTATTCGCCCTCCTCGGCTTCCTCTCCCCCTCAAACCGCGGCTCCCTCGCCACCGTGATGATCCTCCTCTACACGCTCTTCGGCTTCATCGGCGGCTACGTCTCCGCGCGCACCTACAAGCACTTCCGCGGCGAGTCCTGGAAGCTCAACTTCGCCTACACGCCCCTGGCTCTTCCGGGGCTCGTCTTCAGCACCTTCTTCCTGCTCAACCTCTTCGTGTGGGCCAAGGCCGCCTCCGGCGCCGTGCCCTTCGGCACCATGGTCGTCATCGTCGGTATCTGGTTCCTCATCTCCGTCCCGCTTTCCCTGACGGGGTCGTGGCTTGGCTTTCGCGCGCCCGTGGTCGAGGCGCCGGTCCGCACGAACCAGATCCCGAGACAGATCCCGCCCGCCGGGGGGTATTTGAGGCCGCTGCCGAGCATGTTGCTGGTGGGCGTCCTGCCGTTCGGCGCGATCTTTGTCGAGCTCTACTTCATCATGAACAGCATCTGGTTCTCCAAGGTGTACTACATGTTCGGCTTCCTGTTCGTGTGCTTCGGGCTCATGATCATGACGTGTGCGGCGGTCACGGTGCTGATGGTGTATTTCTTGCTGTGTGCGGAGGACTATCGGTGGCAGTGGCGCGCGTTCATGACGGCGGGCGCCAGCGCGGTCTATGTGTTTGCGTATTGTTTGGTTTATTGGGTCAGGACGATGGCGTTTTCGAGCGTTACGGGCGCTGGCTTGTTTTTAGGGTATAGTGCGTTGATCAGTGTGCTGTTTTTTGTGCTTACGGGTGAGTTGGCATCGCTGTCCCTTGATTTTGGCTGGAGACTTGTTTTACTGACGAGATGCAGGCACGATTGGGTTCTTTGCGAGTTGGTTTTTTGTGCTCAAAATCTATGGGTCTATCAAGGTCGATTAGAGAGAGACGGGATTGGACCTGCCGGCGTCTTCGGATCTAGCTCACAGCTGAACACAAGAGTTATGGTATCTATCTTCTTTAGTGGTTGATTGTAGCGCGTGACGGCGAATGAAATCACCCATCGAAAAACTTCAGTTTTGATGAATGCGTCTGTTTAGTCCCTAATGGCACAAGCACACGCCGATAGATCTGATGCGTGAAGACAACTTCAATTGGATTGCTCACACTCCGGCCAGACGATTATTGACAGTTGGATCTCTAGCTCCGTGTGGAATTATATACAGTTCAGACTGTGTCCTTAGTGCCATCGTATCCTCTGACTACAAAAATGCCTTGGCTATTTTGCAATCGCGCCCAACCTATAAAGATGTTCTTCAGGCGCTAGAATATCATCAGTTGTTCAAGTCTGTAAAAACTTCATTGCGGAAGACGATAGAACAGCTATTTTCTAGTATCAAGAGAAGGATGAGAACAGCTCTTTTAGCCACGACTGAGGGTCTCAGGAGCGAAGATGAAGCTATGCGACTCCGTGTGAGATATCTCTCCCACTGAGCAGTTCTGTCTAGCTAATGGAGTCTGAACAGAGAGCACTGCATGGCGACAAGTGTATGGATTTTCCATCCACGAGTGCGGCTTACAGACTCACCACGGCTGCGCTGAGAGTGCTCCTACTCCCCAGGGGTAGACTCAGGAATCCGTTGCCGCCCTGCAGTTGGATTTTTGTAGGTTCGCGTGGCCACGGATTTTTGGTTCTGCCCTTGGGAGGCACCTGAGTGACAGAAATTGCCGGACTCGGGAAAACAGATCGGTCTTCAGTTAGCTTACGGAGGTCATGAATAGGCGTGATCCTTCATGATATGCTGCCATATAAACATGTGCAAGCTAGATCTAGAGGTAGGATGGCTAGAGTAAAGATCTTTAGAGATACGGTGAATCTAATAGACTTTGGTGATTTAGGAGTAAGTTATAAGGCCGCACACGAGTGATAGAACTCGCCTAGACACGCCAATCGCTGGACTTCTAATCCACTCCTAAACCCCCAAAATCTATTAGACTCGCCACGTTCCTAAAGACCTTTACCCCAGCTGTTCCACCTCTAGTTGTAGCCTGAACGCACTCTTAAGGTGGTATACTATAAGGAGTTGCTTCTATTCGTAGCCTTTCCTTAGCTGACTGAAGACCTATCTATTTTGGAGTCCGGCGATTTCTGTCACTCGCGTGGGAGGTCAAGATGTCCAAACCTCTTCGTGGCCCATGCATCGCGGGCCGTGAGGCGCAAATTGCGGGGAAGCGCGGACGGCACAGAGAAAGTGTCATCGGGGGACGCCTGCAGTTCCTTAAGGCCGTAGCTGAGCGGCGGTGTCCGTCAGTAAGTACCGTGTACCCCGCTGGACACTCTTTCAGACTGTTAAGATTGTAGTGACGTGCTACTGTATTGAGAGTTATGAAACAATAACAATCGTCTGAAGAAGGAGATGGGATCCAAGTGCTCGCGCCATCTAAACCCTTGATTCGGCTCAGGCGCCGAGACCGCCCCCAAGCTGAATTGAAGATCGCCTCAGGTCGGGCCAAACCACTTGCAGCACAACTGTGACCCCACTCGAAGGCCGCCGCGTCAGATCAAACCTCCATCAGATCAACCTCCATGTCTTCGCAGTCGAATCATCCCAAATCCCCATGAACGCTTACCTGGTATTCGGCGACTGATGGCCTGAGCCGCGAGAGCTCGACATCCCGCCCACTGAGACAAGTCTCGGCTCGCAGCATCGCCTCTGGCCGTCCAGACATTTCGCCATCATGGTGAAGAAGGAGAACAATGGACGGCATGGATCCGCCGCCAGCTCGGGAGCGGACAGCTGGCGGTCGACCGACACGATCACTCCTAGCTTTGCATCCCGGTTTCGAGGCACACCCGTCAAAGTCAGCACCAACAAGGAGCAGAAGTACGTGATTTCGCCTTTTCGGGAATCCAAGAGCTGGCTGCGGCGACACGATGTCTTTTTGAGTTCGTTGGCTCGATACCGTTCTGCTGGCGGACTCGTTGCCTTATACCTATCACAAGTCCTCGACGCGCGGAGAAGCAGCCTTGTCCTTAGCCATCGTCGGCAGGGAGAGACTGCGTCGTCACTCTTGCTCACTGGTAGACAATATACCCATGGTGGTTGAGGGACTCGTGTTATTGCGCGCCGTCGCTCATTGTTTGCTGCTCTCGATCTGACACCACGCTTGTCACCGTATACATTCAGCTGACAAGCTTGCGCAGGGTCGACAAGGACACGGAAATCTCACCAGGCTCGAAGGTCCCAAACTCCGCAGCGCCGTATTCTGCGAGCGCCGATATAGCACCCTGGGAGACCGCACGACCGTCCGACCTGGGCAGCCATCGCAAAGACCTCTCCGTGCTCGATAACAGCGGAGGCAAAGCGCCATCCTACCCTCGCCAGGGTCCTTCCGCTCCAACGTTAAATCCCCCCTGGATATCTGCCAACGGCTCCGCGCCAATGCCTTCTAGCGTCTTTGGGAGCTTCTATAACGACTCGAGCGAGGACTTTGGACAAATGTCGCCAGGCTTTCGGCCTAACGGCGGTGAGATTGAGGGGATGAATTTCCCTGGTGACGACAGGCGGCCTTCCATCGCCAGTGCAACTACCGTCAGCAGCACTGGCTCAAAGTCCAGCGTCGGCCGTGGCTTCCACAAGAAACTTCACAACATCTTTGGTGAAGACCCTGCGGCAGGTGAGCCAAGGCAGGATTCGAATGCCAGTACCGTGACCAGCAGTACGATCAATGGCTCCGAGCAAGCTTCTCGCATGAGAAATCGGAATAATTCCATCCACAACACCATAGCTAGTAGCTTTGGCAGCACGCCGGGTTCGCCAGCAAGCTCTCGTCCACGGACGCCCGGGCCCCAATCCTCCAGTGAGGTGACGCCTTGGGCCTTTCAAGACTTCAAGGTAAGAGTTGTGATAGTGTGGGGGTTATGCGGTGACAGTCTCCACTATTGACAAATAGTTATTGAGGAGGCTCTACTCGTATGCCATTGTTCTAGTTCTCAGCGATTGGGCTTTGGGTTGCTTTTCAACTTTTGCACCACGTGAAAGCGGCTTCCTATTCCTATCCAAGATCCACCGCTGTACCTCGAGCGTGACTGACTTTTAATCAAAGGACGTACCTGCTCCTCCCGACGGCAGCCGCTACAACGCGGACCAACAGTCTAACAAAACGTCAAAAACTACCTCGCACAGGTTGCACCTTCCGCATAGACATAATCGAAGTAAAGACGACTCTAAACCATTTGACACGGCGCCGGGCTACACTTTGCAGCCGACCATATCTCGTGAAGACCCCGCGGGCAACTCAAGACGAAATGATCCCCAGGCGTATCCACCGGCCATAGGCTCTGCCCTGAACTCGAAGAATCCACCCGCACCTCGTCCCTCCAGCCCATCTGGCAGCATGAAGAGCGCGATGAGTCGAGAGACGCTTTCGCAGAAGTCCCCTGTTGCTCCGAAGAGCGGCAAGCGCTCGATATTCGACAAGCTTCGAGGGCGGGACAAGGGCGAGCGGTCGGGCCCCGATAATTTGAAAGACCTTCCTTTGTCGTCAGTGTCTCTTCAGTCTTCAATAAATTCTGCGAGGGTGCCGAAGACAGAAGCAGCTCCGCTGGCCGCGAGGAAGAGGGACGCCATTGTAGATGATGCATCCAGTCAACGTGGTCAGGCTCGTCCAACCGGCAGGGACGCTGCTCCTCCAAAGCGAGAACACGGTCGCAGATTGCCTTTCAAGAGTACAAAATCAGGTCTTCCACCTAAAGACTATCCTGCCGGCAAAGACCCTAACCAGGTCAGAGCTGATGTGGCTGGAAACAATGCATTGTGGAATCTCGATACGGATTTGAACCACATGGAAGGTATCGTCAACGCTCAACAAGCACTACCACTGATGACTCCCCCCGCATCGGAGATTTATACCGGGTGGCCAGGCGATGACACGGCCGGCGAGCAGAAGCCACCCGACGGTGCCGCTGGCGCTTGGGACGCACCTGATTCGTGGGCTGTGAAGAGAGTTCAAGACGAGAACATTTCGAGACTCCGCGAGCTTGACGAAGCGGGGAACCCACCCAAAGATGAAGACCCTGGAATACCACATTACATACGCGTGTTCCGGACCGACTCCACCTTTGCTGTTCTCTCGCTAGGTTTGAACACTACCGTGTCTGAAATTATCCAAGTGCTTGGCAAGAAGACCTACCTTCAAGACGAGCTCGACAATTACCACATTGTCATGCGAAAGCACGACACATCGAAGCAACTTGATCCCCAAGAAAGGCCACTCGTTATCCAGAAGCGGCTGCTTGAGCTGGCGGGTTACACTGAGGCAGATCGCCTCGACGAAATCGGCAGAGACGACAACAGCTATCTGTGCCGCTTCACCTTTCTGCCTGCGAAAATGAGCGGTTACTCTAGTCTGGACAAGGACCCTGGGTTCAGCAAGATGCAAAAGTTCAGCCATATCGATCTGCAAGGTCGTAATCTCATCACGATCCCCATTACCCTGTACCAGAAAGCAACGGAGATAACCTCGCTAAATCTCTCGCGCAACCTCTCGCTTGACGTACCGAAAGACTTCATTCAGGCATGCTCGAACCTCCGCGAGATCAAATATACCAGCAATGAAGCATGGCGGCTCCCTCCGAGTCTTAGCCTGGCAAGCAAACTTACCATGCTTGATGTTTCCAACAACCGCCTGGAGCAACTGGAACATGCGGAACTGCACAGGCTGCAGAGTTTGGTCAGTCTGAGGTTGTCAAACAACAAGCTCAGCTCACTTCCCAAATACTTCGGCCAGTACACTGCGCTTCGCAGCCTCAATCTATCGTCGAATTCGTTGCAAGAGTTCCCTGACTTTCTTTGCGATATCCAGACTCTGGTTGACCTCGACATCAGCTTCAACTCCATCTCCAGTATACCCAGAATTGGCCAACTTGTCAACCTTGAGAGGCTTTGGGCAACGAACAACAAATTAACTGGCAGCTTTCCGCCGACATTCAGCAACCTAGTCAATCTGAGAGAGATAGATGTTCGGTTTAACGCACTCGCCAATATCGATGTCATGTCGCAGTTGCCGTGTCTTGAATATCTCATGGTGGGCCACAACTCAATCTCAGCTTTCGAGGGATCTTTTGAGAAAATTAGGGTACTGCATCTCAACCACAATCCGGTGACGAGATTTGGAATGGCGGCCCCGGTTCCCTCGTTGAGCCAGCTCAATTTAGCGTCGGCCAAGCTCGCGCAGCTACCGGAGGACTTGTTTGGGAAGCTCAGCGGATTGACGAAGCTTGTGTTGGACAAAAACCACTTCGTGTCGGTGTCGCCTCAGATTGGCAGACTGGTCCGGCTGGAGCATCTGAGTATTGCCAGGAACAATTTGAGCAGTCTCCCACCTGATATTGGCCGATTGGCAGAGCTTCGCTATCTTGATGTGCGAGAAAACAGCCTGAGTACGTTGCCGGCAGAGATATGGTTTGCGCGGAGACTAGAGACCCTCAACGTTTCATCCAACGTACTTGACAGTTTCCCCAAACTCGGACCCATTCCTGCACTTGTCGACAATCAGATTGGTTATGACGGCACACTTGCACAAAGCCCCGGGCTGTCTCAAAGTCCGAGTTACGAAGAGCTCGGAAAGCTCGAAGATTTTGCAGCCCGCCGTCCCAGCCAGGCATCGGGAAGTCTTCTCAGCGTGAGCAGCTCGCCAGCAGCATCTCAGAGAACGGGGTCCATTGCGTCTTCTTATGTACCGTACCCGAGAAAGGGCTCGGTACTGTCGAGAGTACCAACTGACGCGTCCATGACTGGAACCATCACTCCCCTTAGTCGAAAAGACTCCTCGCTCATGAACCGCATGGTCATGACGTTCGCAGGATCCCTTCGACATCTGTTCCTTGCCGACAACAGACTGCAGGATGATGTGTTTGAGCAGCTCCAGACGCTATCAGAACTGAGGATCGTCAACCTATCGTACAATGAGATTTACGAGGTCCCGTCACGCACCATCCGGAGGTGGCAGAATCTCGTGGAACTTTACCTTTCCGGCAATGACTTGACCTCTTTACCGTCGGAAGACCTGGAGGAAACAAGCTCTCTGCGTGTGCTTCACATTAACTGCAACAAGTTCCAGACGCTTCCTGCCGAGCTAGGGAAAGTTTCCAAGCTGGCCATCCTCGACGTTGGTAATAATGCGCTCAAGTACAATGTTTCGAATTGGCCGTACGACTGGAATTGGAACTGGAACCGCAACCTGAAGTTTCTGAATCTGTCGGGCAACAAGCGCTTAGAAATCAAACCCAGCGGTTCTCAACATGCAAGGAGTCGCGATGGCAAGGACTTAACGGATTTCACCTCCCTAACCAGTCTCAGAGTCCTGGGCTTGATGGATGTCACATTGATGGTGCCCTCCGTGCCAGATCAGAGCGAGGATCGAAGAATTCGGACATCCGGTTCCATGGTCGGCAGTATGGCTTACGGCATGGCGGACAGCTTGGGCCGAAACGAGCACCTCTCGACCATGGACATGGTTGTACCGAGGTTTAGGAGTCATGAGGACGAAGTCATCCTCGGCATGTTCGACGGTCAAGCGCTCTCTAGTGGAGGTTCCAAGATTGCGAAGTACCTATACGACAACTTCAAAAATCGATTCTCTGAGGAGCTTGACAAGCTGAGGCCTGAAGAGACAGCGGGCGACGCCTTGCGGAGGACATACCTGGGTTTGAACAAAGACCTCGCAACAACTGCTGTGCAAGCCTTGGATACCAAGAGCAGTCCAACACCAACGGCTCACCGCGGCTCCATCACCTCGAATGATCTGGGCAACGAGGATCTGAACTCTGGCAGCGTCGCGACAGTCATGTTCCTCAAAGAGATGGAGCTATTCGTGTCAAATGTTGGAGATGCCCAAGCGTTACTCATCCACTCTGAAGGGAGTCATCAGGTCATCACGCGGAAGCACGACCCGGCCGAGCAAACTGAGCGCGCACGTATCAGAGAAGCTGGGGGATTTGTCTCTCGACAAGGCAAGCTCAACGACATCCTCGAAGTCTCTCGTGCTTTTGGATACATCAATCATTCTCCATCGGTCATTGCAGCGCCACACATAGCGCAGATCACACTTCGCGAGTCGGACGAGATGGTTTTGATAGCCTCTCGCGAACTCTGGGAATACCTTACCCCGGACTTCGCGGTCGATGTCGCCCGGTCTGAGCGGGGCGATCTCATGCGTGCGGCGCAAAAGCTTCGAGACCTCGCCATAGCCTTTGGCGCAACGTCAAAGATCACCGTCATGATTCTCGGTGTCAGCGACCTGAGGAAGCGAGAACGTGCCCGATTCAGGACTCACAGCATGTCCATGGGACCGTCTGGCTCCCCTGACGAGTTCTACGCGGCACGGGCCAAGAAGCGTGGACGAGATGCTCCCCTGGACTCCAAGTTGGCGAGACTGGACCAGGAAGTCGAAGCGCCCACTGGAGATGTCAGCTTGGTATTCACCGATATCAAGAACTCAACCATGCTCTGGGAGACATATCCTATAGCGATGAGGTCCGCCATCAAGCAGCACAACGAGCTCATGCGAAGACAGCTGCGCATCATCGGTGGCTACGAGGTAAAGACAGAAGGCGACGCTTTCATGGTTGCTTTCCCTACTGTTCCCTCTGCGCTGCTCTGGTGCTTTACCATCCAGAGCCAGCTGCTGGAAGTACCTTGGCCTCAAGAGATCCTGAATAGTGTCAACGGCCAAGAAGTCTGCGACGCCGACGGAAACGTCATATTCCGTGGGCTTTCGGTCCGGATGGGCATCCACTGGGGCCAGCCTGTGTGCGAAGTCGACCCAGTAACAAAACGCATGGACTACTTCGGCCCGATGGTCAATCGAGCAGCTCGTATCTCCTCAGTAGCCGATGGCGGCCAGATCACGGTGTCGTCAGATTTCATCGCGGAAATCCAGAGACTGCTCGAGACACATATCGAGTCAGACCGAACAGGGTCCACAGGCTCCGATGACAGCGACGAAATGATGAACCAAGCCATCCGCCGTGAACTCCGCTCCCTCATGAGCCAAGGTTTCGAAGTGAAGGACTTGGGCGAGAGAAGGCTCAAGGGCCTGGAAAACCCGGAATACATTTACCTCATGTACCCGCACTCGCTTGCGAGCCGACTCGCCATCCAGCAGCAGCGCGCAGAAGCCGAGAAGCAGGACGCCGGCAAAGACGGAGCGGGCACGAAGATGCGAGATAGCCAGCTGACGATCGACACGGAGAACGTGTGGGATCTCTGGAACGTCAGTCTTCGCCTGGAGATGCTGTGTAGCACCCTGGAGAGCCCGGGATCCAGTCAACTGAAGCCACCCGAGACCGCGCTACTGGAGAGGATGAAGAACAACGGTGGTGAGATCACGGATCGGTTCTTGCTCAACTTTGTGGAGCATCAAATCTCGCGCATCGAGGTAAGCGGTTCATAGACATATCTAATCCCATGCTGGGCGGAACAGTCGCTGACCTACCATTCACAGACCTGCATAACGACTCTGGCCCTTCGAAACATAATCCATCCCTTCCGCAACGGCATGCTTCAGAACGCGTGCCCCATGAGCGACATCTTCAGCGAGCTCACCTCGCAACTCTCCGAGCTGCAAGCGCTGAGAGAAGCCGCCGACTTCGAAATGGCAGGTGCATGAAAACATACAACGACTCCGTCACTATGCACTCACTTTGCAGCTCTCTGCACCGCTCACTGTAAGATCTAGAGGAAAACATTACTAGCTATCTATCCTTACCTACCTCTGGCGGTCTAGCGCTCCAGCTTTATGATTTGGCGCTGTTCTTTTGTACCAACATCGCTCGCGAGCGCGTCGAGCTTTTTGTTTGGGGCCTCTGTACGTTTTCGGTTGGGTTGCTCGTCCGGGCGCATGGCATGGGATGGGATGGCTCGGATGGGCTTGGGCAGGGACACACAAGGACGACTTACGCGCTCACGACCGGCGTGTCTGCAGGGACGGATGGGAGGGAATTTTGGATCTGCTTTTTCTCTCCTTGGATTGCCAGCGAGCGACTGTCGCTTTTGTTCTTTCGTGCTGGGGAGGGTGGCAGTTGGTGAGAGGTTCGTGTGGGGGACTTTCAAGACGGCCTTAGAGCACATACACGAAGACTTTTGTTCGTAGCCTACGTCAATGCGCAGTCTGGCCGTGTTGTAGCCTAGCAGAAGGACCGCTTCTACGGTCCTCTCTCCATCATGAGCTAGACTGCCCAAACAACACCTGGGTCGCCCTTATCTGCTCGTGTCTCACGTTGCGTCGCGTTGTATGCACTCCAATCGTCCCCGTACTCCATCCTTCGCTCGTGATTCACATGGTTCTCATAGCCATGCGTATCAGCGACGCGTTCTCGCCCACCCTGAACAACTATATCAACAATCCGCCAAGTCCTGCAGGGTGCCAGCGCCCAGCCAGCCACAAATCCGCCGCCCGTGCTCTGCCCTGGCCTTGCCCCGTTTTGGCGGATCGATGCAGGGGTGAACGCCTCGATTGAACCTTCAGCTCTCTACCGAGAGAGATTTGGATAGCTATTTTCAGCTGCGGGCCACGCCATGCTCCTCCCTCACGTTGCACGATAAGCCCAACGGCATTTCTTCCTGTCCCTTCTACCAAGTAGCCTTCTTGCTTCTCTCTTTGCTTGTTTTGTATTCGTGGCCAGCTCCATTATTCATTATCTACATTTGCCGCGACTACGTTTCTTCGCCGTATTGCTTGAGACAGTTTCACGATAATCCCGTAATGTCTACATCACCGCCCACCACGTCGCTATCCCGCCTCGCAGCCGTTCTCCTCCTCCTCGTCAACCTCATCCTCTCCGTCTCCGCCCAGTCCGCAACAGCCACCGCGTCCTCCACCCCAGCTGGCCCAACAATCAGCCCCGGCGAGGGCAAATACCAGTATGTGGGCTGCTACAATGAGACGACGCACATCGAGGCCGGAGGCTCAGTGCGGGCGTTGCAGGGAAAACCGGTTAGTCAATCCCCTCCACCACCTTTGGCCGAACCTTTTGTACGCGGCCGGTGCCGAGACATTGCAGGCTGAGATGTAGCGCTAATCGCTCTGCGCACCAGGAAGCCAACGACGAGATGACGCCGGCCCGCTGTTTCGCCTTCTGCGGCGGCACCCAGTTCGCCGGCCTCGAATATGGACGCGAGTGCTGGTGCGCGCCGCATCTGTCGAGTTTGTCTGAGAAGCTGGAGGATGGGGAGTGCGATATTGGGTGTGCAGGGGAGAACGGAACGATTTGTGGGGGCCGTTTGAGGTAGGTGTTCTTAGGTGACGGGGCTGGGCTGGAAGGGCAGGATTCAGATTGGGGTGTGGATGGTGGGACGATGTGCTAACGGGTGGTATAGGTTAACGCTGTATAATCAGACTGGAACTGGCAATGGAGCTGCGGGAATGAGGGGGAGTGCGTCGTCGTTACTTGCTGGTGCGGCGGGGCTGGGGATAGTCATTGCTTGGTTCTTATAGGGTTTCTCGGGCTAAGCTGCTCTTGTTTTAGTAGTACTTGTGGTCGATGGCGTTGGATCTTGGATATATCTGAGTTGCGCAAACATGGCTCCCGGTATTTAAAGGAGGCAGTCAGACGGCATCTTTATATTGCGCCTCGTGTCTGCTGGCAAATCCGTATAGATTTCCATCTCCTCAGGCGGCAGCCGGTGGGCGAACGACCGCTGAATCTTGGCTCCTTTCTTTACTGAGAAGCAGCAACACCCTATGTCATTCGTGTGCTATGCGGCTTCTCATTCGTCCTTGCTCTTATATCTGTGTTCACCTTCTTAGGCGGAAGCTGCACCTTAGTTTCAATGTCATTTCCTCCAGACTTGCGGCACTTACTGGACCAGCTCTAGCAAGAGGAAGGAGCAAAATGCTCTCATCCTGTTCCCATCTTCGCGTTTCTCTCCTGATTGTCCTTTACCATCCCAACTCATCGTCTTCGTCTGCCATAGTCCTGGCTCTGTGACATTCTTCCACAGCATTATCACACACCGCCATGATATCCGCCAGCAAACCTATACCGGAGCCCAGCTCAGCCACCGCCTCGCTGCGCGACATGACGCGGCAGATTGTCCGCCGCCAATCCTCACCACCACTGCCCGTTTGTCCCTCCATCTCAACTGTCGAGACGACCGCCGCTGCCAAAATATTCTTCGAGATGCACTTCAACGGCATCCTCTCTGCCACCAGTCCACGCTCGCTGCGGCGCCGAGACTTGGAGCAGCGTCTTTCAGAGCTAGGGCTATCCAACAGCGAAAGGCAGCAGGTGCGCCAGGAATGGCTGCTGGCGGAAAGCGAGCACCTTCGGCAGACCAGAGTCCTGAAGGCGAAAAGCATGCAGAGGAAGGCGAGCAAGGGTGTGAGTATCGCGGGATACGAACTCGTGCGTGTGCTGGGCAAGGGGAGCTTCGGCGTCGTCAGCCTCGTTACGGAGATGAAGCAAGAGCCCCAACGCGCAGCTGCCTCGCCATCCTCACCGACGACACCGGCGAGCAGCGACACTGATGATGTGCCAAACCCCAACAGCCCGCCTCTGCAGGTGCCTGGTTCCAGGGACGAACAGGACCTTTCACAGATCCAGAAACAAGTTTACGCCATGAAAGTCATACGCAAATCCGACATGCTACGCAACAGCCAAGAAGGCCACCTACGCGCAGAGCGAGACTTCCTCGTCGCGTCCGAGAACTCACGGTGGGTGATCCCCTTGATTGCCAGCTTCCAGGACAGCAGCCACCTGTACCTCGTGATGGAGTATATGGTGGGCGGCGACTTCCTCGGGCTCCTACTCCGCGAAGACGTGCTCGACGAGTGCGTCGCACGGTGGTACATCGCCGAGATGATCCTCTGCGTCGAGGAAACCCACCGCATGAAATGGATCCACCGCGACGTGAAGCCAGACAACTTTCTCATTTCCGCGTCAGGGCATCTCAAGATCTCGGACTTCGGCCTCGCATTCGACGGACACTGGGCTCATAACCAGACGTACCACAACCATCAGCGCTACACGCTGCTCGAGCGCTTCGGCATCAGTGTCCCGGGCGACGCGCAGGATGTCCAGGAAGAGAGGGATAGGTCGAGTGTGAGGAGGCTGGCGAGCGCGGTGAGCTGCGGCGTTAGTGGGTTGGTTGAGAGGACCAGACCGGAGGATCATGGTATGAAGCCCCTGGACTGGCTCAATCGCACCCAGAAGCGGAGACTAGCGAAGAGTGTCGTCGGGACTAGCCAGTATATGGCGCCGGAGGTCATCCGAGGACACGACTACGATGGTCGATGTGACTGGTGGAGCATCGGCGTCATTCTTTATGAGGTTTGTAGTGCTTCAACTTCCCTAACCAGATGTGTGCTGACCCTCCAGTGTCTATACGGATTGACACCTTTCTTCAGCGAGAACAGAGCCGAGACGAAGCGCAAGATCCTGGTTCGCCATCTCCTTCCCTCTCATCAGGCTTGTTCACAGCTAACATCCCCCAGGCCCACAACACGACCTTCGGCTTCCCCCAAACAACCCGCATCGCCCGCCCCGGCACCTCCAACATCCGGCTCGCCCCCGTAACCTACGAAGCCATGGACCTCATCTACCGCATGCTGCAAGACAAAGAATACCGGCTCTCATCACGCAAGTATAAAACTAACGATTCGTCCTCCACACCCATGACTCCGCCCCCAACACCCCGCCGCTACCGCCACCTCCACCACGCCCAGCGGCACGCCTCGCGCAACGCCGCGGGCCACTTCGTCTACGCGGATGACGCCGACGATATCAAGGCGCACCCCTTCTTTGCGGGCGTCAGGTGGGAGACGCTGCACCTCGAGCCGGCACCCTTCGTGCCGCGTGTTCAGGGCGATCAGCCGATCACGAAGTACTTCGATGACGAGAAGGATATCCTGTCGGACGGGCGCCAAGGCGGGGGGCCGCATGGGGGCTCGACGTCCTCATCCGCAGCCTCGACTGCTGCGGCTGCCGAGGAACCGGTTGCGGTGGACGGCGGCAAGGATAATAGGTTTGAGCGCCGCGATGGGATTCAGGGGGGTGTTGATGGCGTGGCGTCGTCGCCGGCTGGTACTCCGCCGACGGCGAGGAAGCCGAAAAAGGAGAAGAAACGTCCGAGGGATAGGCTGTTGAGGGATCCGCAGGTCGGGAAGAAGGTCCTGGAGTTGAGGAAGATGGGCGCGTTTCTGGGATATACGTACCGCAGGCCGAGGATGTGGATGCTGGAGGGGGAGGAGAGGATCGGGCGACCGATGTTGAGCACGAAGAGTGCGGATTCGGGGGATGTGGTGGAGGATCAGGAAATGGGTTCTTCGACATAAGGAGCCGGAACGGGATGAGGTTTCGCTGGCGCTGTTTGGAGTTCTTGCGGCCTCGTTTGAGTTCAGGTCGTCTTATTGTTGTTGCCTGGATGTTCTCTTGCGTAGGAGGCTTCTCTTGTTGCTAGCTCTGCTGTGAGTTGACGTTACTGTTTACATCGGCCTCCAGTACAGACAGGTATGGAAAGCATCAGGCTGGTGCTCCTGTTCCAGCAATTCTAAGGAAAGCTAGGGAAGGTCCAAGTACTTGCCACCTTTCACTGCATACGCTGTACTATTTGTAATCTTCAGCGACGTACATCAGTGCAAGCAGGGGCCGGCAACCGTGGTGAGTGACGGTCAATCCACCATCCCGTACTGCGTTCAGCGAGACACCCATGAACAAAAAAAGGCCAGTACCCTCCCAGAACATTCGCCACCAGATATTCTATGAGTGCAAGAAGTTTACTTCTCTGTCAATCACCCATCACTTCCTACTCGCAGGAACAACGCTCGTGGTCTCTTGAAATCTGTACAGATTCAATCTTACGTCTAATTCCTGTTGTCCACAAACCCTTCGCCCCTAATCAAATGCCTTTGACATCGCCTTGTGCGCCAACTCGACCCCCAAAAACGTCGCCGCATTCGCCGGCACCGCCCTCGCCAACGCCGGCCCGAATCCCGGAAAGAACGCCTTAACCCCTCCCCTGCTATACACCTGCCTAATCGTCCCTCCAATCGTTGGGTTCCCCTCCGCGCTCTGCAGCCTGCTCTTGATCGTATCGACCGGGAACACTGGAATCCACATCGCGACACCCGCCGCGCCTCCCGCCGCCATCACGGCCACCAGACTCAGGTCCCCCGGCAGCCCATTTGCGTCCTTTGGCGTCAACCTCCTCTTGATGGTCTCGTACGTCGCGAAGTAGGCAGCCGATCCGGGCCCGTCGCGCGCGAGCGTCATGGCGCTGCCGCGGAAAACAGACCGGATACCGCCTTCGCGGTAGAGTTGTCGCACCACGTCGAGCCCGCCGCTGTATCTAGGCTTCTCGCCGGGCTTGAGCTGTTTCTGGCCTTGGATTTGGAGGAGCACTTTTACGCGCTCGAAGGGGGCGGTGATGAGGGTCATGGGGATTGCGGAGAAGAAACCGGCGGCGCTGACTTGGGCGACGCTGTATTGGTTGTTTTTTACCTCGGAAAAGGTCTGTACGAGGGATTTGCCGACGCCGTAGCCCTGGGGTTGTTAGGGGCAGGAGGGGTGGTGGGGTTGGATTGGGGGGGCCTTACCCAGAAGCTCACGGCGACTATTTGGTGTTATTAGTCAAGTGAACTGTTCTGAGAGGGGACGCGGTTGGAAGCACTCACACATCGGCGTCACGCCCACCAGCGGCGCAGAAACACCCGCATACAGACCCTACAGACGTCCTGTCAGCTCGCCAACTACCTAGCATGACTGCTCACACCACAAAAACCCACCCTCCGCATCCCCTCCCTAGCAATCGTCTTCCGCACCACATCCATCGCCCCAGAGTACACCCCCTTCTCCGCAGTCTGTAGCCGGACTTTGACGAGGTCGAACGGGTGGCCGACAACGACGGCGCAGACGCCGCCCACGCCGCCGGCGGCCAGGTCGCGCAGGCTCTTGAAGGACTTTTTGGAGGCCTCGACGACCTCTTCTTTTAGCTCTTGGGTGGAGGGTATGGCGGCCTCGACCTTTTCTACCACTGAGGGGGCCATGGTGGGTGTGGGTGTGCGCTCGCACGCGCCGAGCTGGAGGAGGTCCTGGGAGAAGCTAGGGAGGTTCAACACAAGGCTCAGAACAGCGAAAAAAGGACAATGGGTAGTATTCTAGGAGTAGTACTATGAGAGCAGCAGTAGAGCAATTCTCAATATCTATACAGCTTCTGCGCGGCCGGAGTTTAACATGGCGCGCACAGCTCCATAGGTGCGGCGGTGGGAAACTCGACGTCAGATCCGAGGTCCAAGGTCACGGAGCTGGGACTTGCTTCTCCGGCTGAAACTCCTCCGCCGACTTCACATGCATGCAAGCAACGCTGTACCTGCAGCAAGATCCGCACACCCGCCCAGCTTTACCTACCGCCTGCAGAATGTCACCAGAGACCTTGCAGCAGCGCGCTCATGAGGACAGTACAATCACATCGTTGTTCGTATTTGTCGGCTATCTGTCACGCTTGGCAAGCGCACAAGATGTGCAGCGCTCGCTATCAAGCACCACGAAAGGCGTCACCTGAACACCGTTACCGGAACGAAACATGCAGGAGTTGGCTCAGTGTACTGCTCAAACTGAATTGCTGACCTCGGATGCTGCACGTATGGCAAGTATCCAGCCTTCTGCGGTATAAGCAATCGCGGGAAAGCATCAAGCCTCCCAAGCACCTCATGGAGGATGACAACGACTTTCTGACTAGGCAAGCTACACGCCTCAGGTGGAGGCGCTGCAGCGCGTGAGTTGCTTCTGCTTTCACTGCGCAAATCTATGCGGTACAAAGGCAAGGATATCTGGCATCCTTCTATATAAGAAAGGAGCAACTTCCCCCACATCGATTCATCTTCACCAGATTGCTTTTGGTATTCAAGACCATTCACTTGATTTTCAACAGCTTTCTCTCTTCCTCTGACGAGAAACGTAGAGAACGAGACATTATGAACAGCCGCGAGACGGAGTTCTTCGAAGATGCCAGCCAGTCCGAGTACTTCCAAGTCGATGCAGATGCGACAGCTCTGTCCGAATTCGGCAGGCTAGCCACCCAGAGCAACTGGGCCATTGGCGGGGACGCATGGAAGAAGCACTGGCACGCCTGCTTCGGAACAGAGTACCGCTTGGCGAAGGTGGCAGCTATGGACTGCGCGCCGGAGAGTCCTAGCCAGGGAGTTCCGCAACACTCTCAGAAAGCAGCTCTCCAGGAACAAGAAGCCGTTCGACGGGGTTTCCTCAACGGCTTCGAGCGCTTCACCCCTAAACCGATGGCCTTGCTAGCGGCGGAGTTCGATCGCCTCGCGGTGCACAATGGATGGCCCAAGGTAGCCGACAAGAAAGCGAAAGAGGAAGCGGCCAAGCTGGCGGAGCTCCAAGCTCTCTGCGCTGAGGTGCGCATCCCTGCTCAGCAGTCAATCAGAAAATGCAAAGAGGTAAACGCTTCTACGATTGCGAGATGAAACCAGACTAATCTTGTCTGCAGGTACTAAGAGAGGTCCACGTTAATATCAGCGATCTTGTGGACAGTCGCCGCACGGGAGAACCTGTTCAGATCTTCACCTCACTCGAAGCACTCCAGCGCTCGACGTTGGAGGGAGGCAAGGTCTTTCCCAAGGAGCAGACGAGCGAGGATAAATTCCTGAAGCTGTTCCTGCGTAAGATGGAGCCGAAGGGAGCGTCTTCTAGCCCGGAGGAATCGTCTTCTAGCCAGGATGGGTCGCCTCCGTCCAAGGAGTGAGCAGAACATTGCGGCTCTCGGGTTCCTTGCGTGGGTAGGAAACCCGTTAACGGCTTTTCCATTTCGGATTTACTGTCAGATTACGCTCCTTGATCTCCCCTGTACTTGGTAGCTTGCTGGGCCTGGGCATGGTATTGGCGTTAGCATAGAATTGAATTTCATCGGATCCGAAAGCAGCTCTTCCTATCGTCAACCTGTAGCTGATTGCTTTGACCCGTTCTACCGTTTTAGCTGGAAGCACGACATCAGGATAGCTGTACTCTTTCACGGTATAATCAGCCCTGTGGAATCAAGTCGAACATTCTAAGTATCTATCAGTGCATTGCCAGTGTCTTCTGATTAGGTAGGCAAGCCACGACTGTTTGGTGAAGGTGCTATCATGCATGTGCCGCGTCTGCTTCACTTAACGGACAATCACCGTGCAAACGCAATCGTGCAGCAAGTTTGTGAATACAAACGGGTGGCAGCTTCTTCTGTTTCCTTTCTTCTAGTCGTGCTCATCTCAACGTTCGTACCCAGTTGCACATCGCTCTAATCATCTCACTCCTCCTTACAGGAACAGAAAAGGGCGGACACCATGAACGCCCAAGAGAAAGCGTTCTTCAACAGTCCCAAGTTCAAGAAATACGGCTTTATCGTCAACGAAAATGCCACGACTGTGTCTGAGTTCCATAGACTAGCAGCCAGCCGCAAGTGGAAAGTTGGCGGGAAGCTCTGGCGCAAGCAATGGCGAAAGTGCTACAAAATAGATTACCAGACCGCAAAGCCGGCGGCCGGAAACCAACCACAGCGCAGCAGTTCTGGCCAAAGTGTGCACCAGCAAGCTCGTCCGCAACACTCACTCCAGAAGCCTCCCCAGAACCACCAAGCCAAGCTTGAAGATGGCGTCAAGCTTGGATACTTCGAGAGCTTCCCGGACTTCGTCCCCGACCCGACCGATTCTCTTGCTTCCGAGTTCAAGCGCCTCGCGATTCACAAAAAATGGGCCATCAACTCCGCCGAATACCGTCAGAACCGTTGACTGGCATATCAGGACCAGTTCGGCCAGTACTTTGGGACCGAAGCCACCAAGTTGGAGAACTTCCAGCGTCTCTGTGTGGAGGTCGGCATTGATCCTCCTCCGCCCTCAATCACTCAGTGCAAGAAGGTACGTGCCTATTTGCCTTGAGACGCAGTTCAAGACTGACATTACGTGTAGGCGCTGAAGGGCGTCCTCGTCAACCTCGTCAATCTTGTTGACAGCCGCCGAACAGGGGAGCCTATCAAGCAGTTCGACACCTTCAAGGAATTCCGTCGGTACACCTTTAATGGAAGAGTCTTCCCCAAAAATGAGGCGAAGGAGGACACGTTCTTAAAGGTACTCTTGCGTGGGTTCCGCAGGTCAGGCGGCTCCTGATCGATGGTGGGGATGTTCGATACTCTCCCGGAAGTATGCCAAGCGTTGCGACTTCTAGTTTCCGGCATGTGAGCACGACCACTTTGGCGGGATTTATGGATGGTTTGGGATGTTAGACACCCCCTTGGATTTTGTACCTGACGGGCTGTTGCGAATGGGTTGGCGTTGCAATACCTGGCCAAAAGTCCTTCCGGATCACCGATTTCTCACCAAAACTCGTTGTTTTTAAGATCTAAAACCCCTACCCTAATACTATTACTAAGTAATAAGCTATTATGCTTAGTAAGAATATAGCCTAAGCTAACTATTAGTAGATTTATATTAAGCTCTACTGCTAATATACTCACGCTAGATATACTTAAGTCTAAGTAAAAATACTAGTAAAAATATATTTTTATATTTATCTATTATACTATTAGATTATATATAAGTAATATATATATATTAATTTATTAGCATATAAACTATATTCTATATATAGTATTACTTAAATATAATAGCTAGTTCTTTAATAAATAGTACTTAAGATTTATACTAGAAGATACTTAAAATTCAAACTCTTCTAGATACTTAGATACTTACTATAACTTAATAATCTCTTAATATTAAATAGCTTAGGTTTCTAATAGATTACACTATAGTTTTTAGAATTAAGCTATATCATCTAGCTAGGAATTTATTACTTAGAAAACATCGAGTTTTGGTGAGAAATCGGCGATCCGGAAAGACTTTTGGCCAGGTATTGTAGATAGAATCGGTTTTCTCTGAGCTCAATAGCGAAGCGCTTTGCCAACTTACCATCTTAAATACGTGAATGATCCATTGACCCGTGTGGCACCTTGGGTACCTAAGAGTCATAGCGCTTGATCTCAACGCGCTCCTGCCTTGACATGTTCGGGACTCAATGTTACCTTACCCTTCCAACTGGCCTTGGGCCGCGGACATGCAATTAAAGGTGCGGGAGATCAACGGGGCTAAAACACGTTCAGCCAAGCTCGGGGTATGTAGATCTGACGCGTGCGAGCCCAGGAATTGCTCAAGTCCCTGATGACATCGATCCATCACTGCCGAGCTAAATATTGGCACCACACAATCCGGATAGCCAGCCGTTATGGCTTCCAGGCGTATTAAACGGGGGTCCGTGGCGTACGAAGACTTTAATGTCCCTTCAATACACGGGCCTTAGCCTCAGTTCGCGCTCCGTATCAGGAACTCTCCTGCTTTGTTGTTTTTACACAGCCGTGGCACGTAAATATGTCAGCTGGCCCTAGGTCATGGATTACGGGATGGCATTGGTATGTCGTCTTGCCGTAGATTGAGCCCGAGTGGTAAAGTGCTGAGACCGGCCGCAGGAGAGAAAGGATCCTCAATTTCACTCCATCATGGTTTATGGTCTGCATGGGTACAGCTCCTTTCAGTAAAAACCGAACCTCCAACCAGATACTGCGGGGACATAGCACCGTTTTGTTGAGTCTTTGTACTGATCTTGATGAAGGCACTGGCACCTGTACACAGATTCTAGTGAACTTTCCATATCCGTATAGCGCAGGAACATACTGGATGCGGAACCTTGGGTACTGCTTCTGGGTAGGCATCAAATGCTTTCGCAGTCTTGCTATACTCTTACACATAAACGCAGATATTGGATATCGTCCTCTTTGCTCTGTTCATCGGCTTTCTCACAACGCGTTATATCCGTCATCCGAGCTTGATGAAGAAGACTATTATGGAGTTTCCAAACAGCTCCTACTTGGGTGCTATTCCGATTGTCAGTTTTTCCTCAACCCTTCTGTGACCGTTGCTCATTTGCGCAGGCACTTGATACGATCATCGTTGGCTTGGTCACATACTACAACTACCGCGACAGCGCCATGTGGGCAGCATTCGTACTCTACTGGATCTCTGTCGTCCTAACTCTCGCTGTGGGTTTCGGTCTTCTCATCATCCAAATGACGAAGCAAGAAGAACACAGTATTAGCGACGTAGCCGGACTGTGCGTATGATCACCTTTATACACGCCGCCTAGGGCTAACTCGTACCAGGTGGCTCATGACAGCTGTGCCCATGGTCGTAACCAGCGCCGTTGGTGCTAATATGCTGCCCTATCTGCAATTGTTGAGTCTTAAAGTGGCGATGTCTGTATTCATTGTGTCTTTTCTTCTCTGGAGCCTAGGCCTTGTGCAAGTCCATCTCATTCTCGCGTGCTACTTTTGGCGCCTCATATCGTATAAGCTGCCGTCGAATCAGCTTCTGGCCTCCGGGTTTCTACCTCTTGCTCCATTAGGTGCGTGCCCCTTGTTACCCGCCATCCTCGGTTTATGTCACTCACTTAATCCATGCTATCACAGGGCAAGGCGCATACGCCGCCCAACAATTCTCCATCTACCTCTCCAACTACCTCCGCAGCTCCGGCTACGCACCCACGCAGTCGCAGCCACCGCCCGTCTCAGACACCGTCCTCCTCTCCACCGGCATGGCGATCCACTGGTTAGGCATCATCATTTCTCTGTTCCTGCTTGCCCACGCTACCTTCTGGCTCGTCCAGGCCACCGCCTCAGTGCTAATCCGCATGCCTAAGCAATTCAACGTACGTATCCACTTGCATCTCAACACTACCCCTCTTTCCCACCAACACCGCAACCGAAGCTAAGCACCCTAGATTGGCATGTGGTCCTTCACCTTCCCCCTAGGCTCCTACGCCAACGCATGGAGCAACCTCTCCCGCGACCTCCGCAACGAAGGTATGAGAGGATGGGCGGCCACCACCACCGTCGCCGTCCTACTCACCTGGCTCTTTTGCGCTGCCATGACGGCTTGGCTGGGCTTCTGGAAGGGCGAACTGTTCTCGACGCCTGGGCTCGAGAACTGGGTGTCTAAGGAGATCAAGGACCACAAGGCAGAAGGGGAGACTCAGCCGGGCGGCGGGGAAAGGTATCAGTATAACGGGACGTATGCGATGTCGCGACCCGGGGTCCAGGACGAGGAGGTCGGCAGGGAGGGAACGTGTGGAAGTGCGAACGGGCAAAGCACTTCGACAGAGCAGAATGTGTCAGCGAATCAAAGGCTGAATGGGAGTCACAGCACGCCCTCGTAAGATTGGGAAATAGAGATAGACTGCTCGTTTGGCTACGGAGCCAAAGTATATACAATGCTGCGACCCACCCGTTCTACACTCCACCCCACCGTCCAAAGAACCTCCACACTGATATCCAAGATCATCTCGATCCCAGCCCCAGACCAGAGGCCTATACGGCCACATACGACCCGCTCACAATCCTCCTCACGCCGGCAACACCCCTCCACGCTCCCGCCGAACTGGCAGCCGTCTCATCAGCAAACGGATCCGCCTCCGCACTCCCGCCCGCCGCACCAGCAGCGCCCTCCTCCCTCACAAGCCGACTGACACTCAACCCACTGCCCAGCCCCACCGCCTCCTCCCCACTAATCTCCCACCTAGCCTCCACATTCCCCGGTCTCGCCTCGCCATCCGTGAAGAACCTCGCACGGAGCTGCTGCGTAATATTCGCGTTCCAGAACGTCACATCCCCGAGGCGCCAATACAGCGTCGACTTCTCCGCCGAGAACGCCCCCGCGGGCTTGGACTGGCAGCTCAAGGCCCTCGCGCCCTCGAGGTGGCAGACGAGCACCACGTTTGAGAGGGTCAGCGGGCGGTTGGCGTTAGTGGCCCCCGGGCGGGCGGAGAGCGCGAAGGCCGGGTTCAGGGCGTAGCTGACGATTACGGAGGTCTGGGTTGGCTCGACTTTCCAGGCCGTGGTGAGTTGCATGGGCGCGTGCGTGGAGAGGTTGGTGTCGTCGAGATGGAGCTGGTACTTGAAGGCCACAGCTGTCTTGGCGGTGATGGCGGGAAGGGCGAGGGTGTAGGTGCCCGCTTTGTCGGGGGCTTGGGTGATGAATGTTGGGTTGGGGGCGACTTTCTCGAGGACGGGGAAGTTGTCGAGGCGGATTGTTTCGTTGCTGAAGGAGGCAGAGGTGTCGGTGGGGTTGTAGGCTAGGGCGAGCTCGCCGATTACGGTGGCGCGGCTTACGCGGCCATGTTCGAAGTAGGCGCTTACTGTTTCGACAACGGAAGAGTTGAGGCCTGGCTCGTGGAGGTCAGGGTGCCTGATCGTTGTACTGACGGCACTGCTGAGAGAACGGCCTGAGCGGATGGATCCGGTGTCTGAGGCGGCAGGGGCGTCACTGAGGAGGCTACCATGCTGAGCCGGTCTGAAAGGCGACAGTGGAGCAAGAGTCGGTGATGACTGTGTTATTGGTAGCGTCGTAGGGCCAGGTATAGGACTGGCGGCAGGTTGTATGCTGTCGTCATTGCCGACCTCAGGAGTCTGCGGCGAAGGTATGAATACTGTGTTTCGCACGTCCCTGCGACCTCGGGCCGTTCCAGTTTTCCTCGGGATGGCCGTTTGCTGAAAGACATTAGTCGTCGGTTGAAAAGGGACAAGCTGTACAATGTACCGATCTCAAAGCATTCGCTACACTAGCGAGAGCCGCGTCTGCATCTGCATCCTCCTCCTGGATTGGAGCATTCCGTATGTCGACCTTGAATTGCGGCGCGGATGGCTCGCCCCCGCTTGACCTGCGACGGCATATCAGCTTTGCCATCCAAAACTACAGTAGAATATGTGTGTCCTTACATAGCGTCCTGTTCAGCCTGAGAAATGGGGTCTGAGCTGGCAGCAGGCATGGAGAAGCCTTCATCGTCCTTTCGTGGCTTGGGCATTGTCAGCTCACAATATTCCAAGCTACTCTGGAATAGCTAGTTTACCTCAGGATGAGCAATGGTAGGCGTGCTTGGTACTAACGGCTCCTGCAACGGGGGAATTTGAGAGGGCTGAGTGCCGTTCACCACGCTTGAGCTAGGTACGGCCTCTAGCGGAGCTTCGAAAGGGGTTCCATTTGGTTGATCGATCGATCGCTGAGTTTGTCTTGGCGATGCGGTCAGCTCCGAGGGCCGAGACGGTGCTTGACGACTCTCCGATAGCCGTGTGGGGGATGCTGGTGGAGGCGGTCCGGGTGGCGGCTGGAACTCTCTTGACCTCCCAGACAGGCTACTAAAGAGGTTCGACGAGGTCTTACGCTCTGGACGCTCCGGACGTTCCGGAGAGGACGACTCGCGTCCGAACGGTTGCACGCTTTGCCGCCGGCGGCCCAAAACCGTGCCGAGTCTCTTGAGGCCACTCAGACCGCCATGCTTTTGTTCCTGAACTGTTCAAGGTCAGTGGCCTGCTACAAAGGGGAAATTCCACAGAAGCATACCAGAGCCGGATCTCTGACTTAGTCGATCGTCGGCGGCCGGCACTGGAGATGCTGGCGCAAGGCTGCTTCCGGGCGCAAATCCCACCCGACTGCTACTCGGTCTTTCAAGTTTCGGCCTGCCGCTGAGTGACCGCGAAGAGAAGCGTTTGATCTCATCCGCTGTCTCCACATTCAGCAATGCATTGAGGCACTGCTCGGCTGTGACTCGGTTTCTCTCGACCTGATCCACCTCATGTGTCTGAAACTGTGTAAGGACGTCGCGCAAGTGGTTCAACCGGCTCTCGTCCACAGACTGGAGCTTTTCGAACACGAAGGGTGCCTGCGATTCCCACTGTGACATGGCATTCTCGACATCCGAAGTCGCGTGTGCCACCTTGCCCGACCCGGCTTTCTCCCCCTTGCCCTTGAGCTTCTCCGACTTCTTCTGCGCGTTCTCCACCTCCCTTGCCATGGCCTGAAGATTGCCACTGATTGTGCTCATCGCCTGCAACTCCCGGTTGGAGCTCGCAAAATCCCTCAGCGGGCGCTCGACATCGGCTTCGATCTTCTGGGCGAGGAGATGGTGTGAGTTTGCGAGGTCGTCGGTTGAGCTGACGATGTTCTGCCATGGTGTTGCGAAGATGCTATTCAGCGTCAGCCCTCCGCCCAACCTTTTGGCACTCTAAGACAGGCCTTGCGCACCCAAGCTCCGATGATTCGTCCGGTGGTTGTCGTCGGGCAAGTTTCCGCAAGTCGCGTACATATGTCTCCTCTATGCGGCGCCGTTCCTGACAGATGTCAGTAGTTGCAGCGTGAACGGCAACCATGGAGCCCTACCTGTAGCCAATCCGCAATGTCTGTATTGAGTTTGTTGACCTGCTTAACTCGCTCCTGGAGCACAGTGACAGCTTGGCCGGGTTGCAGGGCAGCCTTGGTACCGGTGGTGAGCGTCGTCAAAGCTGGAAGCGGTTTCTATGGCTTACCAGCATGGCTGGATACTCCTGCCGTTGGAGCTCCATGGCGGACGTCTAGGCGATCGCAAAAGCCAGCTGAGCCTTAGGATGAGTCGTGTTTTCACATACGAATCATGGCCGGCGCATGGCACAAAGAGCGCTTTGCGGGTTGACGAGTGCCAATCCACCCACCTCGATCCGATTGCGGATCGCCGCGGCGTGCGCGGCCGGACGCACGACTTCTTGCCGTCTCTCCATCTCACCAAACTCGGTTTTCAAACCTCGCCCAGTGCCACCAGTAAAGCATGCAGTCCGGGGATGAGTGGCATTCCTCCCTTAGCTTCTCTGATAGACTGGCGGCCATAGTAAAAATGCATGTAGGTCCCTTCCCGTCGGTCTACATATATCTGCCTTCCAATACATACGCGTGGTAGGGCAACGTCTCCTCTCTTGCAGAAGCATCATGTCGTTTTATTCCGTTAGGTCTCTTGCAAGTGGTGTTTGCTCCGTTTCATTAAGGTTTCTCCATCTGGTGCGGTTCGTGCCGAATGCCCGCTTCATGTTTACCTTTCCTATTCTTAAACAGCTAGTCCAATTGTAGATGCTCTCAACCAGAACATGCACTCATAGCCACCTCTAGTCAAGCATCGTATAAACAGGGAAACCCAGCGACGCCTCCAGCGGATGCTCACAAGGAAGCGAAGACCCTCGAGAACAAGGCCTACCAGCACGCCACGTCCCTAGTATGTAGATAAGGAAACTCCGACCTTGAAGCACTTTTCTGAGGCTATACAGCAAGATTATCAGAAGCAGTGCAAGAGTGCAGTAGAGCAACTTCTGCAGAGAGCTTCATCTCCTATCCAATCAGAGGTATTGCCTACCCCTGAGAATGTCACACGGAAGGCTTTACTGGAGATTATACGTTTTTCGGCTTGGCCTTTGACAGCCCTGCATTGCAGTACCTGCTAAATTGCTAAGATATTGCTAGCCCTCAGGAAACCCGCAAAAAGAACCGGCGGACGCGGGTATTGAGATCGGGAAATACAAGCATGCGGTCCATCACAGAAACGGCCGTTGCTCCCACGTGTACAAAGCCAGGGCCCTGCAGCACGGCTTAGACAACCTACCGGGATCAGAATACTCCAGTGCACTTGTAGCACTAAAAGTGACGGTTCCCTCTGCGGATGCGCCTCCCCATAATTCAAAGCGCGAGGTGCGGCTCTTAGCAAAAGCCCAATCATCCAACGTCATTCCGTTACGGGAAACCTTCCGTCAGTCTGGCGGACGTCTCGTCATGGTCTTTCCGTTCATGCCGTATGATCTCAACCAACTTCTTCAGCGCCAGCAGTTGTCACAGTCTCAAGGCAAGGCGTGCCTTAGAGATCTTTTTACAGCACTAGAACATGTGCACTCGCAGGGCATCATTCACCGAGATGTCAAGCCTTCGAATATTCTTCTGAACTCGTCCTCAGGTCCTGCATACCTGGCGGACTTTGGCATCGCGTGGTCAGGCGATGACCCCGACTCAGAGCCCGCAGACCAAAAGATCACGGACGTAGGCACGACATGTTACAGGCCACCTGAGTTGCTGTTCGGCAACACAAGATATGGCACTGCCTTAGACCTTTGGGCCGCCGGATGCGTCGCTGCTGAGGTGACAGGTCTGGGCAAACGCACGCTATTTGATGCTGGCGACCTCGGAAGCGAACTGGCGCTCGTCCAGAGCATCTTCAAGAGCTTGGGTACTCCCAATCTTGAAGTGTGGCCGGTATGCATTCTCAGCAATTGCATGATATGTTCGCTGTGCTAACTAGCAATGCAGGAAGCAGCGCGGTTTCCGGACTGGGGCAAGATGCAGTTCTACGAGTATCCTCCCAAGCCGTGGTCAGAACTTCTTCCGAACGCCTCTGAGAGTGCGAGGGACCTGGTGAGCAAGCTCGTGCAGTACGAGAGCGGTAGACGCATGTCTGCAGCAGAGGTAAGACCGAAAGATCCCCCTAGATTCGCGCCTACATTAACAGAACATCAGGCCCTTGCCCATCCTTATCTCCTTGACTGCGAGGAAAAACAGCGATGAGATCCGGTGAACAGCTTTGGTCATCTGAATCTCTGGCTCTGCAGAGTTCTAGTCTCTACCAGAAACTGCGCAAACAAATATCCAATGGCCTGGTCAAATGTCGTTATCTAGGAACCGGAGGAGCTTGGGACTTCTTAAGACCCAAAGACTTTTCCAATAGCGGAGAGGCGCCTTCCACGATACGTATCCCAAATCGAACTTTCAAAGATCAGGGATCGATTCAGAGGCGCATCGTACTTGAGTTGGAAGTTCGATAGTATGTGCCTTGATGACTTGATGACTTGATGACTTGATGCCTTGATGCCTTATGCTCCGCGTGAACTCAGAACACCCGCGATCTCCATCACGGTGCTCATGCCCCGCCTCGACAACCACGAAATCAAAGCTGTCAACCACGAAATGCGATTATGCGCTAAAACAGCAGCGCACATTCCCAATGAGCCCTCTTATACTCGATGACGCCCTGCACAATGGCTGCCCGGCCTCACAAAAACCCTCCAATCCGACGATGGAGAACAATGTGCAAAACGTCGTTCTCGGCGACCTTCTCATCCAGCCCTGGTATACCTCGTTCTACCCCGAAGAGTTGGTTGGGCGGCAGGTCGACAGGCTCTTCGTATGTCAGTGGTGCTTCAAGTACTCGAAGGAGCTGATGCCGTTTTTGGGGCATGTTGTAAGTGCGCCAGCAAGCAACGATGTTGGGCATGGGCAGTTCGACTAACGACGCACGCGAGCAAGAAAAGCTGTTCGCACAAAGACGCCGCGCCGCCCGGCGCCCTAATCTACGCCAAAGACGACTACACCATTCACGAAGTTGACGGCGAGGAGCACAAGGTACGCCTCTCCCTATCCCCTTCCCCCACCGCCCGCCTATACCAACCACCCATCCCCTAGCTCTACTCCCAAAACCTCTCCCTCTTCGCCAAGCTCTTCCTCGACACCAAGTCCGTCTTCTACGATACCTCGACCTTCCTCTACTACCTCCTTTCTACTACCGACCCCACCAGCGGGACGCGTCAAGTCGTCGGCTTCTTCAGCAAGGAGAAAATGAGCTGGGACAACAACAACCTGGCGTGCATACTCGTGTTTCCGCCGTGGCAGCGGCAGGGGCTGGGAAGGCTGCTCATGGGGGTCAGCTATGAGCTTAGTCGACGGGAGGGGCGGTTGGGGGGGCCGGAAAAGCGTGAGTTTGGCTCTTCTCAGCCATTGTCCGCAGTCAGCTGCGTCGGAGAGAATAGAAGTAGTCGTGGACGAGGCTGACACCACACAGCGCTTTCGGAGCTCGGCCGCCGCGGCTATCTCTCCTTCTGGTCCGGGATCGTGGCGCGCTACTTCATCGCGCATCCGGCGAAGAAGTCGGTCACGGTGCGCGAGATCAGTGATGCTACGTGTGTCCTGCCGGAAGACATTATCGCAACGCTGAAGGAGATGGATGTGCTTGAGCATAGAGGGAAGGGCGGTGGGCATGCTGTGATTAACAAGGCGAGGGTCAAGGCGTGGGCTGCAATGCACAAGGCGAGCTTAGTGCCGCCGGTGGATGTTGATGCGTTTGTGGAAGAGGCTTATGAGGACGGGGTGGAAGACGAATAGGTTTCGGGATTCTTGCGTTTCTGGATGAGGATCTTGGCGGCCAGGCGTTCTGGGTTTGGGAAGATACCCGGCGGATATTTGTTGAATGAAACGGTTGTCTTACTTTGTGCGTCGCTGTTTTGTACCTCCGAGGATCGTGTTCCTCGCATGAGTCTCAGTAGGTAGCATCATGCGTATTGCTTTCGAAGCATGAAAAGTCCAAGTGGCGTTAAGAGCACCTTACGTGACAAATAGCGATCTCCTTCAAACACTGGTCAAGGGGAACCCGGGTCCCATGGAACTGACATGCTCCTGGTGTCAACCTCGCACGCTTCGTGCTTGATCATCTGTGAGTTCTACAGGTGTATTATTTTGGTATGACAGCATCAGGAAAAGGCAGCGCAGAGATTATAGCTCATGGAGAATGACGAGCCACACAGTGTAAGATACAACAACGTATCTGTACACTCAACTAGAAAGCCTGAACATCTAGCTAAACGCGTGGAAGACGTTCAACGGAAGAAATAGGTCGAAAGCCTCAAGGAATCGCCCTCTCATGTCCAGACACGGAGGGAGAGTCCAATAAATGCTTGAATTACAAGCACCGCCCAGTGCACACTCACGAGTTTCCGTAAGGTGCTGTGCACCAACTATCGATCCCAAATGAGTTGGCTCACTTGCTCACTCATGCGGTCCAGCTGCGAGTTGAGTTCCTCTGAAAAGACTGCCCGGACACAGGGCGACGGCGGTTGCCAAATCGGTTGCGCCGGCCTTGCTGCGGTGGTCGTTGCTGTGGCTGTCCGTTTTGAGGTTGTTCACCTTGGGGTTGCTCACCCTGAGGCTGTTCGCCCGGTTGCTGACCACCTTGCTGGTCGCCTTCTTGCTGGCCACCTCCTTGTTGGCCGCCCTGCTCTGGCTGATTGCCATCACCACCGGCCGCACCACCAGCGTTTTCTTGACCGCCATTTCCAGCATTCTCATCACCACCGTCCTGCTGATTGCCATTGCCCGCATTAGCGTTGTCACCGTCCGGCTGGTTTCCATCACCGACTGCTGCATCTCCATCGCTCTCGCCCTGATTTCCGTTGCCAGCACCTGCGTTTCCGCCGCCTTGTCCGTCGCCATTGCCCGCAGCGGCATCGCCTTCGGCGTCGTCTTGGTTGCCGTTACCGCCGGCGGCACCATCAGTGTTCTCTTGGCCGCCGTTGCCAGCGTTGTCTTGACCACCGTTGCCGGCATTCGCATCACCATCTTCCTGCTGATTGCCGTTGCCGCCGGCATTACCACCGGCATTATCACCATCCTGTTGGTTGCCATCGCCGGCGGCAGCATCCTCATCGCCGTCTTGCTGGTTACCGTTGCCGGTGTTTGCATCGTCACCGCCAGCGTTGGCGTTGTCGTTATCCGCATTGTCGTTGCCATTGCCTCCATTGCCCCCATTGCCACCATTATTGCCACCATCATTGCCTGCATTACCAGCGCCGGCGCCATTACCAGCATTCCCCTGGCCAACGGTAAATTTGGTGCAGTCATCCTGTGCTCCCCGCTGAGCAACCGGCATAAGAACAGGCTGATGATTACTGGCCGAAGACATAGTACAACATCTGTAGAATCCCGCAGGCAGGCCGCCGTCAACAGCAGCTGACAGTAGGCCATTCCCATTGCCGTCGTCGTTGATACCCTTGAAGAAGACAAAGCGGCTCGCGTCGAGGGCTTGATTCGGGGTCAATGAGTCGCCCATGTCCTGGCAAGTGACGTGTGTATGGCCGACGACTTGGCCACCTTGTAACTGTTGTGGCGCGGCGTAGTAGGTGTTGTCTGGGTTGGTGAAGGAGCCAGTTTGCAGGTTGTCGACTCGCACTTGGATCTGGAAGTCTTCGTCGGCTGCGAGATCCTCGCCTGGCTGGGGACTGATGATCATGGTGGAGACCATGTTGGCCCTGGCGGGTATCTCTCCCATGACTAGCTATTGTCAGCAAACGCGGATTGCAGTATGTGGCTACTAGGTCCTCCGCTTACCAATGCCGTTACAGGATCCTCCCTGTACCTGTGCGCCGTTGGTGAGGGTCTTGCCTGCGCAGAAGTTGATGAAATTGGCATCGTCCCTGGCTTTGGTCAGTATCGTGAAGGAAACTCGATAGGGACGACGCACGTTTCTGAGGCGGCCTGACCCGCTTCCGCACCCCCTTCTTGCCCCGTCGCCTGACTTGCCTCTTGCACGTTGTCTGGGTCGAGCGCTAGAGCATTGTTGTTGTTGCCGCCCTGGTTCTGTGCCGTCAGTTACCGGAAACCTGCTTCCGGTTCAGTCTTGAAGCCTTACGTTGTTGTTGCCGTCGTTGCCGTCGTTGTTGTCGTTATTATTGTTGTTCTGGCCGTCGGTGTTAGCTCAAGTATGCAGCAACGTCCACCAGCTCGCTCACATTCTGGTTGTTTTCCTGAGCGTTCTGCTCGCCCGCTTGTTGGTCATTGTCTTGACGAGCCCGAATGGCAGTGCCAGGTGGACTGCGGGCAGCAGCAGCATTCGCAACGCCTGCAACACAGGCCAGGGTGGCGACGAGACTGCTTAAACGCATGTTGGGCGAAAACAGTGATGGCAGAATGAACACTGCAGAAAACTGAGATGACAGATTGGATTACTGACTTGCAGCTAAGTTATAAAGAATGTATACTGGGTACGATCAACGTAGCCTGCTCAAGAAAGGAAGAGGAATATGAAAGGAGCGAAACCCTCTGAGATGCAATGAAGCCGAGCGACGGATGGTTCAGCTGGTGTAGAACGCATTTTGAGCAAAGTGAGCAAGCTCTTAAGAGCCCTTGGCGATGTTAGAAGCAAACCATCTCGTTATGCGCCCCCGAGCCGCTTGTGTCACGAAACTAGGCATGAAGGCGCAACGGTCTCATGAGGCATCTCATGATACAGAAGAGAGACGCTCGAGTCTTGACTACCTACTGCGATCTTCTGGTGCGATTTCAGGTTCTTAGCATTGACTGTCGTCAAGAAACAGGTCGCGTTTGAGGTTGAAGCGGACCTAAGCGCCTCAGGTCTCGAAAAGCTTACTAATCGCGATACTCAACCTGATGAACTCCCGGGGAAAAGCTGCGAGTCCCGTCGCTCTTCAAGACGTCTCGGAGTCTATGTTCCTTAATGTTCGCCAGGTTCTTGATACACCGGGGAGTGCGACCGCTCTCGTCGATGATCCTCTGTGGCGGTTACAGTTCGCGAGTGATCACGACCTTCGAGTCTCTCTCTCAGTCTGCCATATACGCACGCCAGGCGGAAAACAGCCTCACCGCGAACGTGAAAATTCAGAGCTACATCAATAACAAAACTCCCTCTATGATCAATGCAATGCTTCATATTACGGCTAAATAGTTGAAACAAAGGCTTGTCAATTATTGGTCAATCCTAAGCTTTGCCACAGCAGCTGATCGTAGATTACTTTGTGAAGCTGACAGTAAACGAGCGCTGGACTGCTATCACGATGAGGTTTTTTTCCCGCTCGACCTAATACGTACGCCTCAAGACACGTTCAGCTTCCATCGAGTCACGATGAGCAGTGTGGACGAATCGAGTCAGTATTTGGCTACTGTAGCGTTATTGACAGATCGAAGGCCGGAGCCAAGAGCTATCCCATAGACACTACTTATAGGGTAAGTCTACCTTCCATGACTCGAACAGCGCTTCCGATGAGCACGATCCGATCAACGGCTCCATCGTCTGCAAGCGTGGCCTCCACACCGATCCCACTGCTTCTCCCCATCTCTACGCCTTGGTTTACGGCGAACTTTGAGGTCTGCCCCGGCTTTCCCGACTGCATGGCCAGATAAGCGCAACACCCGCTGGTCGCACTTCCCGTAGCCGGGTCCTCTAAGGTGCCCTCAATCATCCTCGACTGTAAACGGAGAATGCCGCCGTTGTTTTCACCCAGTCGGACGAAGAAATAGCCTCCTACAAATGAGTCTTGCCAGCCCTCATCGAGCTGGGGTACGAGACGGTTTGCGGTGGTTGCGACCGCCGCGAGCTCTTCCAGACTGGAGAGCTCGACCATGATGAAGGTCATGCCCTTCACAATTGATACAACAGGGTAAATCTGGGGCGAACTGGAAGTTTCGCCGAGTCCAGGCTGAGATTCGCGGACCTGGTCATGGCTGACTTCCTCTTGGTGGATGTGGATATTGTGCGGTATCGAGACCCTCGCAGTTCGATCAGTGACGGTGTACTCCAGTTCGACATGGCCGGCTTTGGTGATGAATGTTCCCCGGATGACTTGCTCGTCCGACTCGCGTGAAACGGAAGATAGGACGTGACACGCGGTCCCGATTACGGGATGACCAGCGAATGGCAGCTCCCTATCGAGGGTGAAGATGTCGATCGCCCAAGTGTTCTCCGAAGAGTCTTCCCGCTCATGGAGGAAGACAGTCTCAGAGTAGTTGAACTCTCTGGCAATCTTCTGTTTTTGATCCTGACTCAGGGCTGCTGATAGTGGGACTTCGACAATGGCCAGCGGGTTCCCCGTAAAAGGCTTCTCTGTGAAAACGTCCAAAGTGACAAAACTCAAGCGGGAGTGCGCCATGATATCGATTATAAATGCAAGAGTAGTTTGGAAAAGATTGGGAAACTGCTACCAGGTGATTTTACTTCCATAGATACGAGTTGTACTGATGAGTCAGGCGCTGCGAATTCGGCGCTTTGGAATGACAAGGGCGAATTTTCCGAGTCATCCAACTTCGATAGCCTCTGGGGCTTCAAGGCCGGTGACAACACTTGTATGTGGAGTTGACCAAAACTCAGCTTTGGATGTAACTTACTGCCGGTGTTAGTTTTGTTAAACCTTTGATTAGGTATCAAAATATTGTTCTCGAGAGCTTTGTTAAGTATTGTGCACACTACTCCAAGCCTCTGCGAGGGGATCGACAATTCTCAAACTAGCTCAACGCGGTAATTTTACGTTCTACTGCATGTTGAATGACTACTGAACTTCACAGGAAGCCATTGAGATCTGTGCTACCACTCCTCTCCCAACTGCCGCTGGCGAAACGCCACAGTTCCGCAGGCTTTGCAAGACATCGTTGTGTTCACTGTTGTAGCCGCGCAGATCTGTTGAGTGTGCTACTGTCGATGCGCTGTATTCATGTGCCTTTCTGTATATGAATCATGTACAGGTTTCTTCGTGGTTAGAGCAGATGTGAGAGATTGATCTCATAAGGTCGATCGGGCTCGATTGAGTAGTGGGATTTGTAACATGCGATAGCCCATCTGCGGTGCTCAAAATCCCAGCCTAGCGACCAAGACCAGCTATGAAGTGTTACGGAGTGCATGATGCGGTCGAGTCGAGGAGCACAAACTTCATGAGATAGTGGGTGAAAACTGCTTTACAACTACTCGCAGGAGGCTGGAGGTTTGCAATCAGAGAACTCCTGTACTTTGTGTTCTTGAGATTGTCTAGGACGAGGATCAAGGGCCACCCAAAAAGTCGATTGCCGTTTCTCGGCTGGTGGCTTTTTCAATCAGATTCACCACCAAACTGGATTTATGATCTTGTTAATTGTAGAGCAGCGAGACCGATTGCATGCGATAGAAAGCATAAGATACTCAACAGTGCAGCCATTAAGTGCATTGGTCAACTGAGATACCTTTGGTCTGTGAACTGCGCTTGCGCGCTATCCACCTTCCATGCGGCAACGGCCTTTTTGGGTGGCCCTTGGATGCTCTGAACCAAGAGCATCCAGATCTCTCTCCGCGCAACGTTGGCTGACACAGGGCATCTCCGCAGATCAGGGGCGGCAGCTGAAGCTGATAACGGTGGGTTCAGATGCTCTTTCTTGCCGGCTCGAATGGTGCAGCGGTAGCCGTTTCCCCGTCAATTTCAACGCGTGCAATCTAACACGTACTATTGTGAGAGATGCTGTTCTCCTGGTACTGTTGCTTACGGTTGATCCCAGCATAGAGCGAGTTCCCGCTACTCAGTATACAGTAATCCAAGAGACCCCGACGAACAACAAAGTTCATTATGGACCGTCTCTCTGCCGGCCTGTGGACGTCCTAGAGACGGGTTCTTGGGCTTCTCGGTGGCTGAAACCGCAATCTGGAGGTGATGGAGGCTTCGAGACTAGCGGGTAAAAAGTTCCGAGCAGGATCCAACTCCAGCTGTGATTCGTCAAATTAATAGAATTTCAGATAAGGCAGATGTTGGCAGGTTCCGGGATCCTCATTACTGGGACACATGATGAGTTGAGAGAACAACGAAGCACACGAGTACCGCATATGCATGTCTCTCCGAGGGCTTGCGGCCAGCGTAGCACGTGTCGAGGTAGAGCGGCCAAGCGTGTTGGCGTAGCAGAACAGCAGCGCAGGAGGAAACTCGCGGTGAAAGCGCATACACGTCGCGGCAACAACGCGAACACGATGCAGTGGTTTGCAATGGCTGCTGCGGGCAAGATTGCGGTGTTGACATGTGGAAGTGACAGCGCCACGCGTGAACCCGAATTGACCTCTGCCTTAGCCTGGACCTGCCTTCAGGGAACACCCAAGCAACGTCATGGTTCTCTTAACTGCGCCGTTCCGCGTGCTAGGACTAGGTTCTGGACTAAGTTTAGTAGCGTTCACCTCCTCAGGACGATGGATGAGGGTGGGTAGGTATTTGATGCGGAGAAGCACAACGGAGAACACACGAACAACCGCAATCGCTGCTGCCGTGCAACGGCTACCGGCTATCTTGCCGTTTACTCCTGCATCCAGCCTCACAAGGAGATAGGGCCGTCACGTTGCAAGAGGCCGATGCAGCTGGGCAAGCCATGCGGTAACCGGAGCTAGTGTGAGCTTCCAGAAGGGGACGAGGGCCCCTTGCAAGGCCGGTTGCCGGATTGAAAGGTCGCCGTAGCCCTGGAGCTAGAGAGGCTTGAGCACCGTCCATAGCCCAAGGAGACCTCAGGCGGTCCGCCCATTAGAGGGCTAAACTGCTGAGCGTCTCTTGGTCTCCGTCGCGTGGAACCGGTCTAGCTGCTTTGCCATCAACAAGACCATGAGTCCAGTTTGATCGCGAATCTGGTGGTGAGCAAGCTGGTGCAAAGATGCGGCAACGGACTTTTCAGATGGCCCATGGAGGATGGTCCCTACATACTCTAGCTCAAGGAGATGCCGCAGCCCCGAGTCGCGTATCCCAGCAAAGCGGCTTGCCTAGCGCCGTCAACCGCGAACCCTAACGGAAAAACTGAAGCAACGCATCGACTTCCCCGGCGAGGCACGCGGGAGCAGTGCAGCAGCAGTGAGACCGTCCTCAGCACCGTGCGCAGTCGGCCGCGAGCCCCAGAGAACAGGAGACCGGGAGCTTGACCGCGACCAAGTGTCTTCGCTTCGATCGACGGGACCGTTGGCGGCGCAGGGCAGACAAAACCTTTCGTGACCCGCCGTCTCTCCTTGCTCTTTTGTGACCCCTCCAGCTTCATCGTGGAAAGGACCCTCTCCGTACAACATCTGTCGTTCGTTTCGTGGCCGTGACAGCAACATTGATAGACGGCTTTGTAGAGGACTGCTAGGACGACAATATATTGCAGAAGCATCCGTGCCCGACCCTATTTCAAGTTTTCCATTCCCGCCAGTGCCAACACCCAATAATCTGGTCGAGACTTGCGGTTCCGCCAATCTTACTTCATCAGCCCGACGCAACCGTGGGTCAACGATAACAGGAACAATTAGAGTTTCAGTCTGTCACTGGGTGTATACCTCACGATCATTTCACGCTGCTTCACCCTCAGCTCGCCGGCACGCTTCCACGTCTCAACCGCTCCATAACAACCGCTGTCCCTCGACGCAACTTGCCAACGACGCTATTGGGGCCGCAAGGTTACATTGTCAACTGTCGACCACCTTGCTGCTAGACTTGTGGTTGTAGTAGTGTACCAAACTGCGTCGTCGCCTAGGCGGGCTGGAACACCACAACAACACAAACACCCTAGCCTTATAGCGACGACCAGACGCCCCACGCGTGCGCTGTGAGGGCTATTACCACCGTCGGAGCTCCAGACAACTCTCTACAACTTCGATCACTGCGTCCATCATGTCGGACGCGTCGCACTCTCGAACATCGAGTCAGACAACTGCCGCCTCATCCGTGACCAACACCTCTTCCGCACCTATGCTCGAGCATGTGCTCTCGTGCCCGAACAGCTATGAGATCCCTCTGCGGACGATGTACACCCTCAATTGCGCTCCCCGAGCCCAACCGCTGCCGTCACACCGCCAGCGAGCCGGCGCCCCTTCTTCCGCACCGCTTTCGCCAACCGCCTCGCAGTTCCCGCGTCAAGATGCGGCATCGCCGACCAACGACTTCCAGTCCGCTATAGCCTCTCAATTGGCCCAGCTACCTTCCCACCCGTCGTCTCTACCGCCGAGTTTCGTCACCAACTTCGTCCGGCGCGTGTTCAATCCCGAAATCATGAAGGTCGACTTCCCCCAGGCATTGACCGCCCTGGATTATCTTAAAGACTTGGAGACCAGGAGAAGACGCGAGGTTGCAGCGGCACTGCAGAGGCTTGGTGTCGAGAGTGGCACACTGAGCTCTGAAGTGGATGGCACGCTACGGAAGTGCACCGGTATAGCCTCGTGGGTCCACGAGGCAGAGGAGAAAGAGAAGACAATCGATGCTCTGTACACGCAGCTGTATATTGGTCTGCGGCGATGGGTAAGTCAACCGAAGCGCCCCACCTCACTGATTCGCTTGCTCACGTGGTTCAGACACTCATTAATGAGCTCTCGCTCACACCCTTCAACCGACACAACTGCCTGGCTATGCTGAACACGCTCTATCCCCCCGTCATCTCATCCCAACCCACTACGAAGCTGTCCCCAACCATTCTCTCATCCCAACGTGAGGGCTTCTTCCGCTACGTCCAAGGCGTCGAGAAGCGCGGTCCCAAGATCCTTGAGAATCTCATGCAGCAAGGCAAATCCGAGGGCGACATGAACGGATGGACTGTTGTGGCACAGACACTCGACGCGTATCTTTGTCTCGCGAACAGTGTTATAACAGAGTGCGCGGCGATCACTGACGCGAATGATCTCACGTCTACTGAGGAAGCCAGCAAGCGAAAGGGCAGGAAAGTCGACTCAGGCGTCAGCTTCAACTCCGATAAGCGCCCCTCGACAGCAGGCAGCAGCGGCAGCGGCAACAGCGAGTGGAGCAACAACAAGCCGCTCCCACCACCACCCGCCCGGACCACTGTACCGAGCACCAAGAGTAGCGGCTCTTTTATGCAGAAGCTCAGGAAGATGCGCGTGAGTGCCAGGCCGGAGGTCGAGGAAATTGTCCGGCGACCGGAGCCAGATGACAAGGAGAATTGGATGGAGGAGACCTCAACCTTCAAGCAAAGGGGCCTTCGGAAGATGAGGTCGCTTGGTGCGCTTAGCGAGCGTAATCTGAGCGTCACGTCGCTTCTAAGGTCGAGGAACGTGAGCCCGGCGCCGGCTTTTGACGCACTGGAGATGAATAGGCGCCGCTTGGAGTATGTGGGGAATTCCAACAAGAGCAAGCATCGACATGTAGAGTGAGAGGAAGATGAGGACGGGACGGGCTTCATTTTGAAGAGTGGACGTAAGAGCAAGGGATGATGAATTAATGGTTTACGATTGACGACTGCTCAACCGACTTCCCACCGACTGTTGGAATAGCTTCACTGCAGACTCGGCTTCCGGGAGGCAAAGCAACCAACGCCGGCACTAAGAACAGAGCACCACCGTCGCGCATGTGCGGATTCGCACGCTTCTCTTTTCTTTTCCATCTTTGTCTTCTCTGTAATACCTTGCTGTGTCCTCTAGCACCTGAGCGAATGCTTCTGCTTGTTGTATTCGCTTTGCAATTCCCTTTGTACAGGCGCGGCAGACTGGGCTTCTCTCACGAGACGAAAAAGCTTGTTTCACTTCCGGAGTCTGGTATGATCATGTCGTTCGGGGTACTTCTGGTATGGTGCGCTTCGCATGTGCGCTTACCATGCAGCGGCTTGGTGCTGAGTGGCGTCTGATATGGAATAGCTGGGATGGGAGTACCAAGGGATTGACGATGGGCTTGCCAATGTCTAATGGAGGCATGCATGTGGGCATCTCATGCGCGAGATGTACCAAAGACCGTGGCGCGTTGAGGCGAAGCAGATAGCAATACAAAAGCTGTACAATGACACTCAGAGATCCACCATGTTGCTTCCACACCTGAGAGCATGTCTGCTGCATGGATTTTTTTTCTTCATAGGCTGCACGAGATGTGAGTCAGTGGCAAGTAAATCGTTTAACTACCCAACCGCTTTCCTATCTCTATCTATTCACTTCTAAGGCCCGTATTTTATCGTGTCTCAATCCCTCTCAAGCACGACTCCATCCACTCCACTTAAAGAACGCCACTTCTTCATCATCTCCGCTCGCTCTCCCTCAGGCCTCCACGTAATGGTCATCCTCTCTACCGCCTACGCAGGCTCCCTCCCCATCTCCCTCACCTACCAAAACTTCACTGCCGAGCTCAGTAGCGTACCTGGCAAGAATGGGTGCTATAAGACGCCTAATGCTGAGACGGTGCTTTTGGGCTGGCGGCTTCCGTGAGGTGTCTGGATATTACACTGCTATGCGGAGAAGCATGGAAGGAGTTGTTAAGTCTGACGATTAGTGGGAGCTATGGACTTAGGAGGAGCATTCGCTAGAATGATTCTGGTTGGAGAATGTGGCTCACAGCGGGTTTGAAGTCATCGGAGTAACTCGTAGGCCGTTTCTAGATACGATGCGATATCAGTTAGCTTAAGTCGGACAGAGACGCGCTAAATGGCAGCAAAGCGGTGTGTGTAATCTATGGAAAGAGTAGCCAAGCAGCTCGTAGTTCGAGCTCAAACTTTGCTTCGGCGCATCTGTGACGTTGTGGGGATTCTGTGAAGAGGTTGTCTATTCAATACTGAATTGAGAATATGATACTGTCTATCGCGTGGCTCTTGAAGTTGAGTTATATCCGCCATTTAAGAAATGGTTGTGCCTTCTCCAGCGTGACAGAAATTGAGCATTTTGAAGCATTTGGGGCACCCTGACTCATTCGCGATAATACTGAGTTGCAACATTAATGTTCTGACAGCACCTATCTCGATCTGACATTCAGGAAAAGTTAGAAATCTATTCATAGAGGCGTGAAACTGCTGCAGGTGTATCTATCAGCCATGTATACAGTGGCTTTGCTATTTCTTCCGGCTTAGTTGAAAATCCTGTGTTGTATCGATTGTGTCAACTCAATCACTTCCTAGACATGGGCTTCGAAGAATTTCATGAACTCCGCACATGAGGGTCGGTCTAACTAGCGGTCGGTCAAATGAGCTGACTACTTGAGTGACTCCGCAATATACCTACCGCTCTAAACGGCTTATTTGTTTGAGTGCAGTGCAAAAAGTCAAGTTCAAGAACTAGTTTCCGAGTAAACACAACGCGTAAAGCCTGGGAATTGCAACCGAGCCTGAGCTCGTTCACTTTCCGATTTGCTTCCAAAGAGATGCACCATCAGAAGTCGCCGTGTTGCAAAGCGTGCAAACGCTGACATGAGCGCCGCCCTGCATTAGGGGGCTTCCAACTGGATATCAGAAACGCCGGTCTGGGCGCTGGGAGGGCTTTCTTCCTCTTTTCTTTTTTCTCTATACTTGCGCGTACCCCCTAAATGACCCCCTAACATGCACTTTTGCTAACAATGTTTACAGACCTTGTTGGGATCACCGTGACCAAGACGACGGTCGATCAACCAGAACACCCTGCATTGCACAGCGCGGCGGTAGTCTGGTTTGAATCTCCTTCGGGGGCTTCACCGGCGCAATTTTTGCTGGTCCGCCATTACGACAGTGCTTTTCACTGATGCTTTCGCCTTGGGCGGGAGGTCGGGGAAGAGGATGCTCTAGTGTCTGTCTCTCATGCCTTGTCTCTCTGGAATCTCTGCCTGTGCCTGTGTTATGTGAAGGAGACGCTAGATGAGCGTCATCTCTACTTCATGTGTTGATCACACAAAACGCTCCACTTGACGATTATCAAACGTTCCTCGATGCTGTCTCGAACCCGTGTAGGATGCTCTATTCTCGGCCCCCAGATGTGATGTCGTGTAGAACGATGTGACCACCAGCTGTGATACGAAACACTGGTGGAAAGCCGTGATATTTGACGATCTTCTTCAATACACGCTTGAGGTCAGGCAGGTGATATCGAAAGCATGCTACCTTTAACTTCGGTCACTTATCCGCAGGGAGGATGCTGCTGATGCACATCAGCTTCGATACCTGCAGCCTTACATCTCAAGTAGTTGGGCCCTCGCGACCACCAGAGAGCTGAATTTTCACTTCAGAAGACATGAGAAGCTAACAAAGCTAAACCAGGTTACTCGGCACATGGATCGTGCAATTGTCGCGTGTTAACCTGCCGCTCGAATCACCCAGAGTCATCTCTTCGCGTGCATCATCCGCCAGATCCTGACAAGGAGATTAGGGTCCACATAGTGGTTTGTTCATGCCAAATTGAGGACTCTAGCGAGACCAAGCGAGCCTAATCGGGCCTTCAAAGGCTCTTTGAGGCTGAAGAGGCTTGCGGTCGAGAGCTGTCAGGCAAGCGGAGCTGCCGGCGCTTGAATACCACCTTACCCATCATGGACTAGATCCCGCTCGCGGCACGTCTTCCGTCACATCAATGCACACATTGACTGAGATCTAGACACCCCCTGATTGCTCGCTTTTATCAAGTGCCTCCAGAACCACGAATTCGATATCAGCAGGCGCCGCTCCAGCGGTAAGGTCTCGCGCTCCCAGCTTCCACCCGAGTCAGGGGGGGTCATGTTGTACCTGGTACTGGGGATGATGGTCAATCATCCCCACTCCGTTTTGCTCCTCATTGGTTCCTGCCTACAGTTCAGGCACGATGTTGACCAAAGCAGCGATGGTATTTGCGTTTGTGGATATGGGGTGGCTGTCCCTGTACAAGCGGCTCTGACCTGGCAGGGCGTTCACTCAGGCAGTAGTACCACTGTCAGCCAGCCACATTTCCTCCGTTGCGTACCGGCTCTTTAGAGCTTCACTGTGGCAGCGAATGGCGTCTGCTAGCGACGACTAAGAGCCGGTCTCCGGTGCTGGATGGAATGCAACACCCGAGACAGCGTTCGATCAGGGGACAGAAGTCTGGACATAAATGCCTTGCTACATCCTATGCTTCTCGTCACTTCATCTCTATTTGTCCTCGTCACTCGTTAGAATCGGACAGAATTCATTCTTTACTTGTAGATTTTCTCACCAACTTCAGTCTTTACCCTATAACTATCAGTTCTCTACAAGTGACTGTCACTTCTGCTGACACACATAATAATTAATCAAAATGCCGCGTCTACTGGCGGCTGCCCTCTGGGCAGCCTCTGTTGCGGCGCTCCCAGCGCACCCAGTCATCGAGCCTGGCTTCTACTCCAATCATTCATCACCTGCCACGAACGGGACTCATGGCGTTCCATATGGTACTGGATCCCCTCGTGTTCCCTACGGCACTGGATCCATGATAGCATCCCCCACCGCCACTATCACAAGCACGATGTACGCGAGCATGGCTTCCGGAACGGCAGTCTTTGAGTCGACTGCGGCCCCTACGAAGACTCTTCTCCCCGCTGTTCATTGGGACCACCAAAAGTCCAATATCGACAACCTCCGCCCAGTAGAAGCAAACTCTGGTGTGCCCCTATACTATGATCAGCACGGTTCTGGAGGTGGGTACACACTCATCCTTGCGGCCAATCTTCCCCATCGCTGACTATTCTAGGACGTGCCGATCCTCGCAAGGAAGCCATGATGGCCTTCATGACGCCGTATTTCAAAACGCCTTCCGTCGTCCTTGATCATTCCGACTTTGTCAAGAGTGTCACCTACCAGCAGGGTGCCTTGAGCATCGTCTTCACCAGCCCAGCTGCTTACTCCCGGGCCTCGAGCAGTTGGAGCGTCGACAACGGTCTGTTGATGGTCACTTATACTCAGGGATGTGGTGGTTACTGGGATGGTGAAAGGTGTTACTTCCAAGTCCACGATGTCAACTTCAACCCTAAGACCGGGAGCGCCATTGCCAAGGGTACCCCGGCAGGTTTGAACGATGTCATCGACAAGATCGACCTCGAATGGGGCACATGGAAGCCATCACCGACCACCGTATCGGGCTCCCGCCCTACTTCTGCAGGCACCGACCCGGCTTTCTCTGGATCTGGCGACGACGGTGACACCTGCTATGCTCCTGTCGACACCAGGTATGGTCTGCCGACAGCTTGCTTGGGTGATTACTTCGACGAGGACCTGGATGTCGATCTTGGGTACCAGAAGCTGGAAGCATTCTCCTTTGCGGATCTCGTGCTGGAAGCTGTGCCGGAGCTTGGTGAAGATGAGATCGTAGCCGACAGCGATGAAGAATTCGAGGACATCGAGTTCCTCACCGATGCTGAGCTTGCTGAGCTCTTCCCAGAGGCCAAGAACAAGCGAGATACACTTTCTCGAAGGGCTCTTCTAGAGTCCGTCAAGAAAGCCAAGGACAGCCTCGCAAACGGCGCCAAGGCAACTTGGAATGCGGCGTCGAATGCCGGTTCAGCCGTTGTAAATGGTGTGAAGAAGGTTCCAGCAGCGACCGTGAAGGCGGTCAAGGACGAGGTCCAGAAGATAACGGCCGATCCGGTTGGCTTTGGCCTCAGCATTGCAAAGAATCATCCCGCTGGCTATCTAGCCAACAAGGTTTTGAAATTCCAGAAAGAATTCGATCAGAAATTCGACAAGATCTTCCTGCCAGCACAACCCAGTGAATGCAAGAAGAACGAAGCGGATCCGCAGAAGAAGGCGGCAATTAATGCGAAATGCAAGCCGAATGACTCAAAGGTCAAGGTCACACAGTCCCCTTGGGGCGAACAGCTCCTGCTCAAGTCGTTCGTCACCAAGTCTACCAAGGACAAGGGAGGCGTTAAGAAGAGTTCGCAGTTCAGTGGTCATCTCGACCTCTACTGCGTCGATTGCGGTATCCAAGGCAGCATCGCCATGAAAGGGAAGATCACTGTCGCACCTCTTGACGGCGTCACCGACGGAACAGTAACATTCGATGCCGACATCAAGGCAGGGCTCAAGATTGGTATTGACGCCGCAATCAAACACAAGTTGAAGCCAGAGGAAGCTACCCTCTTCAAAGTCGCACTTCCGGCGTTCAATCTCCCCGGAGGTGTTGCAGTGGGACCCATCTTGACACTTGGGGCGAATTTCGAGTTCGAGGCAATCGCCTCGGGAACGATCCTAGCAGGTGCTGAATACCGTCTTGCGAAGGCGACTTACACATACAACTTCAAAGACAAGAGCAGTTTCCAAGCGGGATGGACACCGCGCTTCGAGCCCATATTTCAGGCCGAGGGGGAGCTGGAAGTTTCTGCTAAAGTTGGTCTGCCTATTGACCTCGCCTTGGGCATGCACATTCTCGGCGGCAGTTGCAAATATTGCAAGTGGGATGTCCACATCAAGAACACGCCGTCCCTCAAGGCCGCCGCACAAGTCGCCGCCAAGATAGGGCTCAACGAGGACGGGAAGCTCGAGGGTGGTATAGAGAGTAGTAACGGATGCAAGGGCATCTCAACAAGCCTCAAGTGGAAGAATGAGCTTCAGGCTGGTTACAGCGCGGGGCCATGGACGGGCGGAGTACCGATCCATGACACTGGTTATCAGAGTATCACACAGGGCTGCATTCCGTAAGTTTATCTGCGGGAGCATTTGCGGAGCGTTTGTGACTTGGTACTAATCTCTTACAGGCTTAAGAAGAGCAAGACTGCTTCGAAGCGGGCCGAGCTAGGAGCCCCTTGGCGCCATGGCTTGATGGTCCGTCAAGACAACACGACCGTGCCGGCCAACGAGACGGTCATTGATGTGACTGAGAATGTCATCACAGACCTCGAGTTCATTGGATACCACGATCCCAACATCACCGCGAGTCCGTACAACGACACTAATGGCTACGAGTTCACCACGATTATGGACTACTCACAACAGTTTGCTCTGACCAGCTGCACGGATGGAAACGTCTACATCCACAGCCCCGCAGACCAGTACAATGAGGATATCGACGTCCATTGCGGAGATCTCTGGGCTCACGCCGAGAGCGTTGCGGTGATGGATGGCAGCTACCACATCCTTCACTACTACAACAACACCATGTCTGCCACGGGTGTTAGTCGTCTGCGCGTATCCGACGAGGAGGAAATCCCATCCTCCTCGGTCTACGTTGCTCTTGTTCCTTTCGACATTGACGAGGATCCATCGACGCCTGACGTGTACGTCGCCTTGGACGCCGACTTCAACATGTTCTTCCCTGTTGAGTGCGCCTACACCAACTCGAGTCTCCCGTCCAAGGTTTTCCTGGTCAAGGATCCGGCTGAGGGTATGGAGATGCTGAAGAGTGAGGATGTGGTATACTCGATAACCGGAGGCAAGGTCTCGGAGTGCTACTTCTTGGCCTTGGTGCAGGGAAGCCAAGAAGAGGGCTTGTACGAGTCAGAGTTGGAGATCGAGAACAGGGAGGACTGGGAACTGGAATACAACTTTGATGATGAGTTGTAGATGCCGAGTTCCCGAGAGGATGACGAGAAGTGGATGCACAACCTCTTGATTCCCTTCCGTTGTCTGCAGCTCGGAGAGTGTTCGTGTACGCTTATGATTTAAGATAACATTCGATACTAAAGATCTTCCACATTTCGTAGAGATTGGAGTGGCAACACATCGCAGTAATTTGGGAAAACATAATAAAAGGTTTCCTGCATCAGCCATCTGGGGTGTCCTCGTCCTAAAAGCGGGTTGTGGATGATGCAGTTTCGTTATGCTTGCTTTGCCACGGCCTGATTCCATCTGCAGTTCGATTGCTGTTTAGAACCGTCCATAAACGCCATGCTGACTCTTCATGCCACCATCCGCAATATTTAGACCCCGCCGAAACCATCTCAAAGCATGAATTGAAGCCGTGGCGGCTGCAGTAGTGTGTGTCCAAACCACAATAGAAAGCCCACTATGCAATCGAGCTCAAGACGCATGCGATCTTCCATACAATCTGCCCTAATACTTAACGATGGCCGTATCATCGTGAACTGAGGTTGAGGAGACGGCGATGCTCCTGGGTAGTATTTTCACATTAATCACCTTCAAGTCACATGGGTAACTTGGCCTCCGAAAGGACTCTTCTCCTGCCAACCTATGCATCTGTCACATCCGAACAACGGATCGTGAATTGCAAAACGATAGCAACATTAAGCTCAAATGGTTCGTCCTGTATGACACCACCGCAAAACAAAAGCCAAAAAACATACAGCAGCAGGTATTCGCTAGTGGTCACCCACCTAACTACTAATCTACCGATTCAAAGCTTATGTAATGGCAGAGCGAACGGGATGCCCAGTATTCTTTGATCTATGGCCGTATGTGACGAAATGGAGTCGGAGTTGCCGTATATGTCTTACGTGACGCACCGCACTCGCAGAAGAAACTGGAGATTTTTTTGACAAGGCTTTGAAACGGGAGCATAGGGAGCAATCATCGTGACGTATGAGATACTGGATGTATCCGCGGCGATATATACACGACGCTTAAACTATTCTATACTTGCTCTATATGTCGAAGGTCGGCTTGGAAGAATAGAAGCAACGGTATTCTCGACAACAAGGCATCAGCGAACAGTGTGATATTGAGCCAGTGATATGCGTGCCAGACGCAGCGAAGGGTGACGTAGGTTTTAATACTCTTTTCGATGAACCTAAAAGCCCTTTGGACGGAAGAAGCTGGGGACCAAAGCATGTAGAACCGAGTAACACCATGCTGCACTGAAACGAAGCTATGTACAAGACTACAAACGCCTCAGCCCCAAGCCAACCGTCCACTAGCCGTCCATTCATAGGATCTTAGAAGCCCACTCAGATCGCTGGTACGTCCACCCAAAACCTGGTATCATCGGTTCTGAACCGCGAATCACTATCAATCTGGCTCTGGATCCACTGCACCGCGGTCTTGTAGTTGGTAATATCCTGCGTGTTCGGGTTGCTGAGGCCGGAAGCGCCGTTACGGTGGCCGGCAAACCACTTGTCGTAGCCGTAGTAGTTCTGACACTCGCGGCGGGCGGTGACGTCGGCGTTGAGGTCCCAGCTGTAAGAGGGTAGGACGTCAGTTATAGGGTTCAAGAGGTGTGGCATAGGCAGCTGGCTTCGCTCCAGTGCGGCCATGGCAGAGCGGTCGGGTGAGGAACGCAGATGAAATTGACTCACTTTAGCACATTGCCGTTGTTATAGTCATAGTTGGACTGTCCCCGGAACCGGCTTGCGCACTCCCGCAGCATGCCCCAGTTCTGCTTGAAGATGCCGAAGTTGGCGCTGTCGCCGGACTTGTTGTCGCCGTACGCGTAGTCGGTAGTCATGCCGTCCGTTTCTAGCATCGCGACTGCGAGGTCCAGCGACGTGCCGCCGGCGGATGTCACGGCTTGCTTGCGTGATCCGAGGCCCGGGACGGTGTAGGAGCCGCGATCTTGACGGGGTTTTAGAGGGGAGGCAGCGGTGAGACTGGCACTCAGGAAGAGGAGAAGGGATATAACTTTCATGATGGAAGATGAAGGAGCGTATCTGGTGGCTAGGAGAGTAAGACTGGAGAGGTTGGACAAGTAGATGGTAAGAAAGGGCTGTCCTGTTATGAGAGAGGCTAAGTATCTAGAGAGGTTCGTGTGTGGGTTGGAAGGACACGCTTCGCTTCTGAAGTATATAAGGAGAATGGCTCTCGACATCCGTTTCAGAGGAGCGTCATCAATTAACCAAAAAGTGTACATGGCCGTGATGAGCCAGGCCAAAAGTAAGGCTCACGAAACACTTACCATCGCCCAACCCCCGTCGTAGCGTCTAGCTAAGGCGCTTCGTTACGTGCTGAATATGTGAAGGGAGAAGAAATGCAGCGATCAAGTAAAACACAGCCCAGAAGCCACTGTTTCAGACTTTCCCAACTTGGCTTGTTCCCCGTCACACCCAACAATTTGGGGATATACATGATTGTTAAGCTTGCCACGCACTGAATGGTCCACAAACAGGAAGACCTGGTGCGGAGACGGGACCTTGGGCTCCTTTCTCAGAGAGGAGATGTTGGCGGGATGAGTGCATGCACGCCGACGGATTTGCGGAGGATCGCCGCGGAAGGGGCCGATTTCGGGACAGGTTCCCGGGCGTGGCCACGTCGAGCAGGAAAAAAGCCCCACCGCGAAACTAGAAATCCAGGGCTGCATCAACAACAAAGCTGCTTTTGCGATCATTGTGATGCTCTATAACACAGTCTGAATAGCTGACTCAAGGTTTGACGTCCTATCGCTCACTCTCAAAAACTTACTGCGGCGGCTGAACGTGGATTCCTTTGTGAGATTGACGGCGAACGAGCGCCGGGCCGCTGTCGCGGTGAGGCCTTTTTCCCGTTTGACGTCGAGGGCCTGAGGCCCAGCTTGGCCGCGGCAATGATGCGTAAGCGAGGAACTTTTCAGCTGTGACTCGCAATCGCATGCGCAATTCTTAGGTCCTGTCATCCCACCAAGCTTCACCGACTCACCCCCTCCTCTTACCCATCCACCCGCAAAAATGTGCCCTCCGGTCGACGACGCTCCTACGACGAACGGCAATGCCACAGACGGCGCCAATGGCGTCAATGGCCATGCGAACGGCGCGAACGGCACCAACGGATGTTAGTATATCGTCACGCGAGGAGCTCATGCGCAGCTTAACCTGCGAGTAGAAGGCAGTATTTTTGCGCAGAAGCGCTGACTTTTGGGCCCTGTAGCACACCCAGGCTTTACCGCCGTTGAGACGAGACAAAACCCGCACCCGCACATGCAAGCAAACCCATACGCCCCCGTCGGCGACTTTCTGAGCAACATATCACGCTTCAAGATCATCGAGAGCACCCTACGAGAGGGAGAGCAATTCGCCAATGCGTTTTTCGACACCGAGACCAAGATCAAGATTGCCAGGGCGCTCGACGACTTTGGCGTGGATTACATCGAGCTTACCAGTCCTGCGGCGTCGGAACAGTCACGCAAGGACTGCGAGGCGATATGCAAGCTCGGCTTGAAGGTAATTCAACGGTAGCGTTGTGGCCGCCCATCGCACCTTTGCTGATACGCGACCAGGCCAAAATCCTTACACACGTTCGATGGTATGACTCACAACAAGCTACTCCGGAGGAATGGACGGTCTAACGAGGGTCACACAGTCATATGGATGATGCAAGGATAGCAGTCGTAAGTTGTTATGCGCGAAGCTTTTGATTTCGCTTGCTAACCTGGGTAACAGGAAACGGGTGTAGATGTAAGTCGCTGTATATGTTCCGTGTCAAGGCATGGAAAGCTGACCAACGAACTTGAATAGGGCGTCGATGTGAGCGATCCTCCCCCGGAGGCTTATGTGGACTCTCCGAAGCACGCTGGAAGCGTACTCACGCGTTGGCTCAGGTGGTCATTGGCACATCAGCACACTTGCGCGGTTAGTCTTCTAGCCAGTGTTATTCTCTTGCTGCTGTCATGCTAACTGTGAGCCAGAACACTCGCATGGAAAGGTACGCTTGAACTATTGTCTGCTACCGTAGCCTCGGAAGAATTGGCTGCTAACGGCTGTCACCGCTCAGGACATGACCTATATCAAGAACACAGGTACGCTGGCAGAGATAGCCTGAGATATCGAACAGCAACTTACAATTGTATCAGCTATCGAGGTCATAGAGTTCGTCAAGAGGTGCGTAGCCGAGTGCGATGCCGTTGTCGTGCACATCAAGTACTAATAGGATTCACTTTGCAGCAAGGGCTTGGAGATTCGATTTTCATCCGAAGATAGTTTCAGGAGCGATCTTGTGGATCTATTGACGATCTACAGCGCGGTTGACAAAGTGGTAAGTGTTGCGATATTCTTGCCCCTGATAAAGTCCGATCACGTGAATACCATCCAGCCTGCTGAAATATCTTATGTCTTGCCCAATTCTTGAGACTCTCACGCTAACGTATGTTTTCAGGGCGTGAATCGTGTCGGAATTGCAGACACCGTGGGTTGCGCGACTCCAAGACAGGTTTACGACTTGGTCCGCACATTGCGCGGCGTTGTGTCATGTGACATCGAAACCCATTTCCATAATGACACTGGCTGCGCGATAGCGAATGCCTACTGGTGTGTACCGGATGCCCCTCACGAATGCAGGAAAAACACTTACGGTAGACAGCGCACTAGAAGCCGGCGCAACCCATGTCGATACATCGGTTATCGGCATTGGCGAGCGGAACGGCATCACGCCTCTGGGTGGTCTCATGGCTAGGATGATTGTCGCTGACCGAGAGTGAGTCCACATCAGTTGAACGGTTCGCCTTGCACACGCTAACAACTCTTGCAGCTACGTCAAGGGCAAGTACAAGCTCGAGAAGCTCAAGGAGATTGAGGACCTTGTAGCCGAAGCTGTGCAAATCAACATCCCGTTCAACAAGTTTGTCGCCCATCGACCAAAGGTTTTTTTTATCTAGCGCTAACCATTTCAGCTACATCACCGGATTCTGCGCATTTACGCACAAGGCAGGCATTCATGGTATGCTTTCTAGCCAACTCTCGAAGTGGCAACAGCACAACTGACACCAACGCAGCCAAGGCCATCCTGAATAACCCATCGACCTACGAGATCATCACTCCGAGCGATTTCGGCATGAGCCGATACGTGCACTTCGCCTCCCGACTTACTGGATGGAACGCCATCAAGTCCAGAGTAGACCAACTAGGCCTACAAATGACAGACGCACAGGTCAAGGCCGTTACCGTCAAGATCAAGGCGATGGCCGATGTCAGGCCTCTCGCGATCGATGACGCCGACTCGATTATCCGGAGTTTCCACTTCAACTTGCACAACGATGTGGAGAAGCCACTGCTGCCGAACATGACCGAGCAGGAGAAGGAGAAGTTCGAGAAGGCCCAGAAGGAGATTGCGGCTGAGCCGGAGAAGAGGGAGCTGGATGAGACGGTCGACAAGGAGGCCGAGGTACCCAGAGCCAAGAAGACCAAGACTTCAATTGCCGCATAACCATGGTGTCTACACATCGGTCTCGACATGTTCTTCTGGAGGGCAGGACTTAAAAGTGGATTGACGGCAGCACGGGAGCGGATGTTGCTATATCGCTGACTATCCTGGCCTTTGGCCAAAAAGTTACTACAACTGTCCCTACGGAGATCTAGCGATGCATCTATGAGGAGGCACACCCTGTATATAGCTTCTGGAGTAGATGGGAATCGTTACCTTACAAATAAGAGTATCATTACAGCTCGCTCAGGCCTGATCCAAATCTCGTCGTCAAACTACAAGTCATTTGTGCTGCGTTCTGGAAGTAGCGGGCGCTCAAGAACAATGACCAAAAGGCAGAGGACCATGGCGGTTCCTTGGAGCGGAGCTCAGCTCAGTCGCCCACCTCAACTTTCAACTTCATGCTTGGAAACTGGAGAGCCTCGGCTCAAATTTGTTTATCGATAACCAGATGGATGTCTGGAACGGCATCATCTTCCACATGTTCCATCACGAGTCGGTTTGTGGCAGGGTGGAGGGGCCATGAGCAGACACGTCTGTTACTCGTTTTCGTTCTTCTACTCGGACAGATAGACCGCATCGTGCCAGTCGCTGGCTGATTCAATCATGCTCGAGTTCCGCACCCAAGGCTTCAACGGCTACAGCGTCAAGTACTCGCCCTTCTTCGACTCGCGCATCGCCGTCGCGGCCTCCGCGAACTTTGGTCTTGTGGGCAATGGAAGGCTTTACATCCTAGGGCTCACGCCAAACGGTGTCGTGGCAGAGAAATGGCATGCGATCCTCCCAAACTACCTCGCCCAGACTTCACCCCATTAACCTCTTCTTTAGGTTTGACACCCAAGACTCACTCTACGACCTCGCCTGGTCCGAAGCGCACGAATCGCAAGTGCTCTGCGCCTCCGGCGACGGCAGCATCAAACTCTTCGACCTCTCCCTCTCCGATTTCCCCATCGCCTCCTGGCAGGAGCACGCGCGCGAAGTCTTCTCCGTGCACTGGAACCTGCTCACCAAAACCACCTTCCTGTCCAGCAGCTGGGACGGCACGATCAAGATCTGGGATCCCTCCTCCTCTTCCTCCCTGACAACCCTCCCAACCCACTCCTGCACCTACTCGGCCTCCTTCTCCCCGCACAACCCCTCCGTCCTCTCCGCCGTCTCCTCAGACTCCCACCTCCGCGTCTTCGACCTCCGCACCCCGGCCAGCGCGTCAAACCACCTCACGCTCAGCATCCCGATCCACACGCCGCCGAAACCCCGCATGGGCGTCCCCGCGCCCGTCGGCATCCCGCCCGCCGAAGCCCTGACGCACGACTGGAACAAATACCGCGACAGCGTGCTCGCCGTCGGCGGGGTCGACCGCGCGATCCGGACCTTTGACCTGCGGAGCCCGGGCGCGGGGCCCGTGGCCGTGCTGCCGGGCCACGAGTACGCGGTGCGCAGGCTGGCGTGGAGCCCGCATCTGAGCGATGTGCTGCTGAGCGCGAGCTATGACATGACGTGTCGGGTGTGGACGGATGGGAGCGCGGTCGGGGTCAAAGGGGGTGGGGAGGAGGTGGCGGATCCGATGGCGTTTGGAGGCGGGAGGGAGATGGGGCGGATGGGGAGGCATACGGAGTTTGTGACGGGGGTGGATTGGTGTCTTTTTGGGGCCGAGGGGTGGTGTGCGAGTTGTGGGTGGGATGAGAGGGTGCTGGTGTGGGATGTTAGGGCTGTTATGGGGGGCTGAATATTGTTGTTGCTGCTGCCAATCTGAGCCGGCGTCATGGCGTGAAGAGGAGTGGGTTCATGGGTTGCATGGTACTGGTGCCGATTGGTAGATGATCATACACTGACTTGGTTGCATGAGTCGAGAGTCTGTTGTACAAGCTGAATGAAGCCCACGGCTTCAGGATAAGAGGAGATTAAAGCGGAGCGGGTACGATCCAATCCACATATCCCAGCCCAATCGCAATGTGCAGTGCAGTGCACCCTGCCCCCCTGATACCCATTATTCAACATAATTCATCATTATAACTCCCACCCATACTTCCGATGCGCGTCCCTCAAAAACTCAATCGCAGCATCGAACGCCTCATCCCTCGTCGCCTTATCAATCGCCCACCCCGGCAACTCCGCCCACCCATGCCACTGCCCCTCAACCAACCGATTCTCGATCCTACGGCCACTCCCCTCTGTCTCCCTCTTCAGCCTCTCGACGAACGTCAGCTGCTCATGCAGCAGGATGTCGATGGTCGGGATAATGAACAACATATCCCGGGGCAGGGTCTCGGCGGTCGCGAGAATGGGATTGAGGCGCGGGTTGGTGAGATTTGCAGCGCGGGAGGGGCTGGCGTAGGCGTCGAAGAGGGGGAGGAGGTAGGTGGCGGGGTCGTGTGTGGGAAAGTTGGGCGGTTTTGGCTTCAGTTGTGGGGGGAGGCGAAGGTCGACCTGGTGAGTGATTAGGAAAGAGGTCGTTGATGACAGGGGATTATGTTGGAAAAGATAGTTGCTTGGGGTCAAGGGAGGACGTGAAATCACGCAACGGGACGGTGGGAGGGCTGTGTTTGAAGCTTGGAGGAACGATATGAAAGAGAAGCATATTGTGACCGGCGCTGAGACACACTGGCGGCCAAGGAAAATTTGGGCTTCGATATCTGGATTAACCGCCTAAGAGGCTAGTAGCTATTGGTGAACGCAGACTACGATTTCGCTGACGCAACGCGACACTGCTTACTGGAGCGTAAAAAGTCACCGAAGCCTTGATAGCTGTGTCCGCCGGCGGCTGACAAGCCTTCTGTTGCGACGCCGCGAGCGCAAGATTAGACCCAGCCGAGAAGCCCGAGACAGTGAGAAGTTTCGGATCCGCCCCAAACATAGACTGTGCATTCTCAAGTAGAAAGCTGATCACATCGTCAACGTCGTCATGGGCGGCAGGAAAGGTGTACCTGGGTGCAACACGATGTTCAGTCGAGACGACAACAGCTCCAGTCCTGTCCGAGACGAGGGCGCAGAAAGCAGCATTAGCCTCGGCGATGCCACCTATGAAGGCTCCGCCGTGGATATCGACATGGAGAGGTCTGAGGCGGTTGGGGTCACCGCGCCGCGGTGGCTGGAAGACGATTGCGCGGACGGAGCGGCCTTCATGTGTTGAGATCTGATGAACTGTATACCTATCCGAGAGTATCCATGGCAAGTGTTTCATCAAGTTGATAAGAATGGCCAAGGGTTGAAAGAGCAGAAGACGCCATCGGTAATCGAAGGGTAGACTACTGAAGAAAGCATCGTGGGTTGGTTGTAACCAACCACTGAGGACGCTTAGCACTCTGAATGTCCATGAGGCTGACGACATAGCATCAACGAAGGCTGTCGAGCCGATGAAGGAGCTCACTTCTAAGTGTTTTATTGCGCAGATGAGTCACAAGACGTTACGCCTTGAATACGAGCTGACATGCATCATGACGTCTGGACAAGGCAGCCACCAAACCTGATATGGACATATTAACACCCTGCGGTTCTAGGACTTTGAGGGAACGAAATTGGAAGTTCGAATGGAAGCCGCATTAAGACGATCACAAGAGGATTCACGGATCCAAGTAGAAATGTCTGAGTTGCAAGCTACAGAACATCATACGGGGTCATCGACATACTCAGGAGGTTGCGCCGGCTGGGCACCCGCCATTCGCCGTTCTTCTTCAAGCCTGGCAGCCCACAAAGCGGCTCCGGTGGAAGTAGTGAGAAGGAAGAACATGCTGAGCACTGGCACGAGCTGCAGCATCAAACTTACTGTTCCAAACCTGCATTTTTTTAGCCCTGTACACAACGAACGCAACGCAGGTCGACGCACCACATGTACTGCCATCGCCTCTTCCCGATAAACGCATTCCGCTCCTTCTTATTAAGCCCCAATAACTTGTAATATCGCCAGTGGTGGAAGGGCCCGGCCCGGTACCCTGTCAGCAGCAGGAACAGCGGCACACCAGCTATGGGTATAAAGTTCAAAGGTAGCAAGACGATAAACTCCACGATCTGCCGCAGCGAGAAAGGCGCGTATACTGACGAGCGTCGAGGTTTGCCGAGCCGTTTGAGTGAGTTTGGTGCGTCCGGGTTTACCGGTCTGGTGGTTGCGACAAGATCTTCGAAGCCCTTCTCGACCAGTATAGCATCAAACATGTCCACTTGTGACTCATCCACGAAAAAGGCCTCGAATAGTAGGGCCACAATAGCCGCGCCTTCACCCAAGACCAAGAACGTGCCGTTCAGCCATGCTGCTGGGCCGTGGAAGATGGCTAGGAAGGCAACTTGCGGCAGGTAGGTCCATATGAAGAGGTTCGCGAGGACGAAGATGGAGAGGAGGAAGCAAGGAAGCAGGCGGGCGCGCAGCAGCGGCCAGAGGAATGGGTGTCGTACGAAGTAGTATAAGCCCTGCTCAAATACAGGCGTCAGCTTGCTGGAGGTGAGGGATTAAGTTCTGTGGGCAAAACGTTACCTTGAGTGGATATAGCCAAGAAGCTGAGGAGACGTAATGCGCTGGACGCGTCAGGAACCTCGCGCTCCCTTGAGTTGGCGGCGTTGACATGTCTTGCGCAGAAGTTTCTACAGCATGATATTGCTCTTCCGTCCAGCGGCGGCCTTTGATGCGGCTCCCGAAGCCGACGTCATGGCCGGCATCGGCTTAGTAACACCCGACCTCACCTCGATAGAGTACAACTCACCAAAACCAAAGGTCTCCGCAAAGGTACAACATTCAAGACACGCTGGAGGACTCTCGGTGTAGCAGACGGATCACCAGTCTTGCAACATGATCTTCTCATGATCCATCGTCGCTCTTAAACTGCAAAAAGAGTAAAGCTAGATTAGGTACCCCAATGGCGGATCTAACGGCATTTATAGCCAGCCGGCAAGAAGTCCGAGATCTCAACGACCCGCTAAAATGGCTGCCCGCCCTTTGGTCAATTGCCATTTTCAGTCATCGTGGTGACCCGTAGTTGCGCTGGTTCGAAGGTGTCCAGGTTCTCGCTACTTTATCAATACACGATGCCCCTCACTCCCGTAGTTTTGCTAGTAGAATCAATTTCTACGCCGCCTTTCCGCATTTCTTACGTCACGCTTTATTCTTACTGTCCTCCCCAGCATGCAGGTAACTGAAAGTGACCACACTGTAGACGAGAAAGAGCTGGGAAGCGGTGCACAAACGCCGAACTCCCACTTTACGGACCATATATACAAATCAGAAGACAATCTACCTACAATGTCGGACGGTTTCGATGCGGATGGCCGTCCCATTGCAGACACAGAGCCTAAAGTTGTCGCCAGTAGTCTTAGGCCTACCCTCACCAGGATCATCACCGGCCGATCGGTGGCATCCTCATGGAAGGACCCAGGGCCGCCACCAGATGGCGGAGTTACTGCTTGGACACAGGCAATCATGGCACACATTGTTATCAGCAATACCTGGGGGTATATGTCGTCTTATGGTGTTTTCCAGGCGTACTATGTCACCGCCCTAGGACGGTCACCGTCTGACATCTCCTGGGTTGGCTCGGTCCAGATGTTTTTGGTGTTTCTGATCGGGACCTTCTCTGGTCGGGCGTTGGACTATGGCCTCTTCCGTCCCATTTTCGTAACGGGGTTTTGCCTGCATCTGCTAGGGATGTTTATGACCTCGCTATGCACGCAGTATTGGCAACTATTCTTAGCGCAAGGACTCTGTACGGGTATAGGAAGTGGGCTGATGTTCTGTCCTACGATGTCTCTGCTTTCTACTTATTTCTCGAAGAAACGCGCGTTGGCAATTGGCATAGCAGCATCTGGATCATGCACTGGAGGCTTAATATACCCTGTCATTGTCCAGCAGCTCCTGCCGAGAATAGGGTTCGGATGGACCGTCCGAGTGCTAGGATTTTTTACGCTGGGCCTCGGTATCCCCACCGTGGTCTTTCTCAAGAGCCGTCTCCCACCGCGCAAGTCTGGTCCTCTTGTCGAGTTCTCCGCCTTCAAGGAACTCCCCTACACGCTGTTCCTCGTCGGCATGTTCCTCAACTTCTGGGGTCTGTTTTTCGCATTCTACTACGTATGTCGCTGCCTTTTGCTTCTCCCTTCCCTTCCCTTCTGTCCTTCCTTCGCACCCTTCCTTTTCCCCTCCATGACCCCTCTCCCACCCTCCTCCATCCACAACCCCCACTCACACCCCCTAGGTCTCCGCCTACGGCCGCGACATAATAGGCTTCACCTACACCGACAGCATCACCCTCCTCCTAATCATGAATGGCGTCGGTCTAATCGGGCGCATCCTCCCCAACCACCTCTCCGACCGCTTCTTCGGCCCGCTAAACACCATCATCCCCTTCGCCTTCGCCTCCGGCATCCTGCTCTTCGGCTGGGCCGGCGTCACCTCGCGGGGTGGGCTGTATGCCTTCGCTGTCGTGTACGGCCTCAGCAGCGCGGGCATGCAGGGTATGTTCCCTGCAGCGCTGAGTAGTCTGACGACAGATCTGAGACGCCAGGGGGTGAGGATGGGTATGGGGTTTAGTATTGTGAGCGTGGCGTGTTTGACGGGGCCGCCGCTCGCGGGGGCGCTGATTCAGAGGAATGGAGGGAGTTATTTGTATGCGCAGATGTGGGCGGGGGCGGTGCTGATTTGTGGCGGGTGCACCTTGTGTGCGGCGAGGACGGCGAAGGTGGGGTTCACGTTGTGGGCAAAGGTCTAGGGCTGTGTGGACGGATTGGGAGCATCTTTTGGGGGCGTCAGGCGTGTGTTGCTTTCAATATTGCTGTGCGTCCTTGTACTTGCATTTGGAAAGGGGTCAGCGCAGGCAGTGGCGTTGGATGGGTTAACTGCTATGCTGCTCAAGCAGTTTGGACATTTGCTAGAGTATCTTCACAAGCGTAGACATAATGGTAGTAGTATCAAGGGAGAGGAAAGCCTTGTCACTGGAATCGACGTACAATGCGTTTGTGTCATCGTAGTAGCCATGGTCATCTATTGATTGTTTCGACGACAATTTAACAAAAGCCTGCCCACTTCCCCTACTCCTCAGGGATCTCAATCTCGCCACTCTCGATATCATCGCTGATCTCCTTCGGACTCCTGCCATCAACCTGGCACCCAGTGCTGAACGCCGTTCCCAGAATCTCCTTGACCGTACCCTTCAGATCCTTCGCCATGCTCTTGAACCGCATCGTCCTCGCGATCTCGATGATCTCATCCAAGGGGATCGATTTGGTGTGCTTGATGTTCTTCTCCTTCTTCCTGTCCCGCGGCGGCTCCTTCAGCGCCTTGATGACGAGCGAGGAGGCGGACGGCACGACGGAGACGGCGGCTTGACGGTTTTGGATGGTGAGCCTGACGGTCACGCGGAGACCTTTCTGGGTGATAGTTAGCTACTGCACTGATATGTAACGGGTTCCTGGATGCCCATACCCAGTCGCCAGTCGCCTTGGCAATGTCTTCGCCGACCTTCTTGGGAGAAAGACCGAGGGGACCAATCTTGGGCGCGAGAGCGGAGGAGGCGCCGACCTCACCACCGGTCGCGCGTAGGTGGATCACCTTCACCTCGCTGGGGTCGAATTTTGGAGGCCTGGAGCGGGTCAGCCGCTGCGCATGGAGACTGGATATCCTTTAAATTTCCTCCAGGCAAGACTTTTGGGCGGCGCGAAGCTCTCGCAATGATTGAGATGGAATCCAAATCACAATTGCGCTTGGTGATTCGCGCGCTATCGGTGGCTTTGTACGTACATTTTGAAATGTGTGAAAGCGGAAGATTAAACTACAAGAAAGAGGAAATCAGTCGAAGGCCGAAGAGATCCGAGTGACGATACTCACGGGTGGCCAAGACGTGAGGTAGTCAGTCACTCAAGATGAGGCGTTGTGCTGCTGCTCGAAGTCGCCGTAAAGCTAGACTTTCAAAGTGTTGGTGGGATTGATAATCGGGCTGCGGCGAAACTGTCAAGCCGATGGCCTGAGGACGAGCGCCAAGCTATCGCGAGAAGGGCAATCAGCGCTATCGTCTGCCACGAAAATGGACCTCACCAAAGTCTGTCAGTGTTGGGGAGCAAGAAGAACTGCCTAGTCGACGCAGTCAGCCATGTTGGGAATGGGGAAAAAGACGTGATGCATTACTTTCCTGGATACGCCGCGTATTTAACAAATTTCCATTCTCTGACGCTCGAAACACTTTCTCCTGTCGTCCCTTTTCCAAATTCTGGTAATTCTCCATGTATCAGTTTTAAGGCACTGTGCTGGCGGGAGTGCCGCTTATCACTCTTCATCCTCTCAATTCCGGACACGTCAGGCGTTCTCACTTGCAAATTATGCACGAAACTCTGTATTCCCCAATATCATCTCGCGTCTTAGGGCAAAACGGAACATACACTTATCGCCTTTGTCTTCCTCAGATTCATGCAGGATTGCATTGAGGAATCCGCTGGCTGATATTACCATCACCACCACTGCCGCAGTGGGTGCACTTGTGATATCCTTCTTCGCCGCCGATGCTCGAGTCATATCTAGCACAACCCTCTCATCACCGCCCGCAACGACGCCCATATCGAGGAAGCACTCGGACTGATACCGGTCGCAGATTGCCCACCTTCTCCATAACCCTTGGTTCTATGCAGCAGATGGCGGGCTGTATAGCGCTGTGGGCATCACTCGGGAGCAGGGTGAGTTTCACATTCAATTCATCTAAGATCATGCCATCAAAAAGAGTGTATAATTTCTCCTTTACTTTCCGCGTATTACAAAATAGACCGTCACTCGCTAGGAGCGCAAAGGAGTGTGGGATATAGAAAAGCGACAAATGAGTGGACGATCCCGCACACATGGGACCACGATGTTCTTCCAAGCTTGTCTCTTGCACCAACAACGAAACTGCCAAAGAAGCAACAACCTGAGATCATTACTCCGCCATATCCGTGCGGGCCTGTAGTAGAGTAAGGGACCACTGATTCCGCCTTACAGTCTCTACTGTTACGAGTTAGTAAAGTGATAGCAAAGCGAAGGCTGTAGTAGGAGTTCACGGAGGTACATACCTATGGCTGTGCCTTTTAGTTGTCTTACATCTTCTTGTTCTTCTTCTTGATGGCGCCGTGATGGCCGCCGCCGTAGCCGCCGTGACCGCCGCCGTTGTGGTCGTCGTCATCGTCATCGTCGTCATCGTCGTCGTCGCCGTTGTCATCGCCGTCGTGGTCATCGTCGTCGTCGCCGTCGTCGCCGTTGTCGTCGCCGTCGTGGTCATCATCATCATCATCATCGTCGTCGTCGTCGTCGTCGTCGTCGTCGTCGTGGTCGCTGTCGTCGTCGTCGCCGTCGTCGTCGCCGCCCCAGTGATTGTCATCGTCGTCATCGTCATCGTCCCCTTTGTCATCACTCCTTACAATGAGCTTCACATCCCGGGTGTATTTCTGGCCAGTGCCATCGGTGATCAAGTCCCTGATGTAGTAGCCACCATCGCGGCCGATAAGGGTTGGCAGGGCAGCGACAAGCCCGGTAGCGACGAGGGCAACAGAGCAGACTTGAATGAGCTTCATAGTTACTGCTGGGTCCTAGGGGTGGAAGATCTTATTGAAGAATGTCTTAGACGGTGTTTGAAGATGATTGGAACTTGTCAACGACCAACGAATGATGATGAGAGTTCTGGAGGAGAAGACTCAACGCTGGAGGGCCGAGTCTCTTTATATCCAACACCTGAGAGGCCTCATCCCTGTCTAGCTGTGACTACCTCGTTCTAGGTACGAGCACGCCATTGCTTTCACGCAGCTTACCGGACACAGCAGCTACTACATGTAGGCAGCCTGTAATGATCTCAAGGTTCTAGGTAAGACAACCCGAGGTGCAGAGCATATGCTCGAGCTTTGTCGAAGGATCTTGCAAGCCTACCCAGAAATCGGCGATGATTCTCATCGAATCTCAGTCCGTGTGCTACGGTGGGCTTCCGAGTTCTCTTGCTAATAGATAGTTGAATCAAAGACTCTACATGTATACGCCTTAGCTCGGGTCTTCGATGCATCGTCTTTATGGCGACATGCATTCAGGACATGCAGTCAGGACTCGGAAGACCGAAGACCTAGGAAATCTCGGCTATCTTGCTGTAACTCTCTCTGCACGGTAGGAACCGAGGTTGCACGCAGTTGGGGAGCCAGAACATGATGCTGAGCTAGATCGAAGCATCGAACTACTTCCTGGGAAGTGTTTTGTGCGGTTTCAGGGGCTTGTGGAATATAGCAACCTCAAGACTTAGGGGCATCCTGTACCGAGATCATTGTCGTCCAGAGGAGAGGGGCTGTCTTCCTTGGATCTCGAAGCCATGGTCCCTCGGAATGATGGCCCATCGATCATACAGCTATATGGTGTCCAAGCGATCATCTCCGCCGGAACACTGCGGAGGAAGCATGGATAGGCGTCAACTGAGGCCGCCGTGGCGCTTCCGGAGAGAAAGAATAGGAAGGAGACAGTCCAACCAAGCAACCCCAGCCCATAAGCAAGAACTGCCACAGAACCGGTGCATTTCATGCGTGTTGTTGTGGGTCTGGTCTTGACGTTCCTTGGCAGTTGATGGTGCCATCGAGGTCCGTGTAGAGGTTCATTCGCTAATTGTTCTGTACGGCGGGTTCCTGCACTGCAGCGTCCAATATGTGAGGTTCTTATGACAGATGGAAATTAGAATATCTTGCAACATGTAGCGCAGCGCTCCTTCCTGTACTACCGCCTTCTGCCTCCACGTCCGAAGGGTAAGCCTGGATTGTACCGAGTGAAGAAGTGGCGTGCCGTGCTATGTACTGTACAAACACGCGAGTCCGGCCTCACAGTTCAGAGGATGAGAGGTAGGACCTCCACCCACTGTGCAACTCAACCAGCGTCTGAGCATGCAACCCGCGAGTACAACGAACTGGGAACTGCTCGCTGCCGCCGATTCAATCGACATGCAACTTCCCGTACGTCATTCCAGTCCACACGATTCCTGTGTTATGATCGACATTACGGGTCCCTGAAAGTTCAAGGTACCATGCCCAATATGTAGTACAGTACCCATCTGGCGGTGATGGACTCGGACCACCGCACGCCGTCCATGGCACGTCGTACGCAATAAAAGCCTCACCGCGACAAGTATGCTTTACTAACCAGCACATACACAATAACCTTTCTGAGACTGTGAATAGTATAGAAAAGCTATCTCGGTTAGCCTTAGTCAATCCTCTACCATTTCGAGAAATCTGTTACTTGGTTGGTAGGGGGGCGTGGTGAGAGTAAGGCGAAGCGTGGTCGGAAACACATTAGAGATTTTCGCGGGGAGGCTTCTGTTGCGCACGTCGTGCTTGGCTCACCTCGCGTGCGCGGCCCCTTCTGCCGGGTCAGGCCGGCTACGTGCAGCTCTGTGGGGTATAGCTCTACAGCTGTGGGGTGCAGGCCGGTGCAACCAACAAGGCAACGTGTAACTACACTGAACGTGCTGCTTCCAGGTCCCGGTGCTTCTCCCCGGCAATCGGCTGACGGTCGGGATCAGCGGCAGAGTAACAGTGGAGACGCAAGAACGTGGCTGTCTTTGCGCCAAAACTTGTCGCCGCAGATCCTGCTCAAGAGAGTCGCGTGGATGTAAGAGCTGCTCGGTGTGGAGGGGTTGGTTCCCGAAATCTCACTGGACGTTCTCGTCGATGATGCAAAAGCGGGGTTTACAGTGACACTGTGTTTCGCAATATCATTGATGAGGATGTATCTCGTGTTCTTTCGGGACTTGTGATATGTGAGATCTAGGGGTATGAGGACGCTTGGTCCTGGTTCAAGCGAAGCTTTTATCAGCCGCGCACTACGGAGTACGGCTACCAAAAGTCGCAAGACTCGCTAAGACAGCCATAGCGGGAGCTATCCAACGCTAGCTTCTTCAAGTAAGCCAGGTACAGGGGCTGGGCCGCGAGTCAAGAGCTCTAAGATTAATGTGTGGTCTTAGCCTTCGGTCAGCCTGTTCACCACTTTTATGTGTAGGATGTATTCGGCAGGCAGCTTAAAATCATCCATATACTAGAGGGAAGTCTTGATGTCGATGCTGCTTAGATCTAAGCTAGAGCTTGCATCTCTACTTACCGCTAGCCTGAAGCGGTACAGATGCGTGATAGCGCTGTTGTGGCTGCCTTAGCGTGTCTTGCGACTTTTCGTAGCTACCTTCGTACAAGGGTTGACCACATCGGTAAAAGTTTTCGTCACATCTGATGCATCAGATATAGCTCTGAGGTCTCAGATGTGCCAAGCTTAGGTCCGAATCGCGAGCTGGTCGCGAGCCGATCGCGATTTGGCACAATTTAACTCGAACTGGCTGATGCATCGGATGTATCGGATGCCTCAAAGCTACGCCGAGCTGCTTAGTAAGCAGAACTTGCAAAATCACGAAAAGCCTGAGAGCTCCAAGTCCATTCAGCCTTGGACCGCTACCACCACTAACTACGGAGGTGGCTCCAGCGGGTGTGTTACAAAATTTCGAAAAAGAATCATTATTAGCCGCTCAATTATAAAAACATAAATATTTTACAGCTTCCGGCTGGGGGGTGAAGTTAAGCGAGAAAGAGAACTCCAAGAGGTTTTGGAGACTGAGCTGCTTACTAAGCAGCTTGGCAGCTCTGAGTACTCCGAGCAGCATGAGCAGCACGAGAAGCACGAGAAGCACGAGAAGCAAGAGCACGCCGAACACGTCGAGCACGCGGGGTATCCAGAGCCAGATCTGAAGCATCAGATTTGGCCGCGTACAGCTCAGGTCTAGTCGATCTGCGAAACAAAACGCCGAACTTTGGAACCATCAACTTTACCCTCCCGCTTTGGCCCGAGCCCATTGCCCGAGCTCGCCGGAAGAGATTCTTAGGGTCCTTCTTTCTGGCATTTTATTGGAGAACAAACCGGACAAGGCGGGTAGAAGAAAATGAGAGAGGTACCTAGATACCGCCACGATGCTGACTAGCCGAGAGCGATGCCAAGGCGGTCACGTTTCGTGGCAGGGTAGCTGGGTAGGTGCGGAACTGCCATTGGAGTCGTTAGGTATATTAAGAGGTTTGGCTCCGACAGCGCTGCTGTCTAAAAACCTGGCAGAAGGAGCGAAACCACTCAAGCGGTGGCCGAGTCGTCTTCTCTACACTCAAACGGCCAGCAACCACCACAACCCCTTGTAGCGTCCGTGTAAACAGCATAGCATTAGCTTAGAGTACTGCAAAATTGCCACTTGTCCAGGCACCACTTTCTGACGCGTCCTCTCAAATACAATCCACAGGCTAATCGCTGCGGTCAGTCCAGCGCATGACTTGCAGCACGGACGGGGAAAGCTCCCCCATGACGCAGGAACGACTTCCGGCGCCTTCGCCGCAGCGCCGCGTTTCCAGCCATCTCCAAGGCAACACCCTCCTCCGTCTTACACCTCCCATTACCGCCACTCCCCATCCCGCATATCGCACTGCATTGCTGTAGATTCGCTGTATCGGGTCTCACAGCATCGTAACCATGAAGACAACCGCTCTCCTCGCAGCCGGTGCGCTGCTTGGCTCCGCCTCGGCCGGAGTCCACAAGATGAAGCTCAAGAAGGTGCCTCTATCAGAGCAGCTTGTAAGTCATCAGCTTCATCGTGCTAGAGCTTCGGAAGGCAGTATGGCAGCTAACGGCAGCTATAGGAGCACGCAAACTTCCACGACCAGGTCCGCGCGCTTGGCCAGAAGTACATGGGCATTCGCCCGCAAGGCCACCGCGATGAGATGTTCAAGGACGCCTCGGTTCATCCAGATGGCAACCACCCAGTGCCCGTGAGCAACTTCTTGAACGCCCAATGTGAGTCGCAGAGCTCCCCGTGCTGGTGTTGATGCGCATAATGGCTAACCTGCTGCCTAGACTTCTCCGAGATCGCCATTGGCACACCTCCGCAGGACTTCAAGGTCGTTCTCGACACTGGAAGCTCCAACCTTTGGGTTCCATCAACGGAATGTGGCTCCATCGCCTGCTACCTCCACAGCAAGTATGACTCGAGCGCCTCGTCCACCTACAAGAAGAACGGCACCAAGTTCGAAATCCGATATGGCTCTGGCAGCTTGAGCGGTTTCGTGTCCCAGGACACCGTCCAGATTGGCGACCTCAAGATCAAGCACCAGGACTTCGCCGAGGCTACCTCCGAGCCCGGTCTTGCCTTCGCCTTCGGCCGCTTCGACGGCATCATGGGTCTCGGCTACGACACCATCAGTGTTAACAAGATTGTCCCCCCCTTCTACAACATGCTCGACCAGGGTCTCTTGGACGAGCCGGTTTTCGCCTTCTATCTCAGCGATACCAACGACAAGGGGGCCGAGTCCGAGGCCATCTTCGGCGGTGTGAACAAGGACCATTACACCGGCAAGATGACCAAGATTCCCCTCCGCCGCAAGGCATACTGGGAGGTCGACCTCGATGCCATCACTTTCGGCGATGCCACCGCTGAGCTCGACAACACCGGCGTGATCCTCGACACCGGCACCTCGCTCATCGCTCTCCCCTCCACTCTTGCTGAGCTCCTGTAAGTCATCTTCGCCTTTCAACTCCCCATCCACATCTAACGTTTTGCAGGAACAAGGAGATCGGCGCAAAGAAGTCCTACAACGGCCAATACACCGTCGACTGCAACAAGCGCGACTCCCTCCCTGACCTGACCTTCACCCTCACTGGCTACAACTTCACCATCGGCCCGTACGACTACATCCTCGAGGTCCAGGGCTCCTGCATCTCATCGTTCTTCGGCATGGACTTCCCGGAGCCTGCTGGCCCGCTCGCCATCCTCGGTGATGCGTTCTTGAGGAGGTGGTACTCCGTCTACGACCTTGGCAACAACGCTGTTGGTCTTGCTAAGGCTAAGGCGTAAGCTCAACTAGGAACGGGAAAGATTGGAACGTGTCTGGCGCGGCGCATGAGGCATGTAGGGGAGAGATTGTATCTTCGGCATCGGAAGGAGTTTACTCAGAATGTAACTAGGAAATAGGGTAATTGGGTTCCTTGGCTTCGGCCGGACTTACTCTACCTTGAACTAGCGACTTATACCTTGTGCTTCTAAGCCAGCTATCAAGTCCACTTTGCATTCACCATGTGACTGCTCCATGAACAGTAACTCGGGACGTGATCAAGAAATAGTACAGAAACGTAGTAGACTGTTGAGCTATCACCCAACTCGCCAGCACTCTACTTTGATGATGTGAAAGGATAGGTAAGGTCGGACTTCGAGGGACTATAGTTGTATCGCCACTGTGTGTAAATGGGTTACTTCGTATAACGACTAAACAGCATGAGTGAACTTCCGTTGACAAATGACTAGCTTCTATTGCTGGTGTTTGAGGGAGTTCTCATTACAATACAAGATGGTCGAGACTGTAGAACTGCGCTACCATCCGGCAATCTGGACGCAATACAACGGCGGTAACGCGCGAAAGGAAGCGATGGATGCCTGATACACAAAGAATGTGGAGTTATCAAGACTATGTTAAAAACAACATAGGCCAGCTGCAGGACGAAGATGTCCCAAGACTCGTTGGAGCATGCTTCATTGTTTAGACTCTAAAGTTTTCCATAAGCCACAATCTACAGCTGCTGAACAAAAGGTCCGAGCTGGACGAAGCCGCCAAAGCACAAGAGCTCGCTCTACTAGGCTTGTCCAACGTGAATTTGAGTTCATTTTTTTACTATTTCTCAACGAGTAGCTGCTACTCCCAAGCCACGCGGTCAAAACAACATCTACAACCTGTAATCAGCGTGACCGGGCTTCGGGCTCTTCCTCAGCACCTCTATCTTGATCTCCACCCGTTGCGATACAGGGCAAACACACTGCCAGATCTCACTTCCGTAACCCTCCCCCCCGCGTTTCCGCAAGAACGGTTCGGCAATGAGCAATCATGCGTAGAAACCGAGAAGCCGCTACTCGAGTCAGACGCGAGACCGCTGATATAGTTGTCGGGTAGCAAATGGCGACATTGCGTAAGTAGACCGAAAAGCGCTCCGTGCCGATTGTGCGTAGCTGGCTCGTAGCGCTGACCGGGATGATTGTGCACTGGCTATCCAGAGACGGCTGCCACGATACTGGGTACTCTGCTTGCGTGACCTCGGCATATCTGCGAATCCGGCTCTGCTCGACCCTCTGGGAGGGCTGAACGTGTCGCAGCCGCTAGAGCAGTTGGTATTTGCAGAGATTGTTAGGATAGCCATCGCCGGCGCCGGATGACCGGGCTGGTTGCACCGCGCCCCTAGAGTATAATACCGAAATGTATGCAAGTATATGAGACGGGTTTTCTCATTCTTCGACGTTTCAGGGCGAAACCTCACGCGTAACTGTTCAGATCGTCTGGTTCCTCGCTTGGCAGCATGTCCATGATGTCCTTGGTGCGTGGTCCAGTGTACTTCCTGTATAATTTGTCAGCCACTCCGTCACGACAAATGTTCCTTGCCCGCATGGAATAACCAAGGTCAAGACTTACTTCCTCGCAGCAGCCCACCACCAGCTCATACTGAACAGCGCGATCAAGCCAGCAACGCAGATGGCGTAGTTCATGTTCGACCCAGTAACGGGCCGGACGGGCGGGAAGAACAATACGACGCTGATGAAGACGACCCAGGTGATAGCAACGGCATTTACCGGCTTGCTCCATTTTCCCAAGGTGTACGGTCCCTCGATGAACTGAACTCGGTGCTCGTACACGCGGTGGGCGAATATCACGGCAACATAGCTGAGATCAAGCGCAGGCGCGGTGACGTTGAAGATGGAGACAATTGTTGAGGTGCTTCCAATGCCAATTAAGTCCTTTACGAAACGTTAGCTCGCCCCCGTGGAATGAGTCCTTGAAGCCTTACCAGGCAGCTGCAGAAAACGACTACAAGCCAGACAGCATTGACGGGGGTTCCTGTGATGCGGTTGATCTTGCTCCAGAAGCTGTCAAAATTGTTAGCGATGTGCCGAGTTGGGGGCTCACATACCGCTAGTAGGATTGATTCACAGAAGATTGGTGAAACTCACCCTGAGAATGGAAACGCCTCGTCGCGAGCAAAAGCGTAAGCCATCCTAGCATTCCCAAGCATCGCAGAGCACCCCGTGAAGAACTGTACGAGGATAACAAAGAACCACATGACCATTCCGCCGGTTCTTCCGCCCGCGTTGAGAAAGATTTGCGCGACCGGAAGACCAGTTGGCGATTTGATGATGGCATCCATGTCGGTCAAGCAAAAGCAAAAGGTTATAGTCAGCATCCAGCCCACAAGGCCGGAAACGAGGACGGCCATCCTGATGGCGACAGGACCTCTGATGGCTGCATCGTGCGTCTCTTCCGACATGTGCGTTGTAGCGTCGTAATCTGTCATTACCCAGGCTACCGAGAGAAAACTAGAATGGCTTGTCAGCAACGGGACACGAAGCTTGTAAAGTCTGTTTCATACCCCAGAAGAAAGGAGAAACCTTTACTTCCCCATCCTGAGCCATCAGTGACGTGCGTGAAGACCCAAGTGGCACTTTGCTTGTTGGGTGTTAGAACTAGCAGCGCAACGCAGATGCTGACAGAAGCGAGGACTGGAGTCTCTCGTCAGCTTCCTAGATCGTAGATGATAAGACGGGTGTTGACTTACTGTTAATCGGAGCGAACCAGAGGATGATCTTATGGAGCAACTTAGTCGTCAGGGAACAAATGGTGCCAAAGAGACAGAGGACTAAGATAGCTAGCAGAACGGTTTGCAAAGGAGTTCTGCTCAAGCCGTCAGCAAAAGATACCCGAAATCTGATTCAAGGGGGACTTGCGGAGCAAACGAGTATGCGCCGTCTTCGTAGTGCGAATTCATCACAGCTGCTGCGAGGACCATCTGCGAGATAGAGTATGCAAGGCTTGCCACTCCGGCGGCCTGACCTAGGAAGTTGCACCAGCCCACAACCCAGGCCCACAGAGCAACATGTTCTTTAGGCACAACGTGCTTGGTGACGAAATACATTCCACCCGCGGTGGGATAGGCAGAGACCAGCTCGGCCACTGCGCAAGTCAGTCGAGAGGCCAGCGATAGTTGTTCCAGATTCTCTGACCCGAGCTTGCTATACAAAACGCCATAATCGAACCAATAGCCCAGCACCAGACGGCTGTTGCTGGCCCTCCAGACCCAATGGGAGCGCCGAAGGTAGCGGGTACGGAGCCAAGCACACCGAGAATGGAGATCGCATACGAGACGGTCGACCATTTGGTAAACTCCCGCCTGAGCTCCTACGAAGACGTCAATCATGGAGAGGACAACACAGGAAGATTCAGACGTACCTGACGGTAGCCGATACGGGCAAGCAGACGCTCATCGTCGTCCTGGATGGTTGCCATCACTCTCTGCTGCGCACTGATGGCTTGAAAGGGCGTCGAGGTCTTGTCGTCCACGGATGTCGATGAAGGCTTTTCCGAGCCAGACGGCCCTACGCTCGAGCCCATGTTAACGGACTGAAGGTTTCGCTGTAGGTGCTGGGAAAGACGTAGAGTGCCAGTGCGGGACCGCTTCTGATATGAGATGGAAGGCGTGAAGATTCACGGAAGGGAGGACTCGGATAAGAATGTTTGCGGAAGGATTGATGTACATTTCAATTACCTGAGATCTTGTCAATCGCCAAGGGCGTTGCCGCTGTCCAATACCGTGCTCCTACTCGTACGAATCGACTCTCATCGCACAAGCGGAGTCGTGGCAAGTCCTAGCAGCTTGCTGGGTTTTAGCAGCACAAATCAGGGATGCTCTCGAACAGCAGATGCAGGGTCATCGAACACGTGTGATTTAGCGGTCAAGCTCTCTGAGTAATGTTGGCCCCGAATGCGCCAGCGCGAGAGGGGCAATCTGGTGGAGAAGGAGCTGCGACGCCTCTCGTCAATTCCAGCAGGACGGATGCGCTGTTCAGCCCCTCGAAGCGTTGGCGTGCGAGGCGGAATTGAGGCGTTGGGCAGGACCTTGATGGAAGCCGAGACAGACTTTTTCCAATGCTGTCAGATAATTTGACCAGGTGGGCGGGACAGAACAGGTGCAAGGAAGCGAGACAGGCTCATGTACCTGTATCCTAAGCTCGATTCAGGCAACAAAAGCCACTCCTCGGCCCCTGAGGCTTGAGCAAGGCAAGGGCTCGAAGTCATGAAACGCCCAGAACGGTGGGTAAGCAACTCTAATCTGTTGCTAAACGGTCGCTCGGAACTAGTCAGCGTTCGAAAAACGTGCTGTAGGCGGGCGCACCAGGCTGGCGGGTCGTAATGATAAGAATTCAATTCTTTTTTGCAGATCAGTGACGGCTCCGTGCCTGAACCATCGCGAGAGAGACAGGACGGACGGCAGGAAGAGCGTGGGGTCTCTGCCGGCAGCGGCTCAGCCTGCGCCGAGGAAGGCAGCGGTACGGATGTCTCGAGTGCTCGTTGGAAGTAAGGGCTGGGTTCCCTAGCACGGCTCCTCGCTGCAGTTGTTCTTAGCGGGCTGAGACGACAGGTTTCGCCATCATGGAAGCGAAGCGGATGCTCTCCAAGGAACTAGGTAAAGACACCGTGTTCAAGGCTAGTGACAACTAAGCCCTCTGCTTGTCATGGTATGCAGCAGCATGCGAGAATGATGTTGCAGCCAGGCTTGATCGACAGCTTCGGTTGCTGTCTTGTCACGAAAAACGAGGATGACAGACGAATTGCAGGGTTGTCGGGCAATTTGCACCGACAGCAGTCTCACCCTGGCCCTTTCCCACAAATGGTCCGGCAGCGGTCCGTGCCACGTCACCCAAAGCCGGCACCCGTTGGACCAGCACCATGGTTTCTCTCGTGCCTAAGGTTCTCTTACCACTCTATCAACATTGTCTGTAGAGAGGTAGGTGGCTGCGCCAACGAGTGCCTCCAATCTTACGGTGGCGGGGTCAATTCGGTGTGTGCGGCGCCGGCGAGTAACCTGGGTTCCTTGATCCAGCTTGCGGACCCGCTGTGGAGCCACGAGGGAATATCTGATATTGACATTTGTAGATCTCCAGGCTATGCTCTCTGAGTCTTTCTCTACAGCCGTCACCGGACGAGCATGGCGAGGTACGTTAAACTGGTCCGGACAATGCGGAGTTGTCAGCAGAACAGAACTGAGCTCTCGCTCCTTTCTTGCTCACTCCAGTAAGCCTTAGCTCACGTTCATGATGCTCACCTGGTAGAAGGTACAATTAGCTCCTCTGGTGCCAGCAAGCAACATGCTTGCTGGCATTTCAACAGAACAGGGACCTCAGTATGGACTAGCCCAGTTGGGCGGCACGTGCATGAGGTATGAATGTGAGTATCTCTTCTGCATTTGTCGCGAGGTTTCATCTTCAATCCTTCCGTCGACTCAAAACCCGGATGACAGGCTGCCGTGCAACCTGCAAAGCACGTTTCTTGCCTGCTTGATCGGCTTCCGGAAATCTTCCGCGCCGTTCGGTGCGTTGGTGCAAAGAACTGCATATCAGACTCGGAACTGCCGTATGCGTGACCTCGAGACGCCCTTTGATGGGCTCATTCATGGCGTGACTACTTTACGAAAGCGTCTTTCAGCATCCGTACTCCATGATCAGATGATATACTTCTGCAGACATCCCTGGTCTAGATTTCGCGAGCACACGGAACTGCGCCTGGGGATAGTCGGATATAGATCCCCATGTATGCAGCAAAAGCGGTGTTTAGTGGAGCACGCCGAGGGGTCGAGCACGACGGCTGGATCTTGAAAGCGCCCTCGATCATGGCTCGGCACGGCTAATGTGGATCCGACCTAATTACTGACGCCCAAATCTGTTAGGAGTCCTTGTGTGACGTGTAAGCTTGCCTAGCTGCTCGTGGTGTGTGGTAGGCGTGGCAAGATTTGAACGGTGGTGAGGTTAGCTGAGCGAGACTACACAAGGGGTACTCGTACTCAGGTCGTTAATAAGTATATAATCCGCTGCAAGTGCTAGTAGGGTTTAGGACGAATCCGAGGTTTTACATGCTCTATCAATAATCTGAGTGGTTTGCGGGCGAAGAGGCTACACGTGTAGCTGCATAGACCTCGCTAAATTATAGTAATCACCGATGATCTCTGGCACTTCGGAGCAGCGGCAGCTCCACGAGAGTGGGACTAAGACCAAGGGTCCACGACAGGCACTTGCGAGGTTTGAAGCAGATAGAAGTGGAGAAGTCTCCGTAGGATAGCCGATATTCCAACGGAGCCACCCGATGTTGCACAAGACGGTCCATCATCTCGACATGCTTGTCTATAGAAGGCAGCAAGAACAAGGAGAAGCAAAACATCACAAACACGCGTGCGAGAATCACACGTGGAGACGGAATATTGAATGCAGCGGAAACATAGTGCTCCTGCTATTACCCGATGTCAGCCCCCCACCCCCCAAGCATCCGTGGGAGATTTCGTGCTTGTCGGTAACCAACCCACGAGACCATCGTGACTGTGAAACAGCATTCGCCAAGCTCGCAACCGACGTTCCACAGACCTCCGCCCCCCAAAGAACGCCTCGCGAAAGAAACCCAAGCCTCTACTCGCCGGGAACGCCATCCGCCCTATTCCCCCGAGCACTCTCAATACGGGCTGTTGACGATATCATTCCGCGAGAGATAGCTCCCCCTGGCACCACTCCTTCGCGCGCCACCAACCCTCGACGGCGTCGCGATGCTCTCCCTCGTCGGCCTCTGCAACGCCTTCCTCGCCACCATGTCGACCTCATTCGGCAGGGCGACAATCAGGTTCTTATCCGAGCCGTACCTGAAGTTATCCGCCTTGACCTCCTCGGCGTAGCGCTTGATGAGGTAGGGGTCCTTCCTGCCCGCCAGGATCTTCTTCATGCTCCAGGTGACGATGAAGGGGCCCGTGGCGGTGACAATCGTCGTCTCCGTGCTGTCAATCCCGGTGTTGAAGCGTGCTGTGGTGAATGACAGAGGCGCCTTGGTCTCGTGCTGCAGCTGTGCAACGTGGCTGGGCGACAGCGCCAGCCGTCTCGGCTGCGGCTTCGAGTCCTTGGCGAAGGACTTTTCGAAGCCGAGCTTGCCCTCGTTCTTGCCGTCCTTCTGCAGGGCGTCGACGAGGAGGAGGTATGTCCGCGTCGTGGCGAGTATCCAGCGGCCGTCGGCGGAGACGTCGAGGCCTATTATGGGGTCGCCGAGCGCGGGAATGTGCGTTTTGGCGTTGATGCCTAGGCGGTCGAACATGCGGATGTCGCCTTTGTTCGAGGAGACGGCGATGTAGCCTTTCTCTGTTGTGGCGGCTGCGGAGAAGTCGTTCTTGGAAGCGTACTGCTTGAGCTCGGTGTCGACGAGCTTGTTGCCCGCTAGGCGGGGATCTATGCGGAATAAAGCGTTGTGAGACAGGCCAAGGAACGTTTGCTCTCCTGTCATCTGCGCGAATTTCTAGACTGGGTGTTAGTGTCTCTTGCAGAATGGTTGCACGTGAGTGTGTACTTACGCTCTCGGGTGCAATCACGTTGACCGGAATGTTGTCATCCACTTTCCACTCATCCACCACCTTCCCATACTCAAGATCCATCCGGTAGAGTGAGTTCGGGTTGTCGGCGTTCTGTAAGATCATGTTCCGATCCTCTGCGTGAAGCATAACCTTCTTCGGACTGAACAGCTTTCCTTTCGGCGTCTGGACCTTGGAGATGTTTGTAGTGAACTCGAGTTGATTGTCGTCTGTGTGCTTGAAGACACCGATCTTTGAACCTCGAACGACAAATGATCGGTCGTTCTTGAAGCCTACCGCTAGCTGAGAGTTGACATGGCCATCTTTCTCGCGGGTCTCGACGTCGTCCTCGGACTCGTCGCTGTCGTAATGCTCGCTGCGCCGGCCATCTTCGTCCGTCTCCTCATCGGTTTCAGTGTCCGACCGATCTTCTTCTTCCTCCTCGTCCGGTGCATCTTCGAGCGTGAGGTCCTGGAAAGCGTCGAGCACGTATTCGCGATCCGCCTCTTTCGCTTTCATCCACTTTGTTTCGTTGAGGTGCTCCCAAAGTGCCTGCATCAGCCCTTCCTGAAAGCGCTCCTCAGTCGCTTGATCTTTGAACCGTAGTAGCCACGAGTAAGCGGAGCCATCTTCTGTATAGTGATTGAAGATGAAGGACAGATATTCGAAATTGAAAACCGGGTTGAGCTCAGGCACGACCCGCTGCCCAAGCCAGTCCCGCTTCTTGCCCGTGATCTGTAACCAGTAATCCCAGTTGCCAATATCTGAGACTGTTGCATGGACCGCAGAATCCTCTAGGACGAACGCGCCAGACTCGAAGTCGAACAAGTGAAGTTCCGCGACTTCGTCAGCGAGAACTTCACGGCCCTCAGGGTGGACGGCCGAGGGTGGTGCGATAGTCTTCTTGTTCGGTGTTTGTAGAGCCTTCGACGGTGTCTCAGGGGCCTTGCCCTTCTCTTCTGTCCTTCTGACCATTGCGGCTGGGCTAAACTCGGGGCTTACGTCGGTGAGTAGTTGTGAGGCGGCGGGCGATGATAATGCGGTTGGGGATTTCGATCGAGGACTGGAAATGGGGCTAGCGTCCGGAATAGGCTCTTCTGTGAAAGAAAACTCTTGAAGGTCTTGCTCTGTTGCCTGGTTGAAGCTCTTGCGGTACTTCCTCTCGTACTGGCACTGCAGCGCTACCAGCTCGAACGATGCCGCTGTCGCAGGAGGTACCGAGCGGTCGCAAACAAACTCCCACAGGTCGCCCTCGTCGCCGCTGAGGTCCTTCCACGCAAAGACCTTCTCGCCTGTCTGCCTTGTGTCTGTCCGAAATTGTAGGAATTCGTCGAGCAGGAAGATCTTCTCGTCTTTCTCTCCGCTCAGGCCGTCCGCGACGCTGTCCTCGCCTTCTTCTTCTGCCAAGAGCTCTTCCTCTCCCTCCTCGTATGCCCGTTGTATGACCAGCTGGTATTGGAAGTCTTGCCCGGTGCGCCGGATCGAGGCAGCGGCGTCCTTAAAGATGAGCTCCGAGTAGCCCTTGACTGAGAGTGGTCGGACGAGGTAGAGCTGGCCTTGGGGGACTTCGATGATAGATTCCTTAGAGGTATCGCCGAAGAGAAATTTGCTCACTAGAAAGCTGTTAGCGATTCAACGGCTGTGACACTCTAGCGGTCGGCGCAAGGAGGGGCAGCTGTGGGTTGCGGCGGAGGGGCAGGCTTGCCATTCCTTATCATGAACATTACTGCGGTGAAGTGAAACAGAGTCTCAGACGTCGGCGTGTGATGAGGTTTGGCGCAGACTCGGTTCTTGCGTAAGACAATCCTTCGCGCTCAGTTGCGACTCGAGGCAGCTTCCCACTGTACGTTCACAGAAAGTTCCAAGGTTGCGGCGTGAATGCTTGAAAGCCACACGCCCACATTTCACGTCACTCTCGCTTAGCTCGTTGCTGGGGAGGAAACATGGTTGCGCCACACTTCCATACTGCAGTACAGCATGCACAGATAGGGACAAATTTCACTTGTATGCATCCATAGTTTGGACTGTTGTATACAGCGTGATGCGTGACGCGTCATGTCAGACATATGCTCTGTGATAGGTAGAGCATCTCCTATGTCTCTCCTCTAAGCCCACCCACCATGCTGCCTAACCACCAGAGCCCCGCTTGAAACAACCCTGCAGGTGTCTCTCTCCCGACTAAAACATACCCAAGAGGTCCTCATTCGTCTTCTTCGCATTTCCTTGGCTGGTAACCTGCTCAGTTGGTGGCGGCGGCTGATGGTTGTTACTCATGCTGAGCGAAGCAAATCCGTTCATCAGGTCATGGCTGAACAAATTTGGCGCAACGCCGGCGGCGCCGTCCCCGAACACGCCTATCAAACTGTCCATGTTGCTGGCCGCCGTCGGTGCGTTCGCGGCGGGCGATGCTACCCGCTGTGGTGTGCCTGCAAGACCCTCTAAGCCTGAAGTGCCTGATGGCGGCTGCTTCTGCATCGATGCAGGCGCCGCACCGTCAAAGTCGATGTCGAGCAGGTTCTCGATGTTGCTTTCTGGAGCCGCTGTACCGCCGGAGACGGCTGCTGCTGCCGCCCTCGCAGCGATGGGGTTCTCGCGAGCGTTCTCTTGTTGCTCACTGTCGCAGTATTAGTACACGTGATCATAAACCTATGGTGTGGGACACATACTCAATCGCGGCTTTCTGCATAGCCTCGGCGCCAAACCGGCCCTGCCCGAGGAAGCTCTCAGGTGGTTTGTGGTACACGGAGGCGAGAGTGGATAACTCAGTAATGAGTTGATCCAGTAACGCGGGTGGTAGGGACGGTATGGTGGATGTGATGGGAGGCTTGTCGGAGAGAACAACATTCTAGGTATCGTCAGCTGCAATCAACAAGCGGCCTCGTTTGCTTAGTCCGGCATACCTTGGCGATCTGCGGGTCGCTGGACAGCAGCCGCCAGTAAACATACGCTCGGTCTCGGATATCGGGGTTGTCATTGTCTGCAGTCGCCGCCTGCAACACCTTCTGTACTAGCCCTTGCGACTGGTCCGGCTTCTTCAGGAAGAGCTTCACAACTGCCGTAAGAATCTGTAATTGCGTCTGCGTGAATTCCTCCGCAAACCCATCCACGAAACCCGTCAAGATCTCGCCGGCATTGCTGATTTTCTCCGCATATTCACCAACTATCCAGATGAGGGCGCCTCTTGCATTCGGCTCGTCGAGCTCGTCTATGCATTGACACAGTGTTGGTATTATACCCTCATAGCCCGGGTATCGTCGGAAGATGTCTTTGATGACCACGATGGCCTCTTGAACGACGTAGTTCACCTTAGTCGCGATCAGATCAAGAAGAGTGTTGACGCATTTCTCGCTGGCGCTCTCGATCTTGATAGCCACTTGGCCAATGGCTTTGACCGCTCGTCGCGCAAAATCCATGTCAACCTCCGTGGCGTACTCCTTGAGCTCCGCAAGAAGCTGGTCGACGTTCTTGTCGTTAGCTACTCGAACCATGACTTCCAGCTTCTGTAACTTGAGGTACGGTGGATCGTTGTATTTGCAGAAGAACACGCGGATCTCTTTGCTCAGGATGTCCGGCTGCTTTTGCAACAGTAGATCAATGTTGCGGAGAGCGACGTATTGTACTTCGGGCGCAGAAGATATCAAGGTGACTGCAACGGTTAGCATACTGCCTTGCGGTTGCATTCGAAAGACCTACCTAGGGGTGGAGCCATCTTCCGCGAGTAAGATTTCGCGAGCTCGGAGCCAACGTACTTCATGTGCAGGAACACAACCTTGACAGCAGCCAACACAACACTGGGGTTGACATGCTGGAACTGTGGAGACACCCTTTCGCATATGTGTTCTGCTTCCTTGACATCTGTCGCCTTATAATCCGCCAGTGTGGTCAAGATGGTTACTCTGCCCCACTCGGTGCACTCATTCAGAGCCAGGAGCATCTTCTTGAGCGTGGTTGGCGTGATTACCAGTGCTTTGGTTTCCGGCGCAGCTTCGTTGATCTCTGAAAGTGCTTGGACCGCATTTGCTACCACCATCGGATTGGGATCTCCAACCAGTTCCTGCAGTGTTTCCAAGAAGCCATCCTCCAAGCACATTGTAGGGTTGAGGTCGAACAGCTTCGCGACGCAGAGCACAGCTGTCTTTCGGACATACGGTGATTCGTCTCGTAGCGTTTTCCGTAGAGGCTCCTCCATGTAGTCCACTATCTTGTCCACACGGATACAACCCATTGTCCGAATCGCTAATGCTCGCACCAGAGGATTCGGGTCTTCCGAGTCTTGTACGAAGGTATTCACGGCGAGGATACAAAGGTCGGGATGTGATTTGGCATAATTCCTGGATCGAGGACCCGGTCAGTCTACTTTCTTTGCGCCGCAGGAGCATGCCTATAGCAAACGTACATCAGGTATAGATAGACCAGCTTCTTCTGGTCCAGATCGGCGGTAGCGATATTCTTGAGGACGTCTGGGAAGAGAGCCGACACATCCTTTCCCAGGGTCATCGACATGATGGTCTTCTGTATCGCTTCCTTTCTACAAGCCCCTTAGTACCGAAAGCCGACATAGCGTTTGCGCGCGCAGCCTCACCGTTCGTAGGCATACTGTGACCTAGATTCATGTTCAGCGTTGCTCTTAGGCAGCTAACCGGCTCGCGCAGCTCTTACACCAAGCCTGCCCGTAGCTCGAACGTCTCTCCCTTCCGCGGCACCGCAAAGGCGCCTTTTATCCTGTTGACCGCCATCCCTGCGCCTCAGGTGCAGAGGTGACGCCCTAAGGCCCGCCCCTCATGCACTGGATGTTCGTGTGGTGGAAACGGGAGTGGTGAGAGTCCGTCGAAGCGTGATAGTGGCACAGATGATACGGGTCGAGGAGGTCTGCTGTGTATGAGCGGAGGACAGCGTAGTCGCGAGAAGCTGCTGCGTATGCGTAGGGTAGCTGTCGTGGGCTGTCGAAGATGTCAAAGCTGCTTGCGCAGATGCGATGTCGAGTTTGTGCAACAACACGCGAACCGCCAAAACTTGCATGCGGATGCGGAGAGTCGCCGTTCTGGGACCACGACATCAGGTTTCACTCAACATCAAATACGGGCAGCTGTCAAGCTCCGCACATTGAGCTGATCGAAAGGGGCGATTATGGTGAGTAAAGCGCATACTTCAAGTTGCACATCATAAAAGGGCTTCACTGATTTATTTTGAGCCGTCGAATCTCCCGAACCTCAGACGGCTCTTCGTCGAAGCAAGGACGGAAGCAGAAGAGAGTGCATACTCGAGAAACGCTGTAAGGGTCCTTGATGATGCTATGTGCTCAAAGTCTTCTGTACCCTCTAACATGGCGATGTAGTTCTATAACCTGGTCCTGTTCATGTCATCGGTCGCTGTCTTTAGTCTTGTAGCCCAGCGCATGACTGTCGGCAAATCGACACATTTTTAAGCGTGTCAGTTTGATGATCGGAGCAGCAAACGCGCCTTGAACGAGAATGGACCTAACAAGGCTCTGCTCATGCTCCTGGTGAAGACCTTCGAAGCTCCTCGTATGGAGTAGGGAAATCGTGAACACACGCATTGTCAATTCAGGGGGCTTACCCGAGAGTCCTATTTACACAAGATACTTTATACGTTAGTGCTCGTCCATGGGTCGGCACGTTTTCTATCCGTTCAAATGCAACAACTCTGAAACCCTATCATCTCCCTAATCGGTCTCCTCGCCATCATCGCTACCGAGGAAGTCTAGATTCCGAAGTCCCTTTGCAAGCTGTCTTGTCGGCCGCTTTCCTCCGCTGTCGTCCTCAGAGCCAGCTTGGCCCCATCTCTTAGCACCCTCCTGAACGGCCTCAAGGTCAGCTGCAAGCTCCCGCTGCTCCTTGATCTGCTTCGCCTTCTCGGCAGAGTACCTTCCGTCCATTCCAGCGTCTTTTAGCATCCGCTTTAGGTGGTTGATCTTTGCTCGCGAGGTATCGTAAGACGCAAGCTCTCGGTGCCACAGCTTCCGGATTCCGCACTTGATCAGCCAGCCTTGCAGACGCCTGATCTCCGCCTCGTCAGGATCAGGGTTTGAGTCGTTCTTGGCTTTAGAAGACTTGAGTTTGGTAGACTTGGTTGCTTTGTCGGTGCCAGACTTTTTCCTGGCTTTCTTCGGCGCAGGAGCCTCGTCCAGCACATCTGATAGCTCGCTCTCCGATGCGTCGTCGTTCTTGCTACCTGCTGGAGCTGGAGCTGCTATTGCACTTTTGATGTCGTCGCTGTCGCTCTCTATGGGCGCGGGCGCTGGTTGCGCTTCGTCGCCGTCATCCTCGCTCGCTTCTATAGGCTTCGCATCGTCGCTGAGTTTCCGCGCCTGACGTTTTCTCGCCGGCTGGCTCTTCTGAGGAACGCTTTCCGGCTCTGATACGGCATCGCTGGAATCTTCTACATTTGACAAGGGAGGTTCTGATGGTTCTTCGGATGAGACAGAGACCTTCCTTCGTTTGCGCGCATTTGGCTTGACGTCCGCTGATTGTCTTTTCCTGCTTTTCTGAGGCGCAGGCTCGGCTTTCGTCTTCTGAGCGCCGGGTTTCGCTTTTGACCTTGATCCTGTTTCCGGCGCGGTCTTCCGTTTGTTTGGTTTTTTGACTGGGATGTCTGGCGATGCTGGGTTGGTATCTTCTTTTGCTTCCTGTATTTTCTGCGTACCAGGTTGTTAGCGGGCAATAAAGCCTACAAGCTCAGGAAACTTGGACGCGTTTGCTTCGACGCCACCAACAGCAGTCGCGCTCATGATACACAAGGATTGAAGTTGGTAGGAGACGCAGGACGTATGCGCCTCATCCCTTGCTCCTATTTGAACTGCACGCGCTCGAGTAGTAGTTGGTTGACGTACCACCTCATCCGTGATGATATCCTTGCTCCGATTTTTCCATTCCACATTTGACTTGAAGAAACCATCCGGCAGAGCCAAGTCAGCCACTGCAGCTGCTCGTACCCGGTTTACGGTGAGGTCCTCATGATTGCCCGACTTGGAGATGGTCGCGACAGCTTGGCGCAACGCCTGCTCGATCCTTGGTTCTGGCGGCAGACGTGTGGAGCCATCTTCAGAGTCCGACAGGTCTGACATATCACAAGCGATTCCTGGCAGCGTTGTTCTGCGTGTGGTCTTTTTGGCTCCAGCTGTTTCTTCGCGACTGCCGCTGTCTCTCGGCGAGGGCGAGATGTGGGGACGCGTCTGGGGTTCCTTGCGAACAAGGACGGGCGTTGAAAGGGCAGCTCGCTCAAAAGCGCGCCGGTGCTGGGCAAGTGAAGCTTGGCCTTTGTCGACGGCTAGTTAAGCCGTCAAGAATCCCATGATTCGCGCTGGACGGCAGATCCGCGCGGCGTTCGAGCTCAAGGGTGCGTCTGGCGTCTAGCATGTGGGAGCGACTGCACAGCGACTGCACAGCGACTGCACAACATCCTGTTTTGTGACTGTCTCCGCACCTGTAATCTGCGGCTGCAAAGAGCCCGCTGCAGTCGCCGGTGAGGCAGCGAGTTCTTACCTAGGTACTTGGATACTTAGACACACAATCCTCCTCGGCCAGAGCCGGTGCATTGCGTGCGAGTGCTCCACGACAGGGTTCAGCACAGCTAACTACGTGATTATGACTGAAGCTATCCGCGAAACACTTTGCCCTCGTCCGCCGTCCCAAAGCCCCTCCATGGCCCAACCACACCAAGCTGCGCAAAAGCTATAGAGGCACACCCTCGCCTACCCTCTCCGTTCCTGAAAGCTGTACTACCGAACTTGCGCTGAAGCCTTTCCAATTCTTCTTCCCCATTCCCTTGCTTGAAGGCACGGCAAGTTTCGCTGCTAAACACCACCGCGCGACCTCACCCTAAGCTCTCTCGTCACCACCTCAGGACCTTGGACGTCCATACACCGAGTCGTTGCACACCGCCCTCGCCCTTGTTCTCCTCAGGCCCTTCTCGCAAACCTCCGTCACACCTTAGCGTTTCCTCCCTACACCATGCCTGCCGCAGATGCAGATCCCAAGTCGGAGGGCCGACTCCTCCTCATCTCCAATCGCCTACCTATCACGATAAAGCGCTCGGAAGAGGGCAAATATGACTTCTCCATGTCATCCGGCGGTCTGGTCAGCGGCCTCAGTGGCCTATCGAAGTCTACTACCTTCCAGTGGTATGGCTGGCCAGGACTAGAAGTGCCCGAGAACGAGATACAAACTCTGAAGGCTAGACTGAAAGAAGAGTACAATGCGGTACCGGTCATGCTGGACGATGAGCTTGCGGACAGGCACTACAATGGCTTCTCTAGTAAGTGAGCTGAGAGCTCAAGCTCCGACCGGTCGCCCAGCAAATTCCACCAGTGATTGGAATTGGGATGCTCGATCTATTGCTCGCTCAGTGCTGACAAGTAGCAGACTCCATCCTATGGCCCCTCTTCCACTACCACCCCGGTGAGATCACCTTCGACGAGTCCGCCTGGAATGCATACACCGAGGCCAATCGTCTGTTCGCAAAGGCCGTCGCGCAGGATGTCCAGGACAACGACTTGGTCTGGGTACATGACTACCACCTCATGCTTCTCCCCGCCATGCTGCGCGAGGAGATTGGCAAGACTAGGAAAAACGTCAAGTTCGGCTTCTTCCTACACACACCATTCCCGAGCAGTGAAATCTACCGCATCCTCCCCGTCCGCAACGAGATACTCCTTGGCGTCCTCCACTGCGACCTTATCGGATTCCACACATACGACTACGCAAGACACTTCCTCAGCAGCTGTTCCCGCATACTGTAAGCCACACCTGCAATCCTGCTGCCTGTGACCGTTTTGCTAAGCACATACAGTGGTCTTACGACAACACCAAATGGCGTCGAGTTCCAAGGCAAGGTCGTGACCGTTGGCGCATTCCCCATTGGCATTGATCCCGAGAAATTCGAGGAAGGCCTGAAGAAGCCCAAGGTCCAGGAGCGCATTGCTACATTGGAACGAAAGTTTCAAGGCGTCAAGCTCATCGTCGGAGTCGACCGTCTGGATTACATCAAGGGCGTCCCTCAGAAACTCCACGCACTCGAAGTCTTCCTGACGGAGCATCCAGAGTGGATCGGCAAGGTCGTCCTAGTACAAGTCGCTGTTCCCAGTCGGCAAGATGTCGAAGAGTACCAGAACCTGAGAGCTGTGGTCAACGAGCTAGTGGGACGGATCAATGGCAAATTCGGTAGGACATCTCGACCCAAGCTCTGAAGTAATCGTTAACAACCGTAGGAACCATTGAGTTTATGCCGATTCACTTCATGCACAAATCCGTCTCGTTCGATGAGCTCATTGCTCTCTACGCCGTTTCGGACGTTTGCCTCGTCTCCTCGACCCGGGATGGCATGAACTTGGTCTCGTACGAGTACATCGCCACGCAGGAAAAGCGCCACGGTGTCATGATCCTGTCGGAGTTCACGGGCGCGGCGCAGAGCCTCAACGGCAGCCTGATCGTCAACCCCTGGAATACCGAGGAGCTCGCGGATGCGATACATGACTCTGTCACCATGGGGGATGAACAGCGCGCAATCAACTACCAGAAGCTGGCGAGATACGTCAAGAAGTACACCAGGTAAGCACTAAGGAATCAGTCCTTGAGTGCACAAGTTGCTGACAACACGTTCAACAGCGCGTGGTGGGGCATGTCCTTCGTCAACGAACTCACTCGTATATCTGAGCAGGCGGACAAGAAGCTCAGAATACGGCGCGAGAGCTCCGTTGCCGAACCGAATGGCAAGGCTAGTGAGCAGCAAAAGCTCGAGGGAAAAGTCAATGGGAAGGCCGATACGTTGGCAAACGAGGCCGTTTCTCCGACCATGGGCGCCAGTGAGGGCGACACGAGACCCATGACTGCGCCTTGACAGGCCGTTCGCAGTCGTTTGCTCAGTGCTGGAGCAACAACATTGTTGCAAGGAGAATATGCACGGTGGCGTATGGATTAGCATGGATTGTTGTCGCGGCTGGGACGTTAGCAAGGGATTGCTTGAGTGCCGTTGTTGCACGTTTAGTAGCTCATACGTTGTCGGGATATCCACATACCCTCTTACGACAAATCATATGATCGGGTTCTTTTATGCGCCGTAAATAAATGTGTTGGCAGCAATTGCAGTCATCAAGGGGGTTTCTGTCATCCTACACAATTGACAAGGGGTCTTTTTAGGTAGGGGAAACTTCGGCCAAACCTGCGGCAAGCTCAAACCTCCGAAATGTGCCCCAGGCGCAGCAGCTAAAGAATGTGTAATTGAACAAGCACAACAGCGCCCAACGACTTCCTCTATCCCACCAGATACGCCCCGGTCGTGCTGCCACGTAGACAGCAGACTTGTGGAAGTCAGCCACCACGACCCTCCGATCCGGGACCGCAGAGAACTTGACCCCTTCCGAGGAGCTCATAGAGACAACCATTGTATACCAGGCGTCGCACGCTGGTGCCGCAGCAGCTCCCGCACAATGGCATCCGTCACGTCTCGGACGCTGAACGGCGTGGTCGTGTCCGCGGGGAAGATGCAAAAGACGGTCAAAGTGCGCATCGCGGCGCAGGAATGGAACAAGCACATCCGCAAGGTACATCTTCAGTTCGCGCCATCCCCATCCCCATCCCCTTCCCCTCCCATCTTCTCCTCCTTCCCAGCCCACTCCCTCCCACTATCCCACCTCCCATCCTCCCAAGCCATCGTGCTTGACGCCGCCCCCCTCCCCCCGACCACGGCCCCGTTCCAACCCGCTAACAAAAACCCCCCACAAACAGCACCTCCCAGCCCCCTACACGGTGCTAGTGTCCGACCCCTCGTCCTCCGTCCGCGAAGGCGACATCATCGCCCTCGCCTCAGGCTGGCGCGCCTCCAAAACAGTCCGACACGTCGTAACCTCCATCATCGCGCCCTTCGGGCCTCCGCTCTCGGCCCGGCCCGCCTTGCCCACCGAGGCCGAGCGCATGGCCGCGCGCACCGCGAAGCGCGTCGAGAAGGATGTGCGGCAGGCTGCTAGGGGCAGGCTGGCCGTGCTCGCGCGGATCGCGGAGGCGAGGCGGGGGTTAGGGAAGGGGAGTGGCGGCGTGGGAAGGGGGGCCGAAGGGGCGGTGGGTGAGATTGGGGAGAAGGGAGACGGGGCGGTGGAAGAGGGAAGGGTGAAGAGGGATCGGCGGAGGGAGAGGGTCGCGGCTGCGGCGGAGGTGCTGGGCCTTGAGTTCGAGGAGGCGATGGTGGAGCCGGAGACGGCGAAGACGCTGCTGAGTAGGGCGGCGGCGCAGATTTGGTGGAAGGCGCGCATGGAGAAGCAGTTTGCGACACGGGAGAAGGGGAGCGTGAGAGCTGCGTTCGAGGGGGCGGTCCAGCTGGAGAGCGTGGAGGAGGTGGAGCTTGGGGAGGTGCCGGAGGGTGGGCTGCCTGATGGTGGGCATCCTATCGGGAACAGTGGGGATAGGGCGAGGAAGAACGCGAACAAGGCTGTGAGGATGGAGGAGAAGGCGGTGGAGAACGAGAGGCAGGCTGAGGAGGTGGAGGAGCGGTTGGGGAAAGAGCCTGAGAAGAGGTCGTAGAAGTCTGTACAATGAGCTGACTTCAGCTCGGACTGTATCATCCTGTACATATAGGCTCAGAAATCCGGAAACATAAGAGTTCTTCAGGACGCAGAAGCCTGTTTGCATTTTTTTTTATAGCTATGTTGGCCTGTGGGTAGCGACATTTACTCCGTTGGAACAGAGGTCATGATTCCCGTCATGCTCAGATGTCTACAAGAGCTTCTCGGTACACAAACGTTCAAACCGAAGTCTACACGAGCAATACATCCCGCGAACGCCGCCATCTATGTCAGATGTATCCCGTTGTCCCAAGCGCAGCCCAAAACTCCCGTTTATGCCATGGTCGTTGAAAACCGCTGCGATGAGTTACGCTGCCAAGGCGAACTCTATATCCTTGCGGCCCTTCGCCGTCGCTGTTCTCGGCTCCAGCAGCAGCTGGCCGCGTGGACCCGCCTTCTCCGCAAATCCGTGCTCCCTCGTAAAGACACGCTTGCCGCGCAGCCACGTCTCGACGACGGCGCCCCTGAGCGTCTTGTTCTCGTACGGTGAGCACTTATTGCGGAAGAGCATGGTGCTGTGCTCGACCTGTGATTGTTGTGGTCAGTTGCTATATCCACGAACAAGCCTGGCCTCCTTCTCCATCCTTGCGGGGTCACGGAGAGGCATTTCAGAGAGAGAAGCGACGGGGGCACTCACCACGAACTCCCTCTCATCATCGAAGACCGCCACATCTCCATCGAAGCCCACCGCCAGATCTCCCTTCCGGTGCTCCAGCCCAACCTGCTTCGCTGTGTTCCTACAGCACCACTTCACCACATCCTCAACAGACGGGTCGCCCCTCCTACACGCCTCCGTCCACAAGATACTCAGGCCCAGCCCCACCGAACTAATCCCGCCCCATGCGGCAAAAAAGTCCCCGCCCTCACCATCCACATTCGCCGGATCCGTCTCGCCCGCCAGCCTCGGCGGCAGCATCTTCAAATCCGGTGTGCAAGGCGAGTGATCCGAGACGATGGTCTTAATGACACTGTCATCCTCACGGGTCAGCTCGTCCCAAAGGCCGTCCTGGTTCGACTGCGTGCGGATAGGCGGGCAGCACTTATGGCGCGTGTCACCGTCCTTGACCGCCTCGGCCGCGAGACTGAGGTAGTGGAAGCATGTTTCCGCTGTGATCTTGACGCCGCGGGCGCGTGCTTCGCGGAGCAGCGGGATCGCTTCGATGGCCGAGAGATGCACGATGTGGAGCGGGAGGTTGGGCGCTAGGTGCGCGAGGGAGAGGATCTCGGCGATGGCGTAGGTTTCGAAGGAGGCGGGGCGCGAGTCGAGGAAGGTTTTGTAGGCTGTTAGGGGGCCGGAGGGGTGGAGTGGTGGGAGGGATTTCTGGACGTCGTCGCCGACGGAGTCGGTGATGGGTGGGATCATCTCAGCGTGGAACATTAGGGTTGTTGGGCTGTCGGCCAGCTCGGTGAGGGCTTTGGAGATGTCAATGGCGGAGACCGCTGGGAATTCCTCGACCTGGCCAACTTTGTTAACTGGTGGGTGGGTGAGCATGTACGAGATGGGAGGCATACGCCGCTGTCGATCAAGAATCCCTTGAAACCGCGCACGCCTTCTTGAACAAGTGGTCTGAGCTCGTGGGCATTACCAGGGATTATGCCACCATAGAAGCCGACATCAACCCAGCATTGACCTTGCGCCGCCGAGACTTTCTCTTTCAGACCCGCGACAGTGGTAGTCGGTGGGATGGCATTGAGTGGCATGTCTACGACGGTTGTGACGCCGCCAAAGGCAGCCGCTCGTGTACCGGTCCAGAAGCCCTCCCATTCTGTCCGACCCGGCTCGTTGAGATGCACGTGGGCATCCACGAGACCCGGAAGTAGTATCTTTGGCGAGTGGTCGACAAATGGCGTCCCGGGAGGGAAGTCTGATTTAGACAGGACGGAGTGGAAGATGGATATGATCTTGCCGGTCTGAGTGTTGATTACGATGGTGGCTGATGTTAACCGGCCAGACACGACTGCACGTGACGAAGCGAGGACTGTGATAGGGTAGGCATGGATATACGGATGCGAGGAAGGTGGAGGCGTTCCAGTCGCATGAGGAGCCATCGCGGGACGTGCTGTTGGGTTTCGAGGAGGGCTAAGGACTTGGAAGGTCAGTGCCGTATGGAGCCATACTGCTGCGTCTGAAGCCAGCGATCATGCAGCATGCCACAATTCGAAGTACAATGCAGATATCTTGGACGACTCGGAACTCTTCCTAGTCTTCCTCTGAGTGCTCGCTCGTAGGACACTGAGCATAGTCAAGTCACCCATAGTGAGGTAGTGAGTAGGGAATGAGGGATTAGAGGAATTGCATTCTGGAAGTACTTGAAAATTATGCTCACTTTGGCGGTGAAGTGTCTAACGGATTTCTAGAGAAGATTGAAGCTAAGAAACATGGATTTGACAGCTGCGGGAGTGGTTGGATATATGGTTCAGCTCGGAAACAACCGGTAGGGTCCGTTTGAAGCACGAGATAAGCACGAGCGGAAGCGGATAGATAAGAGCAGAGTACCACAGCGAGTACAGAAGATCAGAGCAGTCTCAATTTGAAAGCTTAAAGCTTCTCCTTAGAGGGTTGGAAGGTAGAACAAAGAACGCTTTCAATCAAGAACCGGACGGGGAAAACCTGGGGTACAGCCATCTCTTATCAGACCCCATCCAGGCGGTGATATCGCCCCAGTTGAGAACTGTGGGGCCCCAGAGATGCATCCTTGGGCCTTCGAAGGGCTCTGTCAATGCTCCGTCGCTGCGCTCGAACATGGTAGCGGCGGCTGGACCATTCGTGCTAGCGTCTCTTACTCGATAGAAATCGGAACATCTGGCCAGCATAGAAGGCTATCGCCGGTTGCACGTATTTGTGGGGTGATGGCTGTAATCGCTCACGTCAAATCCCGGGGGGGTGTGGTGGTGAACCAGAGCGTTGTCGTCGCCAAGAACAGAAGTTACTGATAAGGCGGAGCCATCGGGGCCACTCGGCGTTTCCGGTTAGGCGGCGCCAAGCCAGTTGTTGAGGTTCAACCTCCAGAAATCAGCCGTTCAACGTCACCCGAATGAGCACATCTTGCTTGACACCACTGGCAATTGTAACGTCTTCTGGACGGAGGCGTTTCTTTTGTCATGCCGGTCCATGAGCGCATACATTTTTCCGCCTCGTCGTCAGGAAGGCGCAGTGTTCCCTGCGCCGACTACGGCACTCCCGGCGGGTGCTAGTATCTTGATTACTCGATAAACACTCGATGCCATCGAGTAAGAGAAATGCCCGTCAACTCCCAACGGACAAGTCTCCTCGGAAACTACCGGTCAACGTGGGAAATCCTTCAGGAAGCCGATCGCCCATCAGTGACGCTTCGTTCTTGCAATTATGGGTTCCAGTCCGTACGGTTGCTCCTCGACATGGTCGCGTTTGCAATTTTCCCGTACGGATGCTCTTCAAGGTCGACGTCCTTGGCGCTCTTCTCTTAAGTCGTCTTGCCGCTGCTCAGAGTTTGAGCTCAGGATTGCCTGCAGCGCTTTCGCCCGGACCGAGCCCATTGTGATCGAGTAAAGGAAACTCTTATTGGTGGTCTGGTGCCAGAACAGTGACGCCGCACGCTCTCCGCCACAACAGACCTGCAAGACGCAGAGCTTTTGCATTCGCTACGATCGAGTAACAGAAACCTAAGACCGGTTAACTGTCAGTGTGATCCATCGGGCTACAGGCCTATCTAGGAGCTGAAGCCCCTCGTCAGATGAGCCAACCCTGCAGTCAGTCTCTGCTTCTGCATATCTTAGTTAGGATTGGAGTGCTCCTCTCTATTGACTCGCCCATAATGACGCGTTCGAAAGAAATGGCGAGCTCCGATAGATCCAGCGGCGGCCTCCTCCACTGTAAACTCACCAACCACTTCCTTGTCCCCAAGGCGTAATGCAACGGTATCAATGTCATTTGGTCTCAGAGGCAATACAGCGACTCTTGAGTTCACAGCAACGCGGATGGGCATAGAATGGAAAGCCACTTAATCACACAACCGGATCGGACCGAGCGGACACGGACTACACCCAGACTTATTGCGGAGAGTCTCGAACGCAATGAGCGTAAGGCGTCAGCTGGCTCTGTTGCCTTTTATTCCTTTGGCACCTGCCGGCTCAGACCCCTTGAACGTCTCGCAAATGCTCTTCGCTTCGTCCCTGATGGTTTCGCGATCACGAGTGCGTCTTTGGCTGAACCAAAAGCTCGCGTCAAGCTGCGGAGCTCACTCCAACCAACAACACAGTGGGTGCATGTGCTGTACTTGCAGTCAATGGCCCGGATTCCATTTTAGGACGTGAGGAAGTGGTCAGCGGAATCCTTGGTGAAGCGCATCAACGCCGATGATAGTCAGACTTGTCTTTTGGGACTCTAGCCGTGCTCGGTCTGGCTTCGCGGACGACATTCTACGTGCCGGGCACAGCTATCATCGAAGTGATTGCTCGTCAAGCTAAACTACCAGCTTACAAATCGAACCGGATGGCTTTGATAGCACGCACCTAGCCGTCGACGGGACACCTCTAGGTGAAAGTTTCCTAGTTTCTTATTCCATTCTGTCTTTGGCCGGCGTTAGCTTTTCTGTAGTTTCAGCGGAAGCTCTTCAAGCCTAGCGCCTCCAGACTTAGGAGTAGCTTGTGGTTGTTATTGACAGCTGACCGATTCTCAGCTGATCCTCAAAGCTCTGAAGGGACTGCAGGTACAAGGACATGGATCCATGGCCTGTCTTGGGCCAGTTGGTCTGGGTGGAGGTGGATGCTTGGAGAGCTCTACTATCCCATCAAGACAGTTGGCTTACAGATCTAACTGCGGCACACAGAGTATTCGTTCCTTGACCGGACCTAAGGGTTGTGCTTGTGTCCTAGCACTAAAGATATCATGAGCTTCGATTGCATAGCGTATTGCCCGTCATCACCGCCGCGACCAAGGCGTTTTTCAAAACGGTCTCCGTTCTAATGGGATACACCAGAATAGCATGAGAGTCTGGCAGGTCCGACGACAGTCCGTGGCCTATGCCACTACCATTGTTCTTCTTCCGTAGCGTTTTCGTAACGATTGATAAACCTGCATTGTTGAATAGCTGTATGAACCGACAAAATTTCCCTCAGAGCGCGTGACTGTTAGCAAATCGGCAAAGCCGATGATGAAGGCGGTCAGCCTGGCCGGCAGAATGGTCAATTAAGACGCGAGCCGACGCGTCGCACGCGAAGCCGTCGCAGCAGTAACATCCTCCCCTCCACACGACCCCACGATTCTGAACTGTCAAATACAGCTTATATCCTCGTACTGTGAGACGATTGAAGACCTGAGACGCAATGCCGCACTCAACCTCCCCCGAGCTATCGCTGCAGGAAGACAGTATACTCCCGGATGCTCCAGCGCGACCGCTCGAAGATGGCTTAGACAACACATCCGAAGAAGAATCGAGCGCTGGCACGCAAACAATGGATGATAGTATTACTGATCCTGCCTCCAAAGCGAATGCCAATCTCGAGGATATGTTCGAAGATGACGATGAGGACGACGACTTCTCGTCAAGCGCACCTCAAGCTTCATCCGAGGCTGCTTCGCAGGACACAATGTAGGTGAGACTCTAAGAATTCCTGCTTCGTTACTGACTGTCTTGCAGAAAACCAGCGCCAAATACCAGTTCCTCAGATCCCGAAGTCATGAAAGCATTCTACCAACGCCTATTCCCCTTCCGCTACCTGTTCCAATGGCTGAACCACTCACCCTCGCCGACCAACGACTTCGGCCACCGCGAGTTCGCCTTCACTCTCCGCAACGACGCCTACCTCCGTTACCAATCCTTCCCCACCGCAGACCTGTCAGCGCTCCTATCTCCACCCTCCCACATTCCCCGCTAACACTCCCCCAGCCTCCGAAAACAATGCATCCAGCTCAACCCCTCCCGCTTCGAAATCGGCCCCGTCTACTCCACCAACCCACGCGAGCGCAAGGCCCTCCGCCGCGCCACCGCCTTCCGGCCCATCTCCAAAGAACTCGTCTTCGACATCGACATGACCGACTACGACGAAATCCGCACCTGCTGCACGGGCGCCAACATCTGCAGCCGGTGCTGGACCTTCATCACCATGGCAATCAAAGTCATCGACGCCGCGCTGCGCGACGACTTCGGCTTCCGGCACATCTTGTGGGTGTATTCAGGCCGACGAGGCGCGCACGCCTGGGTGTGCGACCGGCGGGCCCGCGACATGGACGACGCGAAACGGCGCGCCGTTGCGGGATATCTCGAGCTGCTGAAGGGCGGCGACAAGAGCGGGAAGAGAGTCAACGCCAAGCGGCCCCTGCATCCGCACCTAGAGCGCAGCTTGAACCTCCTCCGTGACCATTTCCAGGCCGACATCCTGTGCAAGCAGGATCCGTGGGCGAGCCCGGAGAAAGCGGCGCGCCTGCTCGAGCTGCTGCCGGACAAGGAGCTGAACAAGTCGCTGCAGAAGAAGTGGGATTCGGCGCCGCTGCGGCCGTCGAGCCAGAAGTGGGCGGATATCGACGCGCTGGCTGCGACGGGCGCGTCGGGGAGTCTGGACACCAAGGCGCTGAGGGACGCGAAGCAGGATATTGTGCTGGAGTATACGTATCCGAGACTCGATGCTGAGGTGTCGAAGAAGCTGAATCATTTGCTCAAGTCGCCGTTTTGTGTACACCCGGCTACGGGGAGGGTGTGCGTGCCGATTGATACAAGGAGAGTTGAGGAGTTTGATCCATTAGGTGTGCCGACGGCCACGGAGTTACTCGCGCAGATTGACGAGTGGGCTCGAACGCATGATGACGGTGGAGAAGGAGAAGAAGAGAAGAAGAAGGTCCAGGATTGGGAGAAGACGAGCTTGAAGCCGTATGTGGAGTTCTTCAGGACGTTTGTCGGGGGTTTGTTAAAAGATGAGAAAGGGGCAGTCAAGCGAGAAAGGCAGGAGAGCGAATCGATGGAGTTTTGAGAAGCTTTGGGACGGCGCGTCAGGAGTATTATGGTATTGTCTGGTCCACGTCGGCGTGCCACTCATGGGACACTGTAGGAATGGTATGTGTTTGGCACCGTCATGAAGGTCCGATGGCATACACCGAGGAAGATCGGCGTACCATAAAGCACGTTGCCCTCTGTTCCGGATTGTTATGGCACCAAGACAATTTCTGAATCAACGCAATGTCGATCCGCACAATCTGCCTGTCCGCTGCACGAGAAGTCTACCGCAAACAAAGGGACACCAGTTGCGACGGTCAGCACCTTTTCGGAAACCACCATTATCGCCACCATATGCCAAGCTCTACAGGAACTTCCAAGCCCGACGCCCATCTCCTTATGCAGTCCAAGCCATGCAGCCTACGCAAGACGACGCCGCTCAACTCCAGACCTAGTACTTCGGACTAAACCGCAGCATCTTCATCTGATCCACGGGATTCGCCTTGATGCCAAAGAGCTCGTATATCCATTTCAAGATGACAGCGAAGGATTCAGGCTCGCCCATGTGCTTGATGCCCGGGACGAAGCGGACCTCTTTGGGTGCGCCGTGCTGGACGGCGAGGTAGTAGTCGTCGATGGGGAAAATTTCGTCGAGGGTGCCCTGCGTTGGGGTGTTAGCTGCTGGATTTTGAGAGGGAGCAGACGGGGCAGGGGAATTCCTCACGTTGACGAGGAGCAAGCGCGCACAACGCGGCTTGTCTAGCGTGCCGTCCTTGAGGAGCGAGAATTTATCAGAGCCCTCTTGTTTGAACTTCTCGACGTCAAGGCCGTAGCCGTACTTGTAGGCTAGGGTGTCCGCGAGACTGGCAATCTACGTCAGCAATCCAGCCCCAAGCGTTGCGGTCCACAGCGTGCGGCTTACTCAAACGGGTATTCGAGATGGTTGACCTCGTCCAACCACGCCCGGTCAAACATATGATGGCAGCCACCCCCCAACGCCACAACCCCCGCCAGGCGGTCCGGATGCGTGTGCGCGAGCCTAATAGCGTAAAAGCCGCCGGTCGAGAACGCCCACACGCAGACCTTCCTGTTATCAATCCCCTCCTGCATGTCTATCCAGTCCAGCATGCTCGACCACAGCCGATCAGGACTAGTAGGATCGTCGATCTTGGCCGGCGAGTCGCCCGTGCCAGGGATCTCGACAACGACGGTCCCGACGCCTTTCTGTCGCCAGCCTTCCATCCAGACGGCCAGCTCGGTGCGGTAGCCATCCAGGCCGGCGATGATGAAGACGAGCGGGACGGGGCTCTCCTTGGAGGCGCCGGCGGGGAGGAGGTGGTAGATGGGGATCTCGCCGCCTTCGCCTTCGATGCCGTGTTTGTGGGGGACCATGACTTCTTTGACTGGATGCTCGCGCAGACTGTTGGAGCCGCGACGTTCTTTAGCAAGGGGCCCCCCGCAGGTCGTACTCTGCGGAGCGAGACGCACCTGAAGCCCTTCAACGCAGCCTCCTTGCCCTTCGTCCACGCGTACCGCTGCTTCTCGGATCGCGGCGCGGGGAAGCGCGAGATGCGGTAGACGGCAGAGGCTCGTCTGGTAGTCGTCAGCACAACCGCTCCAGCGGCTGCTACACAGGACAGCCGCACAGATAGTACTCCGACGCCTTCTCCTTCTCGCCGTTCCGCTCCGCCTCCGCAGCTATGCCGACGAGCTTCTCGGCCTGTGGGAAAAAGGTCTGCGCGTACTCGTCCCAGTCGTACGGCTCGCGCATGTCTTTCTACGCTTTTGTCAGCCTCCCATGTAGGCGTGGGCGTGCGCCGCTGCGGTAGCCTACCTTGACCATCTCCTCGACTACGGGCTCGAAATCCTTCGCGGTGCCGAACATGAAGGGATAGACGCCCATCTCCGCCTTACGTGCAAGTCAGCAGTGGTCTCGTGATTGCTGAATATATGAGCCTACGGGCTTCTTCCACTTCGTCTCCCACAGCGCCTTGAACGACTCATGGTGGGGAGCTGTCTGCTTGATGGCGTCCTGGATGAAGTACTGGCCGTTTGGCGCCGCCATGATGGATGCTTGAGGTTGGAGGAAGGACTACTGCCACGAAGAGGTCTTGAGACGCAATTGCAGGCCATGGTGGTGCTGACGTCCATGTATATAAATACACAGCTGCAGGTGCTTTGCTGACCCCTACTGCCGCTGATTCGGCGCCGGTACCTTGCGCTTCCTTACCGCGGCCCGCAGTGGGGACGAAAATCGGGGTTGGGTAAGCTCCGAGCGACGAGTGCCGCGAGGGGAGCCGGGCCCAGTTGGCTCAGGTAATCGTGCTTGACATGGGAGACGTTCGGTAGAGCTGCCAGCCTGTTCTGTAGGGAAACTTGTGTTAAAGGAATCCTGCAATCGCTAAATATCTCGCGCACGTGGATATCTTGGAGTCTGCGCGTGTCCAGATCTACATAAGAACATGGCGTCATGCGGAGACGGGAGCGGAAGAGGCTGAAGGGGGCCCGCGCACGTGCTCACGTGGCCGGGCTTCCCGGGTTTTCCTTGCGCGCATGAAATGGCATGCAGAACATCCCATTTCATTCATTCTAGCGGAACGTTAATGCAGCATTGAAGGTCTGTTGTTGCCAATGGCAAAAACATCTCTGAATCATTTAACAGACTATCTCGTGAGGGAGACGCTGGATGTTCTACACTCGTGAAGCCTGCTCAAACTGCTGAGCGATTCCCACTATGCTACATGACGCCTCATAGATCTAGTGCAAAGGGCTCATCCATAGACAAACCCGAGGTGCTCTGTGACAGAGTATGGACAAACTCATCCTCACTGTCTTCACCTTGATCATCGTCCTGCAGCCCCTCGTCGTTGCCGTATCCGTCGTTGGTGTATCTAGAACGACCTACCCGCTTCAGGAGATAGCTGCTGTTCTTCCACTCGTCTTTGTTATCGAAGTTGATGAGGATGTCTTCGGCCTCGCCGTATTCAACATCTTTGGACAGCCAGAGACTCTTGAGGAACGGAGCCCTGTCTTGAATAAGATCTGCATGCGTAAGATCCATTGCCTCCTCGAAAGGAGGGTCTGCCTCCACATTCCCCAGCCAGACTTGCTCCAGCAGATCCCACTCGATCGGCGGCGCGCTGAAGTCCTTCTTCCGGTAGGCCTTGTCGAGCAGGAGAGGATTCGGTCCCTTCTGGCCGACCCAATGGAACTTCAGCACCCTTAATCGTTCCCTAAAACTTCTCAACCAGCTGTGGAGCACCTTGATGAAGATCCTTCTTTGTGAACTCGAGATGTAGGAGAAAGGGTTCAGCACCTGCACCTCAATCGTGTTGACGCGCGTCCAGATCGCTCCAGCCATCCAGCTCGCCTCGCCAAAAGCCGTGCCGCCCGCCCATCGACAGTGCAAGATCCCGAAGGCGTGGATGGGCTCCAGTCGGAGGGTGTGCAATGACACGAGAAGAGACTGCTCGATCGCTATACGGATAGACACAAGCGTGGCTTCGATTTGCTTGAAACCGGGCCAGCCAGAGTCGCCTGGAGACGAGATTGAAATGGTGTTAATGCTCTTGAGGACCCTGAAGATAGTGCTCCAGTCAGACGATTGAGCTGCAAAACGCGAGGTTGGCATCGTTGTGGGCATTGAGGAGGGTGTCTCAAACACCGCCTAAGTATGTTAGCTAACCTTGTTAATTTTATGGGTAGTACTTGTAAGTCGGGGTATCCAACTCATTCTCCAGCAAAGCAACTGTGTTGAAAGGTAGAAAAGTTCGAGCCCGGAAGTCAACTTACGCTCAGAACGGTGGCTTGGGGGTTCCGCTGCGAAAGCAGGGTCAACGGCCGTGATGTGTCGCTGAGAGTATGTGCCCTAGATCGACGCATATGGGAGGGTGAATGATCCTGGAATGGGACCGTGAGGTCCTCATCAAAGACGTGACCGGGTGCGATTGAAGTCGGTAGATTCTGCTGCAGGCGAATGACCAGTTGTTCACAATACCGTCCTACGACCTCGAAAGCTTGCAATGACTGGCGACGGCTCGAGCCGTATCTTGGGAAGACGAACAAAGTCTGGAACATCTTGCTCAAGCAAGTAGGGTTCCGTTGAGTCCATTGGTAGCAAACTTTTGAAGCTGCTCGCAGAGCCGTGAGATCAGCTCCAGTCAAATTCTCTAGAATCCATCTTGATGGTAGGTTTGCGTCGAAGTCCGCAGCGTGTTCCGCGCGATGCCAGTCCACTTCTTGTGGTAAGCGATTGAGAAACATCTCTAGTGGTGACAACCGTCGACGCCGCGAAGGCTTGCGAGCATGCATCTGCAGCCGCTGCTTGAACGTCGCCATGTTGTGCTTGACTTCTTAGCCAATCCTGATTTGGTTTGGCAAGTTCGGAAGATCGATCGAGAGGCGGACGCTGTGGATTGGTAGAAGAAGATGGTGCAGCACGTTTTTCTGATGGCCTTGAGCACGCCTTATGCGGCAAGAAAACATAGTGAATGAGCACTGCATGACGGCCATCGTGACTTGTCCCGGAGCTTTGCACCGCTCCGGAGGCGTGAAATGAGTCAAAGTGACCAGTAAGTCGGCTGTTTCCGGATCCGTCACTTGCTCCGGCAGCTTTACGTCCATAACCAGTCCCGACACCGAGACGCTGGCGGTGGGAGAGGTTGAATGTGAACAAGGAAGCACTGAAGGGACCAATCTAGTCGCCATGGGGCTGGCGACAGCCTGTGTCTTTGACCACCCCACATCAAGCACAAGGTGGTCAGACATGCAGATGCCGGCCGCGAAACCTGAGAACTCAAGAACCTCGCCTGTCTACACTTCAACTACTCCACGCGGATAAGAATACATAGAAGCTTCTGTGGAAAAGGAGTACCTTGCGAGTTACTCAGGTTAGAAGGAAGGCTGCGATGATTGATGGAGGAGCTTCACGGGGAATGTCGTCCGTAGAATCGGGAGAATAGAGGCTCACCAAAAGCCCGACGGACAAAAGACGTGAAGAAGACGTAGGGACAGTTTGGAGGTCGAACAATGTGCATACCACGCGCTGCTGGTGGCTGCGAGCCCAAAGTGGCAAGAAGCTTTCGGTCTATGTCAACGGTCTGGCGGTTGAAAGAGACAAGCTGCGCCGCGTCTGCACATAAGTTTCCATCACATCAGCAGATACTGGCGCTGCAGCTAGCTACCGTCAAAGACGAGTCCACGAGAGAGCTTTGAACAGCCTGCTCCTGCCGCTGGCGCGAACCGACAGTTTCTTCAGTAGCTTACCTCGCCTTTGGTCATGATTAATTCTGTGCTGCAAGCATGGAAAGCGCAAGTGCCTGCTGGACTTTGGTTTCATCATCACGGCCGTATCACAGCCAGACCAGCCCTAGACTATCCCAGTTTTACTCTTCCTTCATGAGCACCAGCACGCCCAAGGTGGTTCGGAGGCAGGAGGTTGACGCGAGGTCGGAGAGTTTGATTGACAGCAGCTGTCATTCCCAGCATCACGGCCCGGGCATCTTCTGTTCGAGCCGCCGGAACCGATGGAGAATTGTAACGAAAGATCGGGAGTCCCCTTGGCCCGTGCGCAAGCATCATTGCATGGGGAAAGAGCCGGCGGGGTTGGAGGGGCATGTTTGGCCTCAACGCAAATGCCCATGATAAACCTCTATCACCTCCATCTCTACACCAATTGCTTGTATACAGCATTCGAATACCTCAACGTGCAATCTTCTTGCAGCTCTTAGCTCTCGCCATCCCTAGAGTCCCTCGGGTGGCAGAGGGACCGAATTGAACCTTGTTTATCTGTGGTGGGGTTGCTTTCTTACCGTTACCACATGCTCTTCATAAGCCAGATATGTCGGATGTGACAGCCGTCAGCCATAGATACCTGTGGACAAATCTTTTCAGCGACTATATAGCTTGTCATTCCACCCCTCTCCCCATTTCTACCTCACCTTGATCGGATTTCTTGACTGTTGCATCAACTGAACGTCACGAAAGCGACGTCGTATATGCATGCAAAGCTAATATCCCACAGCAAGTCCACGCACTCGAACTTTGACAATCAACCTGCGAAACGAGATACAGGAGCAACCGAAGCGACCCCCTTTCACTCCACATCCGGCCACTTGCTCTGGCCTCTACTTCACCACCAGATCGCGCATAAATCGTCAAGATGGTTGGCCTAGGACCCAGAAAGCCACCCTCCCGAAAGGGTAAGCATAACTGGCCATCAAGCGCTTCACGGACTAAGAATGGCACCAGGTTCCATGGCCGACGTGCCAAAGGACCTCGTGGAGCAGATCAAGCGGCTCGAGGAGCTCTTCACAGTGCCGACAGAGAAGCTCAAGGAGATTACGACTCACTTCATGGGTGAGCTCGAGAAGGGTCTTCAGAAAGAGGGCAGTACCGTCGTAGGTCTTCAACCCAGCAAGTACCGCAAGAGCTTGTTGACACGACTCAGCCGATGAACCCGACCTGGTGCATGGGCTTCCCCACCGGTTACGAGACCGGCACCTACCTCGCGCTTGACATGGGCGGCACCAACCTGCGTGTCTGCGAGATCAATCTCCCGGAAGAGAAGGGCGAGTTCGACATTATACAATCGAAATACCGCATGCCAGAGGAGCTCAAGACGGCGACTGCTGATGAGCTGTGGGGCTACATTGCAGACTGTCTTCAGCAGTTCGTCGAGTACCACCATGAGGGCGAGGAGCTGGAAGAGATGCCTCTCGGCTTCACTTTTTCGTACCCGGCCACCCAGGACTACGTCGACCATGGAGTACTGCAACGGTGGACAAAAGGCTTCGACATTGACGGCGTCGAGGGCCACGACGTCGTTCCGCCATTCATGGCAGCACTGGAAGAACGGGTGAGTTACTCTCGGGAGACGAGCAGGCTCGCCTCACGCAGTGGACTCTTGAGGATCAAAAGGATTATTCTGGCGCTTCCTAGGAACTGCTGAACCGACTTGTTCCAGCATCGCAATCTCTTGATCAAGTAGGACCGCATACTGATACCTCTTTCTCAGGGCGTCCCGATCGTGCTGGCAGCTCTCGTCAACGACACAACCGGTACACTCATTGCCTCCGCGTACACCGACACCAACGTCAAGATCGGCTGCATCTTCGGCACGGGCTGCAATGCCGCCTACATGGAGGAGTGCGGCAAGATCCCGAAGCTGGCACACATGAACCTGCCCCCCGACCTCCCGATGGCCATCAACTGCGAGTGGGGCGCCTTTGACAACGAGCACAAAGTCCTCCCACGCACGCCATACGACGTGATCATCGACAAAGAGTCCCCGCGTCCCGGTCAGCAAGCCTTCGAGAAGATGATCGCAGGCCTTTACCTAGGCGAGATCTTCCGCCTCGTCCTGCTCGACCTGCACGACACAGGCCACATCTTCGAGGGTCAGGACATGAGCAAGCTGAAGAAGCCGTACAGCCTCGACTCATCCTTCCTCTCCGCCATCGAAGAGTAAGCCGCGTCCCTTCCCGTCCAGCCGCCGGCGCCACACTAACCATCCCCCACAGAGACCCCTTCGAGAACCTGCAAGAAACAGCCGACATGTTCCAAAACAAGCTCTCCATCGTCCCCACCCGCCCGGAATGCGAGCTCACGCGCCGGCTCAGCGAGCTAATCGGGACGCGCGCCGCCCGCCTCTCCTCCTGCGGCGTGGCCGCCATCTGCAAGCATAAGGGCTGGGACTCGTCCCACGTCGGCGCCGACGGCTCCGTCTTCAACAAGTACCCGCACTTCAAGGCCCGCGGCGCCCAGGCCCTGCGCGAGATCCTCGACTGGCCCAAGCCCAAGCGCGGCCAGCCCGATCCGATTGAGATCTTGCCGGCGGAGGATGGGTCGGGGGTGGGGGCGGCGCTGATTGCGGCGTTGACGCTTAAGAGGGTCGAGCAGGGGAATCATGCGGGGATCAGACATCCGGAAAACTTGATGAAGTGTGTTCATAAGGCTAAGGGGGCGGCGAAGCCGTCAGAGTGAGCGCTTGCGTTGAAAGTGTTTCTTCGCCCTTCGCCGCTCTTGTGTTCATCTGGCAGACGTTTGTATGTTGTAGACGAGAAAGACTGCCGATACATTTTGCTGTACCTGACAGGGAGTCGGTCGTTTTGGTGGTATATATATGAACAAACGCCCACTCGCAGTCCTGAAAACCGTTCGCCCCCACGGCTCTGTTAGCCTGCCCAAGCGCCACAACGCCTTCAAGATGCCCTCACCACAGCTACGAGCAGAGCTGCTACTACTCCAGCCTCTGTACCACCATCTTCAAAATCTCCTCCCTCCCCTTCCCCGCATTCTTCGGATCCTTCGCGACAGCCTGCCAAACCTCGCCATGTCTCGGCTCCGCAAGTACACACTTAGCAACAACCTCCTCCCTCTTCTCATCCGTGCCATGCTGCAGCAAAAACTTGTAGTACCACGCCCACGTATCGCCCAGATCCGCGTCCAGCAGTATCGCCTTCTCGAACCAACTCATCGCCTTCTCGAGCCTGCGCTCGCCCCAGAAGATGCGCGCGATGGTGACGAAGAGGTAGGCGTCGTTCTCCACCCTCTTGATGGCTTCCAGCGCGCGCGGCTTCCGGTGCGTGCGCGCCTCGAGATGCATGATCTTCTCGCTGTACAGCAGGCCGCTGGTCGGGAGCTCCTGGAGCGCCTGCGCCATGAGGTTGTTCGCCGCTTGGAGGTTCCCTGCCCGCCGCTCCAGCCGCACGCGCTCGGTTAGAATCTCGGCGTTCTTGGGCACCTGTAATCGCGCGCGGTCGAGGATGCTGCGCGCCTTGACCGTCACGCCGGCTTTCTCTTCCAGGCGTGCTGCGAGCAGGTATAGCGGGACTGACTTCGGGCAGGCGCGGATGCCGGCGGCGTAGGCCTCGCGCGCGGCGGGGAGCTTGTTCAGCGACTCGTAGATCTGGCCTTTTTGCATATGGAGCTTCGCATTGTGCGGGTAGAGCTCGAGGCCGCGGGTCACGAGGTCAAGCGCGGCGTCGATGTTACCCTGCTGCCGCTCGAACGCCACGAACTTGACGTAGACGCGGTCGGTGCCCGCTTTTTCGAGCGCGGCGGTCAGCAGCTGGCGCGCTCGGTCGATCTGTCCGTTGTCGGCTTCCATCTGCACGGCGAAGAGCCAGATGTTTTCGCTCGAACTCATGTCGAAGGCGCGCTTGAGGACGCGGCGCGCTTCGTCGGTTTGGCCCGCTTGCCATTTGGATTTGGCGAGGTCCATCCAGAAGTCTTCGTGTGGGCAGGCTTCTACGGCTTTTTCGAGCAGTTGCCATAGTGCTTCTCGGGTGCCGTGGTTGCGCTCGAGATCGATTGCGGCTCGCCATACGGATTTTTTGTTGTAGAATAGGCGCAGCGCGTAGGCGTAGATTGCTCGTGCTGTCTCGTACTTCCCTCGAGCTATGCTATCCTTTGCGTCGTCCATCCAGATGTCCTTACGATCATCGTCCTCGTCGAGGCCCCAGCCGAGTGTCTCCCTGATGATGGCTCCACACGTGATGACGGCGCCTTCTTCTTCGCACTTCTCGGCCTGTGCGATCCACTCCTCTCGCTTCAACATAGCTGACTCCCTGGCAAGGGTCTTGACACCGCGCTCCATGACTTTGTACACCATGGCTGTATTCCCGAGCGCCTCTTCCAGTCTAGATGCAGCCACCCAAATCAGATGAGAATCCCCTTGACCCCCCACGGCTTTTCGGGCCTTGTTGAGGACAGCTCTCGCGTTCTCTGGCGTCTCCAGTCTTGCTAGCGCAAGCCAAAGTTCTGTAGCAAGGGGAATGACCTCGGTTGCTTTCGCCAGTAGCAGGCGAGCATCGGCAGGATCCTCCTCTAGGTTGACCGCCTCGCGCCATAGTTGGACTGATTGCGGTATGTGATCAAGCGCTTGTCTGAGAACACGCTTCTTCGCCCTTGTATCCGTTTCGAGGTTCATCGCCGTCGTCCAAAGTCTGGTGCTTCTTGGTAGTGCCTTGATCGCGTTGGCTGCAATGACCTTGGCATTGTGATTGTCGTTAAGTCTGATATTCTCGAGCCAGCAATCTTCACTTGTAGGGCACCGAGCACATCCTTCCGCAATGATCTGCCTCGCCTTGACAATTTTGCCAGCGAATTCCTCCAGCCTGGCCAGCGCGATCCACGCTGGACCATGCTTCGGGTTGCTCCTTGCCACCGACTCGAGCAGCTCGCGGGCCCGGTTGATGTCGCCAACAGGCACCTCGCCAGCTTTCAGCTCCGATTTCGACAGGCTGGTGAGATAGCCTTTCGGATCGATGTTTGTAGCAGTACCGGCGACTGAGTCCATGCCTGGTGCTTGTGCTGCTTGATCGAGCCGCACTTGAAGCACCTTGTCCTTCGCCGCCTGTAAATGCGCGAAGTTCGTCATGTTGCCATCCGCATTGTCTGCGCTTGTACCGGCGCCATCTGGACCATCCGCGGATATGCTAGTATCGAACTGTGTTGCATCCCTCGCCCCCGCAATGACGCTGTCCGGCACAGCGTAGAACCTCTTCCTCAGCTCTTGCTTCGCCCTCCGGTTCTTGCCCGTCAAATCGCCCACCTCCGGTATGTTCGCCCAGTCTTCGTCGGTGACACTGCCGAGGGCTCGTTTTAGGTCGGCAAATTGCTGCTGGATCTTCGGGTTGTTACGCTCGTATTCTTCCCGTTCTTTCTGCTCGCGTGCTTCCCTATACGGCGCGAAAGGTTTCATGTTGGCAATCTGTCCAGCAAAACCAATAAACCCAATAACTTTCGCTAAGGGGATAAGTTGGGGAGATTTGGGGTGAGACTAACCTTCGTGCTTTGCGCCGCCTGTCCATCCGCTCGTCTACATCCTGGTATATCCTATCCGCCTCGTCGTCGTCGCGGTCGTATGTGCCGTTCGCGAAGAGCCCGACTTCGTTCTCGGGGTCTTGGAAGCGCTCATCATCGTCGTCGTCGTCCTTCTTGCCCGTTGCTCCATATGCTGTGGGCGGTGCTTGACCTAGCTGCGCTGCGCGCTTCGCGAGTGCTTCCTTGATCTGCTCTTCGCTGGGGCCTTCTCGCGCGGGACCGAGATCTGATCGTGTGGTGAATCCAGTGGCGCCTCTACCGAGACCGGCGACGTAGTTCTCGGGCGCTGGCTGGCTCAGGAAGTCCTTGCGGCCTGTCATGCTGGCCGTTCGTGGTGGTGAGGTTGCAGGTCGAATGCTCGAATGCTCGGATGCGGCTCCATAAAAGTTGCGGAGTCAGGCCAACTTGCTTACGTAATTTTCAGGCATCGAAACCGGTCGAATCTCTAGTCGGCTTTGAGAAGGGAACAAAAGTAGCACAGAGGTAAACTGCTTGGAATTTATTGAACGCTGTACTACGAGGAACAAGAGTAGTGAGCCGTCTCAGAATCGTTCGTCAAGTCTATGGAAGCCATGGTGCATCCCTTCATCGCCATGGCACCGAATGACTGACCTCCTGGGCGGCGTTCCTCGCTGTACTTTCGTGTGAGCGTGGGTATCCCATAAGCCTGCTTTACGCTTTCGGTTGCTCAATCAGTGACACTGCTTCCTAAAGCAGTGCTGTTAGATGACCTCTGTACACATGGGGTAATCCAGGCTTCACCTCTCAGCATAACACTACTTAGCATAAATGCCCAAGTGGTGCGGTTTGGTAGAATAAGGTAATGTATCCTTCCTTTGATTCAAAATCTGCTTCTTTGTCACTATATCTCGTTACTCTTCCCCAGTGTCTTAATGACTCTGAGTCTTCCATCAGGTTCACAGTCCAAGGGGTTGGGTGACCCACTCAAGACTCACTTTACAAAGCTTTCCTGACACAACTGCCGTGATTGATTTTTGAAGTCTTTGTAGTGTTTCCTTCCGAGTCCGCATGGCTGGGTTGTTCCTTCCTCACAGACAGAATCCTGTGCACTGTCACTTCCTGATACGGGGCCGTTGCTGATGGAGTAGCATTCACTATATTTCTGGTGGTTGCCGATGCTTCGGGCCGGCATTGCGTCTTTTCAAGCTGTGTCACTTCGCCTCGCTCATGTCAAAGCACTGTGCGGCTTACCGTCATACTTTGCTTTTGTCTACCATTCGCACTATGTCTGCTGCTAGTTACGGAGTTGAGCCATCAGAGTGGTAGTCATACATCACCCTTTTGTGATGCTGAGTGCGTTAGAGCACCCTTTCGCTTTACTATAAGTAGAGGTCCAGTTGTCTTGCTCCTTGCTATTCTAACCATTGATTCCACAACATCGACAACATTTCACAAACTTATCGGCCACCCCCATAGCTACCAGCTTCTGCGACACCGACACAACACTTTCACAGTACAGAGTTGCACCTATCAGCGACATGTCTTGGAAGGACTGGCAGATCTGGGTGCAGGACATTTGCGAGTGGAATGTGACTGGCGACGTTAGGGAAATCATAGGGATAATGGATCAGGAATCAAACCGACAATGGCGACAACAATTGGAGCCAGCAGACAGGACAGATGCTGGAGCCAGAGAGAAAGTGAGGCAGCAGGTGATCCTGTCGGGTTGGGTCCCGGAGAACTACGACTAAGCCAACCGCACTCTCTCGATCTGGATCCCAAGATACTCTGCTGCGGTAGGCTTCTCGGCTTTTGATCACCATATGCTCGGTAGCTTGATGGTCAAGCGACGAGAGGTTTTCCATGAGATTTTCTTTCTTACCATACATAGCTTAGAGTCTGTCATTCTCAGGACTCTCTCTTTCATATCTCCGACTTAGCAGGGACTAAGCGATTCACATAACACTCCTACTCTCCTACCTATCCTACATTATTGCGGTAACAATTTAGCTGTTGACCTTGAACAAGATTTCCGAATAGAATACTCTTACTACCTCCAGCCGTCTTCAGCCGTGAAATATAGAAGCCTTGATGCTATTCCATTGCCCCTGACCGTTTGGGTATCTGTGAAAGACCTTTCATTCAAAACGCCCGCTGATGCCAGGAGACTTCCCACCTAATGCTCATCCTTCTGATTGAAAAATCCAGAGAGCCAGTTCATCCCAACGCGCCGACCAATGCAGCAAAACCGTTATGAATCCCTCGACGTCCGCCCCTTACAGACGACAAAACACTTCCGACCGTTTTACCCAAAGCATACATAAGGAGGGGGAGAAGACGTACAGTCCTCATTGGAGAGTCTCGGTCACGCAACTCAGGGCGCCAGACAATCATCCAGCACCGAGCACAGGGCGTCTCGATCGTTGACCGCACCGCCCTGCCAACCCCAGTCGTTCTCGTCGATGTCCATCTCATCGCTGTGGCCTCCACCATTAACTACGCGCCTGCTCATGCCCTTCATGGCGCGAGGCCGCCCCGCATTATCTGCCGGCGTATCGTCCCAGTCATCCACGTCTGCGTCGACATACCCATCGCTCACAATTTTTCCAGAAATGAGCGGAACCTGACCAAGGAAGCTATCCCCCAGCTCCAGCGCAAGCCTCAAATCATTAACATTAAGCGGCGCCCTCCTCGCATTCGCCTCGATCTCCACGGGCAAGAAGCCCCCAGCGTTCCTCACGACCTCGCCCTTGAGCCACGAATTCTCTTCCCGCTCGAGCTGCCGCTTGTACGCCGCCGTCTTGATATACCGCTCCCCGTTGCTCCGCACCCGGCCGAAGAAGTTGGCTAGCGCTTCTTTGATGTAGGTTTCCGCCGCGATGGCTACGAACTCGGCGCAGCCGGCTGCGGCGCCGCTAGGGAGGCCTTCTTCGTAGGATATGGGTAGCATGCGCGCGCTGATGGATTCGGCGGAGGGGAATTCGAGGGTTTCGGAGAAGAGGGGTTGGGCGTAGCGCTTGCGGATCTCGAGATCCCAGTCTGTGACAGCACGAGTTAGACTGGAACGTGTACGCACAAGGCAAGGCAAGCGTAGAGATAGCTAGTTGGGATTTGGGAGTCAAAGAAGTGGGGCAAGGTACTGGTCTTGTTCAGCCCTCCAGCAGAGGTCGGTCCTAAGTCCGGGAGCTTGATCTGCCGCGCCATATGAAACTCTTGCATAGTCTGCGTAAACTGGTCGAACGGGTCCTGCAAGGCTCCACCGTTAGCGATCTCTTCTGCGCGCACTGCACCTTCAGCCGGAAGAGCTCACATCTGGTATACCCTTCAGCCTGTGCCTATCTCTTGCCGGTAGCTGCATGACCTCCGTCTTGAGTCTCTGCTCCGCGGCATCTCCCGACACCGGCTTGGGCACCGCTGTGGGCTTGTCGTTGGCGGACACCCAGCTGGCGACGCCGGGCTCGGGAGCGTCGCGGAAGGCATTGCTGTAGATGGCGCATATAAATTGATTGTGAAGGCGTTCTCGTGAAGCATCGGTGCGTATGAAATGGTCTATGCGCCTGGAGAGCTCTTCTTGGTTTAGTTGTCCTGGAGTGAGAAGGCGCACGTTAGCGGTCAGGTTTGCGCCGGGACGATGAACGGTATGGTTTGAGGGCTGGGAGCTGGGCGCGCGCATACCTAGTATGAACAGGCTTGTTGCTTCTTTGTATATCCCCCAGTTGTCCCCAATTGCAGATTTCAGCGCCGTGTACAATGGTTCGAGATCTATCCGCGGGGCGCTGGATGCGACGGGCTTTGCAGCTTTCTGGGAGACCGCAGCATTTGTCGGGAGCGCTTTCGAAGGGAGGGTCGGTGTTGGGGTGGCTTGTGAGATGGATTCTGAGGGCCTGATCGTGGCCATGACGCCGAAAGGTGGGTAGTGGTAGGCCCGGCGCGCAGGTTGCAGTGCGCGGAGGAGGTTTGAGAGTGCCCACCCACCGCCGCCGTGCGCAGCTCCAAGCCAGTTGCCGTCTCCTGTTAAGGGTGGAGGTGTGTGAAGATGCTATTCTTCCATACCTGGTTGTGATTCCAATTCACTACTTCTGCGTTGCGGTACATCATCCGCGGTGCCAAGAGGTGAGGTTGGTGGAGAGTCCGCTTTTTGTGTCGCGAAAGACAACGGGGTACAAAATGTAAATCCAAGGTTATGGAGGCACTAGCGCAGTTTTACAACCGTTGAACGTGGTGTCTATTGTTTACCTTCATCGAAGCTTATGCTTTTGCGTTCATTGACCTTTTCACTTCGAAGGAGAGGTGGTTGGCGAAGGACTTTTATGTATATGATGCTGGGAACGCTGAAACTATGCGGAAAAGAACGCCCCCTATATGCTGCGCTTTGATATCATGGCTCCTCGAGACGTCTACATCCGTTCAAAAACAGCACTAGTCGTCGCCAAAGTTTCCTTCTCCCAGGTCCACCTTGCCGACGCTCCAAACCTCCCTCTCATCCTCCTTCTCGTCGCTAGAAAGATTGAGCCCACCTTGTCCACCCTCCGCCTCCATCCTCTCCCTGGCCTGACTCGCAAGACGCAAAGCTACTCTCTTAAAGTAATCCTGCATGCTGCGCTTCGTGTTGGGCGGCAAACCAGCGCCAGCACCGGCGAGGTACTTGTCGAACACGGCAGTCTCCTCCTCGACCGCGGAGAAAATCGCCAAGAAAGCTGCTTCCGCAGCAAGTTTTACCGGAATGACCAGGTCTCGCACGCTTGCAAAGATTGGCGGAGCAAGCAGAGCAAGGTGTGGCCTGACGAGCTCGTTGTGGGGGCGGCTCACGGTTCGCACCACTACTAGCGCGAGACGGCGGGTATCGACCGCGTTACCGGGCTGGATGACCGAGGCGAGGGCTTCAAAGATGGCTTTGGTGGTTTCGAAGTTCTTGTTCGCGGACTCTGTCAAGAGATATTTGCCTGCAGCTAGCACACAGTTATCCGAGACGAACGGTTGGTTGCTGCTGATTCCCTGCGAGATAATGGCTGGCGTTTCTTCGGCAAAAGGTCCTGTTAAAGCGTCCGGTGCCTCCAAGAGAGTGGCGTTGAGAGCCAACACCGACGATTTGCTGAAGTGGGTAGTCAGAACGCGGCTTTTGATGAGGTTGCCGGCAGCGTCTGGAGGAAGGACCTTGATCATGGCTCCTAACAGGCGGGCGTTGGTAATGGCCATGGCATCGTCAGCCTCTCCGGCATCGCTGTCGATGAGTCCTATTATAGCTGCCCTCGACGCCTCATTCATGTTGCTGCCGGCTTTGCTAACGACTTCGTATAGGGCCTTGAGCATAGCATTCTTGACGCCTGAGTCCGTCGTTTTTGAGCCGGTCACAAGCTCAGCAATAAGAGGATCGATCCTGGGCGTCATGGTGATCAATGTTCCTAAAGCCTTGGCAGCACGTATGCGTAGGGTTTCACTCGATGTGTCGGCAAGTGACTTTGCGAATGTTCTCTGTAGCTGCGGCAAGAAGGGCTTCAAGTATGTCGGGATCTTCTCCAGCAGGTTGTTGAGTGTGTAGAGAATAGCGGCTGTAACCAACCAGTCAGCATCTTTCATCATCCAGCAAAATCAATGCAAACATACCTTTGACCTCTACAGACCGCTCAGAAACCACGCGAATCAAGGGCCCGGTGATCTGAGTTACAAAAGGCCGGAGCGATTCTCCACTGGTGCGGTCAATGATGTCTGATATTGCCAAAGCAGCCTGGGTTCTCTGCTCCGCTGTGCCATTCATCAGGCCCTGTAGGAAGATAGGCAGGATCGCATTGATGCCTTTGGGAAGTGCGAAGCCAGGGAGGTTGGAACCAGGAACGCCAACTTGTTGGAGTACCTGGCGAGTGGAAATGACGAGAGACTCCATCTCCTCCTTTCTAAGACGCTTTGTCAGCTCGCTAAGTGCCGTCCAGGCAGCTTTGACGACCTCGGAGTCGCTATCGCCAAAGGCGATTAGCAGTGCGCGAATCAGGTCTGGATAGTATCGCGAAATGTCGATCTCTGCACCGGCAAAGAATTTGGCTAGATGCATGTCCGCCGAGTGCCGTTTCCTGTGGTCATCGTGCTTCACTAGAGCAAGCATGACACTCATAGCAGTGTTTAGACCATCATACTCATCGACCGAGAGGAGTACTGTATCGAATGCTGTATCCAGTTCTGAGTTGAGTTCTTCGTCTTTGCAGATTACAATGTTGTCCATGAGTGCGTTCAAGATGTTCGGCAGCCTGCGGGTCATTGTCGTACCAGCTACTTCTGCGAGGGAGGCTATTGCTCTAGCGTTGAACGCAGATATTGGCGAAGTCAACAGCGTTGGCAGGAGGTTGGGCAGGATGATGTTCGATCGAGTGTTATCGGTAAGCAAGGTAAGAAGCGCAGACAGAGCGTTCTCGGCTTCACCTTCGGTACGGAGAAGATTGAGGAGATACGGAAGAACGTGATCGACGGCCCTCTTGCCAAAGATACGCTGCAATGAGTCGAATGCCTCAGCAGCAGCTTCGCGAACCTCGCTATCGGGATCGACCAGTGCAGTGCGGACGACCGAGATCAACGTCTTCTCGTAGTCTTCAAGGACTTCAGGAGAAGCGGACGCGATCAGCTCACGGAGAGCAATGCATATGCCTTGCTTAGCATCGCTGTCGGTTGAAGTATGCAATCCCTCTTCCAGCGTAGGCAGCAAGCTTGCAAGCACTCCCTCTCCAGCCTTGCGGATGAGTTCTCCCAGGGCGTTGCCAGCGATAACCTTCTGCTCCATGTTCGAGCTTGCAAGGCGACGAATGAGGAGCTGCGTAAGTGTTGGGATAAGTTCGCGCAGTGTCCTCGGTGTAGCAACCAGCGCTTTCCACACATTGATTGCAGCAGTGCGGACCAAGCCGGACGTGTCGCAGCGGCAGATATAGAGCGCCGACAGGACCTTGTTGCGCCGTTCTTCGCCGAGAACCTCCAATAAAGATTGTCCTGCTTCCTTAGCTCCTTCTTCAACCTCATCTTGTTCAGCCTTGCCGCTGATGCCCGTGAGGTTGAAGAGCAAATCGCCAATCAGTTCGACGGAACTGAGACGGATACGATGGTTGTCGTCTGCGAGACCGCGCTCAAGCTCGGGTAACAGCAAGTCGATAGCGCGTGTAGCGAAGTTCTTTACGAGAAGTCTGCCAGCACGCAGAGCAGTTTCTCTAATCGATTCAACATCGTCGGCCAAACCCGAGAGAATAGGTGGAATGATCTTGCTGAGATAATTGGCAAAGCTGTTGCCGAAGCAAGCTGGTAAGAAAATGAACAGAGACATAAAGCCCTCGCGAACGGCAGGCTTCGAGCTGGAAACGTTCTGAAGGATAGTCGGCAATGTCTCCTCAAGCCTGCTGGTACCCAAGCCGGCCAACACCTCGCTAAGGGCCTGCGCGGATCCCAGCCGGTCGCCAGCGCCGGTGTCTGACTTCAGAGTTGACATGAGACTCGGGATGAGGTCTGGCAGTGCGTCCTCTCCAAGCTTCTCAATGAGCGAGCCCAATGCCTTTGACGCAGTGGCACGAGTCGTAGGGACAGGGTCCACTACTGCTATACGCAACCCGGCAACCAAGATCGGGAGATGCGAGATGAGGTCTTTGCGATCCGTGAGATGTGCTAGACTGCCAATGATTTGCGCGGACTTTCGTTTGGTGGCCGACCTCTCGCCCAACCCCCGCTCTAATATACGGACAACCAATGCGAGGGAAGGTGCATCTAGGTAATGTACGAAGTTGACCTTGATCAGTGCGTCTAAGGCGTCGTCGGTGTACTTTGTCGGGTCACTCAAGGCCTTCAGAAGTATGTTGACCACGCTCTTGATCTCTGGATTGCTGATGACCTCGCCAAAGCGTTGCAAGCTGCGGTTTGCTGATGTTCTGACTTCCTTGTGACTGTCATTGAGAACATTGGTCAGGGGCGGGATGATATCCGGTAGGCTCAGCGCTAATTGTTGGGGGTCTAGATAAGCCATAGCTCCCAGGGAGTCGGATGCACCCTTCTTGCTGCGCCATTGTTGATCATCCAGGCCTTCCAGTAGCATCGGCAGTACTTGCTTAACTCCGAAGGAGCTCAGATTGGCAAAGCACGTTTTGGCCGCGTCAAGGCAAGCCTCGCGAACGTCTGCGCTTGCATCACCGAATCCCGCCAGCAGTTGAGGCACAATCTGAATCACATATGGTTCGAAGACCCGGCCGAGGATGAGAGACAGAAGTTCGTAGGCGAGGAATGCACCTTGGCGCTGATTTTGGTCCTTCTTATTCTCCGCTGCCCCTCTGAGAGTAGACAAGATGCGGTACTCGCGCAGAGCTGAGATGCCTTTACCTCGGACGATTCCTGCCAAGCCATAGGCAGCTCCTCTTCGAGCGGCATACTTCTTTGACTGTAGGAGGTTCTGAAGCATTTGCTGTGCGTAACCCGAGACCTCCTGTGGCGAGGCTCTGACGAGGGGCGGCAGACATTCAGCCACAGCATACTGCACCGTTTCCGAAGGCGTGCTCAGTGTGTCTAGGAGGCGTTGCACGACCTTTGGCACGCGCTCGTCTCCTGTTTTGAGATGCCTAGCAAGTGCTCCGTATAGAATAATGACCGCCTCGTTTACTTGGTCATAGGTAGCCGAGCCTCGATCTGGGGCTTCAAGGGCTGCTTCGAACGACTGCATGAGTTCTTCAACTTTCTGCTGCCCTTTGGTTGCTACGATAGCCACTGAAGCGTCTATCATTTCGTCTCTTACGCTGGCATTTGGATCTCCTAGCGGCCCTCTTTCGATTATGAACTGCATGAACGGTACCAAGCTGCCCTCATCGAAGACAGTCGCCAATTCTTTCAAGGCAAGCGCAACGCCGCTTCTTGCTTCCCAGGGATCTGATAGATCCATTTTGCGTGGCATGCCATATTCGTCTCGCTCAGGCACACGCGGCTTTGCCTTTTCCACGTACAAGTCTTGAAGCCTGGCCAACACGTCAGAGAATACCTCTGTGTTCTTGACTACCGACTCCGCAAGAGAACGCGCAGCTGCTCTTCGTAATTGCTTGTCAGCGGCTTCAAGATACGGCAGGGTTCGAAAAGCGGACGTCGGTTGTGAGTGGAAGTCGCTGTCTTCCCAAATCGTTCTTGCCAGCTCCCTGTTCTCCTCTACGTCATCGTGGCACGCAAGCCATATCTCTTCGCAGAAGTCCATTGTGGTGAGATCTATCTCTGCATCAATAGCTTGAAGCACTGATGTCCTCACAGGAATCTCAGGCACAATCGCGCCACGTACGAGGACTGCAACTTCTTGATCCGTAATATTCGGGGCTATGCTTCTACTCAAGTCAAGTAAACAGTCCTTGATAAGCTTGTAGTGCTGGGTAAATCTTTGCATGCATGCTATCAGGATCGATAACACTTTTGCTCTCGGTAGCCGGACGTCAGAGCACGTCGTTGTGTGGAACGATAGAAACTCGAGAGCAAGGGTGATCTGCTCGTCAGCCTCCTCGCCGGCAGGTCTGTCAATCCCACCCTTCTCGAGTACCAGAAAGATCAGCGGTAGAATATAGATAAGCGAAGTCGTGTCGAATGGTACCTGCTCTCCGGCAAGTCGAAGGCGATACAATATCCTAGTAACAAGATCACCCAAAGGCTCTTCATCCAGACCAGGCGGTAGGTGAGATGTCCCTATTCCTCGCAGAGTCGCGATGCCGACGAAGGGCCTTGAAGTACCCAAACGTGGAGAGATCCGCTTGGCACAATCGATGTAGGCCGCCGCGGCAGCGTCGCCAACTATGAGGCCGGCGCCTGACTGTATTGCTCGATATAGAAGATCCACACTAGGGCCCATCCATGATCCTGCATCAGTCGGTGGTCCGGTTGCGAGACTCTGTATAATACCGACACCGCGTCTCAAGTTCTCATCCACAGCTGCTACCTCCCGCCGAATGGAGGCCTCTTTAGCCAGCTGAGCATTAACCTTTGCTTGTTCCTCGCCGGTCAGTCTCTTTGCCTGCCCTTTCTTTTGCGCTAGCTGGGCACGGAGTTCCTCTTCCCATTTCAGAGTATCATAGTCTTTAACATTCTTGTCTACAACGTGGTTTTGTCCCTTTTTGGCAAGTACATCAATGAATGTGGTACCTTCAGCGGTGCGAAAGACTGCAGCTTCCGTTGGGCCGATATGAGCCATCTGATGAGGGTCAAGATCTTGCCGGATGCGACGGACTAAAAGTGGTATCATTTCGTCAGGCGAAACGAATGCTAGATCAGCAGCCGCATTGTGCGCGGCTTTCTTAACGACTGGCGATGACGTGAAGGAGTTCTGCGCAGGTTATCAGCACCTCGCACAACAGTTGTACCAGAAGGTATCATACCTTAGTAGCTTCTACCACCTGGCTCAGACACTCGGCCGGATCTCTTCGAACGAGGTTCCCTGGGTCAACACCAGTTCTCAAACAAGTATCAATCCAAGAAGTGCGCGGTATAATCTCCGGTCGACATAAAACAAGGAGGTCAACAAGCTGGCGATACAAAGTGGATTCGTCCAGCTTTCCGTTCATTTGTGTCACCTCTTGCGGAGTCAAGCAGATACAGCGTACGGCTAGGTAAAGCTCGTCATTGCCCGACTTGGCAGCTAAGGCGGCGCTGTCCTTGTCGTTTACCTCAATGTTTAATCGCCACCGCCAAAGACCGTCAATGACAATCTCTGCAATTGCGGCTGGATGCTGCGCATATGCTGCCGCTAGCGTCCGTGTCGCCTCCTTTCTTACGGAAGGTGGGATGCCGGCAGCGGTGATGAAGTAGATGAATGCCTGGGACCAGGCGGCTCCAGTGGAAGCTCTCTCCGGTGCTTGGGTAACATCCGCTGCCACGGCGGCCAAAGCCCGAACCCCCCAAACAAGGTCATCCTCTGCCGTCAACTTAGTGTAAACACGTGGATTAAGTAGAAACGAAGGCTTTGGGTCAGTTGAGAGAGCATTATCCGCTATGCTGGCCTTTCTAATGATGGAGTGGATCTTCTCGTCATCGGCGCTTGATAGTTTCGACAATGTCAGGGCCGTTACGATAAACGCCACAGTTGCGGTCCCGCTTTGTGCTGCAGCCACAGGATTTGGAAGAACGTCGTTCCAGATATCGATCATTTTGTCAAGGACATTTTGGGTGAATGTCATAACATCTGCCTGCTGCAACTGTTCTGGGTTCAAATTCCATAAGAGCTCACCTACCCTTAGCGCCCAGATCCTGCGTACAGGAACTTTCTTGTCTGCAAGCCCCTTGGTGAAAGCTTCACACACAGCGCGGACGTCGATCGCAACTGCATTTTCGAAGCAAAACTGCAGATGCCTCCCAACCGCTTTGGTCTCCGCTGCAATTGCTTGCTCGCTGGTCTCCTTGATAGTTACTGCCGAAAGTCCCGTGGCGACCTTCGTGCTTACGGTTGGCGAGCCGCTCAAGGCAGAAAGCATCTCCGCATGAAGCATCTTCTGTTCGGCAGCCGTGATCTTGTTCATCTTTAGAGGACTCAGTAAGTCGTCCGCAACATTGCTGACAGTCTGTTCATCTTGCGAGCGAGCGGCGACCGCTTTGAAGGTCGATAGAGCGCCATCCCTGATCGCGGCGTTGGTTGACTTGATGTTTGCCATGAGCGGCTTCAGTAAGTTGTTTTGAAGGATCTTCGAGAGGTCGAGCTCTGCCGGCAGTGAACGAACCATGGGCGCCACCAGGTTGTTCAGCACCACCTCTGGGCTGCGCAGGAGTGCCTTTTCCAACGCTGGAATGACTTCTTTCGATAAGTCTTCTAGCGTAGCAAATGCTATAAAGAAGTCATGTAGCCCATCCGCTATATGATCAGGTAGGATGGTACGTGATCCTATAATTTCTCGCACGTAGAAAGCGTAGTAATCCTTCTTTCGCTCCTCCAACAGAGGCTTGACACTCGGCAGTCGGGCACTAACTCCAGCAACAACACCCAAGTACGGTGCATTCCTGGCTGCGGGCGAGGCATTTTTGCCGGTGAACGTCCCGATGGCGCTGTCAATGGCGCTTTTGCCGACAGCTTCGCTTCGGAAGAGCTTGCGAAGTGCACGACGAGTTACCACCAACGCAGCATGCCTGATGCTTTCCCGTACTTCTGCTCGAAGGCAGTTCTCTAGACTCTGGGCATTGGCAACCATGACTTGTACCCCCCACTTCGTCCATTGTTCCGGTCGATTTGCGCATTCTTGTAATAACACGGAGCACCATTCGGTAAGAACCAGAGCGTTGGCAGAGGCGATACTGTTCTTCGGTGCCTCCGCTTTAAGGGCTTGGATAAAGGTAGGTAGGGTATCGACTGCTGTAGAGTGGACGAGGATTGCGCGGAGACATTGCTGAACGGCTTGCCGTGAAGGTCGGTCTATGTACCTTGGATAGGTTTCAAATAGGAGCCGCAGTATGGTAGTGACATCATGTGCAGATGTATCTGTTCAGCGGCACATTGTCAGCTACATATACACCGTGCGGCGCGCATATCTTGAGCCAACCTTCGCTCAGGAGCTGGTGGTGGAGAGCATGGAGCTCAGATATCCTTCGCTTGGTAGAATTGTTAAGAAGGCCTTGACGAAGGGCATCGTGACTGTCCAGGACACCGTTCGCCGTGACCTCCTGCATAACGAGTGCCGGATCGAGAGCGTCTGTTCTATTCGAGTGCGATGCACGCTTTCCCACCTGCAGTGTTTCTCATCGGACGTCAAGTGTGCTCGGCAATTTTTCGCGAATGACTCGGCTGCAGAGGCGATGATGTCGATCCTTTGCAATCCGCCGACATAAAAACATCACTCGACAACATTCCATGCCTTTCACCAGAAACCGCATAGCGAGTTCTTTGAAGACAGCTCGACAGAATGGGTTCCAACAAGAAGAAAAAGAAACCTGCCGCTAATCCCGCTCGCGGCTTTGCAACCACCTCCGTTGCCAGTAAGCCAAAGCCAGACAAGAAAGAGGATGCTGCAGATCTGCCAGAAACAGGAAGTACGCCCACAGCGCCAGCGTCCGCTGCGTCGGAAGATGTTCAGGCGCCCTTGCCCGGCAGTTCCGAGAAGCCGAAAGAATTACATGAGCTCAGCCCTGAAGAACTCGAACAGCAGCTGGAGCAAAATGAACTTCAGGTCATAGTAGACAAGCATGGCGCAAAGACGCGGAAGGATTCTTCTCGACAGGTCCAGAGAGCACAGACAGATCGCAGAGTCCTACGAGGACAGGCGCAGCATCTACCAACCAAGGATTGGCTTCCCGAGGAGCTAATGCTCCAGATTCTTGACCTTGCCCGGGGCGAGCTGGATGACAGTAGCCAGTTCCAATCTGAGCAAGGATCTGCGATGAGGTCTCTCCCCGAAGAAGACCTTGTTGTGAAGCTGTGGACCTTGCATCAGGCGCTCTCCGGCTTGGGTTTCTCAGAAGACCGAATCAAGCAGGTTCTGAAGAGGCTATGTACATATCCTCCAAATGAAGATTCTCAGATATGGGGCTTTCAAGAGAGTTTACAATGGCTTGCTGTCAATTGTGAAATGCAGGAACTTGAAAACTATGATGCTCAGAAACCCAAGTCGATAAGCAATCACGATAGTGATATCTCAAGGCCTAGTAAGTCATTCTGACAACCGCTCTATGTTCAGCATTTGTGGATTATCTACATCTGGGAGAAGATCTCACCCCGGAGTGTAAGCTGATTTAGAACGGTCCGTCTTTTTCAGCAAACACGAACATGCTTGCAGCGTACTTTAGGCTGGGAGTTTACTCAGTGCACTTGGTGCTTTTCTTCCAACCCATGGATACCGTCGAAACGCGTCCAGCTGTTTGCTTGCACTCACTATATGTGGGGTTTACGTGCTAATCTCGTTGGGAGTCAGATACTGTGCCTGGGACACCAGATCGCATTGCCACTCCAGGCACACAAACACCTCGGACCACTGAATCGTTGACCTCAGGATTGAACACACCGCCGCTGACCAACGCCACATCTCCAGCCGAATTATCAAAAGCCGACGATCCGGAGGTGACAGATTTGGAGAGCGATCTAGAGCCTGATGAGCTGCTGTCCAAGTACCTATCTATCAAATCCCGCCTGTACGCCGCCAGGCCTGACTTGCTGGCCGATGGTGCCTCCAGTAAGCGGCGACAGAAACCGAAGGGGCCCAACATATTACCGTCTTCGGCACCATTAACGCCTGCAATAAGAACCCTGCAAGGACAGCTTCGAAAGATAGAGTCGGATGTTCTTTTTGACGAGCGCGAAGCGGAAGAGCGATGGAATGCGAGGAGAAATCAGATTGCCCAAGACAGAGCCGCTCGAGTGAGAATGCACCTACCAGACGTCTCCCCAGCTAAAGATCTTCAAGTGGCTAGCCAAGAGGAAACAGAAAATGCCACAGACAGAATCCCTAAAGACGCCGCTGCCATAGGGGACCGCTTGGTGCAGCAAGATGAGGACTCTGATGACGCAGCGCTCTTCGGTGGAATGTTCTCCGCTGTGCCTGGTGGAACTGACAGTACCGAACAAGTGCTGGATCAAGATGAAGGTGCATCGGATGGCGTACGCATAAGAGACTTCGGCCAATCAACAGGCATGAGCCCTCGGCGGATACTTGAGGAAGCCTGTCGCTCCAGGGACTCCGCCGTTAGACTATCTTTCAAACTTGTATCGCCGACCACATACGCCAGTCGTCATTCGCTCAGCATATCCTGGTCAAAAGCTCAGGAGGTTCTTTCAGCGTCCGCTGTTCCGGACATTTGGTGTGATTGGCGTGAAGGAGCTATTACGATGACCATGACTACCATAGCAACACCTGGAGAACACCAAAGCGAATGCTACATCTCCACTGCCGCTCTTTTCCTGATCTTCTCCGGCTCGCCCAAGGAAGAGAAGGCATACTTGAGGCTTCCTCCTGCGTGGAGAGATCTATGGGCAGAACTTGAAGAAAACAAGAAGGAGCAATCCAATGCCGCTGATCGAGAAATGCTGAAGGAGCTTCGGAATTTAGTACATGATCAACGGCAGAGCGAGGAGGAGGAGGATGTGGTATTGATAGACGGTTTCAGAAAACGAAATCAGATCGCCAATGGTTCATGCAACTTGACGGAACAGTCGAATGGTAGCGAGGGCGTTGGTCACGCGTACAGTGGTGAGCTGCAAGAGATGTGGAACAGAAAGGTTTCGACTCCTTCCTATCAGCGCATGTTACTTTCCAGATTCAATCTCCCTATTTTCAGGTTTCGTGAAGATGCGCTCTCGGCAATAGAGCACAACCAGATCACGATACTCTGTGGAGAGACAGGCTGTGGCAAAAGCACTCAATTGCCGGCATTCATTCTCGAGCATGAGCTATCCCAAGGAAGGCCGTGTAAAATCTACTGCACGGAGCCTCGACGGATATCTGCAATATCGTTGGCACAGCGTGTCAGTGAAGAGCTGGGGGAGCACAGGAACGATCTTGGTACACCTCGCTCGTTGATTGGCTATGCAATCCGCCTAGAGTCGCATGTTGCGTCTTCCACCCGGCTAGTATATGCTACTGTCGGAATTGTACTACGGATGCTCGAGTCGGCCGGAGGGTTAGACGACATCACTCACCTGGTCATTGATGAGGTACACGAGAGAAGGTGGGTCCACGGAGTGATGTATTAGAGACATGGCGCTGACAGCATGCAGTATCGATACTGATTTCCTCTTGATCATCCTACGATCCTTGCTCCTACGAAGACCAGAGCTTCGCGTCATTCTTATGAGTGCTACTGTCGATGCCCAGCGCTTCTCAACATACTTGAATAACGCACCTATATTGACAGTGCCTGGGCGTACTTTTCCAGTGCAGACCAAATACCTTGAAGACGCCATCGAGTTGACGCATTATACGGCCGACCGCCAGAACAAGCACAACAACGGCAACGTAAGCGATGAAGACGATGATGAAGTCCCAGAGAACACCAAATCCGGCATACCCACTAAGCTTCAGGGATACAGCGCCGCAACACGCGACGCGCTTACGCAGTACGACGAGTACCGCATCGACTACGAGCTTATCGTCCGACTTGTTGAGCGGGTTGCTTCAGACACGAGTTACAGCCAGTTTAGCAAAGCCGTTCTCGTCTTCTTGCCAGGCATAGCCGAAATCCGTCAATTGAATGATATGCTACTAGGGCACCCGGCTTTCAGCCAAGGATGGTACATCTATCCTCTTCACTCCACCATCGCCAGCGAAGAGCAGCAAGCGGCGTTCCTAGTACCTCCCAACGGGATCAGGAAGATAGTGCTCGCAACGAATATCGCAGAAACCGGTATCACTATACCTGACATCACCTGCGTTATTGACACAGGCAAGCACAAGGAGATGAGATACGATGAGCGGCGACAGCTGTCTCGTCTTACTCAGTCGTTCATCTCCAAGGCAAACGCCAAGCAGCGGCGAGGTCGCGCTGGCCGTGTTCAAGAAGGCTTATGCTTCCATCTCTTTACCAAGTACCGGCATGATGAGCTGATGGCCGAGCAGCAGACCCCGGAGATGCTCAGGCTCTCATTACAAGATCTTGTTATGCGCGTCAAAATTTGTAGATTGGGCGATATTGAGCGAACGCTGTCAGAAGCCCTTGATCCCCCGTCATCCAAGAACATCCGACGAGCTATCGATGCTCTCATCGAAGTGGATGCCCTCACACCTGGAGAAGAGCTTACGCCTCTGGGAAGACAGCTCGCTAAGATGCCGTTGGACGCCAACCTGGGCAAATTGACGTTATTAGCAAGCATATTCGGCTGTGTCGATATGGCTATCACTGTCGCAGCTATCCTGTCATCAAAGTCACCCTTCATCACCCCTTTCGGAGCTAGACAACGTGCCGATACCGTCAGACTCGCATTCAAGCGCGCGGATTCGGACTTGCTTACAACATACAATGCTTACCTTGCTTGGAAAAATGTCTGCACTACGCAAGGGGTGTCCGAGATGCAGTTCTGTAGAAAGAACTTCCTCAGTCCACAGAACCTTAGCAATATTGAGGATCTCAAATCACAACTACTGTCTTCGCTCACGGATGCAGGTGCTGTTGCGCTTGGAGCTGACGAGCGAGCGGCTCTGAGCAGGTACCGCTATGCCTCCCGCCACCGAACGTTCGTCCAGGTCCCGCCGTCCTCCGATATGAGTAATGACAACGACCTGCTCACAACCTCAGTCATCGCATGGGCATTCTACCCTAAGCTCCTCACCCGGGACGGCAAAGGCTGGCGTAACGTAGCGAACAACCAGTCGGTGAGCCTTCACCCAAGCTCGGTCAACAAGGGGACGGCGACGGCGAAATTCCTGTCCTACTACCACATCATGCAATCAAGCAACAAGTTCTACAACGCTCACTCCACCACCATCGCGCACCCTCTGCCGGTCATCTTACTAGCGGGCGATGCGACATTCAACCTCTACGCTGGAGTAATCATACTCGACGGGAACAGACTCCGCTTCTCAGTAAGGGACTGGAAGACTATGGTTGCGCTGAAGATGCTCAGAGCAAGGACGAAGGAGATCGTGAGCGTGGCATTCAAGAGCCCGGGCAAGCCGCTGAGCAGGCGGTTGGAGAGATGGATGGAGATCTTGAGGAAAGTATTTGAGCGGGATGAGAAGGGCGGACGCAGCGAAGCATACGCCCGAACCGCCTGACGTCAAGACCTTGGGAGTCTTCCTCAATAAGATGGGCGTTGGTGTAGAGGACCTTCTGGTCGACGAAAGTCGCAGTGGGACTTGGTTCAGGTGCTGAGCACGTGCAAACGGCCTTTACGGAAGAAACGGCAATCGTTGAATTGTATGAATATCACAAGGAAGTCTCATACGGATGGAATCACGTATGTAGACCTTTATCAGTAACAGTCTCTTACTGTACCGTTCGCATTGCGATGCTGGCCACTGCTTCGAACGCTATCCTGTGTCCATGAATCAACAACTGAGAGAAGCCTTCCTGTTCCAAGAGGTGGGTGTTAGCGTCTCAAGACACTCTTCTCAGCTAGCGTTACTCTTGTCTATACGAGTGATAGCAACGCAACCATCACACCTCACGTGACTTGCAGTCAATGCAAGCAACCGCACAAGGATGAAGCTCCTCTAACCGCCAGGCACCTTGCCGTGTCCCAAGGCTTCCCATCATGGCCTGTGTCAGGTTGGATTGGTATGGCGAGGCGGCGGGCTTGCACCACTTGCGCTGGTTCGAAACGCCTCCATTTGAGGGCTCGAATTGCTGCCCAATGGTGATCTCCTAACGCACATGCAGCATCAGGGCACCTTGCCGGAGTCCTTCTCCGCCTGTGCAAGCCGATCGGTTAACCGCGGAAATGGTGATTCTTACACCAGCGAGTGTCGCGGGAGCCTTTTGTTGATCTCGGGCGTCGTCAGCTCAATGCAACCCCACCGTTACTGTCACAACAACAAACCGTATGAGAACCACTTGATTCGTTCCCCCCAAACCGTATCATAAGTTCTACTCACGCCACTCACACCCAACCCACAAACCCAAATCCCAGACCGAACCTCGGTTCCACCCAGCCACGATTCCGCCTCCATCCGTACCCCAGATCATCACGGTGCATCTTCCCCCTCAATCCTCAGCCGCACCAGCCGCGCACGGCCCAAAAAAGCTCACTTCCCCCCCCAAAGCGTCCGGCCGCTGATCTCGGCAGGGTCTGCACCCCCGAAGCGGCATGTCGTGACGTCAAGGGCAGCGCCAGTGTCCAAAGCCATGTTCGCGGATGGGCCTCGGTTCCGGCGCCGTGGCAGGGGCTCTAGGTGCTGGAACGGGAAGGGATGGGGGCGACTGGAGGAAGAGGCACGGGAAGGGCGTGGGGGACGGTTCGAGGGGGGATGTGGTTGTGAAAGACTCCATGCACACGCTTCGAGACGTGAATCACAGCTTGTCACCCACGTTGCTGCCCGAGAAGCCGTGTGCCTCTTCCATCGCTGAGCCGTGGGTGAGGGGAGCTTCCCGTCCCATGGAATGCGTGCTGCTTGGGCCGCTCCCGATCCCACGTGTTTTGCTCGTTCCCATGGTTGCCCCAGGTGCGCCCCCGCTGTCAGATGGATTCCAAGGTTCAGGGTCGGATGCTGCATGTTGCTCGCTTGGCGGAGCGTTTCAGTCAGCCACGCATGAGAATCGTGACCCCATATGCGATCTGTGAATCGCGCGGCAGATATGCCGACACGGTACGTTGGGCAGCAATGGATTGAACTTCATCATGAGCCAAGGTCTGGGCGAGACAAGCTTGGCGGTTCCTTCGTGGCGCAACGATACGAAAGTTTCAGATCACGACTGATAGCGGAGCTGGCCGCGATAAGCGGTTAGAATACCAGGTTACCATATGTAATTTCCCATTGCGGGAGATTGATGTACCAGCTACTACGTTTCCCAACCGGCTTCCACTATGCACGTACCCTATTCCGACGTCCTTCATGTTGGTGTGTTGCCGGCTCCCCCTAACGAAAATACAATGACCGCTTCATGACAGCCGAACGACGACGATCCGCGGAGCTTCCTCCGCACGCCGCGGCGCCCCCAACCAGCCACACTGCCAGACAACCACGGCGTAGAACTTCCGAAGAGTCGAAGCGGCCGTTTCTCGGCATAGCCTTCAAGCGACCCGCTACTGCAACAACAAGCCACCAAGCAAGCTTCATGCGTCCTCGTGACCCCTACAAGCCCCTCTCTTTGCGGCCGTTTCAGGCGAACGAAAAGTAACTAGCACCGACCATGCAAGACTGATGCTGCAAGTATGCAGCAATAATGACAACGTGGTTGAAACACCATACAAAAAATGCCACGAGCGCTAGCCACCCAGAAAGATGATGCCGAAATATGAACAATAGATAAGCTGTGCCACTAGAGCCAGGAGATAGCAGGTAGATCCGAGAAGTAGAGCCCGAGGTGACTGAAGGGGAATAGCTGAGCGAAATCGAGCGAGGAAATTCCCACGGATTCGTAGAACGCCGCAGTAATGCTTGAGAACGACGTCTGCAAGAAAGACGACCAGAGATGAATGTGCCTCCTAAGGATCCTGGGAGCGGATCGGGTATAAACAATTTGAAACAGCAATAGCACCGCCGAACTAAAGGAGAGTAGAGCGGACAAGGAGAGACAGACTAAGGCTGAGAGCGTGGAAGCCCCAGTACGGTCAGAACAACCACGACGTGTCAGATGTGACAATCTATTCGAAGCGGGCGCAGGTAGCTTGAGCACACCGCTCACCTCTCGGCGAAGGAACTGTGCGCAGACATCGGTAGCGAAGTTGCCGCTGAGTGGATGACTGCCTTTGTGTTCCTCAGGATAGCAGCGTTAGCCCTCATCGTAGGCGATATAGGAGTGAGATCGTCCAGGAGGTTGATAGTACGGTCAAGGAGCCTGTCAAGCTCCTCCCGTGGAATTAGCGGCTTGAGCCAAGAGTTGTGGGTAGCCGCAAGTACAAGCATGTTGCCATATTGGCTGAGAGTGTTTGTCAGTCAGCTGGTTCATCCAATGCCGCATGAAGGATAGGAAGCTTACGCATGAGCAGTGCCGAAGATGTTGGTTACAACTGGCCTGCTCTTCTGCCCGTCCTCTGTTCTCAGCCTGTCAAATGCGACTGTGCTCTTCATGGCTGCTTGCACGCAGACCCTAGAAGCCTCGATGACCGCACGCGCATCTTCAGTAGATAGGTTCTGCTCGAACCGCGCTACGCCGCTGCTTGGAGTGCCTGAATTGTTACTACCAGAGCGCTGCATTCCTTGTGGATCTTGTTCCACACCAAATAGTAGATCGGGTCGTGGCTTCATCTCGACGACTGCACGATAGAGGAAGGGGCGTGTTATAATGTACTTCGCACCGTAGTATTTAGCGCGCAGACGTGCTGCGTTGATATCTTCAGGCGCTGGGTCCGAGTCGCTCCATTGGAAGCTCGGTGGTAACGTTGCTCGCCATGCTTCGAGCATCTCTTGGAGCATCGTGGGATCCGCGGCATTCGCCCAGCCGCCTCTCTTGGAGCGTTTAGACTTGCCTGCAACATCGTTCTCGTCAGCTTTGCCGATTATGAGGTTCTCGATACATCATACCTTTTTTGCTATACAGAATCCTGTGCACGCGATTGAGCTCTTTGCGAAGGTGGATTTGCGCCGAGTAGTAGAGCATTATCGTTTCCACGTGTGGGGTCAGTTTCTGAGTTTCTGCCAGATCCTCCCGGACTCCGGTCGGCCATGCCACTCTTTGCTCATACTGGCCAATTCCACTGTGAGGTAAGTTGCTGAGTTCGGCGAGTATGTCACTGCAACTATTAGCACTAAGCGAAGAGTGGAAGCTTCGACAAACAAACCTTTCCAGTTGCAAGCAAGTCCAAAAGCAAAACTTGATCAGGTCTTCATGCACCAGCTTCTGGCCTTTCGCGGTAGTGTTCCGCGATAGAGCGTTCGGATTCGTGCAAATCACCCTGTAACAGCCGGTTAGTCAACGAGAATCACGACGGATTCAAGGTACGAACTGCTCAATCAAAACGCGGCATTTAATCGACGCATGAAATATCCACGCCCAGCTTTCAATGACACGAGCAAGTTGTCCCATGTACAACCCAGCGAGCAAATTCGCTTGCGCATGAGACAGATCGTTTCCGCCATGGAGATTGCCTAGTATGTCAGTGGCTCGAGCGTAGTAAGCGAAACCAGGTATGATGTCCACATTTCGATTCCTTTTGATGAACAATGACTGCTCGTGAGAAGGCAAAGCTTCGAAAGACGGTCGGCGGCTGGGGACGGATCGAATCGGCTCATTACTAGGAGAAGCGGTACTGGCCAGGGTAGAGTGCGAGGATGCTGGTGATGCCCTGTATGCTGCCACTGGAGACTCCGCTCCCAGCATTCCATGGATGTCCGTATTGCTAGCAGGAGTTTCCACAGGACCGGGTAGTGGCTGCTTATGCTCGCAAATCCTACCAAGTGCTAGCACAAGTAGAACGATAGCACTACTTATTGAACGTTCCAGTGAAGACTTTGGCTGGTTGAAAAAGCCTGGTTCCGGCATGCTGGAGAAGCCCATTCCAGATGTACCTCCATTTGAACGCTTCCTTTTCAGTGGCTGGCTCGTCAGGGACTGAACGGCAAATCCAGGCGACCTGACAGATGCTGCACCAGAACCGTACCGGTTTGCGAAAACCTCAATCATCTTACTAAGCCGGATTTCGTTCAGAAACGGATGGAGGATATGGATGTTTCGCATATAGCTGGCAAACAGACGGTCCACGGTGGGCTTGTCCAGCTTCAGCGATCCATTGGGGTTTAGATCTCCAGCGAGCGTTGGATCCGATCGCTTGACTTCTACGTTTGCGGCAGGTGACAAGCCAGTACCCCATATTCCCACCGGAGGTGAGGGTGCGGGACTGTAAGCATCCCGGTCCGAACTACCGGCTGGACTGCCCAACTGGTGTCCTCCATCTCCCACGTCATCACCTTCGCCCCATCCGTATAGCCTTAGAACACCGCGCCCGTGCTCCAATCTCATGACATAATGTTCGTCCTCTACGCCTGTGCCTTTGAAGAAAGGCTGCATCACTTTGGCCCACTGCGTCAACAGCTGATGCGCAGCCGTTGTGTGGTCCGCAGGCAGTCCGGCTTCCACTTCGTCGGATTGATCGTCACTTACAACAGGTTCTGGATACTGTTTACGGTCTCCGGAGGCCACATTCTCCGGAAAACCAGCTGGCGGATCGCGGTTTGCAAGCATTGGGATAATCGGAACGTTTACTGAAGCCGGCGATGGTTGTCCTACACTTGGCCGAGGGGACGGGCCTCCGTCAGGGTCTGAAAGCAAGGATGGAAGCCGCATACGGCTTCCAGTTGAGCTTGGAGAGTCTTGGGCGGGCGGCTTCGCAGGAAGACGACGCTCGATCTTTGTCAAGCGACCCAGGAACTCTTGTCTTAAGTCTTGCTGCGCTTGCATCATAGAATCCACTTTTTCCAGCAGCGCTATCATGGTCCGATCTTGCCTGTAGACAACTCAGCCAAGGTCTTACAAATGCTTGAGCATCGACTTACTTTGGCGGTGGGACGTCCTTATATTCACACTCGAGACTCTGCTCCCTACAAAAAGCACACGGCCTCTGCTCATCACACTTCTGCTTACGTTGGCGACAGTTGTTACAGGCCTAAATCACAAATGAGCACCTTCCCCCCACGCAGTTAAAGAAGTTTCTTACCTGTGCCGCTCTGACCTGCTTCCTACGAGGCTGATGGTATTGTGAGGGCTGCCCATAAAGGCTAGGCGGCCCATAAGCCGTTACCGGTGTAGGTGCATAACCCTGTGCTGGTCCCATCGGTCCGGGCGTATATTGTTCGTGGGGAGTAGCCGGGGGGTACCCGTTGCTGGCGCCATTGCTGCGGTGGTGGTCTACGCCCGTGTACACATGGGGGTGTCCGCCATGCTCCATAGGCGTGAGCGGAGGATGCTGTTCGTGGTTGTAACCGACGGCGACGGTGAGTGATGGCCGTATCTGGGCGTCTGTTGTAGCTGGCTGTACAGGTGTGGTGGTAGCTCGAGGGATAGAGGATGAAGAGTATGATCTCGACGCCGAGGGAGCGGGCGTCTCATACGCCTCGTACCCAGGCCGTGGTTGTGGGAAGGCTTGAGGGTCGGGTAACGCCCGGTGCTCAACGGCAGCAGCTCTTGAATCGTAGACGGAGCCTGCAGGTTCGCGGTAGGCTGGCCCAGATAGCGGTACCTGGGGATGGGGGATCGGCGGTAGGTTTCGAGGATACGGTTGGGATGGCGGAGGCTCAGAGTAGTGCAAGGGCCTCGGATGGTGCGCCTGCGATAATGGAGGAGGTGGAGGAGCAGGCAATCCGTGAGCAACGGGCTCCAGCCGTGGCCGCTTTGCATCAACGTCTTGATCGCCGCCTTCCATCCTGGTTATCACCCGTCAGTCCCGCCAAGGCCATGCGCCGGTGGGTAACGCCCAGCGGAAGGTCCACGTTCCAGGTGGGAGGCTGTCGGTACAATGTCAGCTGGAGCAGTCGGCGTCATTGGAGTGTCAAAGCTGCAATTTTGACACGCGCAAGGGGAGCTCGAGCCCGCGTAAGCAGGCAAGCAGCTCTCAATGGACACCTAGGGCGGAGGGCATGTCATGAAGCCACGAGGACGGGAGGAGCACTGGCGGCTTGGGGATTCTGTCGGGAACTTACCATTGACATGGAGCCGGAGACCTCTCAAAGCAGATACGCTAGACTGGTCGTTGGAAGATCTCGCGACTAGCGAGGGATTGACGGTTTCAGCGCCAGGACCTCTGGCTCCAAGGGCGGGCCTAGTCAATGGAAGGCGAGAGAGGAACTGGCGAAGCAATCCGGGCGCGATGGGACGACTGCGGCGAAATTGGCAGAGTTAGCAGATGCTAGAGCGGATACTAGCAGCTTTAGAAACCGAGTAAGGCGGGACACGAGTAAGGCGGAGGCCTTGGTAACGCTTGCTGCAAGGGTGCTCGCTGGCCATTTCGTGGCGATCCAAGACGATGGGCCGGGAATGATAGCGCGAGCGTTCACCTTGGCAGCGTCGAGCGGTGCAGAGGGGGGGAATGGTGATTAGTACAGTGCAAGCCTGCACAGCGTTGCGCTGCGGTGCTCATCCAGCAGCTGCATGGAGGCGGTCCCGGTTTCGATTCAGGCTATGCCGCGACCAGAGATGAGCCAGCCCAGGATTTACAACCTTAACGCTTAGACGGCAAGTCTCTCTACCTACCTAGGTACCTACCTGCAGGTGGGCAAGCAGCCTGCACCCGGTCTGGACTGCCGCTGCCATTTTGCAGTGCCGAGGGACTGCGAATAAGGACGACTTGCAGTGGTACCTACCTTATGTAGGTAGGTAGGTGGGCGGGCAGGCAGGCAGGTCGCTGCCCAAAGGACTTCGATTCTCGCTGGTCGGCTAGAGTCGTCAAAAGGTTATTTGCGCCCAAGCAATCTGGCGCGTCAAGCAAAAGCTGACTCTCTGTGTTAACTTACCGTGTAAGGTATCAATGTGTCAAGAAAACAGTCACGACCATCATTTTGTGACTGCTGCCGGCATCCAATCATTCTGTATGCTGGAGCGCGCCTATCCGCGGTATGTATGACGGCCGACCTGCGAGTGATGCAAATGGAGGTCGCGGGCGATCAGGGATTAATTGTTCTTCTGCTCATTTCACCTACAGATCGTCGTGGCTGCCCACCGCTCAGGGGGCGGGAAGCCATAGCGTTGCAGCCATCGCTCAGCGCACCGGCCGCCAACCTCGTCCTCAGCTGTTGTGTCTTAGCGAAAGATAAAACGCGGGCAGCCAGAAGGTGACGCTCGCCGACGGTTATTGGCTAACCCCGGCGATACTAGGGTCTGGTAAATTTTCCGAATGCCCTCTGTTCCGGCAGAGGAAAATCTCGGGGATCGCTTGCCCCTCAGTTCTACGTTTAACTAAATACTCCAAACTGACTAGGCAAGAAGCCACTAGCCAGGTTGCGGTCAGTGGCATCGCCTGACTTTGACGTCTTTCGCCGTTTCTGCCGCGCCCAGCGTCTCGCATGGAGATATGCGGTCTCTCCTAGAACGCATTGGTGGAGCGGCAGGACAACCTGCAATTGCAAAGGTCCCGCAATGCTCAAGAGCCTCGCTTCCCGTCCGGCAAAGTCGAGGCGTGGGACGACAGCGTGCTCGATTCTCTGTGAAAAATCTCAGCGCGACAACCGAGCGTCCCTCTCTTGCGCGCGCCTTGGACTTTTCTTCAAGGTGGGGTTGGCACGTTGGCTAGACGCATGCCGCACATTGCTTTGAGAGGAAGGTTGCACCCGATGGAAGTCTGCGTTGGCAGTTGCCGGGTGTGACCAACGGCTTCAGTCCTTTAGATACCATGCCTCAACGGTTATTGGTTTCCAGAGGTTGAGTTTAGGCATGTAAGGGCGGGACACCTCTATGACCCGGCTGCACTGTTAACCTGGAAAGAGCGGTGCCAGATTTGCGATGCGATGAGATGCGACGAGATGCGATGAGATGTGAGCGGTAGCAGGAGAAGTGGCCTGATGACGGGAAGTGCGGTGTGCGTGAGAAGAGCATCGAGAAGTTTTCCTCTTTGAGGGACAGCAGCATCGTTGCAGGAAAAAGCGGTCTGCTGGGTGGATACTCATGTTGTCCAGTCACTGAACAGAAGGACATCGCATGGACGCTTTCAATGTTACAAGTAAGGAGTCCTAAGCATCAGGAAACAACGCTGCCCTTGTAACAGAATAATCACGCAGTTGTGAATAACACTACATAGCCAGTTGCAGTGGGAGGAAGCACCATTGATCGTGAGCGCGCTCTCGATCATCAGACCGCACAAGGTAGTTAAAGATCTCCTGATGCAACATATATGGCTGCTAAACGTATGTTTAAGCTGAACAAAGCCGCCCGCGTCCAAAATTGAAGCTTACGAGTAAGTGCATCCGAACCGCGACCTCTGCAGGTCTCCAGTCGAGGAATGTGCTTCTCTACAGATGCTTCCGTGACTGGAACACACTGGTTGCCAACCGATTCCGAAGCGGTCTCATCCTCTGGTAATCCATGCTCCAAGTACCCATCCCCAGTACACGTGTACATAGAGGGCAGCCCACGAAACCGGCCGCTAGGCTGCATGCAAGGGAGCCGCATAAGGGTTCTCATCTGTGATCCACGAGCTCAAGGCTTGGAGGAGCAGGGTCTTGATGCTCAAGGAGCACGGAGGGGTTTGAACATTGGTCACCTTGGGGCTACGCTTGCTTCATATGTGCTCGTTACCGTTCTCCAGAGGATAACAGACGACTTCCAGTATCATGAGTTGGTGTGAGGTTCTGTGTGCATCGCGAATAGACTCGGTACGGCCCACATCTGAATGATCTGCGTCATGGATGTGCCAGCACACCACCCAAGAAGCGTGGAAGAACTTCGTTTTGCAACCCTTTTCCGCACTGCTACCTAGACTCCTTCATCTTCTGTGCAAAGAGGTCGGCAAACAAGGCCAGCGAGAACTGGCAAGTCTTAATCGGCATGGTTTCGATCTTTCTGATTGCAGCTGTCCTTCTCAGCGGCGCGTATCTGGTACACCACTACCAATGTTTTGCCAGAAACCTTGCTGCCGCCAAAAAGTCTGGGGTTCCATATGTTGTGTTGCCGTGGTATCAATACAATATCCTGTCCCTGCTTACTGGACGCTTATGGATACCACTTCTCCGAAGGCTGCTCCCGGAATCGTTATGGCTTGAGTGAGTGTGATCTGATATTCCTTTCCCAAATCGATTTCAGTCTCATCTGCACAGCTTCCGTGTTACAGCATGAAATCTCCATCTCTAGTTTGCTCCTCTGACCGCATCACTTCGTGTGTAGTTTCATGGACCCAAACTGGCCGTACCTCCGTGGATACGAGGCGTTCAAGCGTGTTGGCAGCGACGTCTTCTTGACTGTCTCTCCGGGGAAGAACCATCTGTTTGTAGCAGACGCGGAAGTCACCTTTCAAATCACCTCACAACGCAATCGGTTCAAGAAACCCATTGAGATCTACAAGAATGTTGATCTTTACGGAAAAAATGTCGTTTCAACTGAAGGCACAATCTGGAGGCAGCATAGAAAACTTACGTCGCCTTCTTTCTCCGAGACCAACAACGAATTGGTATGGAATGAAACTTTATATCAAACGCAGGCAATGCTTGAAGGCTGGAACAGGCACGCTGGGTTGGCGTTAGAGGTGGCAAAAGATACTATGACAATGACACTCAACGTCATCAGTCGCGCAGGCTTTGGTGTAAGTGCATTTACATTGCTGCCGTTTCTCCAAGCCCGGTAAGGATATCGGAGTGATCAAGCCGTCGTGGACAATGTTACATCGCTAGCTACACGGTTATGGACGCGGATGACCATGGGGGCATTGGCATTCATCAGACATTTCAAGATCATCTGTCACAATATTCGTTGCTGCGAAGCGCATATTCTAGTTGACCAAAGCCCCCTGCACTCACAATTGAAGCCCTCCTTCGCATGTACGACTACACCGGGCTCCGATGTAATGTCTCTGCCACCGCTTGAGCATACAACAGAGTATATACCAGCAAAACACGCTACTCGGACGAAGCTATAGTTTCGAGCATTCAGTACTAGAGAGCTAACGAACACCAAGGTTCGCGTCTTATGGCCACACGAAGAAGAGAAAGAGGCACCGAGTGATGCTCTAGCGAGCACCAGGCCCTCCGCGGGCCACACGATGTCCTACCGAGACTCTATCAGCTTCCTGATGGAACATGTTATTTGGGTTCCTCTGCTGCCGGATTGGTTCAGACGTAAGGCCTTCGCTTCTATCCTTGAAAGGCTTTGACACTGACTATCTTGCAGCCATTTCACCATGGAACGTTCACAGGAAGACGCACGAAGCGTACACCGAATTTGGCAAGTATATGGCGGAGCTTTACGAAGCTAAGAAATCCGAGATCTCCGCCGGCAAGACCGAATCCGACGGCCTTGATTTGCTGGGTAGGTTGTTCTTCGAAGACCCACTTTGGGAGAAACTGACAAATGGATGACAGGCGCTCTGGTGAAGGGCGCAGGAATCAGCCAGCAACCTGCCTCCACGAACAACGCAGATCCGGAAAAGAACAACCCCTCCAAAGGGCAGCTCCTGAGCAATTCAGAGATCATCGGCAACGCTTTCGTCTTCCTAATAGCGGGCCACGAAACAACGGCGAATGCATTGCATTTCTCGCTCTTGCATCTGGCTTTAAATCCCAGCTTCCAAGCGCCGTTGCAGAAAGAGCTTGACGACATCTTCGGAGACCGGCCAATCAGCGCATGGAATTATGAGCAAGACTTCCCGAAGCTCTTCGGTGGCATGGCCGGTGCGGTGATAAATGAAACCCTCCGTATGCTCCCCGCGGTGATTTCAATACCCAAGTCCACGCAGAAGGGTGAACCACAAGCGCTCAACTTCGATGGTCGCCAAATAGTTGTGCCGGAGAGCTGCGCAATAGGCCTCTGTGGTGCTGGTGTAGGCAACAATCCAAAGTACTGGCCTTCTGGACCTGACCATGGCTCTCGGATGCCTGCAGATGATCTAGATCAATTCAAACCGGCGCGTTGGCTGGTTGACTCAAGCAAAGTAGCGTCCACCACCAACGCTGACAACGACGAGCCTGATACCGAGGAGTTTGGAGGTCCGCAAGGCCCCCACAGCGCAGCATCTCTTTACCATCCTCCCAGAGGTGCTTTCATCCCTTTCAGCGAGGGACCGCGATCTTGCCTTGGCAGGAAATTTGCACAGGCCGAGTTGTTCGCCGCGCTTGCCGTCATCTTCCGCTTCTACAGCGTAGAGCTCGCGACTGACGAATGGGAGGCGGACGAGGCGGTTAATGCCATGAAAAAGGGTGGTCCTGACAGAAGGCAGGTGTGGGAGAAGGCTGCGAACAGAGCCACCGATCTTCTCAAGCATGGTATGGGCTCCATGATCACCTTGCAGATGCGTGCGGGGCGTGTGCCTCTGCGGCTTGTCAAGAGGGGTGAGGAGCGTTTTGTGTTCGGTTGACGTGCGGGATGCGATGTGAAACTTGTACTTGGGAGAGTCAAAGAGATTTGAAGAACCTTGCGACCTTTGTAGACCACGTACACGGTCACGCGTTTGTAGATAACATCACATCCTAGAGACGGCGGCTTAGCTTGAGCATTCTGACCCAGATTCGTTCACCTCAACATTAGTTTCCTAGTTAAGGATTCTGGACGCAGAAGAGCTCAAAGTTTTGATAATTACAGGCACCCCTACTGTTATCAGCAGCTCCCTGCCCCATCGCTACCGATCAAATAGACTTCAGAATTGCCGGTTTAGGTTCTGCTTGCCAGCCCCAGAAGAGTCATAGAGAAGCTCCAAAGCAGACATCAGCATCACCAAAAGTGTCAATCAGGCAATCCACCATTGCGGTCAGAATGCGCCGGCTGTTCTTCGGATCCACACAGCTCTTTCACGAGTCATTGCTTGGAGTCGCTTTCAGCTCACTTTCAGCTTCACCGTAAATATCTAGCACGCACCGAAACCGTGACCACCACGCGCGTTACCCTGAGAATCTTACCCTGCTCACTTCAAGAGCTTTCGGGCTAGCTATCAGACACCAAAAACCAGCGTCACGATCTCTTCGCCGCCCTCAGTAGCATTTCAAACACCCAACGTGGGGTCAAAAAAGCCCCACCATGGCCGCAGATTTGAGCGCAGAGGAGAAAGCCACGCTGCTGAAAAACAATTTACAAGAGTGGCTCGGTTGGGACGTTATAGAAGATGTGTTGACGAAAGGAGAGCGGCCAGTGTCAATTTATTGGGGTACCGCAACGACCGGCCGGCCACATTGGTAAATTAGTACCTTTGTATCTTGCACGCAGTTCGCAGACTGACGGCTTCTACGTAGTGGCTACTTCGGTAAGCCATGTCCTACACCTCGTCGATACATGCGTGACAGATCTTTCGGCGTCAACATCCTCCGAACCTACAAATGCTTTATTATCAGCGTTCAGCGCAGCTGTTGAACACGTACAAGGCCACAGTTCTGCGGTGTAGATTGGATCTGAGCATGTTGAAAGAATAGGATGCTGTTGAAAGAGCGGACTTGTACTCCGCATGTAGCTCTTTAGTCGCATAATGAGCCATTTCTGGGAACCTTCATTACAATCACTAACATGTTTATGTTAGTACCGATGCTGAAGGTCGCAGAGTTCCTACGAGCTGGCTGTAAGTGTTGTCTCCGCCAATACGGCATTCTGTTCGGTACGGCGAGCGTGCAGTTGTTGGCATTACCCCAACAGCGACCACCAAGTACACACGAGGGGCGTTGCAAAAGTCTCCTTCCATGCTATGAGGTCTGGCTTGTGAAGCACTGGCCCGAGCTGCCACGCTGGTGGCTGCAGCTCGCTGTTCGATTGCGCATGAGCTCCAGGCTGCCCCACAGTCATGCTCGATCTGACTGACCGTCGATGGGAATAGGCCATGTGAAGATACTACTTGCTGATATTCATGGTGTAAGTCCATTTGTGCTTACGAACATCGGGCCTTGTGCTGTGAAGCTTCTTTTGACTCTAGGAGAGAAGCATCCGTACGCCAATGGCGGTCATCATCGCCTTGTTCCTCGTCAGTCACATTGCGTTCTACTGTGTCACACTTGTCCCCTTCTTATCTTGTTTCTAGTAAAGCTAAGAAGATATTTTCTTTCTATCATTCCTATAAACATTACTGACGCTCGGTCCTTCACTACCAGTTCCTTGACAATCTAAAAGCACCAATCGAACTCGTCGAGTAAGTTCAGATGCTCTACACAGCATCAATCCCAGGCAACGGAAGCGTTCTAACATACCAGATTCCGGGCGAAATACTACAAATACGTCATCACCGCGCTGCTGCGAGCCGTCAACGTCCCGATAGACAAGCTCGAATTCGTCCTCGGCAGCTCTTACCAGCTATCCAAGGAATACACCATGGACCTCTTCCGGCTAAGCTCGGTCGTAACAGAGCATGACGCCAAGAAAGCCGGAGCGGAAGTCGTGAAGCAGGTGGAGAACGCAACCTTGAGCGGGCTCATCTACCCACTGATGCAATCGTTGGATGAGGAGTATCTGAAGGTCGACGTCCAATTCGGCGGTGTCGATCAGCGCAAGATTTTCGCGCTGGCAAAGGAGGTGCTGCCAAAGATCGGATACAAAACGAGAGCGCATCTTATGAACCCGATGGTGCCGGGACTCGCGGGCGGGAAGATGTCGGCGTCGGACCCAGATTCGAAGATTGATGTGCTCGATCCTCCGGAGCTGATACGCAAGAAGCTCAAGAAAGCCTATGCGGCGCCTAAGGAGGTCGAGGGCAATGGTGTTCTGTCGTTTTGCGAGTACGTGCTGTTGCCGGCTAGTGCGCTGCAAGAAGGGGAGGGCAAGTTTGTTGTGAAGAGAAGGGATGCGGAGCCGCTCGTCTACACGAATATCAAGCAGATGCAGAAGGACTACCGGGAAGATATCGTATGTTGCCCGTTGCTATTGCCAGCACACTTGACTGACGCCAGCCACGCAGTTGATACCACAAGATCTCAAAGCAGCCGTAAGTGTCTCATAAACGTAGCTATAATGGAGTGCTATGAGCTGAAGCCCGCAAAGGTCACCGATGCCCTTATCGTCCTACTCGAATCCGTTCAAAGGGATTTCCAAGCCTCACCGGAATGGCAAGAAGTCGAAAAGAAGGCCTACCCGCCCGCCGAGCCCGAGAAGAAGAAAAAGCAGAAGAAAGACAGAGGCAGCAGGTACCCCGGCGCGGCGAAAGAGGTCGAGGCACAGCCGGACGGCAGTGTGGAGGGTAAGACGCAGGCGGAGGTCAGCTTGGACAAGGACGCTGCAGCGGCTTTAGAGAAGCTTGAGCTGGAGAAGAAGGCGGTAGAGGCGTAGCGTGAGATCGTCTTTAGAAGTGTGCAGGTTGCGCGCGTGGGACGCGGCTACTAGAGGGCAATGGCGAGCGTAGACGGCGTGTTCAGGATTATGCTGACTATATTGAGACACGGCTTTTGCCATAGCGCGTGATTCATGACTTGCTATATACACTTACCCCTTGCGAAATTGTGTTGAAAAAATTTCTGTTGACTGTTTGTCGTGCGTTCGCAAAGCCACCAGCACCGGGCTCGCTAACGTCTACTCGCCGAAGATGTCGCATCTGAAGACCTGTTGTTCCGCAATTCTGTACCGCAATGGAATAGTGTATGCAATGGGGACGATAATGCCTCACAGACAGTACAGTCTGGAAGCGGCTTGAGGAGCGATGCATTGGTTACAACTCCATACCGCCCTAGATCATCCTCGGAAAGCAGTATCTAAAGGTATTGCTACATTGAACTACAACTGATACCGAACAGCGCGATTTCTCGAACTTTTCGAAGTAACCAACGCCACAACGAACAGGCTAAGAAGAAAGGAAAAGCTGGCGCCCCTAGAGCTCCTGTTTGACATCAAAGGCGAACAAATTATAATTTGAACGTCTCTTGCTAAGCGCGTGGGAGGAAAACGACAGGCGCTGGCGGGTATCGTGCTCGAAAGGAAAGATTACAAATCGTGTACGCATGCCAATCCCGCATGCATCGGACGTGCAGACGAGACCAGCCTGCCAGGGCCATCATGGAGGACCAGCTCGTGTAGGACGCGAATAATACATGAGCGTCGTCACTTTTGGCACCGATCGCCGGCGGACGAAAGTCCTTCCAGGGCGTCCTCAACCCCTTGATGTTCATGCAGCCCTGCCCTCAGCGGTCGGCAGGCTGCTCTCCAACTTGCTCTACACGCTCGCCATCCATCTGCGCATGCTGATCATGATGGAACGTATGACTGGGCGAGCAATGATGCGAAGACTCGGGCGAGCCGTTCAACGAGCTATTTGGCGAGCTGTCGGGCGACACAATATAGAGGTCTTGAAACTGATTCAGCAGCAACCTCTTCCAGTACACCGCGCGCGGCAGGCCGACACTCGCAAGCGAGTTTTTGCTATTGGGATACTTCTGGTACGCCGACCGCTCGGGCTCGTTGTACAGGTCTTCGGTCTTGACTTCGATGCGGGAGTTGCCGCGGGGAATTCGTTTACGGGAGACGCGGTGGTGAGGGTCTGTGGGGTGAGTTAGCAAATGCCGGAGTCGGTTGGAGGATGGGTCGGGGAGTATGTTGGAAAGTAGACTGGAGAGCAAGGCGAAGACTAACGTTTGGTTAGGTACTTGCACAAATCTTGCTGCGATTGCACTTCTAGGCCGTCGCGGTAGCGGTAGACGAGAATTGCACTGGAGTCGTTCTCGTTCAGGTCGCAGGAGGAAGAGGTTGAGGTGCTCTCCTGGCTGTTCTGGCTGTTCCAGGTGCCTGACATGACGAAGGGCGGAGGCGGAGTACCGTGACGAAGGCAGGTTCGGTGAATGAGTTCGCTCTGCGGTCTTTGTGGTAAAGTAGCGCGTGTTTCAGCGGTTGAGAAGGGCGTTCGAACTGCTTAAGCAGAGTTAAAGGCGAGGCGTGGAAAGCCTTGTTGTGCTGCTAACTACGAAAGGTTTCTAGGTGACGCTGCTTTGCACGACCGTGTGCGGGTGGCCTGAGATGGGAGGCTCTGGAGTCATCAACTGGCTGCGCCGCTGCCAATGCCTTTGACGTTGTTTGTCAGGTGTTAGGCCAGCGGACAGGCAAACACGGAGGCTGTGCATGGAGATACAGCCACCCTTTACCCTTTACCCTTTTACCGCTGGCTCATTCTGGCGCTGGCATGTAGACGCTTTGGGAACACAATCACCAAGAGACACGTAGTCGCGCATGCCTGACCGAGAGCTGCAACGAGTGGCTGCTTTTCTGGCACTTGGTTGGTACAGCTGCCCAGGTGCACTCTACGCCTGGCAGTGTCGCCGGCTTTTCGGGGCGACGAGCAACAGCCCGGGGCGGACCGAAAGGATCACCATCACCAATCGGCCCAGGCGCACCTGGGCATGCCTCAGACAGCGCCAACGGCTGTGTAGCAACTTGACCAACGATCGCTGACCAGATTCTTCGACACACCCTTGAGTATATCGAGCCGGCCAAAGAGGCAGCTGCGACCATGAGCATCGAGAGAAAATCAAGAAGAACCTCAAAGGAAAGGCTGAAAGCTTTAACGCTTTCTTAGCGCTTACCAGGCATCAGCAGGGCATCCATCTGCAGGCTGCAGCATGAGACAAGCGCTCCCGCATGACCAGCCACAGCCGCCCAGAACAAGGGGGCGCAGGACGCGCCGACCCGGGAATTATTTTTACCTTGGGGGCACCATGAGGCTGCACGGAGGCTCGAAAGAGTCGCTTGGTGGGAGCTCTACCTTCGCTGTCAGTAGTCTAAGAGGAGCTGTATTCGCTCTGCTCGAATCCGGCAGACCTTTCAGGAATCATCCCACCGGATCGAGGACGTGACTGTGAGCTGGCTGTGCGTCTGCATCAGGGGCTGAGAGCTATACACGAGCTGAAAACGTTACTTTTACACCGACGCACAAGCCGCAGGGAGGATCCTGAACCCCTTCGCAGCATTGAGAACGACATCGATTGAAGCTCCACCTTCGAACATAACAGTACCACTGAACCGAACACAGCGGCGAACGAAGAAGCAAGCGGCCTTGTGAGCCTCTTGCAGGCTTAGCTGGAGGCCGAACCCTCGTCGTAAGAATCCCCGTGGACGTGGTAAGTTGCCTCGAATTTGGCAATTCCGGAGCCTGGCGACCTTCGTCGACCTGGTGCTTCAGCCATACATACAGCGTGATGCCGCGATCGGTGTCTCCGATACCGGACGACGAGGTGCTGTCAGGCCGAAAGTGGGCGCAACAAGTTCTAGATCCGTGGGACTCGTTGATACTCACGCTCGACGGGGGCGGCATCAGAGGCTACTCCAGCTTGCTCATCCTCAAGCGGCTGATGCACGAGATCGCTGTATGGGAAGAGAAGCTAGATAAAGAGCAGGGCAGCTCCTCGGAACCGGGACGATTCAAGGAGCAGGAGCTGCTGCCATGTCACTATTTCGACTATATGTACGGGACAAGCACAGGCGGGTAAGTGAGAATCTTCCCAAATCTAATAAGCAGTAATGCTGACTCTATTTCTTATAGACTAATAGCGACATTGCTCGGCCGCCTACGCATGTCCGTCCCGCAATGCCTCGAGATCTACCGGCAAGTCGGGGAGAATCTTTTCGGACACAGACGCAGCATAATACCACTTACCACCAAGTACCATCACAAGCCCCTAGAAAAAGCCGTACGCGGGATAGTCCGGACCAATTGCCCAATAGACGGACCAGAGTGTGATGGAGAAGACTGGTACCCCTGGACGATCGACGATACCTCAGATCCGCCATTCCCAAGCCAAGAAAACAACAAACACAATGGGCTCTGCCAAAGCATCTGCCTCACAGCAACTCACAACGGCCGCATCGACGAGGCTTATCTCCTGCGCACTTACGACCACCGCTACGTCGACCGCCCAAACTGGATAACGCCCTACAACGAAGGCGCCGACAAGCTGCGCATCTGGGAGGTAACCCGCGCTACCAGCGCCGCGCCCTTCTACTTCAAGATCCTGGAAGCCGACATCGCAGGCGAGGTGCGCCGCTTCAAGGACGGCGGCATCCGCGAGAACAACCCGTCCGGCGCGGCGTGGAGCGAGTTTGTCAGTCTGCACGGCGGAGATCCAGACGCCACGCCTGCGCTGCTGCTGAGCGTAGGAACCGGACGGCCCGACGTGTCTCAAGACGGCTTTGCGGCTGCGTGGCCCGGGCCGTTTGGCGAGAGTAAGCTGGTCAAGAAGGCGGCGGAGAAGTTTGCCGTGTTCAAGAACGTGCTTATCAAGTATACCGAGGGTGAGGATCAGCATAAAGCCATGGTGGAGATGGCTGCAAAGGGCGAGCATAAGTGGTATAAACGGCTCAATGTCAGCGAGGGGCTTGAAAACATGAAGCTGGATAGCTGGCAGAAGGGCTTGTGGAAGAATCCCGTGACAGGACTGGAAGAAGTGGTTCATGGCGGAGCAACACTGACGAATATGGAGCAAGCGACGGAAAACTATCTGCTGAGGGAGCTTGACAACCGTTTCGACACGTATGCGCCCCCGAGGACTATGCTGGTCCAGGCCGCTGAAATACTTGTGCGGCATAGACGCGCAAGGGAGCTTACCAACTCGGAGAGATGGAACAATCATATGGGCAGGCACCTCGCCGCCAGCCAACAATCGACAGAGAGCTGAAGAACTATCGAACCCTTCTCCGATAAGAATCGACGACTACTTTGGACTCTGCACATTCTCCGAGCGCCAGGGGCGCACCTGGACACAGAGCTCGTCAATACGCCGACGTCTGTTATGTTGCGTCTCGCCGAATCGAACCGATGAAGCGCCATTACCACAGGGTCCTTTTGAGCGCAGATTGACCGCTCACCAGCGTCCCGCAACATGCCCGCAGCGTCCCACATATGCGCGTGCGGCTCCAGTACGCTGATGCAAGGACACTCTAAAGGCAGCCACGTTTTTTTTCCTTTGGCTTATTATCGGCTCCTTCCCCCAAACAAGCCAAACCCACTCACAGCTTCGCATCCCCTCTAATCGCATCCCTCACCAACGTCAACGCCTCGACCGCAAACCTCACCATATTCGCCTCTCTATCGCCCCCCAACCCGGTCTCGACCTCGCGCGTCACCGTGCCGCCCTCCGCGCTTACGGCCAGCGCGACGTATCCCCTGCAACACTATCAGCCACCCGAGTCACTGCCAATCCGCTCCGCCATGCGGCTTCCTCAACGTCCAACACATCCGAACCACCAGGATAGGGGGGTGGCACTCACGGCGTCCTGTTCCGCGTCTGGCCGCCCGTCGGTCCCGCCGTCCCGCTCTCGGCGACCGTGTATGTTGAGTTGAGCGTCTTGCGTACGTTGTCGGCGAGCCCGGCCACGATGTCGGGCGTCGGGCCTTTGTAGTTGGCTATGCTCTCTTGCGTCCAGCCGGCGAAGGCGATGCGGGATTCGAGGGTGTAGAGCTGGGGGAGGTTTTAGCGGGAGGGGGGAATGGTGGTTGGGGTTTGGAAGGGCGGGGAGGGCAGGAATGGAGGTGAGGGAAAGGGGGAGGGAGGGGAGGAGAGGTACGGACCGTGAGGCCGCCTTTGTAGAAGCCGCTGGCACCGGGTGTGGAGAGAAGGGCGGCGGAGATGATGCCGCCGGCTGCCTGGGACGGACGCGGAGGGAACGGTTAGATTATAGACGGCCCAGATAGTACGCGGAGAGCACCAGGGGAGCAACGGTGGGATCAACTATGCTTCGCGCCGTCCATACCGTCTCTGCTACCGATATGCTCTCCTTCCGCTCCTTGAGCAGTGTAGCTACTTCGGCGACAATGTCCCTGACGGCACTCGGCGGGAAGGATGACGTTTCTGACATGCTGGTATGAATCCTTCGAGGCCGGAAAGCGTAGATGGGGGAGAGGAGGCCGCTGGTCGACTTGAGTGACTGCTTTTGTGCGTGACGGAGGTATAGGGTGATCATGCAAAAAGATTAGTAATGCAAGTGCTTGTAAATCTGGGGAAGATCTCAAGGTGGTGGTGAATTAATGGCGGGGCACAGGGATGGTGTCGATCCACAGCCGTGGGGTTCTTCGGCAGGTTGCCGCAGAGCCGCGAGTAGTGGAATGCCGACAAGAGTGGGGATAAGGTGGTATTGCATTCATGCCTTGTGATGACTCATTCAAACTGCATGTGCAGGGTCTTTGGCTACATGAAGAGCTATATGTCTCCAGTTCTAACCCCATCCAGCCGTGACCTCATGTCTTCGCCCCTGTGTCCGATTTCATCCAGGTATCTTTACTACGATCATAGTCCAACCAGTTGAATATTCTGCCACTCGCATTGCCAAAGTCGCGCCGTAGATTCACCGCCATAGAAACTTCAGGTAAAGCTGCACGTTCGTAACACATGGTTTCAGAGCCGTCAGGCAGCCCGCGCCCAACGCCCGCGAGAGAAAGAGAGAAAGCGCATAGAGAGGACCCTCATCTCACACCAAACTCCGGCTTCCTCGCCATGTTCACCACTGGCGGCGGACCATCTGTATCCGGATACGGCAGCGCAACACCACCACCCTGTGGCCTCCACATGGTCGGTACCCCGGGCGGCGGCGGCGGTAGCGGTCTTTCCTCAACCGGATACGGCAGCGGCGTCTTGGGCGGTACGGGCGGCGGACTCCGCATCTGCATATCCATGCTGACCCTCGGATCCTCCCCGCTGCGCCTCAGCGAGGGCGCCACCGAGCCGTTTGAGCCCCGTGGGTTCGTGGCGTCGAGCTCGCTGCTGCGGCGGTATTCGTCCGAGCCGCGCTGACGAGGCTGAATGACTTCGGGGAGCTCGTCGGAGAAGATGACCATTTTCTCGTCAGAGGAGCGCCGGCGGTGGAACTGCGACGGGTAAAGCAGGTCTGCGTTATGCGGTCGGCGGGGAGAAGGGGGCATCACGTCTTCGGCGGGGAGCTCGACCGCTATCGGATTCGAGGGTGGGGGCACAGAGGTTTGCTGCTGCGAACTTGATTCTTCTTCGTACGAGAATCGGCTGTCCGACATTGGACTGCCATTCATCGCCCTGTCCCACCGTTGCTTGGCCCGGTGGATCCGCGCCAGTTTCGAGGCGGCGTTGAGATTTATGCTTTGCACTTCGTGCTTCGCAAGGTACATGCGCGTGTTGGTGCTGATATCCGCAAGGCGGTTCCACTCGTTCATGCCGAACTCGCCGACGCCGACCTCGACATTCAGGCGGTAGTAGTTCTCCTGGTTGACCTGTCGTCTTGCGAGGTGCTCTTTGAGCATGTACTGGTGCGTCTCCTCGCAGCCTTCTATCTTGTTGATAAGACGTCGCCGCGCCTCTGCAAAGTCGCCCATTCCGCTCGCAACGAACCCTTCCCACCACAAATGCTGCTGCTGATTGGTTCCCGGCGGCCGTTTTCCGGTTCCGATGCTGATGAAGACGCCGACGTCGCGGCCGGGATACTCGTTGCAGACGGCTTCATCGAGGATTTGCGGAGCAGGATTGTATTTCCCAGCGCCTTCGTCCAGGAACACCGACTGGCCGATCTGGATGGGTTTGAACGCGAGACCGGTCGCTGCGGTTGCTCGTCCGGCTTGCCAGATGGTGCAGTTGAACTCTGGCGCTGGTTCTTTCCGTGAGTCGTACGAGCGGAGGAGGATTGAGCTGCCACCTCTCGGTGTGCCTTTGTAGACTGCTGTCACTGCGCTGCAAGAGTGTTAGCGGCTTCGTGGCTTCTCGTACCCTGATTCTAGAAACACTTACGTTTTGCAACGGTTTTCTCTGCGGTCGTAGAGTAATGCATTGGAATTACCTAGCCTCATGGTACTGAGCGGGCGCTGATAGTTGACTGGAGTGGTGCCAATCTGGCTGTACCTGCTTGCGTTGCTCGCAGTTCGGTGAGGAGCGTTATATGCACTTCCCGGAACCATCGGGCTGAGCGGTGATGCCACGTCCAAACTTGACTCTGCGTCCATGTCGTTGCCCTCATCTGGATCCACAGTATGCTGCCGGACGCATTCCCGGATGGCGTCTTCCAGCTTCGACGCCTTGAAGAGCGTCGATCTGTACGGTATGCCAGCGATGGTCTTGTCGGTCTCAAACACCCGCTTTGTCATCCGCACGTAGACGTCCTTGCACGTTTCGAGGTCCAGCCGTAGCCGGCCAAGCATAACCGCGATCAAGCCTCCTGTGCCTGTCCCGGCGATTATATCGAAGTGTTCGCATGGCTTGGGTATCTCGTGTCGCTTCGGTGCTCTGCCCTCGGTCTCGACAAACATCCGGTGCATGAGCTCTTGCAAGAGTATGAGCATGGAATAGCCGCGTACGCCTCCACCATCTGCAATGCGCCGGTTGTTAGTGAAGGACGGGGATGGTGATGGAGAGGACGCGCATACCTAAGGTGAGGATGCGCAAAGGCGGTCCTCTGGTAGTGTCTTTTCGGCGCATCCCGTGAGCGTCCATCTTAGGCGGCTGGTGCCTCCAGCGGAGGAGTGTCCGAGTTTTATGTGGCCTTGGGGCGCTTACAGCAGGCGGACGGCTGAGAAGAACTCACGGCGACACCGAGTTGCGGAAGGATCGCTTTCGAGAAGGATGAAGCTAGTGAGGTTGCGACGTGAGGTAGTGAGCGTTGCTGGTCGTAAGGTGTGAAAGGCGTGGAAGTGTCAGCGCTGGGCGTGAAGGGCTGAGCAACGCCGTGCATGCAGCTGGTCATACAGTAAGCCTAGCGCAGGCGGACTCGCAAACTCGCGGTGAAGAGCGCTGTACGAGCAGAATGCGACAGGCGGTTAAATCTTGAGTCTAGAAAGTCTTCATAAAGCGCATTCAAGTTTGCATATTCAACTCGGTAGAGGGGTGGACATGGACAGGTGACGTGGGCAGGGCCAGGGTTGTCTCTCAGATCGCCTGTCTGCACCGCCACCACCTCCACACACTTCTGTGGGTATGCTCGTATGCTCGTATGCTCAACTTCGACGAGGACATCTCATTCGATTGCCTCCTCGACAGCACGCTGATCACCGCTTTCCGCAGCGGGAAGCTCATCTTCCGCCCTTTCGGCTGCTCCTCTTCCGCCGCAGATCTCAAGATGAGCGTCCATGACTAGACCCGGTAGATGGTTGTGCCACTGCACCTCGTGGGGCTGACGACGACATGTCAGCCCTGAGCTGAGCAAGCAACTCGAATTCCGCAGAGCCTCCGGCACTTTCTGGCAACGAAGCTCCGTCGACAAAGGACGTGTACTTCGCGTGTAAACTTCACGAATACTCAACACCGACAGATCTGATGGACTTCCTTCCGCCCCTGTGGTAAACCCCTCCAGGGCAGCGGGTGCTAGCCCGCATCGAGGAAGAGTATGCGGGTATTGGACCCCGCATACGGAGTAAAGCCTATCTTATCCGCTCCGTTGCCCTATTTAGATGGCAGGACCTCAGCGATGTTCATGTGATTCAACCATCTACGGCTGTACTTCATCCTGGATTCTCTTCCTTCTCGTACTGCCATCGTAGAATCACCACTTTCAAGCATTTCCACTCAGCATCATAGAATAAGCGATGAAGATCTCAAAGGTACGGACTTCTCAGTGTAACTGTCCATCGGCAATTCAATCAAGGCAGTATGATAAATGTCCACAAAGCTATACACATACCCCATCAAGTCCCTCCGCGAAACTCCCATTTCAGAAGCCGTAGTCACGAAGCATGGATTCTTCTACGACAGGCGCTTCATGATCCTCAAAGTCCACCGAGAAGATGACAACACACGAAGATATGAAAACATGCACCTAGCGTTCTTTCCAGAGATGGTCCTCTTCAGCACAGACATCACGTTCCCCAGCGACGACGGGACGGAGGCCGGCAAAGTGCATGTCACGTTCAACCCGCCAGACGGCGGAAGCCCAAGGACTCTCGACATCCCGCTTGTACCCGACGTATCCAGCTTGGACACTCTTAAGGTCGTTATGCATAGCAGCCCGACGGACGCCCACAACATGGGTGCAAACTACAACGACTGGTTCTCCGCCTGCTTCGGCTACGACGCCGTTCTTGCCTACCTAGGAGAAAACCTTCGGCCCGTCCTTATGACCGGGCCATCAAAGGGCGAGCCCAACGGCTCATGGCTATCAAGTATCACGAGCCTCCTCGGCTCCACACCAGAGGAAACAGAAGCGATCACCTTCGCAGACTGCGCGCCCTTCCTCGTGGTCTCGGAGACATCGCTTAAAGATGTCTCGGCCCGGCTGCCGGACGGGGAGCAGATGGACATCACCAAGTTCCGGCCGAACGTCATCGTCGAGGGCGCCGAGTCCAAGTGGGAGGAGGACTTCTGGGCCGAGATTATGTTGGGAGATGTTAAGCTCGACGCGGTGCAGAACTGCGTGAGGTGTCAGAGCATCAACATTGACTATTCCACGGGCAAGCCAGGGAAGAATGAGGCGGGAAAGGTGTTTAAGCTGATGCAAAAGGATAGGCGGGTCGATTCGGGTCACCAGTATAGCCCGGTGTTTGGGCGATATTGTTTTTTGAAGCCGGGTGATGACCACAAACGGGTTGCTGTTGGGGATGAGGTGAAGGTCCTTAGACGGAACTCGGAGCATACAGTGTTTGGTAAGTTGTTTACAGGGATGTGACTAGGCTCACCGCTAACACTACCACCACAGATTGGCCGGGCCTGAGTAGTACCAAATAGTAGATGTATAGAACATGCACTGCTACTCCTCCACATTTTGCTGTCACGGCTACCTTGCGTGCTCCTCCGTTCCTCGCCGAATGATGATTATACGAGTGAGTACACTCATTACAGCACCAGCACCAGCACCAGCACCAGCACAGTAGCCTTCAAGGGGAATGTGCATCTGGCGCGGCAGCTCGAGAATTGACCTTGACTGAGAGGTGGCCAGGTAATTAGCGGCTTCTTTAAACTGTAGTGCCGTCTTTGACAATCCTGCTTTATCCGCTGCTCGTGTCCCTTCAGTGCTTCCAATCCAGTTTTTGCTTCTTAGATGTATTCGAGGCCCTCGTCCTTTCACGGGAAGCGTTCGACAACATTCCTCTTTCCGAACCAAGCAATACCGTATCCGAATGACGTCGAACTGCCGAAGGGATTTTGCACTTTCAATTGAAACATCGGGAGAATCAACCGAACCGAGTGGATTTTTTCACATGCGACGTTCTACGATCTCCACTCTTTCCACATTAGGCAGTCCCGACTTCCCTCCAAACTTCCAAACCTGGCAACGCCACCCGTTTTCCGTTGCATACCGCAGACGGATGGTAGGCGGGATGCCCTTCTGTCACGCCGCCTATCCGGAAGGGTGCGCCATGTTTGGACCTAATTTTAACCTTTATCTGTGCTTTTGAAGTCCAGGTACATCACCGAAGAACTGTCGGAGAGTCCACGTTGCTTCGAAATCCGGACGCATGTCGAAGTCTGCAAAGAAACATTTTCACACTCCTGCAAACTGAGAAAACCAAGAAAACCGAGTGGATTTTTTCACTTGCGATGTCCTACGGTTTTCACTCTTTCCCGATTAGATAGGCTACCCTCCTTTCTTTGTGGAAAGTCTAGGCCCTAAACAAAGTCTCTTCAGCGCCCGGTAGTGGAAGCTCGTGCCGGACCCTTCCTTTGGGGCCTCCTCCGCAAAATTGTAGGTGTTCCGATTCCAGCCTTCTACTTGTGCCCTTTCAAGCACGCGGCTGAGCAACTTCCGCAGCGTCCTTGTTGGTTTGAAAACCTGGACAAAATCGACGGCGTCGATTCTCAGCAGTTGTTCTCCGTTTTTCGTCCCTTTCCTAATTGGGCGATATGCCTCCGCAAGACATCCCCAGGCCGCGCCGTGACCCCAAAGAAGCCATAGGGGAGCCAAAGCCAGTTACAATCAGATACCGCCGTTGTCGTGAGATCCGGAGTCGGCCGTGGAAGCGGAGATGCCCTTGCCGGACGGCATCACAAGGACGCTGACAAGTAGTCTTCCGCCGTTGGACGTGGAGTACCAATACGTTCTTCAAGCTTCGGTCGTCATGCTTCTGAAAGCCTCCATGCCATTATCCCTCAAGTCTCCTCTTTAACTGGATGATCCTGGTGCCCATTCACACCATTTGCGCTAATCTCCTCCTCTGCTGGGCCGGCGTCATCGGACACCCAAACTCTAACCGTCTTGTCCAAGCCCCCACTAACCAGCTTCCGCTCAGACGGATGCGTATGGACGCCCATAACCGGGCCATCATGCCCCTCTAGCCTCTGCAGCACATTCTTTGAGCTCACATCCCACAGAAAGATACTCCCGTCCTCGCTCCCCGACGCAATAAACGCATGCGGGTTCGCCACATCGCCGTATGTGCCAAACGCGCCACCGAGACTAAACCGCTCGTTCTTGTGGCCCTGATACGTCTTGACGCAGCGGCCCTCGACGTAGTTCCACAGGCGCACCGACGAGTCCAGCGTCCACGCGAGGACGTATTTGCCGTTGGGCGAGAAGCGGACGGAGGTGACGGGGGCGTTGTCGGAGTGGATGAGGGTGCGGAGGCACATGCCTGTTGCGGTGTCCCAGATGCGGCTGTGGGAGAGACATGTTAGCAGCTGTGGGGGTCTCTTGGTTTGGTGCACGGCGGGGAACTTGCATCAAGCCGTCGCCGGCGCAGCTCACGATCAGCGTGCCATCCCGCACAAAGTCCACCCCGCCCACCGGATCGGAGTGCGCGGGCAGCGAGCGCATGATCCGCGCGGACCGGATGTCCCAGATGAAGACGGCTTCGTCGTAGGAGCCGCTGACGAGCATGTTGCCTTTTGGTGAGAAGGCGAGTGAGTAGACGTAGTTGTGGTGGCCGAGGAGGGGCACCGGGTGCGCTTTGCCCTTTCGTATCTCGTTAGCATACAATGAGGACGGGCGCCACGAACTGGACAGCCAACCTTGTCCACATCCCACAACCTGATGGACTTATCGTCGGAGCCGGAAGCTAGGGTTGTGGAGTCCGGGCTCCATGCAATGGTGGATATGCCCGCTAGATGGCCTTCGAGGGTATGCTCCAGCCTGCCTGTCTTCGCGTCCCAAATCTTGATCGTCGCGTCGGCAGCTGCGCAGTCGCTGTCAGCACGGCCCCATGGCATTTCAGAACTCATTGCGCTTACAGGCGCTCGCTATCCATCGTCCATCAGGCGAAAAACTGACCGCCGAAACAGCCCTCTTGTGACCCCTCATTATCAACTTCGGCCTGTAATGCAGCGCCGTAGGCTTCTCCGGCGGAGGCGTGAACGTCTGCTCTTCAGGCGGTACCGACTGGGAAGCTGGAGTTGAGGTCTCATGGCTCCTTGATCCGTCTCTTTCGCCGCGGTAGAACGTGTGTGCATACTGATCTTCGTCCAGCTGGTCATGACGTGGGGTACCTGTTTCTCCAGACAGCGGCGCTGGGCGTTCAGCGAGCTCGAAGTGAGTGCCATCGCCATTCGTCTCGATGTAGCCGTCTGGCGAGCGCCGGCGTTTGGGTGATCTCTCGTCGTCCAACATTGTCGCGGCGATGTTTGCAAGGTGCAATTGCGATCCGAGGCCAAACACGGGACATTTCTCAGAAACGCGCCTGGAACGTAGTCACGTGATGAAAATTGCGGCGAACTCGTCACTTCCGCAGCTTTCAAGCGGCGACGATCAAGATACCCTAACCATCTGCACTGTCATTACTGCGGATGTCTATTTAGGATTTCACAATACCCTCAACCTAGCCCTCGTCAGTGCCATTGAGACCCTCAACCCTCGAACCCGCTCCTCCGTGCGTCACAATGACCTCCCCAGCCTACGAGACCCCCGAAACCCTCCGCATCGTAACCCTCAACTGCTGGGGTCTAAAATACATCGCCAAATACCGCAACGAGCGCCTCACTGAGATTGGCAATCAGCTCGCGCGCAGCGATCCCGCGCCCGACATCGTCGGCCTGCAAGAGTGCTGGACGCAGCAGGACTACCTCGTCATCCGCGAAAGGACGCGGCACATTCTCCCCTACGGGAAGTTCTACTATAGCGGCATCTTCGGCGGTGGGCTGGCCATACTGTCGCGCTGGCCGATTGAGGAGAGTTCCATGTACCGGTACCCGCTTAACGGGCGGCCATCAGCCTTCTTTCGCGGGGACTGGTTCGTGGGGAAGGGGGTTGCGAGCGCGAGGATACGGTATGGGAGTGGGCGGAAAGATGTCGCGGAGGTGTTTTGCACGCACGTATGGTTCTCGCTATCCCGCCCAGCCCTTTGTCGCAGCAGCACTGACCGGGACGCCGCCGCAGCTCCACGCCCCCTACGAGCGCGAACCGCACGACTCCTACCTCTGCCACCGCACCGCGCAAGCCTGGGAGATGGCGAAACTCCTCCGGCACGCCTCTGAACGGGGGCACCTTGTCATCTCCCTCGGCGACTTTAACATGGTGCCCCTCTCGCTTGCGCACCGCATCATCGAGACGCATTCGCCTGTCCGCGACGTTTGGCGGCTGCTGCAGCCGGACTCGTCGCTCGGCGCTGCGAGCCACCCCGCTGAGAGGAGGAGGGGGAAGAAGGTGCCGACTGCGGAGGAGAACCTGGAGGTCAATGGCGCGACTTGCGATAGTTGTTTGAACACTTGGAGGTGGGACAAGGCGCTTAGGAAGAGGTTGAATAAAGGGGAAGATATTGTTGTTGGGCTGGACACCGAGGACCCGAAGGCGAAGAGGCTTGACTACATCTTCGTTTCCTGCGGGGAGAGGAGTCCGCGCGCTGCTAGCGATGCTGATGTCGATGGCAGCCGAGGAGATGACACCGCAGTGGCGGAGTGGACAGTCGAAAGCGCAAACGTGGGCATGACAGGACGACACTCAACGCTCAAGTGCTCATTAAGCGACCACTTCTCCGTCGAGACAACTCTCCGACGACGCCATCACCATCTTTTATCCGCCGCCACCACCACACCAGCCGCCTCTCCTCCCTCCCTCACAGCCACCCACACCCCCCGCCTCCCCGTCTCCGTCTACGACGAGATCCTCCTCCTAATCGCCGCCTACAACGTGCGTGAAGTGCGGCAGCGCAAGCTCCGCCTCGGGCACTTCATCGCACAGGTCACGCTAGCGATCGGCTGCCTGGTGGGCATCTGGTGGGTTCCACGCAACTATGGCGCGTTTCTGCTGGCGCTGTGGAGCACGCTGGGCCTGAGCGCGGGGGTTATTGATGGCTTGATGGGCGGCTTGTTTGTGGGGAGCGAGCTTAGGGCGCTGTGGGAGTTTGAGTGGGAGGTTAGGGCTGCGAGGGAGGCGGCGGTGGGGCTGGAAGCGGAGGCGGTGGTGGTGGGGAAGTTTGAGGAATGAGATTGGGTGGTGGGAGGGGGCAGGGAAGAGGTCGGATTTGTGGCCGCGACGCTCGAAGGACGTGAAATTAGACTCCGGCGGAGCACTTTCTTGGTTGTTGGATCGTGCAGCCGTATATCGCTGGCCTGAAGGTATCCTCGGAGCTCACTTTAGAGCAGGAGGCGGCATGAGGATTGCCGAGCAGTCTGAAACTGGCCGAGGAGACCATGGTTCGACCTTCCTCAAAGGGGCGTCGGACACTTTAAATGGCGTGTCATTTGTAGGGTTGCCGTGAAAAAGACGGCCGAGTAGGAACTGTAGAATAGCCCATCGACTCAATCGTGATTGGTATTTGGTCAACCCTACGTACCTAGATTCTCCAACCAGTGCCCAACAGCTTTTCGAGCAGCGGATCCTGCCGACAGTCACATGTCTAAATCCACTGAAAAGAATGTCACAGGTAGGAGAGTCTAGTGAGCCAACCTAGAAAGGCGGCAGCCAGAACGGATATCCTCCGTTCTTCAGTCTGAAAACGCTGAGCAAGAAGCTGTACATCCCAAGCATGATCCCGCCCCACACGAATACAGCGATCTGCTGCGCCTTTGGGTCGGCCATCCTCGGCACCTTGAGCGCGAGCGAAATAGCCGCGAAGGCCAAGACGCCATCTGTAAGGAGTTATGCTATTAGCATCAGGCGTTCTTGCCGCGTAGTTGTGTAGCAAGAGCGAGTAAAGTAGACTGGGAGACTCACACATCGCAGCAACAATCTGGGTCTCCAGCCCAAACTGATTCTGGAATCCGCCCGCGAAATAGCTGATCCCTCCGCGCCCGTCTCCAGAAACATAAGGCACCTTCCTGATGTGGTTGAACATGTGCCCAGACGTGAAGAGCAGCACGGCAATGAGGCTGAATGCCGCCCACAGGTTGCGATTCTGCAGGATCGGGATGATGTAGGGCGCCGCGACGGCGAAGAGAGTAATGGCGCCCAGGACACCGGTCGTGATGGAGATGATGCGGACCCAGTTTATGGGACGGACGACGCGGGGGTGGGGACCATCGGGGAGATGGCGAGAGAGCCAGGCGTGGATCGTGTCCGCGTTTTGGGCGCTGTGTGGGAGTCAGCGTAAGTGCTCCGGGCAAGAGAATGCTGGGAAGAGATGAGAGTCTCGTACCCCATGGTAAAGTCAAAGCGAACAGGATGGGGGTCAAGCTTGGAGTTGGGCCCGACGGTGGGATGGAAGAGGAGCAGGACGGGAGCGGTTTGGAGCATCAACTGTAGTACCGGGTCAGCTTTTGCAGCGCCTACTCCTCAGTTGAGTGCTGGTCCTACCGATTGAAACGTATTCTTCCCATCCGCAAAGTCCAATGTGCCAAAGAACAACCTCGATTCCAACTTCTTGTCCCCCTTCGTCCAGCTCTTAGCAAGCAGATCCCACTCCGGTTGGAACTCTCGGCACAACTGGCAGCCGAATCGGCTCTCCAGGGCTGTCAGGAGCACGGCGACGGCGTGGTCCCGGGGAGCAGTTGTCAACTGGGTATAGAGGTCGTCGTTGAGCTTGATAGGTGTGGCAGCTTGCGACTTTGTGCGGAATTCGCTGAAGCGGTCCTCAGTGGGCTTCTTCGCGGCTAACACTGTCAATGGAAGCAGCAGAACTGCTAGGCTCTGTAGGATCCTCATCGTGTCTGTAACTGAAGGTTGCAATGATTCCGTTGTGCTTGAGGTTTGGAGCTTGAGTGTCCTCTTCGCCGGCGCCAGTCTACTGCCGAAGAGATGCTGGTGGTCGAAGTGCCTGACGGGACGGAAGTGCCAAGGCCCAGTGCACTTAGACGTTGCCGGATCCTCTCCTACTAAAATGCGGCAGAGATGCGGCAATGACTAAACCTTGTGCGTCGTGTGTGTGTTTACGCCGTCCAGACGCCTCGCACGCGTCTTCCAGCACCGCACGTATCTCTACCGTCACAATCGTTCACGGAGCATCTTAGCGCCATTGTTTCGAAAATGATTCCACGAGACAGCACCGAGTGTCCAGAGGTAAGTACGCGCTCAGTCCTGTTGGTCGCGCCTTCCTGACCATATGTGTGTACAGCTCGAACTAGCACTGCAGACCGCTGCAGCTGAAATGAACTACGAGCGCAGCAAGCACAATGTAGAGAGTGTTGCAAAAGACGAAGACATCCGAAAACTTCGTTTCCAGCTGCTCCTGCTCGAGGACGAGAATGACGAGCTGCACGCGCAGTTGGGCGAAGAAGAAGCGCACGCGGATGGATTGCAACTGAGCCTCGATGAGACTCTTGGGGCGCTAGAAGAGGTCAAGGCCGAGAAACAGCGCGTTGTGAGCGAGTTGCGCATGAGGGCACGAGAGTTAGACACGATTAAGGTAAGCACGACCAGCCGCGGCTTCCTACGCACCTACTGACCATATCGCTTAGGCTGAGGTCATGTCGCTCCAAAACATGTCCCTAGACTCGACCAAAATCCTTACCGAGAAGCTCGCACTCGCGCGCGAACTGGGCACGTTGAAGCCGGAGCTTGAATACCTCCGCCAACAGACCGCATCAAACCAAAGCCTACTATCCGAGAAGCTATCCTTACAGCGACAACTCAGCACCATCCAAGTCGAGCTCGAGAACGAGAAGCGCGTCTCGCAGCGCGCACTAGCCAAGGACAAAGACCGCAGAGTCAGCGCTGTGGACGCAGAGTATAGATCGCAGATGCAGGAGCTGAGAGCAGAATTATCCAAGGAGCGGCGCGAGCGCGAGATCGCTGAGGGCGCTATCGACAAGGCACATGCGGAGCTGGAACGAGAAAAACGGAAAGCAGAACGCGTTGCAGCGCGCAACGAGAAGAGCACCGAGCAGGACGCCAAGCAAGAAGCCGAGATCGAGGAGCTGCGCGAGGAGCTGGCTAAGGAGAGGCGTGAGCGCAAGAAGGTGGAGAAGGCCGCTCAGACTACTCAGCACGAGCTTGAGATGGAGAACCAGAGACTCGAGCGCGAACTGCTGAAGAAGCAGAAAGTTAATGACCCTGGTAGCGCCTCGGAAGCTCAACTCGAAGCGCTCCGCAAAGAGCTCAAAGCCGAGAAGCTATCACGCGAGAAGGCCGAAAAGTCGATTCAAAAGTCCCAAATGGAATGGGAGGCGCAAAAGTCCATCCTCGACGAGAAACTCAACAACTTCCGTGCCAAGCTCAAGTCTACCAAAGAGAAGCTGAAAGAGACCGAGGTCGAGCTCCAAAGTGCACAGTCAGCCGCCGCAGCCAACAATGCCAATCCGGCGAGGAACCCACGCAAGCGCGTGGCTGCGCAGCTTGACCCCGATGCTACGATTGGCACCCCTGGCGATGGACATCAACCGAAGCGAGGTAAACGGAGCTCTGCGGTGCCTGGAGACAAGTCCACCTTCTCTATCACGCCCTTCCTGAACCGGACCACCAGCGTTGCGCCAGATTCTCCGATCCAGGAAGAGGATGAAGAGGCAGCGGATGTTGCACCGACAGACCAACAGGACACGGAAGCGGAAGAGGCAGCCAGTACGCCATCAGCGCAGCCAAAGAAAGCAGCCAAGAAGCCCGCTGCTGCACCGAAGCCCAAGTCTAAGCCCTTAACCACTTCCTCTGCCGGCAAAGCAAACACCAAACCAACCGCTGGTCGGAAGAAAACCGCCGTGCAGACTTTGGAGCAAGTCGCCGAAGAGAACAGCGCAGACGAGAACTCCGCGCCCGCCGCCCCGACCACCATCGCCCTAAACGATACAGCCGAAGCCAGCAAACCCTTGGTACCAAAGCTCAAGCCCACCTCAATGAACGGCCCAAGAAAATCTCTCGCAACATTCGCGACCTTCAACGCCGAGCCGCCCGCGGAGAAGAAGAAGAAACGGAAACTCGGCGGTGGGAGTGGGCTGGGGAAGACGTTATTCGATGATGAAGAGGGCGCGCCGCCTGCCAAGCCGATTCCTGGGAAGGGACTCTTTGCGGCGAGAGCGCTGGGTAAGGCGCTGGGAGCGGGGAGGATCGGTGGTGGGTTTAATGGCGGGATGGTGAGCACGGAGGATGGGTTCATGTTTAGTCCGCTGAAGAAGGATAGGAGGGCTGCGGCGGCTAATGCTTCGATGCTGAAGTGATCCAGGCAGTCGCTGCATGGATGTGGTGCTGATGGTCATTTGCGGTAATGTTTGTTTGGAGAGGATTTTTGTCGTTGAGCTTGGTTTTGGTATGTTGAAGCTCGAGCGAGGTTGGGACTTGAGCTGGTTGGATGAATTTGGGGTTCCTCGAGCTTCGTAATCGATGACTTTATGCGGTACTGCTTGTTCCATAGAGAACCACGCTTCTGAGCATGTTGATGTTGTACGTGTCTTCGCAAACCCAGCGGACTACACTATGGGCGCTGTTAGTTGTGTAGAGTTATGAATGTCCTGCGAGAAGCATTCGTGGCGGTGTTTGGAAGGGAATGGTAGCCGTCGAACGACTGGTCACTGCTAGAGAGCGGCGGCGGCCAGGCCAGCTACAGAACAAGAGCAAGGGCAAAAGCAATGGCAAGGGTCAAAATCGCAAAGACTACACGGAGCTTCAGCACAGTGGCGCAGGTTGAAGAGCTTTATGAGCACGACCGTGGGTGTCTTTGGCACACTCGCGCAGGGTAAGGGAAACCATCACGAACAACGAAAAGACCCTTAGCATGACGGAGCAGATAAAGAGAATGTTGTGACAGAGCCTAACTGTCGGTTTTTTGAGATTGCACACTCGTCGTCGTTCCACGTTGTTCCTCCGCTTCCGAAAGCGGTAATACTGCTACTTCCGCAGAACGTCTTCGGCGTAGAACCTTCTCTCGCCCGCCTCCGTCAATCTAGACGGTTATGCTGGCGTAGGCCGGACCTTTAAGCTGTGAATGTGATTCGGAAACTTGCACTCTAAACGTCCACCGTTGCCGCTTGTAGGTCCTCAGGTCCTCTTGGGTGGCAACGTAAAGGACGATATGCGCGGGTGGATACTCCAGCACCCCAGCGCAACTTCGTAAACAAGCGCGACGCTGAGGCCATACAGCCACGTTATGGCTGCTGTTGCGCGGAATCAGGCTTACTCTCCGAACACGTCTTCTTTTAGAGGATCCTCTTTTCTGCGTAGGGCAACAAAATACGCTTCTTTTGATTCCTGGTATACTCAGTATGAACGTTGAGTCTCATGATCCACGTGATACTCACGCTTCTTGACGACTCGGGTTTCTCCCGGTGCACTTTCTCGAACAGCTTCTTCAGCGTCTTCTCTAGCGCCTTGTCCTCAGCGCCTTGGTAGAACTTGCAGAGGAAGTGCCCACCAGTACGCAGAGTATCGAAGGCGAAGTTCAGCGCTGCATTGCAGAGATCCTGCCATTGATGAGCTTCGTGCCTTGCGCTGCGTGATTTTGGGAGAACCATACCATACTCCCAACGTGGTCCCTGAATGCGATACCGCTCGTGTTCATCATCCTAAGATACGGGTCACTAACGCTCCTCTTCCAGAATCCAGTGGTCTGATCCCAGGGCGCGGACATGTCACTCATCACTACATCCACTACCCTGCCATTCGCCTCATCCCTCTGTTTCCTGCTCAGATGTGCATGTTCTTCCGTAGGCGCAGCAGCAGTCGAGTGAGTACCCGCCTCAGCAGAGCCAGGCATTGCATGCCTCTCCATATCAATATATCCCCTCTCCGCCTCTTCCAACTCCTCCTCCGTAAGTCCCGCCTCTTCATCCTCCTCCTTCGCAAAAACCACCTTCTTCCTCGGCCTTCCCCTCATCGGATCCAGCACATAAGCCCTCACCCCAGCCTGTACCGCCGGGCTCAAAAAATCCCCCTGAATAGTCGACACCCCCCTCGGTGGCTGCACAGGCAGAATATCGATCCCCACAACTCTCCCGCCAGGCTTCGTGCGCGTCACAGCCACCTGCGACCAGCTGCCGGGCGCGTATCCCAAGTCCACGACCGTGTTATCGGGCCGGAAGAGCTTATACTTCTCGTCCATTTCGAGGAGTTTAAATGCCGCGCGTGATTTTAGCCCGGCGACTTTGGCTTCGCGCGCGAAGTGGTCGCGGGATTGGCGTGTTTTCCATCGTGTGGAGGAGGAGGCGGTGCGGATTTGGGGAGGGTTATGGTGGGCGTTTCCGGGGTTGATATGGCGGGTGGTTGTGGAGGCGTGGCACTGGCATGGTACCAGGAGGGTGCGGCCGAGCAGGAGGCTGTCGGTCAGCTGGCGGAAGAGGCGTCGGGAGAGCATGTAGGTTTTAAAAACTTTTTTGGATGAGAGCTTTGAGAGATGCTGGGTGTGGCTTGGTAGGGCTGAGCGCACGGTCATCACGTTCTTTATCATTTCAGGCACGAAGAAAGTTTCCATATGTCCCCAGTATGGAGATGCTTCAGGACTTCTAATACGACCTGAGTCTAGTCGGTGCAATCACCAATAGTCAACTCGTCTTTGACTTGTGTTCGCCGCTGGGTCTGAACATGCGATAGCAGTGCACCACGTAATCTCGCTCACAGAGTAACCTATGAATCTCAAAGTAAGCTTGGGCTGCCCTTGCCAATACTGCAGATAGACTTACAGCGATACACCCAATATCACCGCGATCCCGCCCGTCCGAAGCAGATCTCCAAGTAGCCCATAAGCCAGAAACATGCCCGCAGTTGCTTTCAGCGTAGCTGGCACCCACACTGCTGCGACGATGCTCATCGCCGACGGTAGTGTGTCAAGATACGAGAAGGTCTGTTAACAGTCAGTATATCGAGTCACGAGTGGAAGGATTAATCTGACGAGAGTTACCTCTCCGTTGCTGCGGAAGTATCGTCTGATGAAGCTCAAACCCCAGACAATGCGCAGCAGCATGTTGACGCAGTTGGCGTATACGAGGCCCTGTGCGCCCATCTCAAGTACGCCGAGAAACAGATATGCAGAACTCGCAAATCCTACGAAGAATACACCCATCCAGACGGACTGACCGCGCAGTTCTGCATTACTCGCGACAGCTGCCACGAAGGCTTCAGTGACGCCATTAAGTGCTAAGAGTGGGATGTAGTAGCAGTAGGTAGCTAGCACTTCTCCGGCTCCCGTATCTACCCACTTCGCGCCGGCCACGATGCGCAGGAGTAAAGGCGCCAGCGTGGGTCCAAGCGAGCAGGCGACGAGAGAGATGAGGTTGTACAGCTTCAGTATGTCCTGAAGAACATCCCTCGCCTGTTTGATGCCTTCCCTAGTCGGCTGCTGGGACTTCGGCTGGAGTGCACACAGTTTCGCGAAGAGGTTGCGGCTGCTTTCTTCGATTGGCTGGAAGAGCATACGCGCTACGAGGCCCCCGTAGTTTGAAGCCAGAGCGTAAGCACCCTGATCACGTAGCGAAGCTAGTGAGGCTATGAGAAGGGAGTCGCCTTGCGTGAGGATGTACTTTACTGCGGATTGTAGGGAGAGGCTCAGCGTAAGACTGCAGAGTGGTTTTGAGAAGTAACCCAAGAAGTAGGGGGTTGAGTCACTAGTCATATGGTCAGTGATTTATCAAGGTCGCAGTAAAGTATGCAACGCACTTTGGAGGGATCTTTGTGAGCAGCAACGAGAACTTGTCCCGTACAGACACAACCCGAAGCTGAATTACGTATGAGAAGAGCAGTATGAGGGCGTAGACGGTCTGGCCAACAGCAAACGGTAATGGCCCAACAGCAAACGGTAATGGCCCAACATCAAGACCGTTCCGAGCAGCCCAGATAGCGGATCCGCAGGTGGAGAAGCACTTTGCTATGGTAGCTGCTGTCTCAGCAGAAGCCCTAATCTTGTATAGCATGTTCTGCTGGACTGCCACGAAGCTCGGCTCGGTGAGGAGCTCGATGATGGCTGCGACGCCATATAGCTCCAGAGACTCAACGAAATATGGAACACTGGGGATGTCCACTCGCAGGTACAGGGCTGCAAGTACATATGCCAGGAGAACCCCGAGCAGAATAGCAACGTAAGCGAGGTTGACGACTGCTTGGGTTCCGGTTGCTTGTCGTTGGACAGCTACTCTGATGCTTTCACGAGCGAAATAGAGGACTGATATAGAGTAAAGCTCGAGCTGTGATGAGATACCGAGGAGTTCGGGAGACAGGAATCTTAGGAGGACTTGATTGACCGCAAACGTGAGGGCACGGGAGCCGACTTGTAGAAGGATCAGAAACGTAGCACCTTTGGCTGATGCAGAAAGGATTGACTTTGACATCACCGGCGGCGCTCTCCCTGTCCCTCGTGCGAGCGCTCTGCAGTACCACAAACTTCCAGCGAGATACAAGAAGTGATGGCAAGGAAGTAGGCTAGATGTTCTGGCTGGGTGTCTCGATCCGGTTAGTTAGCACAGCCACATCAGCTCAGGCGCGAATCACCTCAATCGCTCTTTACCGGCAGCGTTGCCCTCCGCTCAGGCATTTCGGGCACTGCTCACCCGTGGCATCAAACCGAACAGCCTGATGTTTAGGGGACGGGGAGCAGGCACTAAACTACCATCTAGACCATACACGAATGTCACCGCGGGCTGGCAGTAGGCGGGAAACTAGTAAATCGCCGAATAGGTAAAGCCTTCTCACCTCAAGCGTGAACTCTCGACAGACCGCTACGACTTCCCTTCTTTCCCGCATCGAGATTACCACCCTATGTGCAGTCCATCAAGTACATGTTCGTAGAAGAGCTGAAGCGTGCCCCTAAAAGGCAAGAGTAGTGTTACGACACTACAGTTCAGTGAGTTCACTTCCATCACTTGTATATTCAATCGTGGTGGAACTGTTGGCACCCGCACGACAAGCCAGTAGCCAGATAAATGACATGTGCAGAAGGCCAATATCACATATCCGCTATAGCCAAAGTAAGTGAGTACCTGGCCTCAACATGCTGTGCAGATTCTGATCAAGTTTAGTATTTTCGAGTCAGTGCTATTGGTAACGAAGTTCGTTGCTAGTACCCTTCTAGACCGGAACTCCACCTGATAGTACATGGTCTTTGCTGCCCTTTTGAAACAAACGTAGAAGAGTAGGGTTGGTTTTGCGATTGAGTTAGACGCAGGCTTGTTACTACCTGTGTCTCGGTATGCCGTGGCCATATCCTAGGACACCAAGCCCAACTGCCACCACTGACAGCGTTCGTTCGCCGCCGGGTCCGCCGTCTCAGTGATCCCGCTTGTATCCAACCGCACAAGAGTCGCGTCAGCGCCATAGAAGTCCATACCAGGGGCGCCCGGTATGGTAGTTGAGGGCTTTCCGTGGGTGACGAAGCTGGCGATGTAATCCTGCAACGCATACGCCACCGTCGAGTTAATTCCAGCAGCTGATGGCGAGCCGGCATTGTAGTATGTGTAGGTATAATCCTGGCTGTGGTAACCGGGAGCGACGGCAAAGAGATAGCCATATGTTTGGTTTCCATACGCACGGCTCAGCGCGACGTTATTGCAGTCGATAATTACGTCGCCCAGGGTCAGCCCCGCACGCGCGCGGTTGGTGCCGTACAGCGAGGTGTTAAAGACGGGCGGATACAGAGTACCCGCGATGTAGGATACCACATCCTTGTCAGCGCTCGGGAAGTAATTTCTGAGAAACACGTTGTACTCCGAGTCGCTGGTCAGGTTTGTCGGTGTAAAGCTGAGCCCTTCGTTAGAATTGTGACCCGTCATGATGCGCACGGCGGCGTCAAACTGGCCATGGCTCAAAAGCTGCTTTGGGTCTTGGGTAACGAAGTCACCATCGACGGCCGGGCCGAAGGTGTATTGACCGTAAGCTGAGTTGGCGATTTGTGCCTCATTCACTGCTATAAGCTGTTCAGTGGGAATTGTTCGAAGTGCAGCCACGGAGCTGACGTTGGCAGCACGCAGGAACTGTCGGAAGACCTGTTCCTGCCGATGTGGAGATTGCAATGGGATCCAGCCAGGCGACTGCGAAATGGCTTGTTGAAAGGGAGCTGAAGTCCTGCCACCGAAGGCCTGGAGTGAGATCGTAAGTACAGTATTCCTAAGCGCATCAGCAACTCTGGCTCCACATACCGTAAGCTGATGCATGATTGATCCACCGCCAGCAGATTCCCCGATGACAGTCACACGGGATTTGTCGCCCCCGAATAGGTGCACATGTTCCTGGACCCATTCAAGAGCCATACGTTGGTCGTGGAATCCTGCGTTTGCTGTCCCGTCTTTCTGGAAAGAAGGGCCGGCGAGCCATCCGAGCGCGCCCAGACGATAGTTCATAGTGACATAGATGATGCCGTCTGAGCCATCCGTTTGGCTCCGTGAGAGCAAGCCGATCGGATCGTTGTAAAAAGTCTTGGAGCCTATGCAGTATCCGCCGCCATGTAGCCGTACGAGAACTGGGGCACCAGAACCGTGGCCAGCTTTCTGGAATACCTTCTGCGGAACAACTACGTCTAAGAACAGGCAGTCCTCCCCTTCCTGAGGCTCACGCGCAGAGGGGGCTGAGCCGCCTGTAGCACTGGGCGGTAAGGCGCTGGATGAAGTCTGCGTAGGCATTACCACCCACTTTGGGAGAGCCTGTGGACAGCGCCTTTCAACCATTCCATCCTGTATGGCGGACCGGTTGGTGAGAGGAGGTTCCGGGGCCCTGAAGCGCAGCTCACCGAGTGGAGGTTTCGCATAACGGATGTTGGAAAACTTGTAAAAGCCTCTGGCCTGTCGAAAACATAATCAGCAGGTGACGCGGATAGTTGAAGAGGTGGCAGGGAAGAACATACGTCGAATTCGGAAGCACGGTACAGCTCATATCCAAGATCGACAACTGGGAGCAACGTAGAGCTGACTTGTGCTTGTATGAAGCCGGGCGCAAGTACTTGGGAGACAAGGAACTTGTGAAGACGCATCTTGAAGTGTATGTTTACCGCCGAGCTGTGTGCTGAGACAAGAAAGACTGGTAAAGATCGAAGCAGAAGCAGTGGAAAGCAGCCAAGTTATCTGATCGTGTGCCTGGCCACATACCTTTATAACACAGGCAGCTGCAACTGCTGCAATTCGTGATGGTACCTTACCATCGTTAATATTATGTCCACGCGGAGTTTCGAGGCTCGCATCGACCAATGCCAATCACGGCGCTAGAATGCAGCCAAGACTTTGCGCAGCACTTCGGTTCGCTCTCTCGTCTCGTATCGTATCGCGTCGACTCGTCTCGTCTCGTACTCGTCTCGCTCCGAAAGACAGCAACGAGATTAACATAGAGATGGGAGGCGAAATGGTTTCTGGTTCTGATAAATGCCACAGATTTCCTGAGTCTTCTATAGTTCAACTCCGTTGCTCGATTCTATTTCCTCTTCTACCAGGTCCCACCACCAACAGTGCGCAGAGAGACGAGAACTCCAATTCTAATACTCGACTGAATTGCCGCTCAATCAACATGGCCACCTCCGACACGCCTCGAACTTATGATTTGTACCACTACACTCCATCAATGGCCGCTGCTGTCATCTTCTGCGTCTTGTTCCTGCTTTCGACGATTCTGCATTTTGTCCAGATGTTCAAGACGAAGGCCTGGTTTCTGATCGCGTTCTTCCTCGGAGGACTTTGTAAGCGATTGTCCAATTGATGAATAGGTCTTCTGTACATCTTACTAACAACATTGATTCTACCAGTTGAGTTTATGGGCTACGCCGCTCGTGCCTCATCCGCTGCATCAGAACCTGGCCATTATCGGTTGATGCCATTCATTATACAGAACACTTACGTTTTGCTCGCACCGGCTCTTTTCGCCGCGACGATATACATGGTCTTGGGTCGTGTAGTCAGTCTGACGGACGGAGAAGCGTACTCCATCATCAAGAGACGTTGGCTTACGAAGACGTTCCTGGGGGGAGATGCCTTCTGTTTTATGCTGCAATCAGCCGGTATGAATCGTCTTGGGTCGCTAGTGTTCTTGCACGCTGACATAACGAGCTCAGGTGGTGGTCTTCTAGCCAAAGATATGACCAGTCCGGACTCTGCAAGTGCGCAAATGGGCAAGAACATCATCCTCGTCGGTCTACTCCTGCAGCTCCTCTGGTTCATTTTCTTCGTCGCCGTCGCCGCCCTCTTTCACTACCGCATGAGTCTACACCCCACGACACGCGCGCAACAACCAGGAGTCAGGTGGCAGCGGTACCTCCGCTCCCTCTATGCTGTCAGCAGCCTCATTATGATACGATCTCTTTTTCGTCTCATCGAATATTCACAGGGTTACAGTGGGTACTTGATGAGCCATGAGGTATTCTTCTACGTGTTTGACGCACTCCTTATGCTTGGAGTCATGGTGTGGATGAACTGGCAGCATCCCAGCGAGATCAGCCTTCTGCTGAGGGGTAAGGAACCTCATGTCGATGGTTTTACGCTCATTGTCAACACAGTACATCCGAAACGGTAGGATGGTGCGGTGATTCTTTGGTGGGACGGCTGGCATGGCTGTTTCCTAGATATCTCCTCTTGGTGTAGGCGGTAGTAAGACGAGGTCCTTCTGTAGCGGGCTTGGTAGCTTTTGTTCAGGCATGGCGTTAATGGACATCCGGTTCGGATGGCTAGAGGTGGTTCAATTGGTGTACATCCTGCGTTTGGCGCTTTCCGGATTCTTTCAAGGTGATCCTTTGACCATTGTATCATACTCGGTGGATTATCCCCTCCTTGAAAGTCAAGGGGAGGTAGGCGATGAATATGGATTGTAGGCTTTGAATAGAAAAAAGGGATTTTCAGAACCTGTTCACAGACATGCGTAAGAGCCAGGTATCCACGCATCCGGGTGACAAAATCGCCGGACTCGTACAATCACCAACTGGTAGCACTGCATCGACGTCGACTGGTGACTTTGTGGTCAAGATTAACAACAAAGCTGTGCTATAGCGCTGGGCAACAGGCAGCGCAACATGACCTTGCATGCGTGTTACAGCCATGAATGGAGGCAGAACGGTCAGTGTAAAGGTCTTAGTAAATATGATGGATTTGACCAGTTTTGGTGACTTTCGAGCTCGATGATTTCTGTCATCCGCATGCCACGTGACAACCTGGGGGCTCACCAGAGGCTCCTTCATGAATCGTTGCCGCCTGAACATTCGCGACGTCAAACCTTTCTGCACCCGTCTCGCCTCAGATGGTACAATCCATAGCACCATAAAAGTATCGTGAGAAGCATGGCCCCACCGCGTGATGCTCAATATACTGGGATAGGTGCCCGAAAGCCGCACCGGAAGTCACGGCTTGGGTGTGGAAACTGCAGAAGGCGAAGGATAAAGGTAAATCTCCTCTTTGCTGGCTCGCTTCTCAGCTTTCGATGGTACAAGTCATCCGTTTCTCCCTTCTCTTCCCTGTCAGTGATATACTTCGTCTGTGAAGACAAGTACTGCTACCGCCGAACGCCATGAACTGCGCCATGGGCTTGAATGCTTGTTGGTTCGTGGACACATGGCTAACATCCATCAAAGTGCGATGAAGGCAAGCCTGCGTGCAAAAATTGTACCAAACATGCTATTCAGTGCGACTTTACGCCAGCTCCTGCCTACTCCGGCTCCGCTTATGGCTCTGCCAGTCCCGAAGATTATCTGACGCCAGCTGAATCTGCTCCGAGTGTTCCTAGTCCCGTCATTCGAGATCATGGTCCTCTCACAAATCTTGCATCTGGCTCTTCCATTCAAGGCAGTGATGATGCTATCGAATGGGGCATCACAGCCCTCGAGCTACTCCACAACTATTCCACATCAACATGCTACACTTTCTCCGACATCCCAGCAATGCAGACGTTCATGCGGATAACGGTTCCGCAGATCGGGTTCTCTCACAATCTCGTCCTGCACAGTATTCTTGCGTTGTCGGCGTTGCACATGGCGCGGTTCAAGCCTGACCAAGAAACGTTTTACGTCGCGCAAGCGGACCGTCACCATAACACTGCGCTGCGAAAAGCCACTTCGTTATTGCCCAACATCAATTCAGAGAACTGTCATCCGCTCTACATCTTCACAACACTTTGTTGTGGCTTTACACTCGCTCGAGGCCCAAAACCAGGGGACTTCCTGTTCTTCGGCGAGGAAGGAACTGCAGAATGGCTAACTCTTTTTCGCGGCCTGAGACCGATCTTTGAGTCGCAAGAGCGAGTCCTCCAGACTGGTGTCTTAGCTCCCATGTTTCAGATTGGAATTCGAATAGCCAACCAGCCACGCTCATCGGCAGCAGAGATCGACCATCTAGCTGACCTTCGAGAACTCATCGTGGGAACTGCGGTCGATGAACCAGTTTCGCAGACTCTCGGGGCTGCCCTGGACGGTCTCGCAACCGCTTTCTCGGCTAGCTACGATAGTAATGGCTGTAGGAAGCGGCTTTATATACAGAACCTAGGCGTCTGGCTCTACCGCGTCTCTGATGACTTTGTGCAGCTCCTACAGCAACGACAGCCAGCGGCGCTAGTGATTTTGGCTTACTTCTGCGTCTTGCTGAATGAGTTTAGCGCGGATTGGGCGATGAATGGCTGGGTCTACCACCTGCTTTCTGGAATTCATAGCTGTTTAACAGAGGAGTATCGACCGTGGATGAGGTGGCCGATTGAGCAGGTAGGTTGGATTCCTCGCTGAGAACGGATATCTCAGGAGCGGGCGACCTGCAACTTGTCCGCTCAGAGCATGCTCAAGACTGTTCGTGCTTGCTCAGGCCCTGCTCAAAGCTTTTTATCCTCGGCGCAGGTCCAAACATCGCCTGCTGAGATCCGAGACCGTAACTGGAACGGGAAAATCCATACTGCTGGCAACCCAACGAGGCCATTCAGTTACTTGGTGATGTTCCAAGTGAGGAAGCTCGTCGGAGATCTCCGGCTGCCACACCTCCGACATCCTTGCATGTCCATTGACTCCGTTTGCTTTGACTCAGTGTCGGGCATGTATCTGTCGGCGACAGCACACATAATGAAGAACATAAAACCCTCTGAGCGTCTACCAGTAGCTATCAAGCATGGCACCTATTGCTGAGAAGCACAAAGAGATCAGAACGAAACGGCTTCTGCTACGTCCGCTGGAGCTAAGTGATGCTCAGGATATGCTGGATGCGCGACAGAGTCCAGGCGCATTCCACTTCATGTAGGAGTTTGCACAATGCCGACCGTACTGTATATGCTAAATTTCCTTCTTAGACCAAGAGCGCTGGATACGTCGCCCGATTCTGTGAGGGAATGGATATCCTCGTGCCTCACGCGCCCCAATTGCTACAATTTTGCAGTCACCGTTTTGCCAGACGGGAGTCACGGTCATGGGCAGAGATCCAGGGTTATTGGCGGCATGGGAGCAATACGCACACCGGAAGTAGGCTACATGATCCATTCAGCCTACTGGGGCCAAGGCTTAGCAACCGAAGCACTAGAAGCTTTTATGAATGTGTACTGGGAGCACGTAGCAGAGCTTGATCCGCCGTGTAACTACGCTGTAGCCTACACTGACATTGAGAACTGGAGCTCAAGGAGAGTTCTGGAGAAGTGTGGGTTCAAGCTCTGTAAGATATCAGACAATGATGTCGAGCATCCGACGCTGGGCACGAGGAGCACTGCGCATTACTGGTTACAGAAGCCGAACATGGCCTTTGAAGGAGACGTGGACGCATCGAGCGAGGGCTGGAAGAGAGCTTTGGAGTCCGTTTATACATCTTAATCGTTTAGTCTGGTGGAGGGGTTCGTTTGGACCATAAATACCATCGGTGCTCCTTCCTGAGGGCGTTTGAGCAAAGACTTCAAAACGAATTCTTCCAGCTTCTCTACATTTTATACATGGTATACATCTTATACATTTCCCAGACCCCGTTCTCTCATCCCTAGACACTCTGCCAAAGTCGAGGTGTGCTAGGCATCCTTCCCCTTACGCCATGTCCCAATGCAATGCCACGGCTTTGTACAGATCTCGTCGGTGCTCTCCATAGTCCTCCCTACTTAATACGGCGTGAGACTCCACATCCTCGATCAGGGTTCTCTCCCCCTCTTCTTGCCCGCAGCACAACCTACGCCGTGCTACCACGCCCGCCCCCAGCGTTTCCGGCTTATGGCACCACCACCACTCCAATACTCCCCGCCTGCGCGACCACGCTCTTCACCAATCCCTCCAAACTAACCCCACTCAACCTCGTCTCAGCCTGCTTGATCTTCGCAATCTCATAGACGTGCTTCAAGCTGACCTTCCCCACAGTCCCGATGCCCGCATTCCCAGCCGCGCTCGTGGCCACGCTCGCCTTGCCTGTCGCGCTCTCGCGATTGTTGTGCGGGCCGGGGACGTTGCCTGCGCCGCGGACTTTGTTCTTCTTTTCCTTGACGCCGGCAGCTGCGAGGAGGAGGGAGGCGGTAGGGGGGGTACGCAGCTCAAAGTGGAAGGAGCGGTCGGGGCGGACGGTTACGCGGGCGGGAATGGGGGTGCCGGGGGTGTAGGGGGCGGTTCTTGCGTTGAACTCCTGAGCGCAAGCAGTGATGTCAAAAGCTAGTTTATATGATCGATTGGTCTGGAACGGGGTGCTGGATGGAGAAGTAGGTAGAAAACATACTTTGCAGAAGTCCATGCTCTTCACGCCTTTACTCCCCAGTGCTGGGCCCACGGGCGGCGACGGCGAAGCTTGCCCTGCGCCCACGATGAGCTTGACGATCTGGTCCTTCTGTATGGCTTTCCGCGCCATTGTGAGGTGTCAACGCTGACGCAGCCGGGCTGTCGTCGATCGGTCTCAACTTTCGCAGAGCCGCAGGGCTCCGGAGACACGGTTCAGCCGGACCGAGCAGGATCCGACCTCGCCTGCAAACCTCCGATCTGGCGGTTTGCAGTGGAGCGGAATCAACTCCCGGGCATGAAATCTCGTTCCCTCCACTGAGACGCGCACTCCAGGCTGTCTTCGGTACCGCGCACAAGCTCCGGGCTTGCTGATGGTGGGCGGTCCCTGGTGGCAATAGCTGCACACCCCGACCTAGGAATCAACTCCGCCACTGGCACATCGGATTCCTCTCCGTATCCGCTTCAAGCACGCAGCTATGCGCAACGGTGCTGCGAATGTGTCAGACTTTAGCAAGAGAACCTTGCCTTTGTTCCTCATCGGGCAACTGGGTCTTTTGCGTAGAACGTCTGGAGGAGTCAACTCCGAAGCAAGAAATAAGCAGTCTCCTGAAGGTCTCGCGTCCGCATCCGCGTCCGCGATCAGCGTCCAGGTGTGGGCTCATGTCTGCAGACTCCCTTGGACGGACTGGCTTCGATGTCATACAACGTTGCGATTTCTGTCCCAGTCCGCATGCGGTACCATTTTTTTTTGTAGAACATGTCAAGGAGTCATCTCCGGTCTAAATTCAACAGCGGCTGGGCGTCTACTACCCGTTACCCATGGCTCGTTATCAGTAACACGCTCAATCTCTGAGCCTCCCAAGTCCCTGCTTCCATGCCCTTCTAGGCAATCTTCATCCGCTGCGTAGAACGTCGAAGAATAAGCTCCAATATGAGCGTTCAATCAACCAAGGCCTTGATGATGGCGTCGTGCGATTGTGGGGACGGCGCCGGCTAGATCGACGGGCGTCCACGTTAATGGGACTGCCTCCGTTGTATCGGGCTTCTAGGGGACCTGCAGTCTTGCCAAATGTAGTATTAGACTCTTTGCGTAGAACGTCTGCAGGAGTAAGCTCCGACGTGGAGCACTCAAGGACCGAAAATCAGCTGTGTGTAATTGTCGGGATAGTACCGATTAAAACCATGAGCAGCACGTTGATGGAAGTGCCTCCGGAATCTCAAGCTTCCAGGCACCCAGTAGTTATCTCGAATGCGGTAACAGGACCTTTTGCGTAGAACGTCTACAGGAGTAAGCTCTGCAGTAAAGGGTTCAGTCAACAGAGGCCCGCGGAATTCTTTCTGCGTGTGTGCCTTGGGACTCCACTAAGCTGAGCTTTCGGATACGGGGTTGGATCACTCAGTATTGGGACACGGCTTGACCGATAACGTAATCAATCACCACAATTCGATAGCAATATCAATCAGCTTTGTATCAAGATAAGTGATATGTGCCTTTATAAGCTTTATATCCCTCTTGATGTTAATCGCAAAAGTTGTTGCATTCGTAAGAAACATGCATCTTTGTCCTATGTTCAAAGGTCTCAAATCAAAGTATACGAAGCAAATCTCCCACAAAATCAGGTTACGTTTACACCTGAATCTACACTGTACCATCCGAAGAAGGATTATAATCTTACTCTAGCTGAGAGAATAAGCTTGTGGTTGAGCAGAAGGGTAAAAAAAGCTACTAAAAAAATGCCAGAAATCATGCTGAGGTTCGGCTTATTTGCATGCCAAGCTGTCCCAATATTAAGTCATCCGATCTCGTAGCACATTGGTCGATATTCTCCGCATCCATCAAGCATTTCAGAACCCTGTGCTCAAATCGAATGCGGTATCAGTGTCTTCTGCGAAGAACGTCTACAGGAGTCATCTCCGAAGCCGTGATAGAATGCCGCCAAAGCACCCTCAGTTGGCAACCAAATGCGGTATCAGTCCCTCCTGCGTAGAAAATCTACAGGAGTGAACTCCGGAGCGCTGGTACATTGTCCCCTAGCATCTTCTGCCAGCCCTTGACATCTTTTTCTCCATCATTGTCATCATCATCGTCATCATCATCAAGTTCCCCTAGACGCACCAAAGGAAAGTCTGTGGGTCAAAAAGTCTTTGTAATCCTTCATGCCTGTCTTCGTCGAACTGTCGCTAACACCAAAGTCTTTCTATGGACCGGAATCGTATGGAATAGCGTGGATTTTGGCATCCGTTCACACACCCGATTGATATGTCGATTGGAGCACTTGCGTGACAGCAGCTCTGCCTTTGGAGTCCTCCTGGACTCGCAACCCACTCAATCGCTATTCAAATCCTGCACAAGGGATGCATCAGGTCGGACTGTTCTCTCGCATGCGGCCATCACCGAGCAAAACGAAGCTACTAGAAGGTCAATGTAGCAGTTGTGTCCGACTACAATCCGGGAACCATCAGTAGCATTGACTGGTTCGTGTCAGTTAGCGACTCTAGAGCAAAGGCGATGTGAACGGAACGTTCAAGCGGATTAGAGAGGAGTACAAAGTACCTCAATAGTCCGGTGAGCTGGGAGAGCGCGCGCAAGCCGCTCGTTACTTCGAGCATTCAGTAAACAGAGTGAGAGATTTATGTAATAATCTCAGCTACTTGTAACCCGCTAAGTCAGCCGATGACCAGTAGCCCTAATATAGCATACAAGACAGCAAGTTTAAAAACAAAGGGAACCCAAACTTCCGTCTCACTATTGCTTGATCGTTCTGCTGCCTGCACTCCTAGTTTGTAATTGTTGCCAGCTGAGCCGGTCCAAGATGCGGCCTGCACATCCAGATATGGTTGGGCTACGTATCACGGGCGTCAGCAGTCAGTGCGAGTATGGACGGGGCGCGAGCGTGTGGCTCTGATGTCGAGGGTTTAAGTTGGGAGTGCGACCAGCCTTAGTTAAGGTCTCGATGATGCGCGCATCGGCATCACCCTCCTGCTTCCTTGGTAGGATCACCCCCCACTCGGGGCACGCGAAATCGAACTCGTCCCTGATGTATCATGTATGCGACGCTGGTGCTTTCAAGGTATTCTGACATATCGATGATCCTCTGTTCCCAGCTTGGGCCCCATCAGTCCCAGTCAGACTCTCTTAATATGTGGCAGCCCATTTACTTTTCTTCTGGCTTCCTCAGTAAGGCAGACAGTTCTTCAGGCCTTGCAAGACGGCAAGATCGAGTTTGGGGAACTCGGTATTCGCTTGCAGTTCATGTGTCTGAACACTCGTGCCAAGCGTATGGGCTGCTATGGCTTTAGTTATGGATCGGTTCTGTTTTAGCCGTTTGAGAGTTGCTGAGTCGGGGTCGAACACTGCGAGTGATAATGAATAAGAAGCAGGAGGAGCAGAGCGAAGCATGTCTTATAGCCAAGCTGAACAAGGCATGGACTCATATGCCAGCGTCATCTCCTAATACAACCCCGTTCTATTGACAGACAGAATGCGTAAGATTCACAGCAGTGAAGTGAACGGTGTTTAGGTGGCTCCACCGGAACGAGTGAGCCCTGAGAACTTCAAACCGGCTGAAAGCGCGTGCACAGGTTGTGTCATATATCGAACCTTCAGATACCGAGTGTAAGGAGCATGTAGATTACTTAGTACCTGCTAAGCCAAGAGCTGATGAGATGTTGTACAGCAGTGTGATAGATAGTACCTCGTATAGGAATGGAAACGGATATCCGAAGACTCCACTATGCCGTTGAGCCGTCTACTCGGCAAAGCCAACTAAGCCATCACCATCACTTACCTCAAGCCAGCCCGGGGCAGAGCGGTGCCGGAAGTCAAATCTCAAGTCGGAGTGCGGCCCAGCTTCCGCAAGCACTCCTTGATACGCCATCGGGGTCGGCCTACCCCCTGGGCAACTCATACGTCCATGGGCGGTTTGCTCGCTCCAGGCCGAGTATGATGGCCGCGACACTGGTGGTGTTTAGCTGGTCCACCATGGCGGCAACAGTTCACCCTGGAGGTTGCGTTTCTTCGACTTTCTCACGGGACTCGGTTGGCTTTGGGGGCCCAAACAGTTGCGCAAGGTCAGTTAGGAAGATAGCACAAGCACACAAGACATGAGAGAAGATGGATATGTTGTGGATTGCTTAGTTCCTGCTAAGTAAGAGGTATTGAGGTGATTCTTGAGTATGGCAGACTCAGAGCAAATGCACAGTAGGAGAGAAATTCAGAAGAAGCCTCCAGTCGCTACCACCAAACCATCGAGTATTCCACGCCTGGAGGCCAGTCAAGTCCACCGCGTCAAATATCCTAGGATCCAGCCCAGGATAGCGCAGTCGGCTTACACGCAGCTTATTCAGTCGGTACAACGCCTAGGTTTTCGATCTCCGCCTTGATTAGTGGTCTGGGGAAATCCTGCTCATGCTGGGTGGCTAGCTGGGTTCTCCATTTGAGCTGCGTCTCGAGGTCCATCTTCGCTAGGATCCCTCTAACGCTCGTGTGTCCGGCCTGCACAAGCTGTCTCACTCTCTCCCTCCATGGAGTGTCAGACATGTCGGTAAGGTACGGTGTTTTGTGGCGGGAAAGTTTTGTACTGGTGTTAAGGAAGTTGGCAGCTGGTGGAACGGCTGAGAAATCTGTGGATCGTAGTCGATGCTGCGTTCAGTTGAGTTGATGATTGGAGTAGCAGGGAGGGAAACTGAACCTGTACTTATAGCAAACCCAGAGGCGGGCAATGACAAACCGGGCATTGAATGATGATTGTATGTGACTCTCGCTCTGAAAAATAGACACCGCGGGTGGTCAGAAGAGTTGTTGTGAACGATAAGCCAGTGGAATGTATGATAGCAAGCCGCGTGATGCCTGTTAGCGATGTAGGTAGAGTAACGTAGCTCGAGAAGTCACAATGATGGTAAGAAGCGCGGACAGACGCCGGAATTGTGGTGAATAACACTTGACGAGTAATGACTCTTGCACGCAAGACGTCAGAACCCACTCAGAACTTACAAGCTCGATCACAAACACTCAGAAAGATACGGCGGAGACATTGCGAACCAGTCATAACTGTGACATCGACAAAGTTTCATGGAACGAATTTTGAGTGAGCTATTCGATTCGTTGCACTTTGAACCTGATCAAGATCTAGACTCACTGATACAACAGGACAAGTAAAGGAAAGAATGTGACACGTACGCTAACTCGGACACTAGAAGGGGATTCACCATCTTGCGCGGCCAATCTGCAATCACTGGTATCCGCACCGGGTAGGATTGGTCCGAAGATGTGAAGACAATACTAGCAGGCAATGTCTCAGATAGAAAGATAGGTAGGCCGGAATTGACCGACATCGACACCAAGGTCACTCAATAGAAGTTCCTACTCAGCAATACCGCCGATGGGCCGTTCTAAAAAGGCAAGAAGGCTAATGAGAGATTAATGCTGATAGCAAGGCCTCTGATATGCGTAAGGGATGGTGCCTAGTGTTGCTGTCTCTGGTGCCGTACGATCGGGGCACCTTTGCCACGTTAGAGAACTAACAGAGGGCTCTAAAGGGCTCCGCTCAACGTATCCCCACGACGCCACATACAATCTGGCGTTCTTGTGAGTTGTTGGAGCGTGACGTTCCTGCATGTGATATCTGTCCTGGCTACCGGACATAGTGTAATATGCGTTGCTGCGAGATTTCGCACTGTGGCGTGGAGTTCTGACATCCGGAGATACATGATATGGCTCCGAAAGACCTTGCGCATGGCTCGTTAAAGAAGAGAAACCATGGGGCAGACGTAGGGGCTTCCGAGATATCCAAGTAATGGCAACAGTTGCTACGCTACGCTTCCGAAGCTGGTCGCTGGTCTTGCACTCTGAATGTTCGACAATGTGGAGACCGCAGCCGATGGCTTCCTTGCTGTATGAGCCGGAGAGTCGAGACTTGCCCTCGGTCAATTGCGATTCGCGGTCCTCTGTGAAGTGCCCAAGTGGTGATGGTCTATTAACGTGCCAGATCGGGAGCCTCTTCGTGATGCAAGATGTTCAAAATCCTATATTGAAGTTCCCCTCGTCTAGCGGGTGTCACACAAGATCGTACTTTCTCAAGTCGCAGGTGGTATCATGACTGCAGTTGATGTCCTAAAGATGAAGATTGAACAGTGACGCTCGAAGGCGTGGAGTGGATGCGGCTCAGCTGCAAGAAAGGTGCAGGTGCGTGCAGAAGCAAGGCGGGATGATTGGCAGCTCGCTTCAAGTTCGACCGCCGGGTCCGTGTCTAGCAAAGGCAGGGCCGTGATCGAGGACGTCTTTTCTCAGCGCCTTGTAGCCTTGTACATATTCTGTCTATTACCTTCTGTACAGGCCATTGACAGCCGCACAAGGTCAATTGCGCCGGCTTTTGCTAGCTGTCCGCCAGGATGAGGTGCGTCCTTGGTTCTTCGACCTCCCTTGCATGCCCCTCCATCCATGCCAATGCTCGTCAACGCTAACCAAGCTCTGTCTCCATAGGTTCGGCCAACAGCTCCGGACGTCCCTGCTCAAAGACTGGTATTACTACTACATCGACTATGACGGCCTGAAGGAGAGCCTCAAGAAGCCTTACAAGACCGAGCCGACGCCCGAGAGCCCAGAGCCAGAGCGCGAAGAATGGACCGAGGAGGACGAGCAACGCTTTGTGAAGGAGCTGGAGCAGGAACTGGATAAGGTGTTCACGTTCCAGAAGGTCAAGAGCCAGGAGATAGTGCGGCGGATCAAGGCGTCGGAGAAGGAGGTCAATGAGGTGATAGCTAGGGCGGATCAGCAGGCCGCCGATGAACCGCGCAGTGGGCAGGCAGATGTGCCGACGGAGGAGGACTTCATGCTGCTAGAGGAGGACCTGAGCGATATCATCGCGGATGTGCATGATTTGGCCAAGTTCACGCAGCTGAACTATACTGGGTTCCAGAAAATTATCAAGAAGCACGACAAGCAGACGGATTGGCATCTTAAGCCTGTGTTTGCTGCGCGGTTACGGGCGAAGCCGTTCTTCAAGGACAACTATGACGCCTTCATCGTCAAGCTGTCGAGGCTCTACGACTTGGTACGGACGCGGGGAAACCCCACGAAAGGAGATGCAGCTGCGGGCGGGGGGCAGCAGAACTTCGTCCGACAGACTACAAAATACTGGGTGCACCCGGACAATATCACGGAGCTCAAGCTCATCATCCTCAAGGTATAGCACTCCTTTGCGAAGACTTAAACCACTTGCTAACACTCCCAGCATCTCCCCGTTCTCGTTTTCAATGCTAGCAAAGAATTCGACCCTAAGGATTCCGCAATCTCTTCCATCTACTACGACAATACCGACACCTGGGAGCTCTACACAGGCCGGCTCAAGAAGACCGAAGGCGCCGAAGCCATCCGGCTGCGCTGGTACGGCGACATGTCGACCGACACCATCTTCGTCGAGCGCAAAACGCACCGCGAAGACTGGACAGGCGAGAAATCCGTGAAAGCGCGCTTCTCCCTGAAAGAGAAAAACGTAAATGACTTCATGCACGGGCGTCTAACCGTCGACAAAGTCTTCGAGAAGATGCGCAAAGAGGGCAAGAAATCCGAGAAAGAGATCTCGGATCTCGAGCAACTGGCACGGGAGATCCAATACCGGGTCATCACGCGAAAACTGGTTCCCGTAACCCGCTCGTTCTACAACCGCACGGCCTTCCAGCTTCCCGGCGACGCCCGCGTCCGCATCTCCCTCGACACGGAACTCACCATGACGCGCGAGGACAACCTCGACGGACGCCAGCGCGCGGGCGACAACTGGCGCAGGATGGACATTGGAATCGACTATCCCTTCCCGCAGCTGCCGCCCGAGGACGTCGAGCGCTTCCCGTACGCGGTGCTGGAGGTGAAGCTGCAGACGCAGGCGGGGCAAGAGCCGCCAGCCTGGATCCGGGAGCTCACAGCCAGCCACCTGGTCGAAGCAGTCCCGAAGTTCAGTAAGTTCATTCATGGGACTGCGACGCTGCACCCCGGGCGGATAAAGCTGCTGCCCTTCTGGATGCCGCAGATGGATGTCGACATCCGGAAGCCGATCTCGCACCGCTTCGGCATCGAGCGTCCGGGGCAGTCGCAGGATGTCTCGACGAGCGCGAACTACGACGACGACTCGGACGAGGAGGGCGACCTCGCCGAACCGAATGGGGATGCCGCGCCGAGACACGAGGAGGAGGACAACGACAACGAGAATCTGCGCCGGCTGCGCGAGGCGAGAGACGCGATGGAGCAGCATGATCTCGACCAGCGCGCCGACTACGGCGCCATGGATGGTCAAGCGGATGGCCAGGCCAACGGTGGCCCGAATCAGCTGGACGTCGAGGAGCGCATCGCGGCGCGGCCGCTGCAGGATCCGGAGGAGGACTATCCGCTGTACGACTCCGAGGATGAGGAAGACGATCTCGAGGAGGCGCGGAGAGTTGGCGGGTGGACGTACCAGAAAAAACTGCTGCAGCACCGGCTGCGCAGCGCGGGCGAGTGGCTAGGTGGTGTGTTGAAGAGAGCGGTGCCGGCGCCACAACCGACATCGATGCCGCGCGTGGGGGCTAGTATGGGGATACCGAAGACGATGGGTGAGGCGAGGAGGTTCAGGGCGCCGAAGGGGAAACGTGAGTCCCAGTCTCTTGCTTCTTCCCTCCGTTTAGACAGAATCACGACCGAAACTGATACTGACGCATATGAAGGCATCCATGTCCCCGTCCGCGTGGAGCCAAAAGTCTTCTTCGCAGCCGAACGCACCTTCCTCTCCTGGCTCGAGTTCAGCATCATCCTCGGCTCGATTGCGGCCACGCTACTTAACTTCGGGGATAATGTCTCGCTCGCCTCGGCGTGGGCCTTCACGGTCGTGGCTTGTTTGAGCCTGCTGTATTCAATGGGCTTGTATTTGTGGCGCTCGGATATGATTCGCAAGAGGAGGGCAGTCACGTATCATGATAAGTGGGGGCCGAGTATTCTGTGTGTTGGACTGTTTGCTGCTGTGGCAGTGTCGTTTGGGATGAGGTTGAGTTATGGGGGCGATGGTGGGGGGTTGAAGGGATAGAATCGCTGTAGAGGAGTGTCTTAGATTGAAGAAATGTTCTTCCATGCATGGTCATCAAGGGAAGTTTGCAAGAGTGCAGGCGAGATAGTGCGCCAAGAAGCCCGTTGGTGTTGTATCTTGTTGGGGCGGAGCACTTTGGCGCTGGTGCTCACCTTCCGCCGCCGTTTTGAGACCAGTTGGTGGACCAGTCTCGGAGCCGCAGGGGTGTCCATGCTGCTCTGTCGCGTACGAAAGTTTTAGAACAGAAAGGGAACAGCTCCGAAATTCAGAGACTGCTGTGGATTAAACAAACGTATTCACCTGATTAGAGACCTTACGTCTCTTCGACTTATTAAATGGAGCTGAAGTGAGTTGATCGGAGTCAACAAGTATACAACTCTGAGGGTCGCAATCTCGTCAAGCCTGTAGAGAATGTAACCCTGCCCCAGCAGACTTCCTAGTCATTTTGCGTTCCGCGAATGGAAAGGCTTTTTAGCAGCGCCGGATGTTTGCCGGAACAGAGCTGCTGGTGTGAAACTAAAGAAACCTATCACCGCACTTTGCAATGAATGCGTATTGTGCGTTAGTCACTTGATCTCGCCAACTGACGGGTCCGATCCGTACTGTGGCCAACTGCCACTTTTAGTGAAGGACGTTGTCGGCAGCAGATACTGTAGTGCGGCGTCAGCAAGAGACGCAGCTGGAATTCCTGCACCGAAGATTGATATGAACTAGATGAGAGGAACGCTACGTACCCTTTACGCCAGTGTTGTCAGGCTCGACATACGCCTCTTTGACCTTCCCATCCTCAATGACGAGAGCGTAGCGTTTGCTGCGGTCACCTCCGAAGATGGCCTTCCCGTCAAAAGAGAGGTCCAGGGCGTTGGTGAATGAGAGGGCGGGGTCAGCTAGGAAGCGGATCTGGGTACGGTGTAAGCAGTCTGTCCCTGAGGTTGAATATATTGGTCCAACGGCTGAAGAGGGTCTTGGTCATAGTGAGAATATTAACTTACACCGCTCTTGCCGTCGGGATCTAGGACTTTGCCCCAGGCCTTCATCCTGGGAGGCGGTCAGTTGCCTGAGTTGAGAAACTCTTTTTGAGCAATTGAGAATGAGTGATGTATGCTGGCTTTTGATCTCGTGCCATGACGGTTGGTGCGAGGAGACATGAAACCGAGGATATGAGAGGTGACCCAGGTCTTCGTTTTATGAAGCAAACTTAGATATATGGTGTAGCCGAAAATCCGGCTTAACCGGAACAGCTAGATAATAATCCTTTACTCACACGACGGGTCTAGAAGGAATAACCTACACGAATGGGTCATTCACAGAAACAACAAAGACAGAGCCGGCATCCTTGAGCTTGGGCGAGTTGATGTATCCTGGGATATGGGACTCGCTGCAGGATGGGGAGTAGGCGGCCGGCACGCCGATAACGAGACCCTTTCCCTTCAGCTCATTGGCAATCTTGACCTTGTTGCCAGGGGAGTTCTCCATAAGCTCGACATCAGGGATGCTGTCGCCGACCTTGACCAGGGCGCGAGGTGTGTGGTGGAATGGCCGCGAGAAGGCAGCACGTGAAAGCGCGGAGGGGATCCTACGCGAAGCAAACATGACGATAGCAGGATGAAGATCAACTGGGCACAGTCCAGTCGGTGTGGCTAGGTGCAGAGAATGCGGCAGGCTAAATCAAATGTGAGGATTCAAAGGATGGAAGCCAGTCCGTTAGGCGGGTCGGTTGGCTGTGATTCAAGAGGGTGGTGGCTGGAGTTGAGCTGATCCCCCACGCGAGTGACAGAAATCGCCGGACTCGTAAACTACCGGACTTACAACTCACTCCCAAATCACCGAAACCTGCTAGGTTCACTGTATCTGTAAACATCTTTACTCTAGCCATCTTTGCCTCTAGGTATAGCTTGCATATGTTTATATAGTAGTATGTTATAAAGGATTACGCCTTTTCATGACCTCCCTAAGCTGACTGAAGACCTATATGTTTTATGAAGTCCGGCAATTTCTGTCATTCAGGTGCCCCCTCCCTCCCTCGCCCCCGGCTGCCAACCGGGACGGGCCAAGGCGGGCGTCAGATCCGCGCATTGCAGATCCAAGTGACGGCGAATCCGGCTTGGCCTCGGGGCGCTGAAGCCTTTGGACAGGCAGCCACCTGCGCGACTTTCGACCAGCCTCCAGAGACAAGCCCTCGGTCGGGCGCAAGAGGCTCGCTGTGCTGAGCGATCAAACTGACCTTGGGTAAAGAGCCTCGATGTTTCAAAAAGGTACTCATGTCGCTGGAAAAAGATGAGCACACAACGCTCGAAGACGGCCGGTGCAGGAACACGGTTTTGCATGAGACGCAGACGCTCGTCATCAGCCGTCTCCCTTAAACGCGGGATATTCCCACATATTCCCAGCAGTCGGGTCGCGGCTTCGCTTCCAGGAGGGTGAAGGCCGATCATGGATGGAGGGTTGGGGCGCAACAAAGGTGTCCGCCAGGCCCTTTCCGGGGCTCTGGCGCTATGGCGCTCTGGGGCTCTGATCTATCAATACTCGAGCACCCGTGCACGCCATGCATTTGCCAGCAGTGGCAGTCGGCTACGGGCATTTTCTTGAAGTCAACCGACTTGGTCTATCCTGGCGGGCATCATCGCAGCCCCGAGCAGACTTGGCATTTGTCGTTCCGCAGCTGTGGCTTGCGCTTTCCCAAGTGCCGATGGTCGTCTTTGCTTGCTTGCGCGGGAGCCCTTGCGCATTCCCAAGTGCGCCGAAAGTCATCGCCTTTTCTGGATAAGGTAGCTGCTAGATTTTAGCACCGACCAATTAGCCCGGCATCCATCTCCACCTCTAAGGCTCACCCCATCCCATCCTGCTCCCGACGGCGAACTTCACGGCTACTCGAATGTGCACTCGCATCGCGCGACCCTCCCTTGTCCACCCTCTGCGGTTTGCCTCCAGCAGTGCGGACGCGCCCAGTAGACCTTCTTAGTGCATCGAAGGCCCTTGCACGGCGTTGGAGCATTGCATCCGACCATACGGCTATCTACAGCACTGCACCCTTCGTGCCATAGTGCCCTCAGGAGCCCTCTACGATACCCATTATTGCCATTGGCACCATCCGTTGCTCTACTGCTGTGGGCGACAATTCTGGGCCCTGAAATCGAAGCGCGTTGCGGGCAGCGCAGCGTCATCGGGTCGCTCGTGCGAAGCGATGGATTCACAAGGCGGCATGTCGGGGGCGAACAACTCCAGCGACTTTGTAAGTCGTCCCAGAAGGTCGCCCTGCCCCTAAAGATTGCGCGCTGATAACAATTACCAGGTCAAGAAGTTGTACAAGTGAGCTCGCATTGATTCCTCGAAAGCGTTTGGCGCGTTCGCTGACGCTTGTTGCAGGATGCTCGAGAATCCCACGGACGAGAACGTAGTACGATGGGGCAATGAGGGCGACAGCTTCGTTGTTCTAGAAGTTCGTGCCCTCTATCAGCTATCCAGCGCGAATGAACACAACTGACCACCAATCAGAACGAGAAATTTACAAAGCACATACTACCTAAACACTTCAAACACAGCAACTTCGCAAGCTTTGTCCGGCAACTGAACAAATACGACTTTCACAAGGTGCGACACAACAACGAGGAGAACGGACAGTCGCCGTATGGCGCGGGTGTGAGTAATCTGGGCCTGGGCGCCGGCATGCAGAGTTGCTCATAGCATGTGTAGGCTTGGGAATTCAAGCATCCGGACTTCAAGGCCAATAACAAGGACGCGCTGGACAACATCCGACGGAAAGCTCCCGCACCGCGCAAATCGAACACGGCGGCAGACGACATCATGATACCCACGCAGCAGATGGATCTCGTCAACACGCAACTGGTCGCAACCCAACAGCAGCTCCAGCAACTGCAGGAGCGCTACAACGAGCTCAGTGTACACCACTCGATGCTCCTGCAGGAGCTGATCGGGGTACAAAAGACCGTAGTAAATCACGAGCATGTTATGCAGAACGTCATGAGCTTCCTACATTCGATTGATGCACAGAGAAGACGGGATAGCCGGGTGCTGAATCCGTTCCCGCAAGCTGGCGCTCAGAATGGTGCGCCGGACGGAGTCGCACAGCCGGCGGAAGACGACGTTCCCGCATCGCCCCTACAACACGCATCCAAATTGCTCAGCGAGACGAACGCCGATGTCATGCTGAACCCTCGCAACCTGGAGCACATGAACGAAGTCTCGTTGCGCATGAATGGTACTCTCACCACTCCACCGCCGGACTACGTTCGTAACGGACCAAGGCCAACAAGTCGTGGAACCGCACCACCATCAGCAAGCTCACAAAGCTCTATGCGACTGGGTGATATAGATGGTCTAGTATACCCTGTTGGCCAAACCAACGGCATCGATCCAATGTTCAGCGAACACATCCACAACATTCCCTATGCTATGCCACCTAAACCCCCAGAGACCGCAGACCCTCAGATGCCATCTGCTGCAGCACGGAAGAAGAGCCACCAGATCGACCCAGGCTGGATAAGGCAACCACAGATCCTTCTTGTAGAAGACGACCCAACCTGTCGAAGGATTGGTGGGAAGTTCTTATACGCCTTCCATTGCTCTATAGACAGCGCTGTAAGTACCACGTGTCACGGTTTCATCAACAAGTTACTGACTGCCGTGAAGCTTGACGGGCTCGAAGCAGTGAACAAAATGAATGCGGGGTCCAAATACGATCTTGTGCTTATGGACATTATCATGCCGAATCTAGACGGCGTCTCGGCCTGCCATCTCATTCGACAATTCGATCAGACTACAGCGATCATCGCCATGACGTCCAACATACGGAGTGATGATATCTCCATGTACTTCCAGCATGGTAAGCCAGCAGTGACGCCTTCTGATGACAACGACTAACACGTACCAGGTATGAATGATGTCCTACCTAAGCCCTTCACCAAAGAAGGCCTACTTTCAATGCTCGAGAAGCATCTTGCGCACTTGAAGAGGCCTATTCACACACTAGAGGCCATGGTTGCGCCTCCAATGCCAGCGCTCGCACATACCTCTGCACGGCAGTCTCTCAAAGACGAAGACTCACCGGGTAAGTCACCGGCGACGGCCAGCAATTGGAATTCTCCGGCCCAAATGTCTGGTGTTTCACCAGTTGCCCCCAGCGTGCCGGACGAGTACATGAGCACGGTCGGTGCAGTTCAGGGTAACGCCGTAGCTTATGCGGTAAACAACGCGCCAATGCCTCCCGCTATGGCATACAACTCGTCGCCTCAGCTGCCGGTGCCCGGACGAGCACCACAAGGCGCGCATCGACGACAGATCTCGGATATATCTGGTGGTGACGACATGTCGAGTAGTGCGAAACGGCAGCAGATGTATGCGCCACCGGTACGGCCGCAGCCTATGAATCCCATGCAACGGCCGAGGTGACACCCTGGGTCGTTTCACTTTTCATTTTCATGTATCTTGTTGTTGATCTCTGCCGTCTTCCCAGGCTTCGAAATCTGCGACGATGCAACTTTTCCGGTTCGAAGTTGCCATACATGGCCTTCATTTGTTTGCATAGTCTCATGATCCTGGATGTCAAAATACTTGACGTATCAACATTAGTCTGCAGGAGGATGTGCGGTTGAGGGAGAAGTACAGAATGGTGCAGACGGCTCATGTCTTTTTGGCAGTGCGAAGTGTAACAGCCCCGTGTAGCATCAACAGTTTCGACAAAGTCATTCTTGCTTGGCCTATGAATCATTGGCGTTCATTGTCTACCATGGCTGGACATAGGGCAGAATATCATGGCTATCCAGCGCGTTGGACGGCATTCTGATAGTTGTTCATACACGCGATTAGGAACAGAGTAGCAGCTAGATGCCATGCAGACCATTTTAGATTAATCTCATGCACGTCAAAGGTTCCTCGGCGCTGCTAATGCAGGTCCTTGCGTCTGTCTACCCCAGGGTTTCCGAGCCTCTGGAAAGCGGTCGTAATAAGGTTATTGAAGCCTCCCGCTGAGAGTCCAGACTCCTGGCGGGCCCAGATGCTCTGGATCTTGCGCAGGCATGGATGCGTTCGCAGGGATGTGACTCTTCCCGCACCAACCACCCCAGTCATGTTCGCAGTTGAGTCATGCAGCACCGTTTTCGCCAAAACTCCCGTCATGTCTGCAGAAATATTGACTGAACCTGAGAGAGCTCCATAAGGCATAATCCAAGATGCCACCCAAAGGAAAGAAGGGCGGCGGCGCCGGTGACAAGTCGAAGACGGGCGAGGAGGAACGACCAGAACCCCTTCAGGCCGTTGTACGTGCTATGCGCTCTGCCAATATGACGAGCTCGTGCTAATTACCATGTAGATACTCGCGGATCCCTTCAAGACACGATTCAGTCCCTTCACCCTCGAGCGCCCACGAGTACGTCCCCAGCAAGCCGTTGTCGTCGAGCACAGCTAATCTCCCCGCAGTGTCTCCTGCCAGTCGCAAACACCCCACTGATCGAATACACCTTCGAGTTCCTTGCAAACGCTGGCGTAGAGGAGGTCTTTGTCTACAGCGGCGCGCATACAGACCAAGTCGAGGAGTACATACTGTAATGATACGCTCGGACGTAGTATTGGGACAGATATTGACGGCACCACAAGACAGTCAAAATGGTCAACCTCGTCCGCCTCCTCGCCCTTCTCGAAGCTCGAGATCATACGGTCCTCCTCCCGCTCTATCGGAGACGCCATGCGCGACCTTGACAAGCGCGCAATGCTCGTTGGCGACTTCCTCATCGTGTACGGAGACGTCGTCAGCAATCTCCCCTTAGAGCCCGCCCTAGCAGCGCACCGAGCGCGGCGAGCAGCAGACAAAAACACCATCATGACAATGGTGCTGCGCGAAGCCGGTCAAACGCACCGCACCAAGGCGCAAGAAGCCTCCCCCGTCTTCGTAATCGACCCCACAAAGAACCGCTGCCTGCACTACGAGCAGATGCACGCGCGGCAGAGCAATCACTTCGTCAAAATCGACCCGGACCTCCTATCCAGCCACCAAGAGCTTGAGATCCGCCAGGACCTCATCGACTGCGGCATCGACATCTGCACCCCTGATGTGCTGGCGCTGTGGAGCGACAACTTCGACTTCGAGGCGCCGAGGAAGGGGTTTCTGCATAGCGTGCTCAAGGACTACGAGCTCAATGGCAAGACAATACATACGCACATCGTTAACGATCACTACGCAGCGCGGGTGCGGAATCTGCGCGCGTACGACGCGGTGAGCAGGGATATAATCTCAAGATGGGCCTACCCGCTGTGTCCGGATAGCAACCTGTTGAAGGGGCAGACGTACCGGCTGCAGAAGGGGAACGTCTACAAAGAGAACGACGTGATACTAGCGAGGTCGTGTGTGATCAATCGAAGGAGCGTCATTGGTGCTAAAACAAGCATTGGCGACGGCAGCACGATATCGAACAGCGTTGTGGGTCGGCAGTGCATTATTGGTAGGAATGTTACGATCGATGGTGCATATATCTGGGATTCCGCTGTCATCGGAGATGGTTCCACTGTCACCAAGGCCATTGTGGCTAGCGAGGCAGCTGTGGGTAGAAAGTGCATTGTCGAGCCGGGAGCGTTGATCGGAGAGGGCGTGCGCATTGCAGATGGTGTGACCGTGCCAGGAACGAGCCGCATCACTCGAGCGAAGCGAAAGCGAGGCGCTGAGGACTACTTTGGGCGAGACGAGCCCGATGTCAGGCTTGTCGGTCAAGGCGGGGACGGTTACGAGTTCATTGGTTCGGACGAAGAGGACGAGGAAGGCGTTGAAGGTCTCACATCGAACGGGCTCAGTTTGTGTCTCCCCCAAGCAATCCCCGTACGAACGAGATACTAACTTCCCCCAGTCTACAACATGCAGAACCTCGCCCTCTCTACGGAATCAATATCCACGTTGAACTCAGAAGACGAACTCTCCGAAGACCGCGTCGCCCACCACGACCGTTCAGCCGCCGGAAGCTTCATCTCCATCGCCTCGGACGACAGCCACGCGAGCCAGCACGCCGGCGACTTCCACCACGACGCCGCGGCCAGCATCTTCGACTCGCTGCAGAAGGGCGACGAGTGGGAGAACATCCAGCTCGAGCTCACAGCGCTACGCATGAGCACCAATGCTTCAGAGCACCAGCTTCGCCGAGCGGTCGTGGCGGCGTTCATGAAGCGCATCGCCCAGGTTGTGGAGGCGGGCACGCCGGCCAAGGCCGCGGTGGACGAGGTGCTCAAGGGATACGGAGAGCTGGTTAAGAAGACTATGTTTGATGACGGGGATAGAGTGGACTTTTTGCTGCTTATGCAGACGGATCTCGCGCACAGGAAGGAGGGGGCGAACGTGCTGCTTTATATGTGCATGGAGCTGTACAGGTTGGATGTGATGAGCGCGGAGGTGTTTGAGAGGTGGTGGGAGGATCCGAAGGGGATGGAGGGTGGGGAGATGGAGGGTGTTAGGGGGAAGACGCAGCAGTTTATTGACTTTTTGAAGGAAGAGAGCGAGGAGGAAAGCGAAGATGAGGATGAAGAGGATGACGAAGAGGACGAAGATGGAGATTAGACAGACCTACGGGTGTTAGCTAAAATATATGCGATACTACTGGCGGTCCCTATATCAAGCGAGGAATTGCACAATCCATCATCGCACGTGACAAGTGTGCCCCAGGCAGAACAGCGACAGGCAGAAAGTGGGGCGTTTCTGCTCGGATGAGGTAAGCAGGGCGGCAAAACGGCGAAACTCGGCTTACCGCCCTCGTCCGGCCCGATGCAGTCACTGCCTGAAGCTCGAACACCTGACTGCATCCACACTTGAACCACCACTCTCACCACTCCCACCACTGTCCCGCCTGATCCACGCTCCGGACTGCCGCAATTCACTCTCCCTTCTCTTTCCAGCACTCACCAGCAGCTTCTCCTCACTTCATATCCACCCCCAGTCGTCTCACAACCCCCTCACAAACGCGCTACTGCCGGCCTCGTCGCAGCGGCGAGCCTGGCACCCCACTGATCCACCACGCCTCCCACCACGAGAAAACGCAAAGCATCAGATAGCCTGAACAACTCACAACAGACAGCCGAGTACCCCCACAAGAAGGTGGACAAGAAGACAGCGACCAAGCAGAGCGTCAAGGAGTCCCTGCCCGCCACTCCGCTCACGCTAGCATCCGCTACCATGGACTCCGACGACGAGATGAACAGCGTGGTCAGCAGCGAGGACGACTTCATGGCGGGGCCGGATAGTGAGGACAGTATGGGAGAGGGTGAGTGGTTCCCTATCGCCTTTGTTTTGTGGATCTGGGTTTGGCGACTGACACCTTGCCGCCTTATCAGGCTCAGACCTCGACTTCGAAGATGACGAGCCAGACATTGGCTTCGACACGCACGAGAAGGACGTCAAGCCCGCCAAGCATGCCTACGAAGTCGACTTCAAGGTCTTCGGCCCCGACGAGATACAATCGCACCAGGATCGGCAGATCGAGGAGGTCTCGAACATTCTGGGCCAGCCGCCCGAAGCTTCGGCGATCCTCCTACGGCACACAAGATGGAACAAGGAGAGGCTGATAGAGCAGTACATGGACAAGCGGGATGAGGTGCTGGAAGGCGCGGGGCTAGGAGACGACGTCGCGGGCTCGCCACGGATAGCGAAGGTGCCGGGGTTCACGTGCGATATCTGTTGCGAGGAGGGGCCGGATATGGAGACGTTTGCGATGAAGTGCGAGCACAGGTTCTGCGTGGACTGTTATAAGCAGTACCTGTGCGGCAAGATTAAAGAAGAGGGCGAGGCGGCGAGGATCAAGTGTCCGGGCGATGGGTGCAACAGGATAGTGGACTCCAAATCGTTGGATCTGCTTGTCACAACGGACCTGAAGGAAAGGTAGGTGTTGCGCTCTTTCGGGTGGCTATCCACATCACTAATATTCACATAGATACCAAGAGCTCCTTACTCGCACATACGTCGATGACAGAGAGAATCTCAAATGGTGTCCGGCCCCAAACTGCATCTACGCCGTTGAATGCCCAGTCAAAAAGCGCGACCTAAGCAAGATCGTCCCGACCGTCCACTGCAGTTGCAAGCACAGCTTCTGCTTCGGCTGCTCCCTCCCCGACCACCAGCCCGCGCCCTGCGCGCTCGTCAAGAAATGGCTCAAGAAGTGCGAAGACGACTCCGAAACCGCCAACTGGATCTCAGCCAACACAAAAGAGTGTCCAAAATGCCACTCGACGATTGAGAAGAACGGCGGCTGCAACCACATGACATGCCGTAAATGCCGGCACGAGTTCTGCTGGATGTGCATGGGCGTGTGGTCCGAGCACGGCACGAGCTGGTACAACTGCAACCGCTTCGAGGAGAAGAGCGGGTCGGACGCGCGGGATGCGCAGGCCAAGTCGAGACAGAGCCTCGAGCGGTATCTCCATTACTACAACCGCTACGCGAACCATGAGCAGAGCGCCAAGCTCGACAAGGATATCTACCTCAAGTCCGAGAAGAAGATGACGCAGCTGCAGAGCTCGTCCGGCATGTCGTGGATCGAGGTCCAGTTCCTGGACTCGGCGAGCCAGGCGCTGCAGCAGTGTCGGCAGACGCTCAAGTGGACGTATGCGTTTGCGTACTATCTGGCCCGTAACAACTTGACGGAAATCTTTGAGGATAACCAGAAGGACCTTGAGATGGCGGTCGAGAATCTGAGCGAGATGTTCGAGAAGCCGGTTGATCAGCTGCAGAGCTTGAAGCGTGAGATCATGGATAAGACGACATATTGCACGAAGAGGAGGGTTATCTTACTGGATGATACTGCGGAGAATTTGAAGCAGGGTGAGTCCTCCACGTCAACCTTTTGCGGCAGTAGCTGACATGATACTAGGCAACTGGGAGTTCAACGTAGCTCTTACATGAAGTTGGAGCTACTTCCCTATTACATGCTTACAAGGAATTGCTACAGGCATGGACCCTAGCTGACATCGAACCGTCGCGTATAGACACACTGTTTGGCCTCGCACCGCCGGCCAAGCGGGCCAGACGTCAGCGTCAAGGAGGGTGTCTGGTTGGGTAGCACGGAGTCTGGCTTCTCACTCAGTGACACGGCACGGCACAGGGGGGCGGGTTATATGGCAGGACATTGGCGTTGGTCGGATTCAGCTTGATGCACAGCGTGGATCGGGTGCTTTTCACCACACGGTATTTCTCGTGGAGCGTTTCTGGCATTTAGAGTCTCATCACCAGTTACTCGCATTCCCTTGTGGGTTTGGGGGCGGTGTTACTGCGACTGGGGCCTTTGTAGGTGTAGTGTATGGGAGAGACCGTATCATTGCAATCATTTGGAGCTTCCAAGACTTTTGCGACGCGTGTCTTTCCTTTACATGTCTCACGTCGCGCTACCCTTCCTCTCTATTGGGCTATGATGATCACATGATCCAGGGTCCCCTGACGGCTCTCCGCATCAATCGGCCCTATGCAGGGCTAAAAGGGGCATAGTGACACGGCCGCATCTCGGAGTCGCTGAGGTCACCGAGGGCGTCATTGACCGGGGTGTTCAGTTCACGTAGACAGGATGGGGGTCGAGTATGAAGTCATCGGAATTATTGGAAAAGTATATGGGGCTGGCAGAAGCTGGAAAGGACGTGGAAAAAATAATCAACCACCTTAACAACCGTTACTACAAGTGATTCAGAACTGACTTGCTAAGCGAGCTCAATCGTTCAACCATCTGCTCTGACGCAACAGAAACCTCGACCGAACAATGGCACACCAAGACAGAATGGCCGGCCTCTCGGCCGCGGACCAGGCAATTAACGAGTCCCCGGAAGACATCTCGAACCAGGCGCAGGGGCACAAGGCTAATCTGAGCAATCCCAGTGCGTGTCTTCTTCTGTCCCCTCTGAAAGGGCACCTTTCACACATCCCGATTCTGTAACTCAAACCTCTACGCTAACTGGTCTGAGCAGACACGTCCGAAGCGTCCAAGGAGAACTCTCGACAGGCACTTGAGGATCTAGGCGGCGAAGACGCATTTTACGGCAAGAAGGAGGAGGAGAAGAACCCGGGAAACGTGGCTGGAGGCCTAAAAGCGTGAGTAGTATTTGCAGCAGAGTAGTCAAAGTAGTAATCCATTCATCGGTGTGGCAGGACGATCAACAACCCGCAGGTCAGCGACGAGGCACGCCAGGCAGCGCAGGAGAAGCTGGACAATATGTAGAGGGTTTGCTGAAGGAGCAGGGTTTACGAATGATGTCCTAATGTAAAGTTCTGCGTAGGAGCTTGATGGTCTGTCTAGGTTATCTTTTATTCTAATTCACTTGATTCTAGCCTGCAACCGTCTTGAACTCGAATGTCAGAGTGATTGATGTCAGTGTGAAGACGAACGTGCATTTCTATCATTTCTACCAAGATGGCGACGCGAGAACGCAGTCTGCATACAAATGGTGATTTGATCTTGCACGCAGGCCCCAAACAGTGGCCATGGTAGAGACAAACCACGCTCCTCCCATCGGTCTCTTGCTCTGATGTGTTAGCTTCAATTCTTTCTACACAAGGTCTTTCCGTAGGCATCTCCCAGTTCAGCGTCCAGCATCGGTTTGCCAGCTTCGACAATGGCGCACCATCCCGTGCATCTTCAACGGTAAAACCCATCCACCCACCTCATCCTATTGTGCCCAGCTGAGACATCCTGCTCAAACGTCCGGTTGCGCAAGCTGCTCGAAACGTACCCATATGAAAGTTGTTCAGGTACCATCGTCCTTGGTGTGTCGGCCTCCGCGCTTGTAGGACGGGCTCCTGCCAGGTATAGTATGCCACTCAGTGGGCGTAAACTCCGGCTCCAGCCCAGCACTACGAGCGCTCTTCTTAACGACCGACAACGGACTCTCATGCCTTGAGGGGTGGATCACAGTCTCTGCGGGCTCGTGCGCCTTGTTGTCCAGTGCGGTTCGAGTGCTCTTTAAGATGGTTGCTTTTAGCGTCATCTCAGTAGTATCGACAGTCCGCTCTGTAGTTCTAGTTCTGTGAACAACTGAACTTCGCCGAATCCTTAAAGACCCGTTGACGTTAAGATTCTCTTTCACAGAACGCACAGAAGCCCGGGCCTCACTCGTTGCGCTGAGATGTAGGTAGTCTTGGTCCTCAATTGCGTGGTGAGGCTGCTTGTATGACGACGTTGTGGCTATCCCCGTAACGTTGGCATCCGTATCCGCGTTTACACCAGCACGCTGGACGATTCCTGCAGCTGGAGGCTCTGGTTCGGGCGGATTCGCCAGCCATGAGTCTCTCAAAGCCATACCAAGAGCAAGGGCTACTGGACGTGCAACGCTATTGCCGATAATCTTCCATTGATTCGCTGGAAGGCCAACAATGACTTCTTCGTCCGGAAAGCCTTGAGCGCGCCGAGCGTCCATAACGGTCAGACACCTCGGCTGGTCCCAGTGTAAGACGTTGCCGTGGAAAGCATCCGCAGGCGAGCAGATTGTCGTGATAGTGGGCATCAGGCCGTCGGCAGGAACGCGGCCCCAAGCGTTGCTGGTTTTGGCTGATCGAAGTTTGTTTTTCTCCTTGGCGGATGCCAGCCTCTGTGGTAGACCCATGTAGCCTTGCTGAATGGCTTTTACAAAGTTCTGGCTAGGGGGAAACACTGGAATCATAGACATTTGAGTGCGGCGAAGTGCCCGTTCAACTCGTGACGTTCGATGGTCGGGAAACTCGATACAGCTCTGAACGGACGAATCACCGATCCATGGAAGGTCCTCGGTCGCCTCTCTCGCAGTGACGTACTCAAACGGCGTTGGCTCGAAGCGTCTTTCCCCAAATCGCTGCCCGTTGGTGGCCTTGCCCAGGCTAGCGTTTTTGGTGTTCGGAGGATGGGCATGAGTTGAGGCAGGATGAGGAATGGGCTCCAATTCAGGCGCTGCGATGGATATGAAGAGTCGAGACCGGCTCTGCGCGCTTCCAGCCGACCAAGCATCCATACAGAATTGCTTCACCTGGTATCCCATGCCGACTAAGGCGCAGAGCAGCTGCGAGAAGACGTTCTGATCTGTGGCCCCTATCTTATGCGTCATCGCCACAACGTTCTCTAGAACCGCGTATTGCGGTCTATAGAGGTCGATATAGGCCACTACTGAGGCAACCAAGGACGCATTCTTAAGGGACTCTTCGCTCTGCTTGTTAGGCTGGAGGAGGGAGAAGGCTACACATGGGTTTCCTGCAGAGAAGAACTCCACCTCGCCTATACGAAGTACGCTGCGTTTACCAGCGATTGCTTGAGCGAGATAATCGTCGACGGAACCAAAGAATAATTACACACGGCCCGGTTCCTTCAGGTTCGCGTGGTATGTGTGCATAGCATGCGCAGCCAGATCAACAGCCCCAATGAATTCTACTGCACCGCCTTCTTCGAGACCTCGGTCAAAATTGCCGCCCCCACAAAAGAGTCCTAGCCCTCTCAACGGGCGCTGGGCGGGCGGAGCAGTGGGATCGTACCCTTGATTGAGCTGTGAGGGAAACGGGTCTTGCACACCCTTGTAGCCGTCTGTGACCTGTTCGCAGGTGATATAGAAGGCGTCCGCAGTTCCATCCCGGTTGTAAGGGACTGGTATGCAACCGGTCTTCAGGTCTTCCGCGGTATAGAAGCGAACAGCGCATTTCCTGACAACCTGCTTAGCTGAGATCATGAAGAAACCACTGGTCCAGACGACCTCGTTGGGGCGTGCTTCCTTGTGCCCCAGATCGCGCTCTCGTCGTGGAAGGCGCCGCATGAGAACACTCCCTTTCTCATGGAGGAAGGACTCGATGACGGCAGGCTCAAGGTAATCGTGGCCCTTTGCGGAGAATAGAACGGAGTCCCCGACCTCGAATTTCGTCATTAGCAGCTCCAGCTCTGACTGCGTAACGGCCGTTCTGCAGTCGCACTCGAAGTCCGTGGTCCGGAGTGTTGAAAAGGAGTTATCTCCCACGCGATAAACTTGCCGAACGATGAAGTCATGTTGCGAATCCTGCTGGGCGTGCAAGCCTCTCGAGAACGGTCTCCAATCGACGTTAACCTTGCACACCACATCGGCTGCTCTGAACTCATGTTTGTCGCAATTGCAGTGGTCAGAAAAAAATAACTCGTTCTTTACTGGATAGGTCATGGTGGATAAGGTTGTGTCAACAGGCCTGTACAACCAGATGACATCCAGTAGCTGTCGTCCTTTTGTATCTGTACGTGTCCCTTGCACGTATGCAAACCATGTGTCTTGCCCGTCCTTCCAAACTGACTCCTCGTCCCGATTAACACCCACCACGTCGCCGACGCGAAACTCGCGATTTACAAGAGGGAGAACGCGATTTGACGGCGTATGTGATGAACTTCCATGAGGCCTGAATCCTAGAGCTTCCTGTCGCCGGCGCTGTAAGCTAAGCACTTCGTTTGTAGGATGGCGGGCTTCTAGCCACTTCGAGAAGTACATATTCTTAAAGCAGTCATAAGTGTAGGGAGTCACTATGGTCTTAGCCTCCTCTTGCGGTTGCTGTGGAATAGCGCTCAGCTCGACTGGACCGATCTCGCCCCAGATAGGATGGCACGTTAACTCGGTGTTGATGTTCCAGCTCTCGTTGAATAAGAATCCAGCATTAGCTGCGACACTAGTCCGGAAGTCCGTACTCTTTGACTCCCCTAACCACATGACGAAGTGCTCATCGCTACCATGTCTCGCAACGAGCTGCTCATAAAACCGTCTCCGTAAGTCGCGGAGACAGACAGCGTCGTGCTCGGCTAGATAGTCCACAAAGTATTTGCTGAGATTTGCCACCCACAAGAAGGGTTTGTGGTAACGAGTGTACTCTTCAGCCGGGTATCTCAGCTGGTACCAGATCGCGCTCTGCCGTCCCAGGCTGGATTGTATCCAGATTCCAGTGGCGGTGTGCGCGCTATGATCGCCGTACCCATCGATTGATAACGTCTTGAAAGGTACTCCTTGAACATATCTTTTCTCCTGTCCAACGCTGAGAATACCGTCGAACAGAAGTTCGCTGACGCCTCGTTTGTTGTTCAGTTGATGGAGACACTCCATCTTATACTCGTAATCACACTCGTCCCAGACGGCTCGATTCGATGGCTTGGACGGTCTGTACATGCTGAACGCCGAGAGCTCGAAGCTAACGTAATCATCTGTCGCAGCGTGAGCAGCACCGCCCGGACTGGCAAGCTGCTTGCGCGTATATTCCTGCTTGAGATCCTTGATCGCTGATGACTCCGAAGTGATGGGTAGCGGAGGGAGCCATCCTTGATACTGGGACTTCGGGTACGCCCAATTTGACCGTATGATCGGAACGAGCCGTTGCCCGGTACGCGGTAGCGAAGAGAACTCGTTGAGAGATGTCGCACGAACATCCAACGTCGGTGGTCTTTTCTCACGTGTCTCACTAGCATCGAGATCAAACCACTTCCTTTTCCGAGAAGCTCCAGCTGAGCTGCCGTAACATCCAGTGTTGCCTAAAGTCTGTGGCCGCGATGGTGCAGATTCGGGGCTTGTTAGACTAGAAATGCCTCTAGAGCTACTGGGTTCATGGAGGGTATGTAGTGGTTGTGCTAAGATGTCTTCTGACGAAGCATCATCGAAGATATCATCTACAAATGCGACGGTCAATTTAGATCTTGTGGAAGCTATCTTGCATGCAAGGAAGACCAACCTTCAAGGGTGAGTGGGGGCATGGCTGAACCGAATTACGGTGACGAAGTAGAAAGCAATCACTCGTACGACAGCTATCGTCTTACAATAGTATGAAACGAGCGCTTGAGCAATCAGCAGAAATGTGCGCGGGGGCACTCCTGGGCGAGGATTTGAGACCCTACGCGCGTTGTCGAACAATGACGCTCTTGCCGGTTCAGCAGCCTTGACGCAAAACGTTGCTGGCTGCTAAAGGAGGCGAATAAAATAAAGAATTATACAATAGGATATTGTATGAGGAGAAGGCTTTGCCCCGAAGGCGCTCCTGGGCAACGACCTCAGGTCTCTGCAGGCGTTATCGTGGTGCTGCTCTTGCTGGTTCAGCAGCAGTTCGGTGTGAATTATTGGACGAGAAGTCCTCCAATAAAGGTCCAGTCCAGTGGATGATCCAGGCGACTTGATCGGTAGAGCTATGACGACCGCTCTTTCGTGGGTGTCTAGTACTCGTGCCGTGGGCTCGAGGTGCGCGAAAGTGGCAGGAAGGAGTGGCTTGATGATATGGCGAGGGCAGCAAGTCTAAACGTGCCAATCTAGAAAATGCAGCAATTAAATTGCGGAAGTGAAGTGAAAGGCACGCGATGCGCGAATGTAAAGACTGTGAGAGGACCGTAAAGAGAAGGTGCGCGTCTTGGGACGCGTTCATCCAGACCTTGGAATGTCGCGTCGGCGCTTGTGAGTCGGCAGCCCGGCCGAGCGCGGCGGAAGACGAAGAACGGAAAAGTCCATGGTCCGAGCTACTCCAAAGTGAAAATTCTTCTGAAACGCTTCAGTAGTTGCAGCGATGAGAACCGCTGAAGCTGGAAGCGGCTGTTGGCTTGGGTGCGTTGTGAGGTGTAAGAATTCGTGCCGTGAGGCGGAAGTACTGCTGGTTTCAAAATGTGCGGCCGTTTGGATGAACTTCAGCCACCCAACCCCCCCTCGATTGTCAAAGACCCAAACGACGTTTGCACAACGATTTAACGCTTAGGATAGAAGTTGATACTCTTAAAAGGTGCAGCATAGCTGTAGCTATTAATAATTAGAATTTATCTAGGTATATTTTAAGTAATACATGGTAGGAAAGCTTTTAGACTTATAAAAACCGCGCACGCGGGCAGCGGCGTACGGGCTTTCTAAGAAAATCAAGTGCACACGAAACTACGTATTCTAGTAGTTTATTAGCTACGCGACGCTACTAGTCTTCTTGATTTCTACCTATTAAATAGCTACAGCTGTGCTGCATCTTTTGAGAGTATTAAGCAATCGAGGGGGAGAGGGGTGGGATGAAGTTTCATTTCCAAACGGCCGCACATTTTGAAACCAGCAGTAGTTGCAGGTGGCATGTGATTCGATCAACCCGACCGTTTCAACAGTGGGATATGGCATTCGCAGAGTCCTTTCTTTATCAACTGGTGGAAAACTAGCTGATTCAATGACGTCTCGGCAATCCGTAGGCAATGAATGCTTGGCTGGACAGGGAATATCGCTGGTTTTAAAGTCAGGCGTTTATGGAGTAAACATGTTCGATCTCAATATACGCCGTGCATAAGTACTTTCGCAACAGCCTTGTCTATCGCAAGCCGCGCAGAATTCGAGAGACAGCTAAAATCCAGTTACATTGTTGTGCTGCCCGCACTTAAGGGCAGACGCCGGCGGAAATACAACCCCTCTGAATACCAAAATGCTAGCAGCTCTATCTGGGCGCTGCATGGAATGTCTAATGCTGTGAAGGGGCTTCAAGGAGAGGGTGACCTTCATTGAGAAGAGACACATCTCGCCGTAACTACGCTAATGGGTAATGACGTTGATACTAGAAGGCGATATGCTCTCGAAAACAAGTGGAGGCCCTGGGTGGGACAAGGCCTTCAAGGCGTGCATCGGCCCATGTACCGCGGGTACAAGCAGCAGTCTCTGACGGTGTGCTGCTTGCAAAGCCAGGCCAGAAAACGCTCAAGGCCGAGGCCATATCCACCGTGCGGGGAGCTGCCGTACCTGATTGAAAGATCAGTACATCACTGTGTGCTAGAAGGTAGTTCGGATATGAAGACTCACTTCCTCTGGTCCGTGTACCAGTAATATGGTGCCGGGTCGATCTCGTGACGCTTGAACGCGGCCATGAGCTCATCATAATCGTCCATCCTCATGGAACCGCCGACGATCTCGCCCACACCTGGCATTAAGCAGTCCACGCTCTCAGTAACGCGCAGGTCGTCCTTGTCCTTCTGCATGTAGAATGCCTTAATTTCGACAGGGAAGTGTGTCAGAAAAATAGGTCGGTTAATCTCATCCGTCATTTTTCGCTCTGCCGCTTCAGCAATATCGTCGCCAAACGTGTGTGGAAGGCCTTCTTCATTAAGGACATCGTGGTCGCGCAGCCAGTCAATAGCTTCGGTGTATCGCATTCGCTTGAAGGGACGCTCGGGCATCTTGAATTCGGGGTTGAGCGCTTGGACGTATCCGGCGATGGTAGGGCTAGACATAGTAACCTCGAGGACTTTCACAATAGTGTCCTCTAGATGGTCTAGGAGATCGTCGAAGGTGATGAAATCGAGCTCGGCTTCGACGTGGGTATACTCAGAGAGATGGCGGCGGGTGAGGGATTTCTCAGCGCGGAAGGATTTTTCAATGCAGTACACGTCGCCCATGGACGGCAGACATGTCTCAAGGTAGAGTTGGGATGATTGGGTGAGGAAAGCTGTCTCGCCATAATAGTCGAATTTGAACAGAGTTGCGCCGCCTTCAACTTGCGTCTGGACAAGCGCTGGAGGGCTGACCTTGCGGATGGATTTGTCCATGTAGACCTTGTGGAAGGCGAACTCAACAGCGTCTCGCACGAACATGATAGATGAGGCGACATCGCCCCGGAGCGTAAGATGTCGAAGGTTCATCAGCACGCTGTGGTCAGTGTCGGGCTGAATCCTGGTAGTGATCGCGTCCTCCCCTCCAGCAGCCTTCCAGGTCTTCTGTATCCTGAAGAAATCTGCGTGCAGTTCGCGGTCGTTTGGCGCATGAGCACCAGGAGGAACTTCCCACATCTCACCAGTGATTTCAATAGAGCTTTCGAGTGTGAGGGTGATGGCATCGTAGGTCTTTGCCAGCGGCCCCGTGAGCACGCACTGCAAGTATCCGTAGCCGTCCCGTAGCGTAATGAAAAGCACGTCCTTCTGCTTCCGCGCTCGATGTACGCGTCCAAGGACCCGTACTCGCGTGCCTCGCCCGCTGCTGCTGTAGTCGACTTCCTTATCCCGAGTCCCCCTCCCCAGCTTCACCTTCCGCGGATCAGTCTCGTTGAGTTTGATCTTCTCCGCCTTCGGCAGGCTCATGTCCTCCTCGACGGCAATCTTCTTCGCTTCCTCAAGTACCTTCTGTCGCTCTTCGTCCTCCTTCTCTTGCTTCGCGGCAAGCTCCCTTGCCCGCGCATCCTTCTTTTTCTGCTGCTCGTAGAAGTTGACGGCTTTCTTTAGGGCTGATTTTGCTGCAGGCTTCCATTCTTCGCGCACTGAAGCATCCGCGCCATCAGGTGTCGCGCCGGTGGTAGACTTGCGTATGAGGTACTGGGCTGCGCCGGGGCGCTGAAGGTATGCAAACTGTAGCGACTTGTATGGCGAGGCTTCAGTGCCCTGCTGTGTTGTCTCGTCAACGCCGACATCTTCGTCGACGTATACAGAGTCTGCCATGTTGATCTTGCGATTTTCAAGACGTCGGGGTGGGAATTGAGAAGCTATGAATGTGTTTGTGCACTGTCGATTTTATTGACTGCAGATATGGTGGGCTTGACTCATGCTTATCGGCTCACCCTATCAAAGTTGTGGCTGGGCTGCACCGCCACAGACCTGATAGGTCAAAAGCGTGAGCAACAGAGTACTCGCAGGCGGTGGTGTCAGCGGCATTAATTTAACATCGTTGTCACATTTATTTATGTGAAGATAGGCAGAGAGGGAAATGGATCAACTCAGCATCCACTCTTTAATGTGACATGGCCGAAAATCACGGATCTATTTAATGTAAAGCAATGTGTTGTGCCAAATCCTGACGAAAGACCAGCTTCCTCATAATGAATGCCCGGTGCCTAATTACACGAGCGCGTTCCTCCTCAGGGAAGGACAGCGCCTGGCGGCCGCCCCATGGGGGGCCCGGTCGGCCTCATAGGCGGCGCAGCCGGGCCCGGTCCTGGTAGACCCAGCTTGGAAAGTGACATGCCGCCGCCGCCCTTGACCAGAATCGAAATGCCAAGGGAGAATAGTGTCGATAGAACTATCACGGCCCACTGTAAAGCTTGGAGTGTGATACCCGCTGTTAAGGACACTGCCACGGCTGGAAGATCTTTCGTAAGAATCTTCAAGGCCGAAGTCGCCTGAGTGACCGCAGCAGCAGAGACGGTTGCCAAAGCTACAGAGACCCACAACAGCGCTAGCGATGCCCGTCTCAACCGCTGCTCGTGGCTCTTACCCGATCCGCCTGCTTGTTTCTTGATGTCGCGCTTCAGGAGGCCGAGACATACTAGGCTGACGCAGAACAACACTCCTGATACAGCGAGGACACACAAGAAAGTCTTCGACTGTAGACTGAGCGCTACAGGCAGTAGCGGCGCCAAGCCCCCGAGCCCGGTGGAGGATCTGGCTGAATCCTCGTTGAAGCGAACGGCCAGTTTCTCGGCGGAGGACACGCCGCTCGTAGGGAGACACACGAGGTCCTTCTTGGTCCCTGCGCACATACCTGAGGCCATCAGCTCTGGGCCGTTGGACAGTGGGTAAGGGAGGCTCACCAAAGTAGCCAACGCGGAGTTCTGACGCGGCTGCGTTGACGGCTGCCGCCCCGTTTCCGCTTTGCAATTTGAAGAGGAAGATGTCAACCACTCCCGGCGACTCCGATATGCCACCGACCATAGCGAGGACTGATCGTCATGAGTTGTGAGGCTTTTGGAGACAGGTATGTGGAGTATTGTACCGTATAGCAGAATAATGGGAACAGGGAGGAAGTATGTTCCTAATCGCCAGTCGAAGACACCTTTCCAGGTTCTGTCAGTAACCCTAGGCATAAGGGATGGAGGCCGACCTACTAGGCAAACTACGTTTCCCGTCAGTCGCCATGATTGACTGCAATGGCTGTGATATGAATGAGTTGCACTTGGGCGCAAGTGATATCTCGGGGAGAGCCAGCAGCGTGCTAGGTCGCAGATCGGAGAGGGTTATGATATCTGATTATCGAATACTTTCTGGCTTGAATAAGAGAAACAGGCGGATACACTGCATTTTAAGCGATTAGTTATGAGCTCTCTCCGGCCGTGACATATGACAGCACTGCTCCCGATGAGTGATAGCCTTGCCTGACATGACTGCTTATTATGGACAGTCAGGTGTTGATATCGCATACTCATCAACTGCCAGATGAGTAAACCAAGCCGCTCTCCCCATCGGACCGTCACGTATACATGAGTAATTTGTGGCGAAAAGTTTGCTCAGTCTGCAACATACTGTCTAGACTCGACTGCCGATCGCGTTCGAGTATGCAACAAGTGCACACTCGTGGTAGACAGGCCCCGCAGATCGATTGGACAATCGCCAGATCCAGAGCTTCGAGACAGTAAGGATCTTATGCAGCCACAGAAAACACCCTACCCACTCCATATCATTCCATGGCCGGTATAACTCTCCGCTACACGTGGTCTTCGATTTTTGACTCCTTCTGGCGCTTTGAGAGGCATTTCTCGTCATCCCGCTTCTCATCTACGCGAGCTTGTGACTGCTGACAGTGGTGGGAGATGATGGGCGCGATGATGTACCAGCGAGCGGAGCCCAGTAGCAGCAACAAGGCTGAGACGGAGTTCCAACCCACCAAAAATCCAATGAGCCAATCCTCTTGTCCGCGTCCAGCCCATCGTAGGGTACAGAGCGCCAGATAAGCGCTGATAAAGCCGATTACCGAGTGAAGAGCGAGCCAGCTAACGAGAAAGATCGTGCTGGCCCAGACCGGTTCGTCCCGCTCCTGCACGTGCAAGGAGAAGTAGCCGCGTGATCGTCGCCTATCTCGTGCTTCCAGTGGTTCCCGTGAAAAATTGAAGCTGAATGTGCGGATAATGTCAATGACAAGAGGGACTGGATGGAAGAGTGCAGCGAGAAAGTGGCGCCTGAAAGACCAGATATTGCCACGAGGACTCAACGCAAACTCGAACAGAAAGACGGGGTCAAACATGGAGATACAAGTAATGATCAAGCGTGTCAGAAGCGTGTCTCCGAGAAAGGAGCCTCTAGAAGCATCACGAATGGGTGGTACGATGCCTGTCATGTAGCTGAAGACAGCGGATAGGTCTACTGTAGTATTAATTTCTGTGACAGTCTATAGCAGAATGGAAGACATACATTGGCCGAGGGCCATGCCGCCGCGTAACAGCCGTCGCTGCTGGTGTACCTGTAACTCAGTGTCGTGTGTTCACAATGAAGGGTTACTTAAGCTGTGGTTCCGGTCTGGCCGCAAAAGCGTGCCGTGGTGGTGCCTGACGATCACCTGTCTGCCCCTCCACCGAAGCTTCAAGACGCTTAAAAACGGCAGCTTCGTGACAGCGTGTAGCGTAGCACATAACAGCTACCAAACTACCTGCGCTCTTAACAGCTTGGCAGCAACACCACTCCGCGCAGTATGGGTTGTGTACACGTCAACGCTCCAGGTATGCCGCGAGGAGCAGGCCCGTATATGCCTATCCAAAGCGACAGACGACTAAATCTCTCGTAGAGCTTCGCCCACCGGGCCCAAATCAGTCTGTCTATCGCGAGGACTGCACTCAGTGTTTCGACTCCATAGTAAGCTGTCGTGACAGCAGTTGCTCTATGCTTTAGTTTCTGTCCTAACGAAGATTTCTCACCCAGGACGACCCTTCCGGACTAAACGTATGCCTCTTCTGCTTCAACGGAGGCTGTACCGGCGAACGGAATCATGCGCGACTACACTACGAGACTGTCAAACACCCTCTTGTACTTAATGTCAAGCGGACACGCAAGAGGATAAAGCGAGACGAGCCTCCCCAGAAAGTGTCCAAGCTCGCCATCGCCGCCGAGACGGAAACAGACCGCTACGACACCACCACTCAAGTAAAATGCTACGAGTGCGAGATAGAAGACGTAGACGAGACGGCCGGCAAGCTCCCTCAAGTCGTCGATGCTGTTCTCAAGGCAAACACATTTGCTCGACAAGAGGAGGTCAAGGCGTGGGAGCAGGAGCTGACTGCTTGCGAACATACACTATGCCTGGAACAAGAAGCACCACGGGAAATCGCATCCGGAGATCTGGGTCACTGCTCGAACTGCGATCTCAAAGAGAACCTCTGGCTATGCCTGACATGCGGCAACCTGGGCTGCGGTCGACCTCAATTTGGTGGGATCGGAGGCAATGGGCACGGCGTAGCGCATACGAATGAATCAAAGCATCCAGTGGCGGTCAAGCTTGGCTCGTTGACCGCGGATGGTACGGCAGACATCTACTGCTATGCATGCGACGAGGAGCGAGTGGACCCAGAGCTGCCCGCGCATTTGGCACACTGGGGCATCGACATTCGGGGTAGGGAGAAGACGGAGAAGAGTTTGACGGAGATGCAGATTGAGCAGAATCTGCGATGGGAGTTTTCAATGACCACCGAAGACGGCAAAGAGCTAAAGCCGCTCTTCGGCAGCGGCTTCACAGGCCTGAAGAACCTAGGAAACAGCTGCTACATGAACAGCGTTTTACAGTCAATATTCTCCATGCCAGAGTTCCAGCAACGCTACTATCACCCGAAAGATACCCCACCAGCCACACTGACTCCGGCTGAGGATTTGGAGACCCAATTGCGCAAGGTTGCAGACGGACTGTTATCTGGCCGTTACGCCAAACCCGACAGCGATGTCACAGTGTCTGAACATACGCCTGAGGTACCACACCAGAAAGGTCTGGCACCAGCTATGCTGAAGCACCTAATCGGTCGAGGTCATGAGGAGTTCTCCACCATGCGGCAACAGGACGCTTTCGAGCTTCTGCTCCATCTCCTCAAGCTTATCACGCGTTCGCAGCACGCGGCTCCGCTGCAGAATCCGGTCGACGCATTCCGGTTCGCAATGGAGCAACGACTACAGTGCCTCAACTGTAAGAAAGTGCGCTACAAGATCGACGAGCAAGAGAACATCTCGATTCCAGTGCCGATTAGAAGGATTCCAAAGGAGGCACGGATGACCTTTACCGACAACGATGGCAAGGAGAAGGAGAAGGAGGAATTTGAGCCGGTGACCCTGAAGGAGTGTCTCGATATCTTCACCGCAGAGGAGGTAGTAGAACTCAAGTGTGCGTCATGCGGGAGTAGCGACGGCTTCTCCAAGCGCAGCCTCTTCAAAACGTTCCCTACAATACTAGCAGTTAACGCTCGCCGGTTCGAGCTCGTTAACTGGGTGCCCACGAAGCAAGACGTCCCCGTAATCGTTGATGACGAACCAATCCCTTTCGACGCCTATAAGTCTGCTGGCTTGCAGGATAACGAAGAGCTTCTTCCAGATGACGCCGACGCAAGCGCCGCACCGAAATTCGTACCAAACGAGGGCGCTCTGTCGATGTTGGAAGGCATGGGCTTCCCGCGCGTCCGCAGCGAGAAGGCCCTTTATGCAACCGGCAACGCTGACCCGGAGGCAGCGATGAACTGGCTTTTTGCACATATGGAAGACCCGGACATCGATACACCAGTAGACCTCGGAGGTGGGTCCGCTAGTAACAAGGCAAGCACAGCCATCGACCCGGAGAGCATTGAGATGCTCGGTAATATGGGCTTCAATGCCCCTCAGGCGCGGCAAGCGCTCAACGAAACTGGAGGAGATATGGAGCGAGCGGTTGAGTGGCTGTTCAGTCATCCCGATGCTGCTGGTAATTTTGACGATGGCTCTGCGGCAGGGGTACGTCTAAGATAGAGCTGATAATTGTATCAAGCTGACAAGCGCTGCAGGGGACATCAGACGCACCATCTGCCGAACCGAAGGAGAAATTGCTCCCTGGTAGCGACAAGCTACCGGCACGCTTCCAACTCCAGTCCATCGTCTGCCATAAGGGAAGCTCGATCCATGCGGGTCACTACGTAGCTTTTGTTCGCAAGCAGATACCGGAAGAAGGCTCGCCTTCATGGGTTTTGTTTAATGACGAGAAGGTCGCCAAGGCTGCTGAGGTGGACGAGATGAAGAAGTTTGCATATGTGTATTTCTTCCGGCGGGTATGAAAGAACGATCATGGCATGAATCTAGGTCCACGGTGCATTGCAAGGCGCTCGATGTAGGAAAAAAGATGACTCCATGGTGGGTATATGACGGGCGCTCGATAGGTGTCGAGAGTCACAGCTGGACAGTCTAAATACAAGGGTGAGTTGAGGGCGACAGGGCTCTATTACCTAGTTTGAACGCAGACTCTAGGCCTCCTGCAGAGTCACGTGACATGCTTGTGTCTATTACAAAGCGCCTGACGCCCAGATGACATTGTGGGGTAGAAGAGGTGGCACGTGCGTTGATTCTGCGGCCGATGTCTGCCGGAGGCGAAATAGTTAAGTTTGCGATCATCAGACGTCAGACCCATCACCCCAACCACCACTCACAACAGCACCCCTGCCATTGAATTCCATCGCCGGAGTCACATACATCCTACGAATCCTCTTCGCGAACGACGACAAACCTCCTGCGTTCTCTGCCAGTATGTTTCGACGAGTTCTTACGACCGCGCCGGCGCAAGCAAGTCGGATTGTTTCTTCTGCCGCACGACCAGCCGTTTCGTCGCCAGTTAGAGTAGCGGCGCCAGCGATAGTATCAAGAAGGGCCTACCACGAGAAAGATAAGTCGAACTCTTCTTGCTTCTGTCGATACGAGACTTTGCAATAGCCGGCACGCCTGCGCAGAGGCTTTCAACCTACCGCGACCAACGTTTGCTCTCAGAACGCTCAGCTAACTCTCATAGCACTGCTCGACCACTATAACAGGCCCCGAAATGTCGGCTCGATGCCCAAGAACGACACGGACGTCGGCACTGGACTTGTAGGCGCACCGGCATGCGGTGACGTGATGAAGCTACAGATCCGGGTCGACCCCAATAACAACACGATCAGCGACGTAAAGTTCAAGACCTTCGGCTGCGGATCCGCCATTGCGAGTTCGAGCTACCTGACGGAGCTGGTGCGGGGCATGAAGCTGGAGGATGCGGCGAAGATAAGGAACACGGAAATTGCGAAGGAGCTGTGCCTGCCGCCCGTCAAGCGTGAGTACCTCCGTGTCAGCAAAGACGAGTATGCGCTAACAGAATGCGACACAGTACATTGCTCCATGCTTGCTGAAGACGCTATCAAATCCGCCATCTCGAACTACTACACCAAGAACCCGAAGGCAAGAGCCACGGACCTGGGTGGTACTGGGGCAGCGATGCCCAAGGTCGAGGTGGAGGCTGTTGCTGCGTAAGATTGTTTGCTGGAAACAAATTGAAAGTTTGGCGTTCTACCTGGTGGCTTTGGTTTGGGTTTGGCCTCTACTGTTCATGATGCCAGACTGTTTCTGAACGTAGGGGAGTAGGCGCTCAAAGAAACCGCATATCCATAGGATCACTCCACATGAACAAACTCATCTGCAGTTGAGTTTATATGCCATCTTTCACGTACGTATTGTGTCGCTGGACAATGGCTGCGGTTTGCATAGAGGAACAAAAGGCAGTAGCATGATTATCCCTAAACTACCTCGGATGCATGACCACCTTCCTAGCCTATAGATTCTCCATCTCTCTCGAAGTATGCCATGTTAGGTACTTACGGGTAATCCGCGTGCTGTGGCATGCTCGCATCTCCGACGTATGAATTGGACAGGAAGGTCATGTGACATGATGTTTCCGTATTTGAGCGGGCAGGGCGGCGCTGACTAAGTCTGGAACCTTCCGGACAGTCAAAGACTTCGGTGCCTGCCGGTCGCAACGACATCTCTTTCAACATCCATCTCCCACCACCACCACATCTCTCCATCTCCACCTGCTCTTCTGCTCCACCAACTGTGCAACACACTGCTCATCGAATCCGCTCTTTCCGACACTCAACCCGGCTGGTTTAGGCCGCCACCGTCGTGACCTCTCAGTCGCCTTCATCGAAACCCCTCATCAGCCGGCACGCTTCCTTTCGCTCTCACCCATACAGGTAAAGTCGTGGATTGGTCTTTGGACATTCAAGGGACGAACAAGGCGGTGGAAACTGTGAATAGCAAGGTTTTTTCGTGATTGAGGAGGACCTGTCACTCTTCGCAGATCGAAGGTCCTGTACTTTGGTACGCGGACACTCAAATCCGCAACTCCTGTACACAAAAACTCTATTCTCCTTCTAGCTCTTGGCCAGCTTTTCACAAAATAAATACCTCCGTTTACCCAGGTCCAGACTGGAACCAGGAACAGTAGCCTGTGCGCAAAGTTCGCTTCACTTTGTCCTGCACTGACAATTGATTATTGTCCTATTGTTGAAACAATCACCGCAAAACGCACTCACTCGGTTCTCTACTCGCATCCTGCTACTGCAAGAGAGGACATCCGACAACGGCTTCACGATCAAGTGTTGCGCAAGACGACGATTGCAACGTTGCTACTGCCTGCGACCCCTTGTGCCTTTTGTCTCTGTGCTGAGCAGTACCCGTAACGCATCCAGCAACGATGTCTTCTTCCGTTTTCTTCAAGTTCAAGTCATCCAAAGAACCTCAGCGCATTGTCTTCGACGGCACTGGTATCACTGTCTTTGAGCTAAAGAAGGAGATTATCAAAACCAGCGGGCTGGGTGATGGCACGGACTTCGACCTTTCGATATATAGCGAAGATGCCAACGAGGGTATGTAATGTCACCCACTGCCGTCCGATGTGGGCCGTCCGGAGAACCATTCCACTCAAATACTAACTTTGACTCGTAGAATACGATGACGATACTACCATCATCCCCCGCTCTTCTTCAGTCGTAGCCAGACGGTTCCCAGCTCAGAAAGCCGGACATGGCAAGGCCGCACGCTACGTGTCCGGCAAGATGCCGGTCAACGCTAAGAACGCGTATCGCACTGAGGCGCCCACATCCAAGCCTGCCGTACCGGGCAAGAGTGTCCCCTCGGTCGATGGAGCCTCAGATATGAACAAGGCACAAACAGAGGAGGAGAGAATTGCGGCCATGTTCAAGGCTGGCGGGGACCAATGGGAGCAGCAGCAGGCTCAGATGGCCAAGTAAGTTCTCTTCATGGATTTTGTGTGATGTTTCATTTATCGGACACTAACATTTATTGGCAGCGCAAAACCAGTGTATCGAGGAGGCCACAACAAAAAGCCGAACAATGTGCCAGCTGGTGATCCACCACCAGGATATATCTGTTACCGTTGCCACGAGAAAGGTATGTTTAGCCAGCGATCCTCGTTCACCCATGCAGTCAGTTCTAACTCTCACTCAGGTCACTGGATACAGGCTTGCCCAACCAACGATGACCCCAACTTCGAGAATAAGCCCCGCGTAAAGCGCTCCACCGGCATTCCGAAATCATTCTTGAAGACCATTGCGAAGCCAGTTGCTCTTACCAATGATGGTCTCACCGATGACGGTCGTCAGCCGGCCACTGTCTTGATGGATAGATTCGGCAATTATGTTGTTGCAGAAGCCGATGAAAGGTCCTGGGAACAGTTCCAGGAGAAGGCCAAAGCCTCGGCTGCAAAGCAGAAGGAAGTCGACTCGGGCAGCAAAGAGCTGCAAGACCGTGGATTAGAGTGTCCCATTGACAAACGATTGTTTGTCGATCCCATGAAAACACCTTGCTGTGGCAAGACATACTGTCATGATTGTATTGAGAACGCACTCGTCAATAGTGATCTCGTATGTCCAAATTGCTCCAAGGAAGGTGTCCTGATTGACGACCTTATCCCTGATGAAGAGATGAATGCCAAAATCAAAGCGTATGAGGATGAGAGGACTGCGGAACGTAAGGCGAAGGAAGCCTCGAAGAGCCCGAAGGGGGCAAATGCGACTACTGCTGCTCCCAAGGACGAGACGTCAGAGGCGAGATCTGCTGGATCCAAGTCACCAGCACCGCCGAACAATGCCGCCAGCACGCCATCGACTATCGCGGCTACTCCTGCCACCAATGGAAACACCAACAAGCGGCCCGCCGAAGATGAACTCAGCAACGACCGGGTACCGACAGCGCCGGCTGCCATGCGCAAGCAGCAAGCTCAGACCGTGCAAGCCCCCAGTGGCATCGATCAGAACTTCGTGGAACAAATGAACGCACTTTCTAACCCTCTGATGATGCAGAACCAACAACTTCCCGGTGGCAACTTCAACTCCTTCCAAGGCCCAGGCATGAACGGCATGGGCTTCCCGAACCAGAACGGAATGATGGGCATGCCTATGGGCACCATGGCTCCAATGATGGGAACGGGCGCTGGCATGATGAACCCCATGATGATGCAAGGCGGCGGCTCCTGGCCGAACATGAACGGCATGAACGGCATGAACGGCATGAACGGCATGGGCGGCATGGGCGGCATGGGCTACCCACAACAAAACGGCTATGGCAACTACAACCAGAACATGATGCCAAACGGTGGCTACGGCTATCAGAACTGGCAAGGCCAACAGGGCTGGGGGATGAACGGTACGAACGGTATGAACGGCATGCCGCAGCAGACGCAGACGGGGAACAGCAAGATGGGCGGCTTTCCCAACCAGCAACGGACCGTCTTCAGCGAGCCGTTGCAGAACCAAGAGGACGACGCGTATTTCCGGAAACCGGTTAATCCGCACCGACATCAGCATCGGCAGAAGAGGGTCCGGCCGAGCGACTACAGGGAGCTCTGAGCTGCCATACTACTCCCTCTTTAGCCACTATTCATTCTCTTACAGTTTAGCTTTGGGTTTTGATCCGCTTGGTCATGGCATTTGGGTACTTATGGCGCTCGGTATCTGTCTGTACACGCATCTCAATCATTCTCTCATTGAGATTTGCAGCATAGCGTCGGCGTTTTGGGGTTGGGCTTGCGGAAGTCGCATGGTTGGCATACTCAGTTCACTTGGGGAAGAAGGGATGCTCGCAGGGCTGGCTTTGGGCTTGGGCGTTCTTGTTCTTTTGATCATTTCAGTCTGCCAGTGCGGATCACCGAACGCTGTACTTAATGCGAAGGAGGACGAGACCTCGTATCAGCAGCGTAGCAACAATCACTATTCACTCATCAAATGCTGCTCTCTGTGAATTCTGGGGAACTGCGTAATGTTTATACATGTATATCAGAACAGCAATACCAGTAAAGTGGTACCTCCCTACGGAGTACTCCCAGTCGAATCTCTGCTCCAAGGTTCTGAGAAGTCCGCACTAGCCTCTTTAGGAGGCCGTGACAGAGCTATGTCATCAGCACCGGCACCCTTTGCAACACCAAGGTGGGGCATCGTGGGGCATGTGGGCCATTTCTTTTGTTCAAACAATCAATTAACCTGATGTTGCAGTCGGTTTTGCTTCACTGTCACAGCGTCTATCTCTGCAATCAAGTCTTAGCTAGTAAAGCGGTTGGTAGGCCAGCGCTATACAGTCAATTTGTCTCATAATCAGCGTCCCACTTTACAGTTTCTCCTTTCTGCAGCGTGACTCGGTGTTCCTAAACCAAGACAGAAAGATGGGTTCGCTCAAGAAGAGCGACCGCGGCATCCGCATTGCCATAGACGTATGCCTCACACCTGTCCTCATGATCTAGATACGCCGGACTAACCTCCCGCTAGCGAGGAGGCACCTTCACGGACTGCGTAGGTAACCCCGGCACCGGCAAGATGGAAGACGATGTCCTGATCAAGCTCCTCTCCGTTGATCCCGCCAACTACTCCGACGCGCCTCTCGAAGGCATCCGCCGCCTGCTCTCCAAGTTCACCAGCCGCGACATCCCGCGCGGCGAGGCGCTCGACACTTCGGTCATCGAGTCGATACGGATGGGCACGACGGTCGCGACGAATGCACTGCTAGAGCGCAAGGGCGAGGATATCGCCATGGTGGTGACGAAGGGGTTCAAGGATTGTCTAGAGATTGGGAATCAGAGCCGGCCGAATATCTTCGACTTGGCGATACGGAAGCCGGAGGTGCTGTATAAGACGGTCGTGGAGATCGAAGAGAGGGTTACGCTGGAGGACTATGCTGAAGATCCGGAGAGGGGAAATACGGAGGCTCCGTCAGTTGAGGAGGCGGGGGACAACGCGGAATTGGTGAAAGGGTTGAGTGGGGAGGCGGTGAGGATACTACAGAGGCCGGATGAAGGGAGGATAAGAGAGCAGCTGAAGGAGGTGTATGATAATGGGCTCAGGAGTATAGCGGTGTGCCTGATGCACGGGTATACATATCCGGCGCACGAGGCGCTGGTCGGCAAGATTGCAAAAGAGATCGGGTTTGAGCATGTCAGCTTGAGCCACGAGCTGATGCCTATGATCAAATTAGTCCCACGAGCAACTTCAGCGTGTGCGGACGCGTATCTCACTCCCGCAATCAAGAAATACATATCAGGCTTCGCGGCAGGCTTCGAAGGCGGTCTGGGTACCGAGAGTGTCAAGCGAGAAGAAGGCGCGAAAGGTGCAAGATGCGAATTCATGCAGTCAGACGGCGGTCTTGTCGACGTGGATATCTTCTCTGGACTCAGGGCTATACTATCCGGACCCGCTGGCGGCGTCGTTGGATATGCGCTAACGTCCTATGATCCCGAGACGAAGATACCGGTCATTGGTTTCGACATGGGCGGCACGAGTACAGACGTTAGCAGATACGGCTCTGGCAGATACGACCACGTCTTCGAGACCACTACAGCTGGCGTCACCATACAATCCCCACAACTCGACATCAACACGGTCGCCGCTGGCGGTGGCTCACGTCTGTTCTTCCGCCATGGTCTCTTCGTTGTTGGTCCTGAGTCTGCCAGTGCACACCCCGGGCCTGCATGCTACCGTAAAGGTGGGCCGCTCACCATCACAGACGCCAATCTATTCCTTGGCCGATTGTTACCAGACTTCTTTCCCAAGATCTTCGGCAAGAACGAAGATGAGGGCTTGGATACCGAAGCAAGCAAGAAGCTGTTCGAAGAGCTCACTGAGCAGATCAACAAGGAGAACTCTGGCGGAGATAAGGATAGGGAGATGTCCGCTGATGAAGTGGCGTACGGCTTCATCAAGATCGCGAATGAGACGATGACGAGACCTATCAGATCTTTGACCGAAGCCAGAGGCCACGATACTTCAAAGCACCGGCTGGCAACTTTTGGAGGCGCTGGCGGTCAGCACGCTGTGGCTATTGCAGAAGCGCTAGGAATATCACAAATCCTGATCCACAGATACTCTTCGGTACTATCGGCTTACGGCATGGCGCTGGCCGATGTGGTGGACGAGCGCCAAGAGCCGGATTCGAAGGTGTGGTCGGATGACGACAAGGAGATTAGGAAGTATCTGCAAAACAAGATGGCGGATCTGAAGAAGAAATCTACCGAGACGCTCAAAGACCAGGGCTTCGATGAAGAGCAGATACACTTTGAGGAGTATCTCAACATGCGGTATCGTGGCACAGAATCAGCACTCATGGTCGTCAAGCCTGCGAAAGAAGAAGCAGACAAATACTACGACGGAGACGAGTGGGCCTTTGGCAAGGCGTTCATAAGACAGCATGATCAGGAGTTTGGGTTCACGCTTCCGGATCGAGACATCATTGTAGACGACGTTCGTGCAAGAGGCATTGGCAAAACGTTCGAAGGATTAGACAAGACCGTGGACCAGCAGATGAAAGAGATCAAGCCGAAGGATGTTGGAAAAGGCGAGAAACGCTATGGCACAGCACAAGTTTACTTCGAAGGCGGACGGCAAGAAACATCAATATACAAGCTTGAGGACCTCGAAGTGGGCGACAGGATCAAAGGACCAGCCATCATCGCCGATGGTACACAGACGATCGTTGTGACTCCGGGCGCAACTGCCTTACTTATCAACACCCATATTATCGTTAACATTGGCGAGAGTGATGGCCAGGACAAGAAGGTCGACACAAAGGAGGTGGACCCAATCATGCTTTCAATCTTCGCACATCGTTTCATGGCCATCGCCGAGCAAATGGGCCGGGCGCTGCAGAAGACCAGTGTAAGCACAAATGTCAAAGAGCGGCTAGACTACTCGTGTGCACTCTTCGACTCTGAAGGCGGCCTTGTTGCGAACGGTAAACCTACTGTCCGTTGCAAGTATACTCCCATATCAAGCTAACGACGATGCACAGCACCACATCTCCCCGTCCACCTCGGAAGCATGTCCACCTGCGTCCAGAAACAAGCCTCCATCTGGGCCGGCAAGCTCAAGAGAGGCGACGTCCTGGTCTCCAACCATCCCATGTACGGTGGAACTCACCTACCCGATATCACAGTCATCACGCCCGCGTTCAGTGGCGACAAGATCGTGTTCTACGTCGCATCACGTGCACACCACGCAGACATCGGAGGCATCCTGCCCGGCTCCATGCCCCCAATGAGCCGTGAGCTCTTCCAAGAGGGCGCAGCCATCAAGTCCGAGAAGCTGGTCAGCGAGGGGAGCTTCAACGAGGAGAGAATCACCGAGCTCTTGTATACGGAGCCGGCGCAGTGGCCCGGTTGCTCAGGAACGCGGTGTCTAGCGGACAACATCAATGATCTCAAGGCGCAGGTGGCAGCGAACCAAAAGGGCATTAACCTAATCAGCGCGCTAATAGGAGATTACGGAGAGGATGTGGTGCAGTTCTACATGAAGAACATTCAGGATAACGCGGAGCTGAGCGTGAAGAGTCTGCTGAAGGACGTGAGCAAGAGATTTGAGGGACAGGACCTCAGTGCCATTGATCACATGGATGACGGTAGTCCTATCAAGCTCAAGGTCAGCATCGACGCGGAGAAAGGGGAGGCGGTGTTCGATTTTACGGGGACCGGCCCAGAGGTGTACGGTGAGTCTGCTAGCTTCCAGCTTGCATTCCATCGCTCCGCTGCATCAAACACCATCATACCCAGCCACTGACTTATACCAGGCAACATCAATGCCCCCGAAGCCGTGACCTACAGCGCAATAATCTACTGCCTGCGGAGCCTAATCAGCGAGGACATCCCCCTCAACCAAGGCTGCCTAAAACCCGTCCACGTCAAGATCCCGAAGAAGTCCTTCCTCTCGCCCTCCGACAAGGCGGCGGTGGTCGGCGGCAACGTCCTCACCTCCCAGCGCGTCACAGACGTCGTCCTGAAAGCCTTCCGCGCGTGCGCCGCCTCCCAGGGCGACTGCAACAACCTGACCTTTGGCTTCGGCGGGAACCAGGCAGGGCGCGAGGGCGGCGAGCAGAAAGGTTTCGGCTACTACGAGACGATTGCGGGTGGCAGTGGCGCGGGGCCTAGCTGGGATGGCACCAGTGGCGTGCACACGCATATGACGAACACGAGGATTACGGATGCGGAGGTGTTTGAGAGGAGGTATCCGGTTATACTGAGGGAATTTAGCTTGAGGGCGGGGAGTGGTGGGAAGGGACAGCATGCGGGTGGTGATGGAGTGGTCAGGGATATCGAGTTTAGGATCCCGGTGCAGGTTAGTATCTTGAGCGAGCGGAGGGTGTATCATCCGTATGGGCTCGAGGGAGGCGAGGACGCGGAGTGTGGGCTCAATATCTGGGTTAGGAGAGTGCCGAGTACGGACAAGAATGTTGATGGGACGGACACGCCGAGAACGAATGGAGAGGAGAAGAAGGAAGAGTATAGGCGTATCAACATGGGCGGGAAGAACACAGCGGATATGCAGCCTGGTGAGCGGATCATCATCAATACGCCTGGCGGTGGTGGATGGGGGAAGGCTGGGGAGGAGAGCAAGGCAATCAGAAAGATGGATCCGAAACATGGGTGGAGGCAAGGGAGTGTCGCGGAGAGGCAAGCCATGGCCGAGGCGTCGGCTTAAGGGGTTGTACACTAAAGGGATCATGAATCTTTGTGCCTCAAGCATTGCACAGTAAGGGCTTCCAAATTCGTAGGTAGCGCAGAACACATTTCCCAGTTACTATCTCTATCTATGCTGCCTCCAGCCACGAGAGGTGCGACAGGACCATTCCACAACTGTGTTGCCTGTTCGAATGTACCCTCCCGAATTGCCTCAACCACATCGCCCTGGGGCCTGGTAGACGCTTCTAAAGCACGGGAGGGTCCTTGCGGCTTGGTCTTCGCTAGAAGAGTGAGTCCTAGTACGAATGGCGAATCGTGCTAGACGCAAAGAGCTAGCGGTTTTCGACGATGCTTTGCTGGTGTCCGAGACCAATTCTGTGCTCTGATGGAACTGATAGGTGCCCAGTACGAGGCCGATAGTCTCGGTCTTCAATACCGCGGAAGACCATGGTGGTTCGCCACACGAGGCGTGCCAAGTGACATGCTGCTTGCCACCTACATTGACATCCAGCTCCTCACTATAAGAAATACTTCGTGTGGCTCGCCGTCGCGATAACCGGCCCAGCCTGCCCATCCACGACCTTCGAGATCCTCGCCGTCGTAAACGCCAAGCTCTTGCCCACCTTATTCGCGCGGCCCTCAACCTCGATCCAATCGCCCTCTCCGGCCGACGAGATATACGTAACGTGGATGTCCACACTCACGCCCATCTTCTCCCTGCAGTCCCAGCTCGCAATCGCGTACCCGCCCACCCAGTCAACTAGCGTGGCTGACACGCTGCCATGCAGGCCGCCTTTGCTGTTGATGTGGTTCTTGGTGAGCTGGAGCCGTGCGGTCACGAGACCTTGGGAGACGGTGGTGAATTGCACGTCGGAGAGGAGGAAGGCGTAGATGGGGGAGTTGTGCTTGTTTGTGGCCCAGATGCCTTCCAGGTGGGCCTTGGTTTCGGCGTCTGAGGGCATTGTGGGCCAGAGCAGACTAGCTTCGAAGAGATGTTGTTCTTGCCAGACGAGATGCCAGCGATGGGCTATATCCACGCTGGATGCAAGTCTCAACAAGGTAGGAGATTCTCAGCCGGAGTTGAGAAGCGCGGGGAATGGTTTCGCCGGTCGACGAGGTCCAAGCTTCTGGAGCTTCCGCCTGGTGCATCATGAACAAAGCGATCACAACAACACACCTATATCGCTGCACCGCGCAATAAATTACTGTTTCGGCCTTCGTCGGACCAGCCACGCAAACCATGGCTACTCCGGAGACAGAACTAGACTATCTCTCGCCAGGCTTCGATCCCTCCTCGCTTACCATGCCCAAGCTGCGTTCAGTGCTCGTAGCCCACAACGTCGCCTACCCCTCCTCAGCAAAGAAGCCGCAGCTCGTCGCCCTGTTCAACGAGAACGTGAAGCCGCAAGCGAAGAACATACTCAGCGCGCGCTCCCGCACCACGCGCTCGGCAAGAGGCATCCAAGATGTGCCGTCCAGCCAAGCCAGTACTGTCACCGAGGAAGAAGAAGTCGAGCCCCCGCCGCCAGTGCAGCCTGCAAAACGCGCATCTAGACGGACCACTAGAGCGCCACCTGACGAGGACGGCTTGGATGCGGTAGCGCTTGGCCTAACGGCCAGCAAGACACCTAAGCGGGGATCCAGCAAGCATGCGCGGGCTTCGGACGCAGAGCCAGACGAGCGGCCAGCCGTAAGACGGTCACGACATAGCATGCTTTCGCCGGAGAAAAGGGCTGAGGAGCCGGATGCCGGACAGTATCGGCCGGAAGAAGGCGAGAGCCCGTTTACTACAGACAACCCTTTTCAGAGCGGGAGCTCGCCCGTGCCGGAAATCCGGAGCCGGAGCGGCGATGGGCGGCGGAAGACGTTCGGAGTGGAGCCTGCAAGAGAGAGGAGAAAGAGCAGTTCAGGGAGACGCAAGACGGACTATGTCACTAGGGAGCAACGAGACGACGGAATTGTTCCGCCCTCACGGAAGACCTTTGACGTGCCAATTGCCCGAGCAAAGAAAGAGAGGGAACCACCAGAAGATGATGCAATCGAGACTGGGGAGGAATTCACCCCGGAAGAGCAGCTTGCCCTAGTTCGTGAACGCGCTAGCAACGGGGAGCGGGACATCCTGCCACCGCGTCGAAAGGCGCGAGCACAAGGCCCGACCGGCATACTCAAAGTTGCGCCCTTGGCGGTGACCCTTGCGATGCTCGGGGGCCTAGCAACGGTATGGCGGCAGGAGAAGATAGAAGTCGGATACTGCGGCGTCGGCAGGCCATCGACTTCGCTTGCGGGAGTGGAACTGCCCGACTGGGCGAGCATCATACAGCCGCAATGCGAGCCGTGTCCACAACATGCGTATTGCTACCCTGAGCTCAGAACAGTGTGCGAGCCGGACTTTGTACTCAAGCCACATCCTCTATCACTCGGCGGGTTGGTGCCGCTTCCACCCACGTGCGAGCCAGACGGCGAGAAGTCACGCAAGGTCAAGGCGGTAGCGGACCGGGCTGTGGAGGAGCTGCGCGAACGAAATGCGAAGTGGGAATGCGGCGAACTCCTCGACGAAGACGGGAGACACATACCGTTGCCCGAACTAGACGAAGAAGCGCTGAAGCAAGAGATGTCCAACAAGCGCCGAAAAGGCATGTCCCAGTCCGAATTCGAAGACCTATGGAAAGGCGCCATCGGCGAGATCACCGGCAGAGAGGAAGTCGAATCCAACATCGACGGGTAAGTCCACATTCCCCTGCGAGCAGCAGTGTTTGTGTAATCTGACAGCGTACTGATTAGACTCGTCTCCGCTACAGCAGAGAAGGAAACCGCAGGACCCTCCGCTCCACCTCCCTCGCCCGCGTCCCCCTCGCCTGCGCCATCAGACGATCCATCCGCCTCGCGCTGGTCAGACATCTTGGGAAGCTTGTAATCCTGTTCCTATTCCTGGCCTCAGGTGGCTACGCGCGCTGGAGCATCGCTTACAACCGCGAGATGGAAGCCAGGGCGAAGCAGCTGGCATCGTATGCGCTGGATAGGCTGGCTGTGCAGGCGGCGCTGCATGCACAGGACCCGCATGCTTATGGCGAGGCGTACATCCCCATGGGCCAGCTCAGAGACGATGTCTTGCGCGATGAGTTCTCGGCTACGAGGAGGCAGAGGCTCTGGGAACGTGTGCAGAAGAAGGTGGAGGGCAATAGCAACATTAGACCCATGGTCCGGGAAGGCCGCTCTGGCGATGTCAGCAGGGTGTGGGAGTGGGTAGGCGCAATCAGGGCTATTGAGGGTGTTGATGGCGGGAGTGCCCGGAGGGAAAGTTCAAGGTTCAGTTTTGGGCCGATTGCTGGCAGTAGTCCTGCTGTTGGGAGCAGTTTAATCGTGGGCAGTAGTCCGATCAAGGAGGATGAGGGGATCAAGAGGGAGATGATGCAGATGAACAAGTGGGACGAGGGACGGCCGATCTACTGATGGCACTGTCTCGCGGTATATCTACTTATGGCTGGTAGCGTTAGCCTGGGGATCTTGGTGGTGTTAATGATGGTAACGAAGATGGCTGCTATGCTTCCGTCGCTTGATCTCCTTTCACTGTTCGCCCATATGCGGGTTGTTTCGAGGATTGAAAACAGCTTCTACGGGCAGACAACATCAACAATCCCACAGAACTGTGTGCAACAATCCCCCGAATGTTATGAAGCCGGACCGCCAGCAGGCCCACCGTCGCCAACGCTTAGCCTCGCGGTCTCCCGTCTCCAAGCTTGCGGGAGGATTCCGATCAGCCACAATCCTCGCGGCATGGATGGGCATGCAAAGAGCGATGCAGGGCTCTCGGGGCTCTCGGGGCTCTCGGGGCTCGGAAGCTCTCTGCTCTCAAGGCTTGTCTATCTAGCAGCTTCTTCCTTATCTCCAGGCATACGAACTGCCCCAGGAGTAGCAGCCCAGCAGTAAAAGCTTAACCACATCTCAAGCCCCACCGCCATGTCCTCACAATTCCACTCCGCCTTCACGCCCCCTTTGCCCGCAACCGTGCGCATCGCGCAAGTTGTTGGGGTGACGACCGCAAGCTTCCTCGCCGGCACTATCGCAACATATAGCTACGCGTTCGTGCCGGCTGTCAGTCTCGCGCCCGCGCCGCTGCTCGCGCAGCAGTGGCAGAAGGCGTATGGGATTGGCGCGCTGACTGCGCCGCCGCTGGCACTGGTGGCGGCGATCAGCTTCAGCTATTTGGCTGGTCAAGGTATGCTGTAGTATCTGCACTCGTAGTGATGGCTCCTATCTACTGCGTACTAGATGGAAATAGTGGAAGGAAAATTGATAAAGAGGACGACATCCAGTGCTAACGAAACCCCAACGCTAGCGGTCAAATCCCCTGCAGCCTTCTCGGGCTCCGCGTCCCTTGATCCCTCCGCCGCTGCCTACCTCTACACAGCCGCTGCCGTGCTCGTTCCGGCTATCGTGCCGTATACGCTGCTGGGCATGAAGGCCGTCAACGGCGCGCTCCACGCTAAAGCGGACAAACTGCGGACGTCGAGCTTCGATAAGCCGAGCACTGCGAGCGAGGATAGGGAAGTCAAGGAGCTAATTGGGAGATGGAAGGTGCACAATGCTGTCAGAGCGGTGCTGGCGGGGATGGGCGCGGTTGCGGGGATGGTGGCTGTGGTTTGGTAGGGCTGGGTTGAAGTATTTAAGGCGAGGGCTTGGGGGTAAGGATGTAGGCAGCTCGTGAGTCTGCTGGAGGTTGTGTATGAGGTGGGACTCGTGAGTTTTGCATGGGCGACTTAAGGTCTATTGGTGTCACTACTCCGATCCGTTGCTGCTAGTCCACACCCGCGACGCACCATCCGTGTAGTCGTAGCTACCTCTACCTACTGACTTCACTACTTTGAGGTCGACGTTGTCTCAAGATGTGACCATGTAGAGGCCTGCCATATGAACTGATAGTCTACGGGTTCCTTGAAGCCTTCCGCAGCAATGAGCGTTGTTGCTGCTGCTTCGCAGGTTGACCAACACGTGACCCTCGAGAGTCTTCTCATGTTTTCAATCGGTAGTACGCGGGGCCTGATCGTTAAGTTTCTCCTTGCAAAAGGTTGAAGGTCTAGCACCTGCGGTGATGATGGGATTCAAGGTCACGTGATAGGCGGCGGATCCCAGCCGAGCTGCCGCCCACAAAGCGAATTCGCGCTTGAGCATTGAGACGTCAACCCATCAACGACGACACGACATAACACTCCTCCATCACCAGCTTCCGCCAGAATCAGTCAAGATGGTGAGTTTGTCCGGTTTTGATGCGCATGTAGAGGGCGGACATGGAAGGAGCCTGGAACAAACCTTCAAAAGCACCGATCAACGGCCGCAAAACGACTGCAACACCCCAACGCCACGCTGCATCTGTCTCGACTCTTGAATTCGTCCGCTGCGACACTCTCGGTCTTTTTGAATGCGTGATATCGGACAGTAGCCGACACAATAGTTTCCGAAGGCGACGAGGCGGGAGTGGTCTGTTGAACGCGGGGCGACTACGAACTGCGTATCCTTTACACGCTCCCCCGAAGGAGTTGCGAACCCTCTCTGAAATGCCGTCATCGCACACACAACCACCAATTTCCTGGTCTGGAAGATTACCTCGCAGCTACGAGTTCTGAAACAGAGGCCGAACAGCGCAGCTGGCGGGGAATGGATTTGACTGGGCGTTGGGAATACGCTGGCATCGAAAAACTGAGGGCGGTGATGCTGATACAGTGGTTTCTCCAGGTCAACGTTCCCAAGACAAGGCGGACCTACTGCAAGGGCAAGGACTGCAAGAAGCACACACAGCACAAGGTCACACAGTACAAGGCCGGCAAGGTACGGTGCTCCTGCCTCTCTCACTCCCCTAGAAACATGCGATCGGCAGCTTACCTCTACCTCCCCATGGCCAGGCTTCGCTATTCGCCCAAGGAAAGCGCCGATACGACCGCAAGCAGTCCGGTTACGGTGGTCAGACGAAGCCCGTGTTCCACAAGAAGGCCAAGACGACGAAGAAGGTTGTGCTAAGACTGGAGTGCACGTCATGCAAGACGAAGGCGCAGTTGGCGCTGAAGCGATGCAAGCACTTTGAGTTGGGGTATGTTGAATGCTGCTCTTAGAGACCGCTGCGCTGCGGTGTGATCCCTGTCTGGATGCTTACTGACTTCTTGACAGCGGCGACAAGAAGACGAAGGGTGCTGCGTTGGTCTTCTAAGCGTGTTCTTCTCTTTTGCTGGCCATTTGCATGCTTTTTGATGTGGCAACGGGGATGATATTTGGCATTTGCTGAGGAACAGCCTTGCTGGAAGGAACCCTGTATGGTGGTATAGCGCATGGGGATAAATCGGTCAATATACTGCACTAGATCGAGGCAGTTGTACTGAGACCGAGAATCGCGGCTGCCCAAGGGGGTTCTTGTGTGTCTCCAGTTGCTCAACCCACCGTTGCATGTCGAAGTTTTCACTCGATATCACTTGATCTTTTGGATACTTTCTGTGAACTTGCCGCGGTTTTTGTAGCCTCGGTTCTCTTGTCACTACTATATGTAACGACTGCCTAGCACAGTGAAGGCTGTCCAGCTCTAGCCATGGTCGGGTTTTTGCTGTTGCGGGTGGACCCGAAATATCTGCCTATCAACCTACAGATACGAACAGCTATCCCCCCTCCGCAAGATCTCCTAACCACCACCCCCCCAACCGTCAAAGCTCGCACTCCCCACTCTTCCAACCGGGCCGCCCGCAACAGATCCCCCCTGCCTCAACCCCCTATCCCTCACAAACCCTCTCCCACGCCCTCCACCAAAGCGCCAAATTCGCCGCCACGACCAAATCCAGCATCCTGATGCCCTCATCCTCGACAATCAGCTTCCCCAGCTTCGCCTGCTTGCCGCCGAAGCCGCCGCCCGCGATCTCCTGGCCGAGCGAGAGGTCCAGGCGCGCCGTGTCGGCTGCTACGGGATCGCGGGCGCCGGATAGCGTGGGCAGAGAAGCCGCAGACGATGAATGCTGGCTGCGTAGACGCGGCCGGGAGAAGACGGAGGAGCGCTTGGTGGTTGAGCTGGGGTCTTCGCTGGGGGTCGCAGGATCGCTGCGGACGGCGGGCACGGGGAGGTTGAAGCGGAGTTCGCTGATGGCGGCGGAGTCGGAGGGGGCGAGAGCTGAGCTGTTGGTCGGGATTGTGTGTTTGCACTATTGTATAGTATGTTAGCGACATATTCGTATTTGGTCACTTGGTGTTTGGGCTCACCTTCAGCGACTTGCCGGCAGCGGCCGTCGAGAACTCGCAGCGCCCGTTCCAGGGACTTAGGAAGACGTAGCCGCGGAAGCTGGAGCGCGGGTTGTCGATTGTGAGTGTTCTGGTGCCCGGTTGGCTCTCCCGTTGAAGCGGGAGGTGGCTCAACTCTGCGCTGCGAGGCGAGTGCTCGCCGCTGCTTCGGCGGAGGTCCATGCTACCATTGGGCATCTCTGAGCCGCTGATCGAGCCATTGGAGCTGACTTTTCTGTGACCGAAGCTGCCGCTGTATCTGGTGCCTTCCATCCACAAGCGCCGCCGAAAGGCAGGGTCGCGTGCTGCTCCTTGATCCTTGTCGATCGATGTCCGAGGGCCATCGAAGGCCTCTGACCAGGCAAAAGAGCGCTCGCTGTCTCTGGATTGCAACTTCGGCCGGGTTTCGTCGTCGTAAAGGAACTTGCTGTAGCCAGGTGTGTCCACCTGGATGTACATTGGCGATCCGGATGGTCTGTTCCGCTGAGCCGTCGTTGGGCTGAGCAAAGCATCTGATGATACTTCATCGACTTGGGGATCTCGAATCCTTGCCACGTTCCACTGGGCTCCTGAAGTTGGATCACGGCGGATCAGCGTTAGAGACACACCCGATGGTAAACTATCTTTAGGATCCTTCCTATGAGGTGATGCAGGTTCTGAGTTCCTGTATCGGGACGGCTCTCCAAAGCCTTCGTAAGGCGCGTATGGACTTGATGGAGGTACT